AAGCCGATCATTGAGCAACTGGCTGTGCTGCGAGGAGTGACCAACATGGCACCCAGCACCATCGTCGACGACACCACGAAGGAACTGGTCAAGGACACGTATCGATTCATCCGCGAGTTTGCCGATCCAATCATCAAGAGTGCACCACAGGTGTACAACTCGGGGTATGCATTCACACCGAAGGAGACGGCGATCTACAGGGCATATGCCGACCAACTTGAGGGCGAGATCCCGTTTGAAGTTAAAACTGGACTTGATTCCACTTGGGGTGCTTGTGAATCCACTCTCCTTGGTCATATGCGGGATGTCAAGTGCGTGGCCATATCCTCCGATGGCAAGTGGATCGTATCCGGATCAAAAGATGCGACCATCAAAGTGTGGGACGTCGGTACAGGACAAGAAAAACTTGCCATGAAGGGACATACCTCCTGGGTAAACTCCGTAGCCATCTCACCTGATGGCAAGTGGATTGCTTCTGGTTCTCGTGACAGAGCCGTCAAAGTGTGGGATACCACCACCGGCCAACTGAAACACACACTCGAGGGGCACGTACAAGCTGTGAACTCCGTTGCAATCTCACCCGATGGCAAGTCGATCGTCTCTGGGTCGAGTGACAAAACCATCAAAATATGGGATGCCACCACAAGCCAACTGAAGAATACACTCATTGGTCATCGGAATGGAATTTGCTCCGTTTCCATTTCACCCGATAGCAAGTCTATAGTCTCTGGATCTTTCGATAAAACCATCAGAATGTGGAATGTCGACGGCCTGGAGCTCTACTCGATTGATGCTGCGCACAGCGGACCAGTCGATTGTGTTGTGTTTTCCCCCGATGGAAGCAAGGTGATTTCCGGATCATCTGATTCTCATATCAAGATCTGGAATGCCTCCACGCAGGAGGAGATATGTGTTCTCACTGGACACAATGGCAAAGTCACTTCAATCGCCATCTCTCCTGATTGCAACCACATCATCTCAGGCTCCTTCGACTCCAACGTGGTTCTCTGGGATCTGAGATCAAACTTCAAGGTACGTGAATACCATGGACACACTCAGAATGTCAGGGCCGTCGCCATATCCCAGAATGGCCGATTTGCAGTCTCAGGCTCAGGATTCCACAACCAGCCTGGTGAAATCAAAATATGGGATCTCACCATCCCCCATCCCGAACGAGACCCACACACGCATTCAATGATGGTGATGTCGGTGTGTCTATCGAAAAACAAAAGATTCATCGTTTCAGGCTCAAGCGATGGTACTGTCCGGAAATGGAGAGCCGATGACGGAAGCTTCGTCGAATCGCTCTGGAGCCACGAAGATGGGGTGGCATCGGTAGCCATATCTAATGACGGCGAAGTTATTGCCTCGGGCGCCTTTGATGGATGCATTATGGTGAGAAACAGAAACTCGGAAATGCCCCGAATCATCAGAGGACACTCTCAGTTCATCAATCCAAACGAGATCAAACCAGAAGGAGGCCCTCGATCTGGATCAGAATTCGCGGAATCAAGAGTTTGGGATCAGTATGGACAGCTTCTTGTCCCACTCGAATCATATCGTTTCTGGTTCCACTGGGCGCTTTATTCCGTCAGTGGGGACATCATGGTCACCGAATCCAAAGACAAGTCCCCCTCGATTTGGAACACCGCTACGGGTGAGAATATTGCGATTCTGAATGGTCACACTGATGACATCACAGCTATTGCAATATCGGCCGATGGCCGTTCCATCGCCACGGGCTCCAAGGATTGTACCATCAAGATGTGGGAAGTCTCGAACTTCACTGAGTATTTGAGTATTCCTGTCATCAATGCCTATGCCAAGCGAATCACGCTCTCGAAAGATGGACAAACTCTCGCCGTTCTTCGCAGCGACGGTGTTGTGCAAGTTTGGAAGCTTCCGAGCACCACGGCTCTCTTCACAAGCACCACTCACAACAACACGGCAATCGACATTGCTCGAGACGCAAGCTTCCTCATTATTGGCTCTCGCGAGAGTATCACACAAGTCGATTTGAAAAATCGCAATGCAAAGGTCATCCAGGTCGACAACCTTATAACGTCTGTTGCCATCTTACCCGATGGGAAGGAATTTGTCACCGGCTCTGTCGACAAGAAGCTCCGAAAGTGGAATGTCGGTGATATGAAGCAAGTTGGAAAAGATCTGAATCATAAAGGAAACATAAGATCAATTATTGTATCCGAAGATGGTTGCTATATAGTCGTGCGAATATCCCACAACGACGTCATCATATGGAAGCGAGATCTGACTCTGCACCAGTATTTGTCTGGGCACGCTGGCAGCGTCAGGTCCGTTGCCTTGACTCCGGACGGTCAGCAGATGGTATCAGCCGCGGATGACACCATCATCAAAGTCTACGATATGTCCAAGGACAAAAGTCGAAATCTCTATGGTCACCGCCGCGGGGTGTATTCAATCGATATCAGTCCTACTGGACATGAAATCGTATCCGCTTCGGATGACAACACTATCCGCTGCTGGAATTTCCTTTCAGACTCTGGCAAGCTCATCAGCGAAGGCACCCAACCACATGTGTCGATTTCATACAGAGACGATACCACCTTGATTTCCAGGACGAATGACAACGAAATATGGGAACGGAAGCTGGGGGATGTGAATGATCAAGGAACTAAACTGGATATTCGATATCCTCTGGGGCAATTTGCAGCCATCGATCTCGGCAACTGGAGACTTCAGGAGAATGCCCAGTCGCAGCTCTGGTTCCGTAATGGGCAGAGCATGTTCAAAGCACCACAATCGATTCCATGCGGATCAAGATCCAGTGTGAACTCCAAAGGCGATCTTTGCCTGTTCACAAATCGACCCCTGTTGATCTCGGTAAGTACTCTCGTGACGAACCGCCCGGCTGTTTTCTTGATGACATTCCAAGTATCATAATCTCCGTCTTACCAACATATGTCATAACTGCCTCTCTCAGTTGAACTCTGAAAATAATGTCCTCTTGGACTGAACCATGAGAAACATCCTGACAGTCAGAAGTCTACATCAGTGCAGTGGAAACGATGCACATTCCCTGGGGTGTATGTGATCTTGGAGCTGAATATAAAGTTTCAGGAGTAAGCAATATTCGAACTCAGATGGAATTGAGAAGAATCGAAATGAATCAGCCTCGTTTGTGGTGATCACTATACTACTCAATATCCTCGAGGTGGGACGTTAAATGAAGGAGGGCTGCAGCATCGGATCAACCGAGGAGAATGAAGATGCGGAGACTCTCTCGATCAATGTGTGTATATCCTTTCATCGAGGATAGCCTGATGTTAATGTTGTGACTGTATATTGAGGAGGATTGTCTTGATCACCACCCGTAAATAAATTAGATCCAATGAAATCAAAGAGTGAGCATCATTGCCTCGAGCTGGATGAGGAAGACTGACTGTGCCAATGAATGGTGTTTGAGGCATTCGAGTGAACTTGTGATGAGTTTCACAGCATCAGTAAGTTGCCTTTAGTTGGGTTGTCGGATTGACAGAGATCCAACTGCATATCAATCCCCTTGAGGAGTCGAGATACTTGAGGCTTTGGTGCCGTCTGTGTTCCCGATATCTGATACGAGACTTGCGAATGATCCTGACGATGATTGGCCACTTGGCGTGCTGTGTGGTGAGAGCAATTATCGGCACACCAGAGATGTTGCACATCCGATGCCATATGAAATCACCATTAATGGGCGAGCAAACATCGGTCTTGAGATATCCAGAGGGACCGAGACAATACTGTCCGACTTGATGACTGGAATTCATGGCCACATATGACATCGCTGCCTCTTCTTTCATCGACCCCTATCTCTCATTGGCTCTGCCCATCGGCAACTTGACATGCTTGCACCTGCTTTCACTCCAGCACTTTACAGCACGGCTGGCATCTGCGCTTTCCATTCCACTTGATCATCTGATGTGACCTACTTTCTGAAAGCCAATGCTTTAAAATCCCCAAGAACATGCTCCATCACATTTGCGCCCAGTCTCAGTCCACTTCCGCAGTTCACGACTGAGTCTGATCGACTCTGTGCTGTGCATGTAAAGGCCGCCTCACTTTGTTCTGCAATTTCAAATACATTGAGTGTCCCTTCCACTGTCATTGCCACCACAGTACCACGAAGCTTTGATGTGGGGCTTCGCACAGTTGATCCTGGACACGATCTTTGGATTCTCTCGTCCGACGATCAAGCTGGCATTGGTTTTGGATTGCTCCGAGATGCAAAGGAATGAGATGCCAATGATCTGGCTCGGACGGCGAGAATGCGGGATTCCATGATCGATTCCATGTTCAATGACTGTGGCAGTGCAATGGGAACAATGAGTCCAGCCATCGGATTGGGCCAGGCGTGTGTGTGTGTGTTCGATGGCCAGGGTTTGGATTGCTTCACCACATCTTCCCTCTCTGTCTCCTGTCCATCTCCATCACCCACTTGCCTCCCTCCTGTCTCCGTCAACATGGCCAGCATGAACAAGCCTGCTTCAACTACGGGGTCATCTGCCACCTACCAAAGCCAAGTCGAGCCACGCGATGGATCGAGCAATGTGGCTGGGGCAGGAACAAGCTTGTCGGTAATGGATCCAATGCGAACATCATTCAACCACAACCCAGACATCTTCACCATCATCTGCTGCAACGACAGCTTCCAGCTTGCCCTTGATTTGAACACAATCAAGACCCTGCTCCGAGTGTGCAAGCGAACCCGTCTTCTCCTGAGCTCCAAGGTGCCTCGCTTCCACACCTGGTGTCAGAAGGAAGGACTGTGCAATCCAGACGGACAGCTGCGAATCGGCCTCACACCAAGCGACCAGATTGCCATCTCGCTTCATTGCAAGGATCAAGTGACAGCGAACCGATCCTGGTTGAATAATCAAGCAGACCAAGGCAGTGCTGCTGCATCGTATTTCCTGGCACGGATCCTCCAAGTCGATCTCCGTGTCCAGCAGTTCGTGGACCAATCCAGACCGCCAACAATCTGCCAGCCCATCTTGCGATTCTTACACTCAGCAACCTACGCAAACCACACAATGGCACAGTTCCACCTGGCTGAGTGCTATCTCAAGGGGCACTGCGTTGACCAAGACCACACCAAGGCCGTCGAGTTGTATCGCAGACTTGCAGAACGGGGAACGACGCAGGCCCAAATCGCACTTGGTCTACGCTATGAGAATGGTGAAGGTGTCGATCAAGACTTCAACACAGCCATCGAGTGGTACTCAAAGGCTGCAGATCAAGGCAGTGAAGACGGCCGACTCCACATCGTGTTCCTCCGTGGCTGGTTCTCGTTCATCGGCCATGGTGTCGAACAGAGCGACGACGATGCACTCAACCACTGGCAGGAAGTCAGCACCAGGTCCTCGGATCCGATCATCAAACCCATTGCCACCCACATGATCGGCTGGATGCACTATCTCGACCGGGGCACCGTCCGAGACGAACCGAAGGCATCAAAGTCATCCGAGATAACAAATCAAATGGGTTCCCACTCGGAGAAGATGAATCTCTAGCAGCCGATGTATGGTAGGCTACATCCGACACATCCGCCTCACGCAAGTTCTACGAGCTGTGCCAACTTGGATCGGATCGTGACTGGCTTTACAGGCACTTGATGGCCGTGTGTCTCTTCCATAGATGCGGAACCACAAAGGATCAGCAGAAAGCTGCGAGCATCTTTGAGGTGCTCGCCAACGAGGGCCACAGCGACAGCCAGTTTGGATTGGCGATTGCTACCACCATGGCAATGGTGTATCGAGGGACAACGGCAAGGCATTCGTGTGGTATCGCAAATCGGCTGCTCAATGCAATCGATATGGACAGAAATACCTCGGTGACTGCTTCACAGATGGCTTCACTGTCCCCAAGAACATCGACGCTGCCCTGTACTGGTATCGCAAGTCTGCCGACCAGGGCCACGAAGGAGCGATTTGCCATCTCGAGCAAATCGGCAAGCGGTCTTGATCCTTTGGAGATGGTCACGACCCAAGACACAGCCCGGACTCTCAGTCCGTGACACAAAGTCAGCATATGAATTCCAGCAATTACATATCGAATGATCAATGATGATGTATTCAGGCTGCAGAAAGGAACAGCAACATTGACATCTCGTTCTGCCGCATAAAAATCGACGGCATGGATGGAGATATTGCTCGGAGTGTTTCGTTGCAGTCTAATGATGGAAAGCAAGGTGGGCAGAGTCAGCCGGATGAACAACCGGAATTGGCCCTTTGGCTCGCTGTCGCTCAACGCATCTCGGATCAGTTGTAAATGTTTTGGTAGCTCAGATATTGTCCTCAAAACACAGTGTGCTCAGACAAATGCCTCTGAAATCATCAGAACGAGATATTGCCTGCATCTCGACAATCGAGTATGGGGAGACACGAACCTGTGGAATGCTAGTGTGGGCCCGTATCCGATGACGCTTGATGGCGGCAATCAACTGCGATTCAGACAAGATTGTCAGCCGGCAGACTCCAGATAGCAAGGCACAAAACATCGGTGCCCGCTGCAAACGCTTCAGAACAGGTTGACATCTCATGTATTTCATAATGAGCTGGGTTAAATAGCATTGTGGATCATCCTTTGATTTGCCGAGCAGTTGAGCGGCGCGGTTCGCCTCACTTACAGATCAACCTATTCAGCGACAGAGCGACGCATTAGCAACAAGGCCACATCCCATCGATGGCTTCCAGCGTCCAATAATCGATCGAGCGACAGCCTCAGTGATTGTTCACCCAGATAAATCAACATCGTGTGTTTCTGTTGTCCCTATCTGTTTTTTCGTCACAGGTATTGCCCGATCGCACACAACAAAGCTCATCGGGTCCCAAACTCACCATGATGGGCAGACATCCAGGATGTGTTGCCAGGCACGGGAGAACAGCAGGTTCCTATGCGACACAGACATTCAGCGTTAGCGGTCATTGCACGACAGCGACAGCGAGTACAGACTCGCCAGTGTCAGGAGTGGATATCAGAAAGTATCTTCTCTCACAAGTCAAAGACCTCGAAGAGCTGGGTTAAATAGCAAAGTATTTCATCACTGTATCCGGGGGATGGGTAGAACACGCGATTGGTGTCTATGCTTACCAAATGAATGGGTGTGCAGCCGACCGTTATGTTGGGGGAGAATCCTGGGAGTGCTGAAATCGTCCGGCTGACTATGTCGGACAAAGCGGGACAGTGTCAGATCATTGCGATGGCGCGATGAACGCATCTGGGCCAGCGATCCGGCGGGTGCTCCCGTCTCCCAGACGACGGCATCAGAAGTGGTTATTGGCTCTTCGTATGGTGGGGTCTTACGCCACCTCAGAAACACGGACCAATACATCTTCATCCTCTCGGCACCGGCCTCGACGCTGGCTGCTTGCTCCCATCGGATGCATTGCAGACACTTACGCTGGCTGGCAGACCGGCGACGGGACGGCGTCTTCGACAATGGTGCTGATCCACGCGCTGCGTTGGCTTCGGCCCTTCCTTCCGCTGGGCGATTCCAACACGGCAACGCGGGCACCAACACCAACCTCGACGGCATCGCCCCGCCGCCGCACCGAGACGGCTGCTGGACAGAGCAGGTCGGGCGAAAGATGCGCGACAGGACGCAATAGATATACCGTTTTTTTCGTCTGTGGGCGCCACAGGCCGATCACAGAACCCCGATCAAATGAATTCCGTGCTCCTGCCACAGCGTGGGCGAGACCGCGGCGGCGACGAGGACGCAGCGAGAGCGCGGCCGAGAGTGGCGGGCGGCGCCGAAGTGGGTCGAAGGCCGCCGAACACGCGTGGGGCCGTGCGCAGCGGCGGCGCGCCAGCCCTTGCCCTCGCCAGCCCTTCCCCAAATGAAGTGGGGCACAAAATTTTTTTCGGGCAGCCGACGCGCTTGTGTGTGTGTGCGCCAGTCGCGTGTGTGTGTGTGTGCTGGCCGCCCTCGCCGCGGCTCTCGGTGCCGTCCTCGCCTGCTCTCGGCGCGCCTCGGCCGCCTCGCTCCTCGCGCCAGCCTCGCATCCGCCGCGTCTCAATAAATCGGTCCTCTCTCGGGATCTTTTTCTTTTTCCTCACCCCGAAATCTCGTCTCCCTCGCTGCACCTCTTACCCTCCCTCTGCTATCGTCATAATGGGCTTCACCGATCTCGACAAGGACTCTGGCCTCAAGGCTCTCAACACCTACCTCGAGGAGCGATCGTACATTGAGGGGTGAGTGTGCCTCTCGCGCTGATCTGGCTCGACGGCTCAGCTCGGCTTGTCCCCTGTCTCTGTCCGGCTCCTGTTCGGGAGATCGGGGATGGCCGGGTCTTTCCCGGTCGATCGGCCGGCAGTGGCGGCGGCGAAAGTCTGCACCAACGATCTCCAAGCAGTGGGTTGCTCAAGTCCCCGCTCCGGCCCAACCGCTCGACCCCCTGGCTCATTCTGTCCATGTGCGATCATCTCCCCTTCGCGCTGACTTGTCATCATGTTCCAGCTACGAGGCCAGCCAGGCCGATGTTGCCGTCTACGAGGCTGTCAAGAAGGCTCCCGATGCCAACAAGTACCCCCACGCCGCCCGCTGGTACCACCACATCTGGTCCAAGTCTCTTGCTGCGTACGTATCGTCGCCATCGGTCCCAGAGCGCCTGAGCATTCTGTCGCCCCCAATGGCGGCCCTCGCTGTCCAGGATGTGTCCGGATGCATGCTCGCACCGTCTCGGTGCCTTGTGCGGAACAGCTTTGCTTGTCCTGACGATATTCGTGTCTGCTGCAGTCTCCCCGGCAAGAAGCAGGCTGCCTCTGCCTACGGCCCCGGTGGTGCTGTTGCTCGCCCCGCCTCGCCCGTCAAGGCCGTTCCCGCCAAGGCCGCCCCCGCCAAGGCTGCCCCTGCTCCTGCCAAGGAGGAGGAGGAGGATGAGGACGACATTGACCTCTTCGGATCCGACGATGATGATGAGGAGGCCGAGCGCCTCAAGGCCGAGCGTGTCGCCGCCTACGAGGCCAAGAAGGCCGGTGGCAGTACGTATCCTTTCCGCGCTGCCATCCCCGCTGGTTCTGCCCGTGATATCTGTCGATAGATAGTGACACCTTTGGCTACGTTCCAATCAGAGCCCAAGCCCGTTGCCAAGTCCATGGTTATCCTCGACGTCAAGCCCTGGGATGACGAGACTGGTATGGCCATTTCGACACAATCGACGACGCTGATGCGACCAGCGCTTCATACGGCTGCATAGCAACAATTCCCCACCAGCTTTGGAAGAAACTGACCGTTCTCTGATCCACAGACATGAAGGAGCTCACCAACAACGTCCTTGCTGTTGAGCAGGATGGCCTCGTCTGGGGTACCCACAAGCTCGGTAAGCCCCGCCTCTCGTCTGGATTGCTTTTGCGTTCCGTCATCTGCGCGACTCGATTGCTCACACAGCTGCTTTGGTCCCCTGCATCTATCCAGTCGCCGTCGGCTTCGGTATCAAGAAGCTCCAGATCACCTGTGTCATCGAGGATGACAAGGTCAGCACTGACGAGCTCATCGACAAGATTTGCGCCGACGAGGACCACGTCCAGTCCGTCGACATTGCTGCCTTCAACAAATTGTAAATTGCTCTCTGCCATCCGACTCGCTACTGCGTCCCGACTCCTGGTCTAGCCTCCTCCATCTTTGTGTATACAAAAAGGCGTTAGTTGTGCTCCTTGCCCGACGTCAGCTTCCCCACAACAACTGTTTGGCCAATCGACAGTCCACCCAAAACGAAACGGGACACCCTGTTTTTGAGTCCTGCGTGTCACTTTTCCTGGATGTGAATACACACCCACTCACCCGCCATGACCAAACGGTGTGCCCAGGTGATCGTGGTTGCTATCGAGTCCCGTGGAGCCCAGGTTCGCCTGGAACTTTGAGCGAGCGTCCTTTCCATGACGCCAGCGCAGATCCGAGGCCTCCATGCTCCTCTTCCAGCCAGACGGGTGGCTGGGGCAAATGGAGCAACCTTCCGGGGTGGCCTGGCTCACAAGCAGCAGCCCCTCGTCTTTCCCGCCCCCACCGGCCTGCCAGCCTCGCCTCGCTCCTCTGTCTCCATCTGCCCCCCCCCTTCTGCCAACTCCACAACTCTGATCGTCGTCTCACTCGCCAGCAATGTCCCGCCCCCGAGCCACCAAGGTCAACTCTGTCTCCATCACGCTGTGCCAGGACATCTTCAATGAGATCTCGAACCTGTAAGCTTCGCCGCCTGCCTCGACATCTCAACAGCCTTCGATCCCTTTGAGCTGCTTCACAATCGGCAGCTCCGTACCCGACCTCCTTTTCGCTCACTTTAGCCCTCCTCCGTCGTCCGTCCGGCATGCTTGATTTGTCTTCCGTTTGAGAGTGGATTTCTTGACCCTGCCAGAGCTGCTGCTGCCAGAATTGCCGTTGGATAACCTCGTATCATGACGCCACCATATGCTGCCATCGACTCATACTTCCAGGATCGGCCCGATTGCCCAGCGCCTGGCTCTCGACACCAAGATCGGCGACCAGCACATCAGCAAGGACCTGATGCTCCTCGGTAAGAAGGAGCTCGCCTCTGCCAACAACATCAAGATCGAGACCTTCAACATCAAGCTCGTCGAGATGCCCATCCAAGACGGATTCATCCTGGTCAAGATCCGCGAAGTCGACGTCGATGTCTCGCTCGACCTCGAGGCCGTCGGCGCCTCGCTTGGAAAGGTCTGGATCGACATTGACCTCAACATCGATGCCAAAGTCCGATTCAGTGAAACCGATGGCAAGCTCAAGACCGACGTCTTTGGTACGTAGGTGGCCTCAGCAGACAACGGCCTTATCGATCCGGGGGTGCAATCCCGGCCGTGGTGATTACATCTCACGATGCTGTTGCGCTGAAGCCCAAGGCTACAACCTCGAACTGTCAGTCCCGGCATGATCGGCTTTTGCGACGCACCGGCCTGACCCTGGTTTTGACAAACTCGCTCTCAGACGTTGCCATCAACATCGCCAACTTTGACGCCAAGATCGGCTCGGGCTTCACCGGCAAGATTCTCTCCACGGCCATTGACTTTGTTGAAAACGTTGTCAAGTCGCAGATCTCTTCGGCCCTGACCCAGCCCATTGACGAGGCCCTCACCAGCGGCCTCGACTCGGTCCTGGGCCGGGATCTGGACGTTGCCGGCAACGTGTCCACCGTCTTCTACCGCCTCAATGTCGACTTCAATGGCAACCCTGTGATTACCGCGGCCAAGGGCGTCGAGATCTTCGTTGCCATCGACAGCGTGGTCAGCAAGGATGGCCCCATCGGCGGTGCTCCTGCGGCTGCTGGTACCCCTGGTCCCACTCCCATGTCTCCCTAATCTGGATCATTTGGACCCAAGCCTCTGTTGATGCCATGTCCTTCTTGCCATTCCACTCCTCTCCTCCAGCCCCTGGCCCCTCTGCTCTTGGGCGAGTGGACTAGCTCGGTCTCGCTTGGTTTGGTTTGAGCCGGTCAATGAAGCACAATATGAGAGACTGAACATGAATCGGGGTACCGTGGGCGACAACTGTTTCATTTTCTTCACTGCCAGTGACTGACGCCCATGGGACATCCCAGAAGAAGAGGGGGCGGACAGCAGTGATGGAAGCGAGCGGAAAATAGGAGGGGAGAGCGACACGCAGCTCGATCTAGGGATTTACGAGCAACCGGCGAGTAATACGAGTATCGAAATGAGAGGGGTGCCATCCCAGGGCTATAGGTAACCAGGTCAAAGGGGCAAAGCCGTGTCATGAGGTCGGCCGAGATGCACCGCAGCTCGACAACGTATGATGGCGCTCATCCGAGGAGAGCCACCTGCTGATCCACGCAGCGCGAAGCGATTGCGAGGGCGGGTCAGGGATTGCCCATGGGGTGGGGGCCAATTCATCATTTCGACCACCATCACATCGCAAGTTCCAGCCGCCGGGAGTGTTGCGGGTTGTGGATTTGGCACGTTGACCGAGGCAGCCGATGGAGTGCAGAAAGTGAGCAGAGAATGCGTCAGTCGCAGGTCAAATGTGGGTGCACATGAACAGTCGAATCAGCCTTTATTTCCAGCCGCCGGCAGAATAGCACCGCACGAACGGCACTGCACTCATAATACCCTCTCTACTCAGGCACGAGGCCAAACCACAAAATAGCTCCACAGCAAGGTGCAAAGTCTAGCTCTTTGCAGATCCTCCTCCGTCCCTCATCGGCCTGACCGAGCGACACAGTCGAGGCCCGATGTGTTGGAGGGAGGCGTCTCCCACGAACGCGCCCCAGCGAAACCAAGAAAAATTAACCCAAAAGAGCATCGGATTTGCGGTAACGAACCCTTCCGTTGCGGCCGTTGCGCTTCAGGGCGCGATAGCCCACAAATCCAACGCCGGCAAAGACGGCAACGCCGCCAATGACAGCAAAGCTGCTCCAGCCGGACGAGGTCTACAGGAACAGCGGAATGCGCTAGTCAGTGGCCGACCAGACTCAGAGCGGATGCCACAAGAACAAACATGCATCGCAGACTGTTGTTTCAGATATACGAGAGCAGCGGCGGTTCGCCGGACGACATCCGCTCAATGGATCAGGAGGCTATTTACCTGGGTGGTGTTGGCAGAGCCGCTGTTGTTGTTCTCGGCAACGAAGGACTTGTCAGCAGTCGAGGCCTGGGCCTGAGTAGCAGAAGCCAAGGGAGCGGCAGCGGACTTGGGGGCATCGGTGACAGCCTCGAGCTGCTGGGGAGCGGGAGCCGAGGGCAAGAGGGCGGCGGTGGAAGTGGCACGAGCGGCAGCAGCGGCGGCCGAGGAGGAAACAGCAGCGTCGTAGCTGCTGACCTGCTTCTTAATGTATCTCAACAGAACCTCGGGCTCATCGTCGTCGGGATATTCGCCCTGGAGAAGGCCGTCGCGGTAGCTGTTCGAATCGAGCATCAAGTCGTCAGCCCAACGGGCCAGCCACATTGCCATCGCACCGGATGAATGAGCGAATGTGTTTTCGGTCACAGATCAATGCAGTTCATCAAGATCCCAAGACGACGTGTGGACGAAAGCAGATTGCTCAACAGCGTCGTCGGCAATGTTCAGTCACTGCACTGCCAGCAGTGCCCTCAAGCAAGTCACAGCCGCAGGGGCGAGGTTGGGTGAGCACTTACAAGAGGACAGTGGGATAGCCGGCAATGTTGTATTGGACCGTGCAGAAGGGCTCGTCGATGCTGCACTCGACCTTGAACATCTGGAAGTTGCCCTTGTCGATGCCCTGGGCCTTGACGGCCTTCTGGACCTCGAGCCACTTGGGAGTGAATCTGTCGAGAAGGAGCGACTCGGGTCAACGACCGAGACTTTGGTCGAATCGATCTGGCTCCGGACCCACAACAAGCCTCGCCAGACAGGACATAAAGGCAGAGAGAGGACCGTAATTTGGTCTGCTGCTGTCGACGCCGCTGCTGTGGACGCCGCTGGGCTGCTTACCGCTGGGTGAAAGCGCACCACTTGGCGCCGAACATCAGAGCAGTAATGCCCTTGCCGTTGTGGAGGGTGGCATTGACCTTGTCATGGTCGATAAAGTCGATTTCCAGGTCGGCGGCCTCGGCGGCGGACTTGCGCGACTCCTTTTCCTCGGTGCTGAGGGCCAGCGAGCAGGTGGCGGCGATGAGGGCCACCAGAAGCACGAGCAGGTTGAATCGCATGATGGGCTGAGTGTCTCGGGAGGAAGCGGCGATGGAGGGCAAACGATGACGAGGAGACACCGGCCCAAAAAAGACCAACGACGACGGCGTGCCCAGCGAGGAGGGCCGAGAGCGGCCGAGAGCGGCCGAGAGCGGCCGAGAGCAGCCGAGACGGCCCTCGCCACCGCCAGCCAATCGCCGCGGGCGGCGGTGCGCCCTTGTGTCGGCGCAGCCACGCTCCGCCCCAGCGCGTCTGTGCCACGGACAGTGTGGCACGCGTCGTACCAACAACCCTGTGTCCTGCGGCACGATCAGGGTGCGCGCGGGAGACCGCCGATCTGTGACAGCCCGTGTAGCCCAATGGATAAGGCGTTGCCCTCCTAAGGCAAAGATTGCGAGTTCGAGTCTCGTCTCGGGTACATTTTAAACTTTTGGAGCAGCGTCCGTGTCTGTGTCGTTGCATTTGTTATTGCATTTGTTATTGCATTTGTTATCGCATCTGCTATTGCATGCGGCAGAGTGTCGCCGCGGTTTGCGCTGTTGTCCCTGGGCTGTCGTTCGGCGTGCAGGCCCACACCATCCAGCCGGGACTGTTGCGCCCGTCGTCCCGAAATAGCAATCCGCGCGTTGCGTCGTCCCCCCACCGCGGCGCCTCGGCAGTCCTTCTTGTCGCTCACCCAGAGCAGCTTTTCGTCTGTCGCCTGCCTCGTCCAGAACAACCTCTCGACAACGGCTGCTGCCCAAGCCCCGGCTGACCAGCAGACCCCAAACACAGTCTCGCCAGCTGCTGCTGCTCCTGGCACATCGGCACTGCCCTGGCCGTGTGACCCTCTTGCTTCTCTGCCTGTCGCATCAACATCGCATCAGCATCGCCTCAGCATCGCATTTCGCCATGAGCACCCTCAATGTCGTCTACCAGTCTGTGGGCTGCTACCAAGACGCAGCCCAGCTCCTGTCGGTCAGCTTCGGCCTGCTCTCCCAGATGCAGGCCCAGTTCCCCTCGGCCACCTCGTCCATCCAGGCCTGTGTGTCGGCCTGCGATGCTCACTCGGTTCTGCTGTGTGCCATCTCGGGATCGCCGTTCGGCACTCTCTGCGTCGGATCCAGGGATCTCCCTTCCGCAGACTCCTGGAAGACCTTTACCAAGGCAAGCTCGCCCTCTGTCTGTAACACTGCCTGTCCTGTTCCAAACGGATGCGGCGGCAGCCAGAACTCAGTCGACTGGTCGTCGCTCTATCTCGTCGGCGCCGGCAACACATCGATGGTCATCCCAGACACCTCGTCCAGAGCAGTTGCACCCGTCGAAGCCCAGAAAAAGTTCAACCAGACAACGTTCACCGACGTAGGTCTGTATCTCGGAGATGGCCCCCAGTCTGTACGCCGAACCTGCATCCGGGCTGCATCTCTGCCTCGGCAGTGCCTTGACCTGTCCCGACCTTTGCCATGACGGCACCACGACAGCACACGGCTTCTCACCGCCTGCCTCTGCCCAAACCCAGGCTGCTACAATGTCGACTACAGCAGCAACAGCTCGTCGATCGACATGATCATCGGTGACACCACCCCCGAGGACTGTTTGGCCCTATGTCTTGACAGCAACTACTACGCATGCGGCATCGCAGCCGGCAACCGCTACTGCTACTCGTTCTCGCAAGCCCACTTCAACGGTCTGGCAAAGCTGTCTTCTTCAAGCTGCAATGCTCCCTGTCGGCGGTCCCCGCACACTTCGTTCATCCATGGCTGTGGCGGCATCGCTGTCGATCAAGTCATGATGGATGTGTATCTCCAAGGTGCGAGTCAATCTCCTCTTTCGTTGTTGCTTGCACTTCACGCTCAATCAAGTGCAAGTGCAAATGCCCAGTGCCTCACTCTGTTGCCACCCGAACCTGCCTCTCGGCACTTGGGACCTGCCCTTCTGGCTCGCCGGGGCGGCTTTTTGATGTCGCATCATTCATTTCTTGCCTGCCTTGACATGATTTTGAATACTCACCATTCTGCCGCTGCACAACTCCCACATGCATGCTCGACTCGGCTCTTCCAGGCAATGTCTCGCTTTCCAGCGCGCCTCCCACACCCACAGCTGCAATCTCGCCGACGCCGACACAACCAGCCACCGCTCCCGGACCAAGCCCTTCTGGAGCCTCACCTGCATGGCCCCTCATTCTCGGCGTCTCCCTCGCTGCTGCTGCCGTCATTGCCGGCGTGTCGCTTGTCGTTTATCGCCGACGCCGAAAGTCAGCCAACACGATCGGCAGAGTAGTGAGCGACACCGAATCGACCCGAGGCCTCACCACGCAAGGCTCGGTCGAATCAATCCAGCTTCCCGACATTGCGTACGAGTCGCAGACCCTGCGTCGCGAGATTGTACGATCAGCCCTCGACAAGGAGGATGTGCCTGCCGACATCCATCCGCCTGAGCGCGAAGACTGGTGGCAAAAGATCGATGTGGCTCTGCGCAGAACCAAGAGCGTCACCAGCCGCCCCGGCTCGCCTGCCAACTTTGTGGCATCCAAGGGTCGCCAGAGCACCGTCTCTTCGACCTCGGGCTCCAGGCTCTTTGGCTTCACCAACTGGAGCCAAGCCGGCTCCGATGTGCCTGATGTGCCCCGGCTCCCCACCCCTCTGCCGGGAGATCGAGGCAACCAACCTGGTCGCCAAGGCTCGCCAGCGCCGGAGAGGCCGCAGTGAAGAGCGAGAGTGCGTCTGCTATGTATGGCCCGAGCTCTAGACCGGCTCGCATGCATGCCACAAGCACCCGGGCATCTCCAGACCGCTCCCATGAACTGTGCGAATGCCTCTGCCTTGCGCACCATACCCTCAGTTCCGCGGACCCAATGGCCCCCAGGCTTTCCAGGCACGACTCGTTCGTGGGATGGTCCTCTTGGATGTGCCTGTCTTTATTCTGTCTTGTTTTCCGTTTTGATTCCATCCCTCACACTCCCTCGTCGCCAACCTGTCTGTACCGCCGCAATTGCGCTTCGGTCTCCTGATCTTTCTGTGCATTGTCTATCAGTGCAACTCTGGCTGGGGCTGTTGGTCCAGCCCAGCCCAGGGCCTTGATTGCACCCATCTTTGAATCTCGACTGCTCCTCCCCTCTTTGCCATGTGTCTGGCGCCCTGTCTCGTGGCCCAAGTCGGATCTAACAAATTGAAATAGAACATCTATATCTCTGGGCTTGGCCGCATGTTACAGCGTATCCAGTGATCCTCTTATGCTCGCTGTCCGGCTGCGTCGCTGCTGATCAAGCGGTTCGCGTTGGGCTGGCGATCATCTGCTCTTCTGCTCTTCTCGATTCATGGTTCCATCTCCCCGCGTCCATCTCCCTGGTGTCTGTCCCGCTCTTGCTGAAACGTCCCGTCCCCAATCTGCGCATATTCTATCCGCCTCCACCTCAATCCCAGCCGATCGAGCCATGCCCACCACGCGGCCTCCACAACGGCTCTATACGAGGTTTCTAACCCCTCACAAGATCACCGTGATGTTTCTGATCGAGCAGTTCAACTTTTTCCGTCTGCAGCCTGACCAGCTCGGAGCCATGCTGCCGATCATCGAAAAGGAGGTGCATGCGCTCGAGGTATCTGTGCCTGCTCTCTGTCGACCAGCCACTTTGCCATCACCATCGCCATCGCTCCCGCAGCCTCGGTCGCAGCATCCGATCCGTCGCATCCCGGACGCTGGCTCTGCATACCTCTCTCCATCATCTCTAACAGCACTGAACTTGAATCGATCCAGTCCGATCTGATCAATGTCTCGGTCGAGCCGGCGCTGAGCGAGTTTTTGGACCGCATTCGCATGCGGTGTTCGCCCGAGATAGCCGCCTCTATCGACGACAAGGCAAGCGGGTCTGCAGCAGGTTATTCGCAGTCACAATGTCTCCAGGCGCTTTAATGTCGCCGGACCGACGACCGAGATCATCGGTATTGGTGTGAGCTGCTCGTTGCGAGGGGCACTGACCATCGTCTGGTGTCTGGCGGCGATCTGATGTTCTCCCTCTCCACTTCCAATCCGCCAGCTTGCCGAGATCGAAAGTCCCGATGATCTGTTTGCGATATTCGAAAAGTTCCAGGCGCTGTACCAGCCCAGTCTGGATACCGAAAACGAGCTGTCGCAATCGGCATGTATCCGAGGAGCGGGCGGCATGAGCAGCACTGACATCGACCCTCAGCTCGATAGTGGACGAGTGGATTATCGCCAGCCTCGCCATCGCCCAAGGGGATAGACAGTTTCTCGGTCCATACGGGCTGCGATCCTGCTGCTGACCCTGCATCTGCCTCCCTCCATGTCTGCTCTCTCATTGGCCTCATGCAATTCGATCTCCCAGGAGCTCAGTCCCATGGTACTTTCAGCATCTCGCCGGCTGCCCATTCCTCCTCGATGCTCCCGATTCGAGTTGGATGGATATACGCTCCACTCATTGCGATGCGGCTCTAACGATTGCTGGATCGGCTCAGGACGGCAACTCTGCAGTCGGCCTCTACGTCCGCCAGGCTTGCCTCGAATTTCGGGAGATGGGCTTTGAACAAGTCGTGCCCTTTTTTGATTCATTCATGGCCTACAAGACCTCCTCGGCTGCGACTGGGGCAAGTTGGCCCAGCGGCATGGCGAAACAGTGTCCTCCTTCAGGTACTTCTGTGCTGCGAGCTAGAAATAAGGCTGTCCCGGGCCGCTTCCGGCGTCGATTCGGTGCATCTTGCGATTGCCCGGGTTGGACTGACACCTCGAACAGCACCCGTGCTAACGGATCTCTTGGTTTTGCAATCCGCGTCCATGTCGGCGGTGTCCCCGGCTCGATCCGCATGTTGGGAATGCTTGTTTGCTTGCATCGCGGGCAATTGGATCGGGTTGATAAAAGTCATTAGCGTCAACGACGAAGATTTGCTGTTGCAACAGCAACTCTCGCTCCTGCTGCGTGAGTGCCGTCTCTGAATCATTGCCGGATCAAGTTCCCACGCGATACAACCACGGCTCCCTCGTCCCTGCCCACCCATCCGATCCCATCCCCTCTGCCACGATCAGCCCCATGCACAGCGATAACCCAACTCTTCGCCTTTCATATTCAACCAGGATATGGCCCCACGGCATCGCACAGCGTTCAGAGTCGAATTGCTTTGGTCCATCGCAGTGCACCCGAAAACGTCCGCATCCATTTCGTCAAGTAGGCTGACTATCCCATGTGTGCCAGAGATGCTGTTGCTTGAACAGTCGCCGCTTATGAGACACACTACCGAGGAGCCGTTAGTGATCCATCTTGTGGTGCATGCCCGCAGCTATCTCAAGTGCGTCTGCAGCCGAGAGTTCCAGGGGGCGCTGGACAATCTTCATCGCTTCTTCGACCTCTGGATGATCAGGTAAGCGGCTGGTCTCGTTGTCCTTCATGGCTACATACAATCTTCCAGTCCCTCGCGCGGCAATCCATAGGATAAATCTGACATGTCGCTGCCATTGATGCACCGAAACCCCCCAAGCGAACCGAGGTAAGCCGACGCCTTCGATGGCACCCGCGAGTCGTCAAACCATCGCAATCCAGGATGGCATCAGTCTTCTGCCCTGGCTGCTTTGCTCACAGACCTCTCCCACCAACTTAGACCCATGTACCATTATGCGCTGCTTCATCTGGCGCTGCTCTACTACCGCTTCGAGTGTCCAGGCGAAGCGCTGGCGGTGCGTTTCGAGTACTCTGCCGTTGTCCGAGTCTGCAATCCTATCTCTAATCCTGCGACCCAGCCTCGCATTGACAAGACCGATACTGACTGCACCGGCGACAATCCTCTTGACTCGCGGTTGTGATGCACAAATAGGCCGTCAACAGCGCCATTGTCGCGGCCCAGGAGCTGAAAGACGAGGAAGGTCTCGACTATGCGGTCAAGTATGTGGCAAGCACTCCATGTCGGAGCCGCGCTCAACACTGTCACATATGTCACCGTGGCTGGGAGTATTGACTTGACTCTTTTGGCAGCTGGAAGCAGGCTCTGATCGATCGATACCCGGAAATCAGCCCTACGAGCCAACGCACGGTTACCGAACGACCTGCCGACACAGCCGGCACCAAAGGCGCCCTGCCTGTCACGCAGATATCCCAGACCCTGCGAAACATCCAAACCGATCTGATGGGCGTACGTCGCCACCAGCTGCCCATCGCACTTTGGCTCGATCAGGGTTTGGGATGGCAGCTCCAAACCTTCGCCTCGCCAGTTTGTTTGTCTCATTATTGATTGCGATGATCTTGCATCCGCCAGGCTGCCTCGCCAGAGTCGACATTCCAGCATCTCCAACAAGCCTCTGAGTTCATGTACTCGCAGGAGACCCGGAACGCAGCCATCGAGTCGGCATATCGTCTCACCTCGGCAACCGCATGGGACATTTATGGTACGTTCTTGGGCAAGCGCTGACGAGGCTTGAGCGGCTTGGAGCATGCACAGGAACAAATGGATCCATCGGTCGACCGCTCAGCACGATCTTCGCTGTGCCAAGTTTCTCGGGCTCACAGCAGACAACGGCTTGTGGTTTCAGGCTTCAACAAAGTAGCGCATCAGCACAGCGAGCAGTCGCGACTCTTGTCGGATGATTCGGGAAGTTCGCTCTCCCTCTCGGACCTTGACCCCAACCACGAGTTGTCGATATGCCGACATGCACTCCATCTAGCCGCGCAAGGCGACGTTCACGGTGCATGCGAGTTTCTTTCCAAGCAGTACAAGCAATCCAGGGCCTCTGCAGACAAGCAGCAGCCTCTTGCCGCCAGCAGGCGCTCCAAAACAATCGAGCGCTGTCTGGAAGGGCTACTCTTCAATGACTGTCTGCGCAGGTGCGTGTCGATGGCAACTAGAGCAGTGACATAGCCGTGCCCATACGCCGCTCCGACGTGCAGCGCCGATAGATGGCGATGCTCTTGGCCATGCCCATCGCGAGCACAGATTCCCTCAACTCATCCGTGCTGCCACTCGTTTCAGGAACAACCTCGATGGAGCCAAACAGCATCAGTTGGCCCAGGCTTCGTGGGCAGAGACACGCGAGGACGGCATGGACTGCAGATTCCAAGAGGCACGGCTGCTTCAGGCGAACGGCAAATGGACCGAGGTATGTACGAGTCCTGTACCAGGATTTCCATCTGCTGGACGCTGTTGCGTCGCTCGCATAGCCCTGTTCGAATGCTTGGCTATCGACTCGACAGCATCCAGGGAGACTGTGCCTCGGTCTGCTGTGGCATTCCGATGCCCTGGGCCTATGCGCGGCAATCTAACAGTCAGTCTGCGTTTGCAAATCCACAGGCCTTTTCGGTGTTGTCCGAGCTTCTTGAGGAAGTCAGCGATCCGCGGCGATCCGACCGCATCATGGCTATTCCGTACCTACTGGAGATCTCCAAAATGTTCATTGTATGTCCAGCTGCTACCCTCTTGGGGCATCGCCGTTCCGTGTGCCTTTGTGTCAGCTCGCATGCAGCTTGAGCGGCAACATGCCCATCCGCATTTGATTGCATGGGCCATTGGAACACGGTCGGCTCGGCGGTCTGCTCACCCTTCCGCATCATGGATTTCTCCTCTTCGCATCTATTTGGCACCGTTTCGAATGCAGCAAACCAGCAACATTCCCTCGGCAATTCCGCTCATCCTCACCTCGCTCAAGCTGGCGGAGCACTACTCGTATCATGATTACAAACTCAGGGCGCTCATCCAGCTTGCCGACGCACTCCGATGCTTCTCTTCGGTCGAGCGAGCGTTGTGGATCATCGGCCAGGTTCTAGACCAGATCTATGGTGTCAGCGATCTCGAAGTCATTGCCGAGGCATTCTTCGTGTCCGCAAAGTGCCTGATCCAAACGGCCACAGATGCTCGCGACACAGTCCCGTCCGGTGGCGAAGATTGGGATCGACTGAGCGAAGATTCGTTCGAAATCTCATTTCCAGACAGCGACAACGATGGCGACGATGATGCCGAGGGGGACACACATCCTCCGCCCCCGACCAAGCCTCCGAGTCTCAGTGCATCGTGGGGATCTGGCGCTCAACAAGTGCGCCCCGCCGAGAGGCTTGGGATCGCTTTGGAGCATCTGACTCGATCACTTGCCGGTATGGTGGCGCGGCACAAGACAATAGGCAGCTGCAGGGATTCTACCGACGAGCCCAGCGGGCAGTCACCGGCTGGGAATCGACAACCATGGGTTGGGGATCGACGATCGTTGATTGTTTGCTCGGGACTAACGCTTTGTCCTCGCTCGTCCGCCTAGCATACCGCAAACTCCGGTGGACCAGCTCGATTCTGCAAGTGCTGCACCTCCAAGCATGTCTTCACAACCGACTGGGACAGACCGAGGCTCGGGACGCGGTCGCGCAGGAGTATTTGGATCTGACGACGCCGCAGACCGACATGCCACAAACGAAAAGGCCCAGCACGACATCGTCCAAGCGGATGAAGGTCAAATGAAGTTCATTGGCGCTTGTGCTGACGAACGTGCTTATGTATTGGAGGGGCATTGGGAGGCCCAGCGACGATGGCCATCACACTGTCCCGCCGTTGGCCTCGTTTCTCGCCAGCAGACCATATTTCGATATCCATCCGACCGTGATGACGAATCTGAGAAATATAAACGAGAGTCGAGTTGAGGCAACATGCCCGATCGGTGACAGTGCCGTTGGCGCACATCTCCACCCCCAGCATGGCCAGAGCCGAGGCTGGATGGAGTGGGACAGTCCACATGAGCGAGTACATACCCGATGACGTAGGCATAAAACAGGTACTGCACGAAAAAGAGATGCTCGCGGTTCCAAAAGAAGTTGCCGTGTTTCCAGAGCCATCCGCCGCACAGGGCAAATCCGATCGTGACGCACAGGACCAGAGCCACCAAGGTGCCCATCGGGAACTGGATGGCGACGCCGCCGATGGTGATGCCGTAAGTGAGGACAGCGAGCACCCACGATATCTTCTCTGTGAGAGACTTGAAGGGTGGGGCGCGAGTGTTTCTGTAGACATAGAGCTGTGCCAGTGATACCAGCACCCCGCCGATGGCGTACATATAGTGACCTGGTGGCGAGCCGTGAGTCACCAGAGCTGCCCGGGTTTACGACAGCGTGCATTTGACACCAGCATCGACATGGGCCGGATTCCGCCGTCGCTGCTCTGCAAAGCCACAGATTCTCCGCAGCGACAGTGTCTGGCCACATACCGATGTAGTGCTCCCAGGTGGTCCGCATCCAGACATAGATGGCATTGAGCTGCGGATACTGGGTGACCAGGTCGGGGTTGGCGGTGTTGAAGGACTGGATCGGATGCTTGAACATGCGGGCGGCCGAATGGAAGCCGGCGCCTTGCTGGTATATACTTGCGGCAACTGCGAAGAACACCAACAACCCGACTTGCGCTGGCGAACAAGCAGCAGCGGCGGTGGCGACGACGGTGTCATGGAAATCCAGGGTCAGCCACGGCGGTCTTTCTCCACCACTCGTCCTCAGAGGAGTCTGGAAAGCTGCTCAGCATGCATCGCCGCTTCCATGGTGGCAAACGACTCTGCGAGGAATGAGAGCCGGCCCAGCCCAGCCCAGCCCAGCTGCTCTGGTCCGCAGCGGCCGACAGCGATCGCATTGTCCGACCAAGAACTGTTACCTCGGCTGTCCGTCTTGGTCCCCGAGAAGAAGCCGCTTTTGAAGAGGATGAGGAGGGACATTGGGAGAGTGATCATAGGCTCAAGCAGACTAATGACATCGTCCCAGCCGTACCATCCTGGCTGGGACGAAATATCGGGCAAGTTCACGACCACAGGAATCACCACAAAGATGATGGTAAGTACGTTTGCGGCCAGAATAAGCCAGATGATCCTCTGGATATCGCGGATATCCGGGCGAGTGCCCCTTGGAAGTGCGCTCTCGACCGACTCTGCGGCATAAGTTTCACTCGAGCCCTGATTTGTCAAAGGCATGCTGTCGTCTGTGTCGTATCTGTTCATATCCAGGCTGCTACTTGAGGGGGCGTGGGTGATATGGGGTTGGCTGTGCCAAGCGAACAATGGCGCTGGAAGATTGGGGCAGGAGCATGTGGCTGTGCCGGCCAGCCCCCACTCGCGCCCTTGCCCCTGCCCTTGCCCTGTCGGTCCTCGCGCCCCTGCCCTTGCCCCCTCATGTCCCCGTGCCCGTCGCGTCTTCGCATATCGCCATTTTTGGACTGATTATGGACTGACCTCCTGGCCCGCCAATTCCACCATTTCGGGAAACATTGCGGCGCTGCGATGGCCCTGGATTTAAACCAGACCCGATCGGCGAAGCCCGACGATTACTTCGGTCGGCCCGCTCTCCGTCTGCGCGTCTATCGATGCATTGCCCCGACGAATACTGAGCCTGCCCCGCTATCCCTTTGCCAATCCTCTGCTCTCGCTGGCCCGCTGCCTCTCTGCATTTCCATTCGGTTGTCATTGCTAGTTTTGCGTCTGAATTCCTATTGCCGCAGCCCAAATTACGTTGCTCGTGTCGCTTGCGCATCGTCCCTCCATCTAGTCTTGTTGCTCCACCCACCGTCTCTCCATTCCAATTACTGCGATTCCTCGCTATGTACGCCCCCAGCCATACTTCCCCGTCATGCAAAGGCAGCTTGTCCTCTCGAGCAAGCCCCGACGGCTCAGCATCACTCAAGCCAAAGCCCGTCGTGGCCTCCAGCGACTCTGCTTGCCCGGTGGTGCTGGCGTCGCCCTCGTCGCCTTCTCACGCCGGCAATCTGGATACACCCATCTGGGTCTTCGATAGCGCGACGTCCTCGCTGCGAATAGAGCTGGTGGGAAAGCCCGGGCCCCCTTCCCAAAACGTCGGCTTCGAGCTTTGTGCATTTGCTCTTCTCAAGGCACTAAATCAGTGGTACCCGCTGTCGACGCCCGAGAACGACCCGCTGAATCCCAATTTCCTCGCGTGCCAAGACTTTATCCACTGCCTCGCCCTGTGTCTGTGCTGCCCGTCGATCCTCAAGCCGTCTGCTCTCGGCGACGAGCGCATTCCTGACATTGTGTCGCGCAACCCCATGCCGTCATCGTCGCTGCCATCCAATACTCTCGTCAGCATGCCCAGACACCAGCTCTTCAAGAGTCCCGCGAATGTCGTAGCCATGATCGTGTTTACTTTCAAGGAGGTCTCTGGCGGTGACTCCCAGGCCGCAAACCGTCCCGACCAAGGTCTCCTCCTGGAAACGCTGCGCTACGGCCTCGATCTTGTCGAGGCATTGCGGCACGGCTCCCTGAAGCACCTCGTGCCTGCCATCGCCCAGGTCTTCCGTGACTACTGGCAAGACACCGCCGGCGCGGCGGCCCTGCTCGGCGAGTCTCTGAAGCGGAATACTACAGATCTCCAGAGCGAGGACTCACATAGCCCCGCCAGCAAGCGCCTCAAGGCCTTGTCCAGTGGACCCGATGGACGGCCCACCCAGGCATCCTCGCTCTCTGGGCAAGATACCGCCCACCGTGGCACTACTGCCGCAGCGCATTCAGGCACACCTGCGCTTGAAGGCGACTCTCTGGCCAACGCCCAGCAGCTTGGCCACGAGTACCACTCTATGCTGGTGGAACGCAATCTCTTGCGCGCCGAGAACACCGACCTCCGGCAAAAGGTCGAGCAGCTCCAGGAAATCATCAAGCACTTCCAAAACCGCGACGCCGGCATCTTGGCCTCGGTCTCGATCAACGAGACTGCTAACACAAGTTCATTCCAAGACAAGTGCCATCGCGTCGGTGGCTCGATCGCAGTCGATTGTGAAAACGACCAAAGCAAGTTCGTGCAGCAAATTGCGCAGCTCAAGAAGCAAGTCGCGCTCGAACACGAGCGGCGCACCAAGCTCGAGCGCGAAGTCATGCTGCTCAAGAAGAAGATCGCCGAGCTCCTCCGAAGCAGCCAGTCGCTGCGACGAGTCACAGTCGGCAAAGAGAACCCTGCGGCGCTCTCGGGCGAGCTGCCTGTGTACTTTGAAGACCGAAGCTTCGACTCGACCATGGCCGTAGCCAGCAGTGACTCGGAGTATATCCAGTCCTTGGCTCCGAGCATTCCCATCAAGGTCGATCCTGGGGTCGGACGGCTAAAAGCCAGCGCCAGGCAGGACAACGCGGTCTACCGGGCGAAACTGACGTCGCTGGAAACAAGACTCAAGCAGCTCGAGACACACGTCTGGGTGATTGAAAGCGAAAACGCCCTTCTGCGGAGCGGAAGCGAGCAAGACAAAGTTCTGATCCGGCGCCTCTGCCACGACCTCCAGAAGCAGGCTACTGCCGCCTGACGGTGACCACAGTATCCGTCTCCCTGCCAGGGTAGATTCGATTTCGGATACACAACGGGCTGATTTAATTGAGTTGACCACACAAAGCCCAGTTTGGCGCCCTGTCCCTGTGTCTGGCTCACTGTACATGCCTCCCTCTCACATACACCGGCCAAACCTTGCGCTTGCTTTTCATCCTCTGTTTGTTTGGATATTCATAGCCGACAATGATGGTGGGCGGCCGTGGATGTGCGCAAGTGGCCTTCCTTTCTTCTCGCTTTTTTTCTCTTTGTTTTGCTTTATTTTGGGATCCTGGAGGGGAAAGGCTCTCTGATGCGGAACTGTTCGAGGGATATCCTGTTGTATCTTTACCCACTCCGGCGTGGTGCCTGCGGGGAGATCTTCGAGAGATGGCGCACCACCAAAGCATGCTTGACCATCAATACCATTGTCACATCGTTGCTCCACAAGTATCTCGTGCCGTGCTATTGTGTCTTGGTGCGGCCGCTTGGATCGGGCCTGGGCCTCGCCCACGACGCGTTTCTCCTGCAAGGGGGCGCCACAACGCGCCCGCCACACAGCCCTGCACCGCCACAAGGGACTGAGTTTCTCCGGCGGTACAATCGCGCGTCGTTGCGGATACTTGGTCGTCGCGGCCTCGGGCTTGCCTCCGGGAATTCGACATACAAAAGCTCCCACTCGACCGCTCCCTCACTCGCACACCCCCTCATCCATCGCACCAATGCCCTCACCGACCGAGAAAGATCCCGAGGCCGTCTCCCGAGACGCCGCAATCGTGCCTCCACCGTCCACCCAGCCCAGCCCGCCATCGACATGTCGGCCCTTCCCGTTGCCTTGCTCGTCGATGACCTCGAGAGAAGCGCCTCCTCCGCCAAAGCTCACCTCCTTGGTGCAAAAGCTCTCGCACTCGCTCCCGTTCGTGGTTCATCTGCTCCTGGTCTCCGTAGCGGTCCTGTCCAATTCACTCCTCGCACTCGCAGTGCATCTTGTCGACGGGCCGCTTCACCACAATTGGTCCCTGGTTACCACTCTCACCCACGCGATCGTCAAGACCACTATGTTCATGAATCCGCCGCAGGGGTTCCACTCCATCCGGTTTGTTCGCCAAACCGAGGCGATCGTCGAGGGCATCAAGGCCATATCGCGCTATCTACCTGTCTGGTTTACCGGGACGCACACCATTGCCGACGCCGAGATTGTTATCCACAATGCCGGAGCGTTTTCCAAGTTCGTCCGGGATGTCATCACTGAGGGCACTTCGAAGACAACACCGATTGAAGATCCGCTGCTGCGAACCTCACGCTCGGTCCGCGGTGAATGGATCTCCAGGAAAGATCTGGACTTTGCTGGCCAGGATCCCGCTGTTGAGTCGACCACGGCACCACTGAGTCCAGCCTCGCCAGTGATTCTGTTTGTCCACGGAGGGTAAGGCTGCTGGACATCTACGATACAGGCTTGACGAGAATGTGTGTTTTGGGGGGGGGTGCACTGGCGCTGATCGTGCACTGGCGCTTATCGTGCATCTGGCTCCCGAGTCTGCCCATCAACCTTGCCATTCGTAGATCTGTTTGTCCTTGCCATGGGGCGAACACGATCGGTGCATCCGACTGACTCGCCATATCGGCTTCTGTCCGCACCAGTGCCCATTACTTCCTATCACCGACCTCATACCGCCCCCTGACAACTTTTCTCTGCGACTCGCGCAACGCAAGCGTCTTTGCCCTGGACTACCGCAAGTCCCCAACGTTTATCTTCCCCTCAGGTCTCGAGGATGTACTTGCCGCATATTTGGCCATGTTCCCTCCCCCTGCACTCCTCTCCACCGACAGTACTTTGCAGGATTCGTGCTCGGTAGAGTTTGTCTCGGCCAGTGATAGCGGAAACGCCATTCTGGACCAGACTTGCCGCGGAGTCCACAAGCACCACAACAAGCCCTTCTACATGGTCGGAGACTCGTCAGGCGGCGGCTTGATCTTGCAGGCGCTAGCCGTTATCAAGGCGCTGGATTGGAAAATGCCCGACCGCGTTGTACTTCTCTCCCCCTTTGTGGATACAGGTAGGTTTGTCGGCTGCGGTTGTATCGGGCTCGAATCCCCGATCTCGATGGTCGAAGCCAGCTGTTCGCTCTGGGGCGGCCCAAGGGACAGCCTTGTCTTCCAAATTCGGGGCTCCTCGTGGCTCGCAACAGCCAGCGATGACCAGTACTGCGAATGATGCTCGCAATTCTTTGCTGATATCCATGGCACTCTCGATCCATTCTCGGCTGTCCTTTGCACAGGACTGGAATCAAAGAGCTGGTACCGCAATCAGCTGTCAGATTACATGACACTTGACTCTGCGGGCATCGACTGGGCTATGCGCTGCTATCGCGGCGAGGTGCCGCTCAGCAACCGCTTCCTCTCACCTCTTCTTGAAAGCTACAAAGGATATGGGCTTAAAATACTCATTGTACGTATGGCCAATGGCCTTCTTGCCACCCCGATACGCGTTCGCAGGCAGGTCGGAAGCAGCGTGTAATTATTAACATCTCTTCAAACTATATCCTGACGCTCCCGTCGGATCTTGCAGCAAGCTGGTGACTCGGAGGTCTTGACAGACGATGCCATGCGGCTCTATCAGCAAATCGTCCAGACTTCAGGAGACGAAACCACTTGCCGTTTGGAGCTATATCATGGCATGTTCCATGTGTTCCAGTGTCTGGGACATGTCGCGTCGTCGGCCACCGAGGCTCTAAAGCGGGTCGAGGAGTTCCTCAACGAGAGCGATGACGACGTTGACACTGACGTTGAAGTTGACCTCGACAACGAAGACGAGCAGACCATCTATACCGAACACTCGACATCGTCTCCATCGAAAAGCATGGTGTACCTGACGGTTGAAACGAACGGATCTGTTGCCGAGTCGACCATATCCGTGTCTTGAGATGCCTCAGTTTTGGATACGATACGATACGATACGATACGATACGATACGATACGATACGATACGATACGATACGATACGATACGATGCCATGCCATGCCTACAGCACTTTGTGAGTATTGTCTCATTCAGTGCCGTTCAGCGCCAGACCGCGCGTCAAGCACACTCTCCCCTCCCGCAGTGGCACGCCTCATTCATGTCGGGCCGATATATGACGCTCATAATATAAAGCGGTTCACCTCGCATCCGCCGCTCCATTTTGAATGGCATGCGCACACTTTATTGTTCCTTGTAATTGGAACTCCCCGAAGAACTCGAGCAGCTTCACCAAAACGGCGGTGTGGTGATTCAACGAGGCTACATTGCAATGATGCGCCGTTGGTGAACGCTGGTCGATTACAAAAGCTCTCGGGCATGATATCTGGGTGTCATTATCACTTGTAGAAGGTCTGTATCACCAGAACCCATAAAGTCCATCGCCGCTTGATGCTGCGAGCGCAACAGCGACTCGTCAGCCCAGTCGACTCAGGCTAGTATTTCCAGCGCTCCAGACGGCTCTCGTTAATTGATTGCTCGCCAAGCACAGACGACGCCGTGGCATTCGGATTCCCTGTTTTCTCCTTCATCAGCAAATCGAGTTCCTTTCGCTTGATCCGCTGCCACTTCACATTGGCGATGCGCTCGTCGTGCTTTTGCCGGACCTCGGTGTCGGTAAACATGTAATAGCGGCCCTTTGCCATGACGTTTCCAAACTTGTGGCCGCAGTCGTACACCGTGCTCATGCCGATCTCGACAGGCGACTTGCGGTGCGCGGAAACGGTGTAGTGAGAGAGGACCTTACCATTGTCCTGCTGCTCCAGGATTGCTGGGTGCACACCAAGTAGAAAAATGAGCATAATGCCATCCAGCATCCGGCCACATTGGCAGAGTGCCACAGAACGCCTCAATGCCGATATCAGCTGTAGCAGCACTCACCTTCCTCTCCAAAGTACTCGCCGCGATTCAGCTCTCCAATGACGACATTGACTCGTCGCCCACGCGTAAGGATGACTCTGGACAACATGCACTGTCCACTGCGGATGAAACAGACTTCCTTGATGGGCATGTCTGCGCTCCAAGTCAAGTGCCAAAGGCCGAATGACAAACGAGCGGCAAGGAAACGGTGGGTCAGCAGTCTTCCCAGGGTGAGTCGCCGTGCCCTTGCTTGCCCGATGGCCATCGATCCTTACTCTGCATCATGATCACTTCGCCAGGCTCGTATGTCTTGAAATTGAATGTGGAAGCCACCGACATTAGCGCAACCATCGTCCAGTCTGAAAAGATCTGCACAGACCGGAGGAAGATGACGGTTTCGTGCAATTGGCTCTTGTGGATGAACTTCATGATCCGACTGTATGGCTCCTAAGTGCAGGAGCGCGGAAATACAGCCGATCCAGACCAAATCATAAAGTCTTGTTGTCAGTGGTGGTGTTTTGGAGCAAACGGCTGGGAAACAGCACTCACCTTGTCGACAGCGACAGTGAAGCACCGGGACTGTGTCAAAATGGTGGCGGAGCGTGGTGCGCTATTGACGAGAGCCAGTTCACCGAATCCGTCTCTATGAGTAGTCGGGCCTGTTAGCTCCGTTTTAGAGAGTGTGTCGTGCTGAGAACGACGCACACCATTGCACTAGATCAACTTACCCTGGGCCAAGACGACTGACAGTGATCGTTTCACCGGTGGGTTCTTGCACCTCAACGACAACCGAGCCTTTCAAAATGACATACCACGACGTGGCTGGATCTCCCTGCTTGAACACCGCTCGGTTGGGCTCAAACTCCTGAAGGGTCAAGACCCGACACACCTCGGAGAGGATAAAGTTGGACATTCGCGAGAATGCCTTGATGCTTCGCATCACGCAAAAGATGGCTGTAACATCTTCATCGGTTCTATGGCTGGAGAGCTTCAGTAGCGCCTTCATCGCCGGCGAGTCTTCTGGAAACGGCAGCGAGGCGGGGTCGCTGTCGGGATGGGTCCATGCCTCGCCATTTGTTTGCGCGACAGTGAGATCCTTCGACATGATCTCCGAGATCGATACATGCTGTGCCGCTGACGGCCCTTCGGCTCCGGCCTCGGAACCAACTCCGTGATTTTGAAGCTGGTCAGAGAGCAAGGCCTGTTCTGCCGAGCCTGACTCACCATCGTCACCAGATTCTCCGTCGAAAGTGAGGGACTCTTGGCTGCTCGACGTCGCAGATTGCACCGACTGCTGGCGGCTGCCTGACGCTGCAGATTGCACCGACCGCTGGCGGCTGCCTGGAGATGCAGATTGCACCGAGTGCTGGCGGCTGCTTGAAGATGCAGATTGCACCGACTGCTGACGAGAGCTCGCGGCACTATGTGCAGGGCTGCTTGCCCTTGGTATACCACGTCTCCACCGCGCTGCACTCTTCTTGGACCGTGGAGCGGCCGTCTTTTTCCGAGTCGAGCTCTGTGGGCTGCTGGAGCCGCCCAAGTCGCCGGAACGGCCGCCCATTTGGCCCGTTCCCTGTGCCATCTTGTTGACATCCTCGCCGAGAGTCGCGATCGTCAGGACCTGGATCATTGGGCATTCCATCGGAAGATGGCCGTACTTGCCACACTGAAGGCACGGTGTCGAGCCAATGGCGATGGACTGCTGCGGACCCAGCATGATGCTTGAACCACTTTGACTCAAGCTGATCGTGGACCCAGCTAGAGATCCTCTCCGTCCAGATGGTGCTGGGGGAAGGGGTGCTGCTGGAGCCGATTTGAGGGACGAACGGCGAACAGCCGTGAGCGGGCGCGCCATGTCAATGGAAGGTTTTCGCATGGCAGACTTCAAAGGACGCTCGGGCTGCCCTGTGTGCATCGATGCTCGTCGACTGTCCGTTGGAAACTGGATCGTAGAACTGCTCCGAGTCATGGTTGAGGCGGAAGACCCTCTACGTCCAACGTTCTGCTCAAGCGATCGTCTGCGTCCCGTATCTACGGAGAATGCCGAAGAGACCCGGCGGAGTGCCGGTTCTCTGCTCGCCGATGTGCGGCGCTCTGATATCGAAGAAAGCGGCGCAGAACCCTTTCCTCCATATACGCTGCTCTTGAACTCGTACAAGCTGCCTTTCGAGCCATGGACGCTGCCTTTCGAGCCATAGAGGGTGCTCCTGGGCTCGTTTGCGGCATTCAGCGAGGACTCGTTGATGGTGACGCGGCGTCCGGTTTTGACGGTTGGTGGAATGTACTCGGAGGACGTTGAGAGTGACGACAGTGTGTCGAGGCTCTCAGAGGATGCGCCGGCACTCCGAATGGCAGGCTCGTTTTGCACCGCTTCCTCCTCCTCGGGTTGATTGTCGGTGTAGAGCCCGGATTGCCACTCGTCAAACATGCTCAGGTTTTCAGTAGCCTCGGCCGTGCCTGTGTCCAGATTGCCTCTGCCTCCGGCTTGGGCTGCCCCCGCGGCCTGGAACTGGTCTTTCAGAGATGAGCCGCTTCTCCTTTGGGAGTCAGTTCTTGTTCGCACTGTTTTGGCTCCGAGCATCCGCTCATCCTGCGTGTGTTTCTCGGCTTCGTCTTCGATGATGCCCTCTGTACTGCGAGTTAAACCTTCGTCCTCACCATACCCATCGCTCTCCAAGCTGCCGCCGTCGTCCTCGGCTTCATCCTCAAGATCTGAATCGGAGAGAGACAGGTCACTAAATTCGGCCACGGAGGATTTGGTAATCAAATTGGAGCCGTACTGGTGCTTGAGGGTCCTTCCGAGGACGTCGTCATACTTTTCATCAACGCCTCTGGTCCGCTCCTTCATCATCATTAGATGGGACTGCAGGATCTTCTCTGCCTCCTCATGGCTCTCCTTGATGCGCTCCACTAGGTACTTTTTAACAGAGAATTCCTCGGGATCCCAGACGCTTGGGGTCTTGTTGTGGTCGTGAAGATAGTCTGCCAGGGACTTGACATACTTTCGCTTTGGGAATATCTTCTTCATTGCCTCCTCGAGGCGGACGTCCTTCTGGTGCTCACTCGAGGGAACAGGCGCGGTGTACCTGGAACGCCGGGTGGTGGACTGCTGCGGGGTGACGATCAGGAGCTCCAGCGAAGTCTCGGACATGGTGCGGACCCGACTGCGATCGAACAGGCCGAACCGAGGTCTTGAGTTTGTCGAGGCCCGAATCATGGACTGCGACGGACGGTCGTCTTCGAACAGCAGAGAAGGGGGAGGAGCGAGCGATGTCGATGCGCGGCGCTTGGCAATGTTCTTGAGAGTCGAGTTCCGGCGGTCGACAAGGGTCACTCGTCTGTCAGGCACAATCTGCCCAATCTCCTCGGGTACCCAGTACGAAAGCGACGGTCGCTTCTTTGTCGAATAGATACTGGTTAGGGCATCTCGGTTCATCCAGGCCGGGGTCACCTCATCGATGTGCTTGTCCAAGTTGAAGTAGTCGCGACCGGGGCTCTGGATAAGCTGCGTCAGGTTGGCCGTCGACGGACGGGAGTACTCCGACCGGACCGACTCGCAGACGGACTCGTGAGAGCGCAGTGTCCCATGGCTTCGGAACAAGAACTTTGTTTCGGTGCGGCTCGCCTCGTTCGTAGCGACGGCTCCCTCGCCAAGTCTCGTCAGGGACGACGAGCGGCTCGGCGACCGGGAGGCACTTCGGACTGGCCGGGCTGAGCGGCGACTCGTCGAGACACAGCTCCGGATCTGCCGCATGAACTGACGGTGCAGTTGATCATGATCGATGTCCCCGAGTTCCCCAAAGCGGATGCTCGCTCGTCGCTTGCTGGGGTCGGCGGAAACGGGCAGGGTCGGGGCCTGCTCCGTGGTCGACTGCCGGGGGTGGAAGACATCGTCAAACGCGTCATCCCTGCTTCCGATGGAGGCCGTGTCGCCGCTGCCGACGCTGGACTCGGCTCCAAGACCTTCCAGATTGAGCTCCTCGATACTTCGGAAGACCATGTCGGGATCCATGTCGTCGTGCCCATGGCTCAGCACGTCCCGGTACTTTGTGCGGAAGGCTGTGGTGAGATCATAGAGCTTGGCGGCGTCGACGTTGATCTGGCGATCGATATCGATGACGTCGTGCTCGAAATTGTAGAGATCGCAGTCGACATGACAGATGTGGTTGGCCTGATAGTGGGGATGGTGCAGATGGAGGCCATAGGTGTCGGGGTCGACGGCCCGAGGAACGTGTGGGATCGTTCGGATGGCGGCCGTTTGCGGGCGAGAGAAGCCAGACAAGATATACTTTCGTGGGCTGAGGAAGGGCGTATCGGCGGCGGCGGGGTCGAGCGACTTGGCGATCTGCTCGAGCGCCGACTCGGTTGGTCGGTGCGAGACGTCGGCTCCTGCGCTCTTGGATCGGGTCTGCATTCAGCCGGTGGTCGCTGGTAGACGAGGATGATCGATGGGCCGAGCGAGCTATGCAGTGGTCGATCTGGCAAAGGCGACCGCGGATGGTGGGAAGCCCTCAGAACCCGAGGGCTGCCGGCCAGAGCATGGCTCGTGAAGGCCGGAGTCAGTGGGTGTCCTAGAGAGCGGCCAATCTTGTCCAGATCCGTGTGGATCACGGTTCAGAGCAGCCTTGGCCGGCAGCGACGTCATCCGCACATGCATCGAGTGTAAGAGCAGCAAGGTGGTTTGACCCCCAAGTGGATGAAATCATCAAGCGCAAGGCGGCCAGTCGACACCGGGAGGGCCAACATATCTGATGCCGGTTTGCTGCAAGCCAGATTTGACGACTCTTCCCACGGTGTCGAGTGGACCTGGCATCGTTCTAGCCTTCTCAGTTCCCCGCCCCCCGCCAACTCTCCAAGTCTTTCCATTCCAAGAAGATACGACATATCCCTCATTCCTCTCTGCAGCGATGAGACCCCAGCTCGGACAGAGTGTCGTCTGGCCTGCTGTGCTGATGCTGTGCGCTCTGGCCACACAGTCGTTCACAAGCACCGTCCCCGTCGATCCCAACTACGAAACCGACGCCTCCGGCACCATCACGGTGCTGCTGCTATCGAGCCAGTTCTACGGAATGGACGGAACTATTATGAAGGCGCTCCAGGACCAATGGGGAGCCAGCAACAATATCCAAATCACCCGACGGATCTTTGACCCCGACCAGAACTACACCGACTATGTGAACCAGATCATGAGTGCCTGCAGCTTTGCCGAGAGCTCCTTCTTTGACGTGGTCTATGTGGACGTGAGCTACATTGGGCTGCTGCAGAACTGCTTGCTGAACATGACGGCATGGAACTCGAGCCTGGGCCAAGGACACCATCCGGTTGCTTTCGGAAACAACGTGAACAACAACAGCCTCTGTAAGCAGCGATATCTGAACACCGAGTGAGATGGCGAGGAGAGCGGACTGCTGCTGTGAGTCGAGGATACGGCCCAGACTCGCCACTAACACACCCACACCTGCCTTCGTGTCGAATTGCAACAGATGCCCTGCCGGCTGGTGAGTGCAGTGCAGTTCAGCGCGGGCATTCATTGCGCATCATCCCATCCTTCTCTCCGTTAATTCTGGATATGCTTTCTCTTCCAGAGATGGACATGGGTCTCCTGTACTGGAACGAGGATATTCTCTATCGCCACTCGATGAAGGGCCCACCTATTGATCTGAACGACATGGAAAACATGGCCGGCTATGCTCTGAAGAACGAGAGGGCCCTGGAAAACTATGTTCTGACAGGGCTGGTGGGCCAGTTTGGAAGTAAGTCTGGCGGCTGCAGCACGCAACACCACAGTTGAAGGGATCGACCAGAGACATGACCAGATTATAACCAGAGATACGGCCTGAGGGTCAGAGCTAACCTCGCGTGCGCCCATCCGGAAACGATGTGCATCCAGTTTCCGACAGCGCTTTTTGCAACTTTCTCGAGTGGATCTGGATCGCTGGCGTCGATACGCTGATGGACTCCTACGGCAATTTTTCGATTGCAACAAGCCATATAGCCGCAGTCGTCAGCCAGGTCGCGAGCTGGACCGACAGCTTCATCATCGACCCGACCAACACCGACGGGATGGACGAGGGCGCAGCCTTTGACTCCTGGATTCGCGGCAACTCGATCTTTATGCGCAATTGGGCATCGTACCTGCTGGCCGCTGCCGACCAGGCGCCGTTCCAGTGGGGCGCCGGGCCCATGGTCAACTCAAACGTGTCCGACGGCGGATCCGGGACACTTGGTGGGTGGGCGGTGGGTGTCTACCGCTACTCGACCAACCCGGGAGCGGCGCTCAAGTTTGCCGAGTTTGTGTCTTCGCAAGACTACCAGCGAAAGTTGTCGATCAACTTGGGCCGACACCCGATCCCGACCTATCCAAACCTTTACAACGGTAGGTGGGGGAGGGAGCCGAACGCCGCGTGTGCGGGCCGATCGACCAGATAGACTTCGGAGTGACGGAGTACACCCGGATATCGCATGCATCAAGGAAGGATGTGCCGATCGCAGCGACATGCACTCAGCAACATGTAATCGGTGACAACATGCTCCTGAAAGGGGGCTGTGTCCTGGAGAAGAGGTCTCGCTCGCGGGTGCGCATCAGACTGGGTCTCAAGTATGCACCAGAGCACTAATCTCGCGAACATGGCTGTTGCTGTGCGTGACATGCATTTCTTCGGGCCACCCCAAACCTGCGCTACGATCACCACCACCACCACCACCACCACCGCCACCGCCATCGATACTTTCTTGACGACAACCCGCACCTCGATCATGGATCCAGACAGCGACGTCTGCAAAAACTACCCCAACAACGCCTGCGAAACCTTTGCCAGCATCAATCTAATCCGCCGACCCAGCATCGAAACGGGAGTCAACTACACGAACGTATCAACGGTCATCTCGACGGCCGTCTCCAACATCTTGCACGGCGCCTATGTGACCCAGACGCTGCTGGATCTGGACGCCGAGGTGTTGCGCATCCTGGGCAAGCCGCCTCGCAACGCTACCCTGACCGTCGACCCCAACACCGCACGCCCGGGCAAGCGAGTGCCGTCGGACATTGTGGTGCAGACGTCGGGGCTGTTCTGTGTCATTTTCGTGGTGATGACGGCGGCGGGCATTTACAAGTACAATGCCAATAAGAAGGCCCAGGAGATAAAGAAGGCCGAGGAAGACAAGTTCAAGGAGCTGGAGGAGGACCACCCAGACGGCCCTGAGGTGGAGCAGCGCGGCCCGCACGACCACGAGAGCGATTTCGACGACGGGGATGACTACCACAAGTACGAAGATGTCACAGACAAAACAAGGCTGGTCTAACCGAGTCTCTGCCCTGTGGCTCGTCGTTCGGGTCATATAAGCATCAGGAAGGGACCGAGAAGGAGGGGATCCGCAATACACTCAAACGGATCCGGCTGCAGAGCAAGGGGTGTGTGTTCAGCGACTGCATTCAAAGGTGACAGTGCGCGATGCAGAATGAAATGGACAATGTCTAGCGGGGAGCCGTGCAAGCTTGGACCGGCCATCGTAATACATTTGGCGATAGCGACAAAGTGATGGGGACTGGGGCGAGCCGGCTCAGAGAACAGATCCTCTTCGGACTCGCCAAACAAATATGAGAGTGGATGCACATCCTTGGTGTTGCAATCGGTCCCGTACGAAATCGGGCTGCGGGAAGCATACCCGTGAGTACATCTGATCGAGTGGCATATTCCGGGCGGCGCGGGCATGCCACTGATGGATGACCATTGGATGATCGCACTGGTGGGATAGATGACGTAAATGTATTCAGGATCCAGAAAGGTGTCCACTGGCCTCAATAAACAGTTGTCCCGAGTCGTTTTTGAGGACGGAGCGGCGAGGGCGAGGGAGGAGTCTGTCCAAGAATTGGACCGTCGCTAGCCCATCCGGTCAAGCAGTTGATATATAGAGATTGAGGACAGGAATGGGGATAAGCCCCAGTATGCTGAGAATGGCGATCTCAGAGTCCAGCGGCAAGGACCGAATGCAGACAATGCACAGTGACGAACAAGTGAGTTCAAATTGTGCAAGAGCAAAAGCAGAGGGAGGGAAGAAGAGAGAGGAGAGGAGGAGAGGAGAGAGGAGAGGAAAGTGCAACCAGTCCAGGGGATCTGGCCGACCAAGGCCATCGCGGACGGCTACGATAGACGGAAAGAATCGGAAACAAGTGGATGATAGAAGGGAGAGAGCCACTGGAGCACCGGGCGTCGCGATTACAGCTGCTCCGTCTTGGCAGCCGCGCTGTATTTGGGCACGAGCTTGTCGGCGATCAGGCCAGCCTCGGATGGCGCGATTGCGTTCTTGATGATTTCGGGATAGCTAGCGGCGTACGAGCGAGAGTGCTCCTTGGAGGCGCTCACGATCAAAATAGGGAATTTGATGGTGATCTTGTCTCCTCCGGGCATGATGAAGTACATGTGGGCCTCGTGAGTGATGTGGATGAAATCAGAGTGGTGCGAGGGGTTGACACGGGGATCGTCGCTGAGGTACAGGTTGCCGCCATTGAGAATGCTTGCCGAAGGAACATAGAGGCGCATCTACAGAGCCGGAGGTTTGCATGGCGGGATCGGGTGTTGGTGAGTGGATGCGGTTTGGTACAATTTGGTGGCACGGGGGTGTTGCCAGACATGAGGGTGGCAGTGGAGGCGGGGGAAGGGAACAGAGCGAACGTCAATATGCAGACATGACAAAGCACAAAACGCTCGTACAGTCACCAGCTGATCCGAAGCAGCAGACGATCAGGGCAGGGGAGTCACGACAGCGTCGAAGCACTTTGACCAGGAGGCGAGTGCCACGTGGCACAGGCAAGGCGGCATTCGGGCTCGAGGCATACCTTGTGGGGTTTGGCGAATTCGTTTTCAAACTTGACGGTCTGGTCCCACTCAAACAGGGTGACGGTCGAGGTGTGGGGCGTAGGACGGCTGGCGGCACTCAGCGACGAGCCGTTGGTGCCGCCCTCAAAGGCACGGTTGTAGCGGGAGTAGAGCGTTCGGGTCTCGAGCAGCTTGATGGCCACGGACTTGCAGGTGAGCGACGAGCCCTCCCAGGGACCGCACTGGAATCCAAAGACCATCTCATCTTCTGGAGCAAAGACGGTGCGGTAGATGACGCTGATGTACTTGAGAATGCCCTTGCCCGGGGCCGATTCCTTGCGGCACTCCTGCTGGAGGGGTGCAAGCACACGGGCAATGTGGTGGGGATGGTAGTGCTCGTAGCGGATGTACTCGGTGGCCTTTTGGATGGCCTCGTTTCCTCCAAAGAGCCCAGGGTGACCCTCGACAATGGCGGTGACAGAGTAGCGGATGTAGCCGCCCTGCTTTGGCGACCGATCGCTCAGAGGGGCCTCGGTCGAGGGGGGGAGCAGCGGGACGAGCTCGGCGGGGATGACGAAGCGGAAGGTGATGTCGATCGAGTTGGTCTGCTGGCTCCAGGGAGGGATGGTCAGGTAGTTGAAGCGCTCCTCCTGCTCGATCAGGGTCTCGTCCTCGGTCATCATGATGCCCTTTTCAAGGCGATCGGTCCTGGAGCTGCCGCGGAAGACGATGCGGATGGACTGGATCGAGGCCCTCTTGTTCATGGGGACCGAGATTCGGACGATGCCCTCGGCGGTGACGGGCTTTTCGGGCTGGCCGTCGACCACGGGAGCGGAGGGGTGTCCCGTCAGCAGACGGTGCTGCCCTTGGAACGGGAGGATGAAGACTTGCTGAGGGACACCAAAGATACTGGTGAGCATGCTTGCGATGTGAGCGGTGTGAGCGATGTGAGCCAGGGACCGACGGATGGAGGAGGACGGAGGGGCGCTGCAAATATATAGATAGCGAGAGAGACGGAGAGCGAGAGAGACGCAGCGAGACGCACAACGAGGAGCGGCGGTGTGTTCGCTTGGTGTGACGCTGCGTGCCACACGCGCCGTTATAAAGAGCAACCGAGGTATTTTTGGATGGGAATGATGGAGCGCATCCAGCCTCGGCTCTTCGGATACCCACCCAGAGCAGGTCCACCGCCAAGGGGCGATCAGGCAACAGGACGAATACCTCGCGGATTGCGATTCGATCGTCGCTCACGGGCATTGGCCAGCGAGAGCCAGGGCGTGCTGGAACCGTCGACATGTGGGTTCATCGACATGCGGGATCCGTCGACATGAAGAGCAACCATGGGCATGAAGCGTAACCATGGGCATGCCAACCATGACAGACTTGACCGCAGCGACCGACGGCACCGACAGCAGCGTGGCGATTCAACCAAGCACTGACGAACACAGCCCACTAACAGCCGCGCGCAGCCATGATATCTGGGTATTCCATTGAGAGTGTTGGCCACCAAGGACACAGCCGCACATGGGCAGCTTATTCTGTCTCTGTTCGATGTGAAGCGGGCGTGCCGGCGCCAGGCGGACATTGACCAAACCAGACGAAAGCCCGCCGGCCGCATCGCTTCGCTTCCGTGGGCCATCGGGCGCCTGATCAATTATCGGATCGATGTGCGCCGCTGGGCACCAAGGCTGCACGACCCCAGCGGCATCCGGACGAGCCACATCCGCCAAGACACGATGTTCTCACCCACCGGCGAAGCACCCGGTCTGGCGATTGACAGGATACAGACGAGCAAGCGGGTGGCGAGACGGACAGTCGCTCGGAACAGCCAACACTTGGTCCATCGCCATGCGATCGAGGAGCGACGTCGACGATGTCTTGCCGAGGCAGCCATGTACATATCTGTATGCGCCTGTGTGCGATATGTGATATACACGGCCATACAGGAATTGGACATGCGCGATTGCCCAGGCGGGCTGTCCTGGGCGTCAGCCAGGTCCCACCGCCACATCTTCACCAGCAAGGGCGGGGGCGATTGCTGCTGAGACAGCGTCGCCTTGGTGGGAGAAGTGCACAAGCATGGAACAGGGCGGCCCCCCCAGCAAGGCCTCGTGGGGGCTGCTGTCTCTGTGGCCGTGGATCGCGGAGCCTGCCCGCCCCCCTTGCGGAGCCACAAAGGCTCCCCGACCCTGTTTTCTTCCTGCTATTCAGCCCCGCTGTGAAAATCGGCCTGCTCGTGCTCTGGGTTGGTGGATGCAGTTATTGCTGTGCAGCGATCTGCTGGCAGAGATGCTAGTTTCTTTGTTAATTTCTTTGTCACCTCCTTTGTCACCTCCTTTGTCAACTTCTCGGCCATTATCGCTGCTGCAGCGAACAGCCACAGCCGACAGTTCCGGTTTCAGTTGCGCTGCATCGCCTTCTTCCCCCCCGCACAAGGACATCCACCGCTCTTCCTGCCTTTCCTCCGTCTCGCCCCCTTCCGTGTATTTATCGCTGGCTCGGCCCGCCGTCTGCTCTTGCTTCTGTCCCGTCAGACCGAAGAACACCCAGCTGCTTGCAAGCCGTCTCGCCGTCTCTGCCATGCCGTCTCCCGTCCTCCTCGCCCAGGCCTCCCAGTGCGCCGATCTCATCGCCTATCTGGGCCCGGCGACCGCTGCCCGGAGCGGATTGACGCTGGCCAGCTGCTGCAGCCCGCTGCCGTCCTCGGGCGTCTCTGTTGCCTGCTCGAGCTCCGGCATCGTGGCCCTGTAAGTCTCGCTATCGCCCTGTGCTGAAATAATAATAATACAAGTGGCCATATTGCTGACCCTGCTCCTCCTCCAGCAACGCCTCTGGCATCCGCACCAACGCGCCCTTTCCCTCGGCTTTCCTCGGGTGGAGCACTCTCACGTCGCTGTAAGCAACGCGCATCAAGCACCACCAACTCCCCCGACCGCTGTGTCGTTCCACAGCATCAGAGTCGCCCGATCTGCCATCGCTGCTGCATTCGCTAATCCACTCCACCCGCGCTCGCGAATCGTTCTCTGCACATGGCTGCATCTCATCTCCACCATGCTCCTCCGCGTCGTCGTTGTCGCCGGTCTCGCTGGATCAGCTCCCTCGCCGATGCTGGCCTGGTGGGTGCTCTGGACAGCACCCTCTGGACATCGAGCTCGCTGACATACCTGTACGTATACCAAGCACAGCCCTGCCCCGAGGCCCGTCCTGCCGCTGTTGTCGCCGAGGCGCTGACTTCCGATACGCATCTCTGCAGCGATTTGAGCAACAATCCCGGGCTTGCTGGCCCTGCACCGGCCTTTGCATCCACCCTCGGCACTTGTCGGTAAGCATCTCCATCCGTGTTTCAGCCCAGCTGCTGCTGCTGCTGCTTGGACCTTGCTTCCCTCCCTTCGCTATCGCGAACCGCAGCGTTCGGTGTCTGACAGTGCTATCCCGTTGGCTCGCCCCACGATAGACTCGTCGGAAGCTCGGTCTGCTCTGAGGCCAAGCTCAACTGTCTCCCGGTCTCGACCGGCCTGCCGTCCTGCACAAGTAAGCACAGTTGCCGTACCAGCAAACTGGCATCGAGGCGATGCAAATCCCCTTGGAACCGCCTCTCGGTCTGCTGGCGTCGTCGCTAACTGGCGTCTGCTCCCTGCGTTCATCACTTCCGTGGCTCTCCCGATAGTCACCAGCACCAACAGCCCAAACATCAACCGTGTCCTGGCTGTGACAGCGGTGGCAGCAAAGCCATCTCCCACACCCGCCAGCACCATCGAGATCGTAACGCCCTTGCTCTACTACTTTATAGCCGGAGCCGCTGGTGTGGCCTTCGTGTTCTTTGTCTTTTTGCTGGCATGCTACTTCAGCGCATCCTGTGGCGGCTACACCCAGGACATTGAGCGCACGCGATCGCTCAAGCGAAACAATACTCTTCAGACCAGCATCGACGACTATGCTCCCGGTCCCCGCTCCGATTCGCTTTCGAGCTCTCCCAAATCGCCCGACACCAGCAGCGCCGCTGTCAAGCGCGCCGAGGGCTTCATCCGCGACAATGGCAGCAACGAGTTTCGTGTCGTCCGCGGCCACAGCAAGTCGGCCAGCGATGAACTGCACCTGGCTGTCGGTGACAAGGTCACCCTGACCAAAGTGTTTGAAGACGGATGGGCCGAGGGTATCTCGCGCCGCGCCGGTGGTCCTGCCATGTTGCCGCTGGGCTGTCTGGGAGGATCGGTTCAGCGATACTTTATCCAGGCTGCCCAGTCCCTCCAGGCCCAGGAGAGCAACACGGCCGCCAACCAGCCTCCGGTCGACAGCAACAAGGCCCAGCCCGCCAAAGATCTCATCGGCCCCGCGATGTGAAGCAGCAGTGGCACTTGGGACTCACCCGGCACGCCAGACGGATCAAAAGTGCATATCTGGACGATGGACGCCTTGCATGCGACCGAGACTGCTCACTAATCCTCCCTAAACACCGTGACCGCCCTAACCACCCTGAACAACATGCCCTTGGTCCGCACCCGTATTTATTGAATGGAGCTCCCCTATCCCCTCACTCCCCACCGTGCCTTTGCCGTGCATTGCTCATCCTTTGTCGTCTCCTTTCCCCGCCCCGCTCGAGCAGAGCTTTCTCATAGTCCTTTGAGCTGCCATCCCGTGCTTCATATCTATAACAAACTCTTCTGGACTCTGTTTTCCTCCACCCCTTTGTTCCACTCGAATTGGACGCTGCTGAGTTGCCCCTTGGGCGCTCTATCCTCTGGTATTTCCTTTGTTTGATCGATGTATCCCAAATGATCAATATGTGAGCCGCGCTGTCTTTACACATGAATATTGGTTATTGGCTCAGACGAGAATGGCTCCCAGCGGGAGGTGCATCCCGTGGAGGGAATATGCAGGAGGCCGAATGCACACTGCCGCTGCACCGCGTTGTGCAAAACATGTCCATGAAACTCGACGCGGTGCAAAAACAAAAACAAATCCGACGACCCGGAGTCGAACCGGGGACCCTCAGATTGCTCATTCACTACAGTCTGATGCTACTACCAACTGAGCTACCGTCGGTCGGCAGATTCCAAAATTTCGACTATATGACCGTTGCAGAATTTTCCCTGCCACCCTTCAATCCCACCCATGCACTTCCCTGTCCTCTCTCCGCCGATCGCATCTGTCGCCTCTGGCCGGCACTCATTCCGTCACATGTCCCATCACTACCGGCGCAAGAGTCGCTACTTCCGACATACCCGTGCTGATCAGATCCCTCGTGGCCGTGCTGGAGCCTCTCGCTGTCGCCACTGCCCAAGCTGCCACACCCGGCAAGAGGATCCAATGAACTTGGACAGGCGTGGAGGGCCATTGTTGATCAGTGATTGAAGATTGGCCAGGGTCAAGCGATTGATCGCTCGCCTCAGGACAGGCGTAAAAATGAAATGAGATGAAATGAAATGAGACGAGGGTGGAAAATGACCGATCCATAAAATCTCCTTCCTGGAGACGGCCGTGTTGGACATCTGTTTCCTCCAACCGCCCCTCGGCCTTGACCCGGTGGGCATCGGTCTTTGCTTTGTCCGTTCTGGATCGAGGTTGTCTTCATCCTTTTGCTGCACGGGCTGCTGCATACTATCAAGCGCGATCACTCGCCTCGCCCAAGGTAAGCACATGGACCATCTGTCGGCGCTGACAGGGCTTCCTGGCGATCCAGATATCTCCGAGGCTTTCAGCTGTGCTCCAAGCATCTGCCACAATGCCGTCTTTGACTATCGCCGCCTCCTCTGTTCCTTTGGCTGAACGAGCCCCGAGGCAATTCGTCGGCATGCTTGCGCTGCCGACGAGCGCGGCACCCCTCCCTCCAGACACCCGTCACTTCCTTTCGTTCCGCTATCTCGCCTTGGCCATCTGTGGCAGCATGCGCCATCGATCAGATTCCAAATGTACCGCGTCTTGCGCTTTCCGGTCGCCTTCTCGGATATGTTTTCCGTTGAAGGGCTCTCTTTATTCGCCACTCTTCCTTTGAACCTGCACTCGATGTTTGCCGCCATCCTTTGCACCCTTCCAACACAGTCTTAACTGCGCGCGGGACATTTTTTTCGGGCACCGGCATTCACCCGCGAGCTCGTTGCAGGGAGGATTTGCACAGTCCCCTCATTCGGTTTCCACATTGTGGTCCGACCACGCCCTTGCCTCCCCCTCACCATCACCATCACCATCACCACCATCACCGTCAAATCAGCCTCCGTCACTGATTTAGGCTCACTTCTCTTTCCCACCAGATCCTCCCAATCGCCCCCCCCCGACCACCACTCGAGTCTGTACATCTTGCATCCTCTGTCAGCCGTGATCGTTGGTGGGTGTCTTGACGTACGTGTGGGATCTTTGTCACGGGTCAAGCTTCAGAGCCGCATCATATTCTCCCTTTTGAATCACCTCGAGAGTGGGACTCGTCGAAACCATCCCATGCCAACAGTCGCACCCCATCATGCCCCCGGAAAAGCCCTCCTTTGGAGAAAGCCGTGACCCTGGCAGTCTCTGTCGAGTTGGAGCATCTCTCTTCTCATGTGCCCCCGCGCACTCATGCACGCTGGCTTTTGGTGCCATTGTCCCTTCGTTTACCAAGAAGCCGTTCGTCGCCACAACCCCGTTCTCACGCGTTCGCGACCCTGCACCCTTCCGTTTCCTGCGCTCTGGTGTATTTCAGTAGCCCTGAATCCGTGTTGAGCAACAAGACCTGCCCAAAAGCTCGCTCTGTGGTCTCAGGTAAGCCATTCTCTCCGATGCAGCTTTGCCATCGGCTCGTTCGTCCCTTCGCTACTGTGAGGCCGCAGCAGAGGACATTATCGATCGTGGTGCTCATATACGCGAATAGATATCTCACCCTTGGCTGACGCTCTGTCCAGCTCGAACCCAACCATCTACACCCCCACGTCTCCTCCTCTCACACCACATTCAACGACACACCGGACCCACCACCGGTAAGGCCGGCCCCGCGCTGCTGCTCTGGAAATGGGACAGGCACAGCGCCGCATATCCCATCCACCAGGATCGCACTCGGCCCAGGATACCGTGCGTACTGTCGATAAATTACGGGATCAAGTCGACAGATCGCCCTTTTGAGACAGCCACGTGGATAAGCTGGGCCTTGCGCATGCTGATCCAGTCTGCACACAGCATCCCGCCGTCGGTAATCTATGGGCGACTCGGACTACAAGGGCCACATGATGCGGGGAGGCATCAAAGACCTGTGCCACTATCCCCACATCTCCAGCGCCTACGCTGTGCAAGGCGGTGAGTCAGTGAGGGTCTCTCGTCCAGCGCTTGTGCTTTGCGCTCATGTAGCAGCGCGAGCCATCGTATCCCTGTCCCGTAGAGGGCATACCTCGCCGACGGGTGGAGGCCTGCATCCCTTGCTATGGCCTCCAGATCATTTGCGACACTTGCTGAACAAGTCGTCGCCGTCTCACGCATCAGGCTACGACCCAAATATCAACCCACCGCCCATCCCAACATCCGCCGACTACTACGGCTTCCACGAGTACCCATCCGAGCGACAAAATACCCCGGCTCCTGTTCGAGAGCCTCGACGATGCAGTTCGTCGGACGTCGGCATGATGGATGGACCCGGCCACGGTCGGAGCGATGTCGGCTACCCCGGATACTATGACAAGTTGAAAACCCCTTATCGCTATGATCTCTATGGGGCGTACCCCAACCATCTGACGGTCTCGGCGGCCGCACATGCCGCCGCCGTTGTCGCTGCCACCCACCACGAGAAGCATCGCGGCAGCAACAACGATACCCTGGCCTCCTGTGCCGGCGTGAACTACGCCGACTGGATGCAGCCCTCCTATGACTATGACGGGGAGTTTGCCGAATACATCCACGATGACGAAAAGGAAAGAGTCGACGGGCTCGTAGCGCATGCCAACGCCCATCTGATATCGCCCATGACCACCATGAGCATGCACCCAATGCTGCCTGAGAGTCGCGGCTCACACCCCTTCGCCATGTCCGATGCCAACTCGACCGGGTTCCCGTACATGATGAGGAGCGAGTCCTACGGCATGATGAATCCTTCTCTCATCGACAATACAAGCCCGGGCATGATGGTAGGCCTTCCGCGCGGCCTCAAGTCCATCGGTAGCGGCGACAGCAGCATCAACGGCATGGGCGGCATGTCCGGCCTGAGCTCTATCGGCAGCCTCAGCAGCGTCGTGCTGAACAACCTCGGTGGTAGCTCAGCCAACATGGGCGGCATGGGCGGCATGATGCTCGGCCTTGGTCCCATGAACGACATGGTGGCTGGCCTCGGAAGCGGCATCTCGGGCATAGCTGGCGGTGGCATGGCCGGCATCAGCAACCCCGACAGCCACGGCAACACTTTTCCCACGATCGAAGCCATGGGTCGAGGACTCGTCGGGATCGGTGGTTTGATGGACAGCATGCTCGGCGGACCACGAGGCGTCCTCTCGCCTGGAGACTTTGACAAGAAGCCAGTCCGCGGCAGTCGCAAGGCCGGCCAGAGCATCCCCGGGGCTATCGGCGGCTTAACGAGTCTCCCCAGCTTACCAAGTCTCCCAAGCCTGCCGAGCCTGCCGAGCCTTCCCAACATCGCAAATGTGCCTCCCTTCCCACACGGACCTGAAGGCATAGCGAAACTTCCTATTCCACCCCAATTGGCCTCCCAGCAACAACAGCAGCAGCAGCAACAGCAGCAGCAAACCAAGCGCACTCGCGGCCAGGGTCAGCCCACAAACATTGTCGCCACAGCCAAGATGGACCGCAAGACCCTCAAGCGGTTGCGCAACCGTGTGTCTGCCTCGCGGTGCCGGATCAAGAAGAAGGTCTGGATCAGTGAGATGGAAGAGCATTCGGCGCTGTTGACAAAGGAGAACGCACAGCTGATGAGCAAGACCAAGGAGCTCGAGGAGCAGATTGCCAGCTGCAGGGACCTCCTTGCCCAGGCACAGATCCAAGGCCGCATTCACTTCTCGGCCGGCTCTGGGGAGGGCTCGCCATCGACAGCAGATACACACCAGCAGTCTCGGGGCCAGCTCGACTTTGGATCGCTGGGGCCGAGCTCCCACGAGGTCGCCGGCGAGGCACCGTCGCTGTTGCTTGGATCGCCGGTCGGCCTCAACCCTATCTGCCTGCTGGATTCTACCGAGGGCCATGGATCGACGCCCTTTGGCTCCTCTCCGAGCGGTGTCGGCAGCCATCACTCGGCGCCGTCACAGGGCATCGCGTCTCTTGATAGCCATGATCCTGTCCAGAAAGACTCGGCCCTTCGACCATGGTGAACGGCTGCGGAGGCAAACCAAGACTGCCTTCACGGATAGTAGGCTTCGGCTTGCCAAGTTCATATCAATATTCCGCAAGCCGCCCATGGATGGCTCTCGCTCATTCGTTGCTTTCCCTTCTTCGCCAAACGACCTTGCACCTCTGACACTCTGAAAACATGAATGCAAGCACATCGAACTGTTATACTACACACCAGTCTCCCTTAGCCCTCCCCTCATCCTTTCTCGCCCCTACTTCCCCCGCGCCACGATCATTCTCGATGATTCCGATTTACATTGCCTCCTCGCCTCTCGCACAGCCATGCTTCCCATACATACACACGCATCCTCGTTCGCACATGCATCGCACTTTGGCGTCGCGGCTCAAGGCGACCCCAGACACCCTAACACAGTAGACATCCCCTCCATTTTGTCTTGGTCATTTCTCCGAGTAATACAGCTCCTCTAGAGATAGAGAAAAAAAGGCAATAGCCAGAGTCGAGACAGTCGGATACTGTATTCCGTGACCGAGTTCGATAATCACATGAGTGGTGCTCGCCACTAATGGGTCACTCGTTTGGCACTGACATCCAGCTTGCATTCGCATCTCGGACGACGGCAGTCTCGTTCGGCATTCCAGTCAATTTTTGGCCATTGTAGGTCCTGTACAGTTCCAAATTGATATCGATCTGCGCTACACTTTATTCAGAAAAAAACGGGACAATATAGCCGTTTCCATGAACATGTAGTATGTGCTGTGCTTGCGTCAAGCAAAGCCACAAGAAATAAAACAGATCACTTTGGTAGCCTCCGAGTGAAGACCACCGGTCGCTCTCCGATCTCCACAATCGACTTGCATACTATGATCATGTTGCGCGCCGCATTGACGTCGCGATTCCACACTGTCCGGCAGCTGGGATTCTTGCAGCTCCTGACAAAGTGGGAATTCGCAACACTGGGCGCATCGAGTCCTTCCAACCGAACTGGCTCCAGGCACTTGGAGCACACCTGTGAGGTGTTGAACTCGTTCGTCGAGGCCACCTTGACACTTCCATGATGGTGATTGGGACGGCGTCGGTGGTGCTCGAATTGCTCAAAGTACCGAGCAAACCGCTGCCTCCGAGGGCTGGATGCATAGCCCTTGCCCTGTCGCCATGATGCATTGCCAAAGGCGATCACCACATCGGTCCGTATCGGGGCGTGCTTCAGGACGGCCTTGCACATCCTGTCGACGGCCACTTGGCGCCTCTTGTGGCCCATGAAGCGATGGTGACGGGCCTTCTTGCCAAGGTGGAAGTCGAGCTGCACCCGAAGCTCCGGTTGCAGGACATGGGTGAGATGGACCTTGAAGGCCTCCGAGGACGACACCTTGGGCGAGGGGGTGGTCGACATCCAGGTCTCGATATCGAGTCGATACTTCATGGTGTTGTGCCACTTGGTGTTGGACGTATGGCCACACATGTGCTGGTAGTGGCCATTGGAGAATGAGACCACCTCGTCTTGTTGGCCCGGTGCTTGGATGACCGCCGTGAAGATGGAGCCGACGCCTGGGTCGATTCCAATCCAAGTGGTGCGGTTGGGGTCTGGGTCTCCGATGTGGGCCTGGATGCGCTGCTCGGCGGTCGGAGGAGGCTCGATGGTCTCGGTGCGATCGGTTCGACGCACAAACTTGACGAGACCGATGGTGCATCCAATGCCATCGGTGCTGATCTCGTAGTTGAACAGCTTGTGATTGATATCCCGGTCACGGAAGAGGGAACTACGCAGCTTGAAGCAACTGCGCCAGAGACGATCCTGGTTGTTGACACCGTCATCACCTTGTTCCTTGAGCTTGTCCCTGGTGAGTCCAAGGCGTTTCTTTGGACCAAGGAGATTCCAGAGAGTGACGGTGTCGATCTTGACATACTTGGCCTTGGCTGTGCACAGAGGGACCATCGTGCACACGGACGGAGGAGTGTCAAGAGCGAGCTGCTTGAGGGCCCAGTTGATCCTGGCGGCCAGCTTGTTGATCTTGGCCTTGGTGGTGCCGAGCTCAGACTTGGCCGTGGCGAACCTCTTGTCGTCGGAGGGAATGCCTTGGGTAGTGAGCCTGTCCAGCTTGGCCTGGCGCTGCAGCTCGGTGACTCGGAGGGCGGGCATGTCACAGTCGATCCACTTGTGGACATTGTCGACCATCTTGTCCCGGGCGAGGATTCCCACATGGTGTGAGAGGCGGTGGAGGGCCCGGAAGCGGTCCTGGTCGCTGCTGTACCGAAACTCGTCCAGGACGTGGCCAAAGTCTGGATAGATGAACTCGAGATCGGCCTTGGGTGGAGTCTGCCCTGGTTTCTCGAAGAGCTCGAGACAGGCCTCGATGGCTTCGTGCTTATGCTTGTTGGCTGGGAAGACGGCAGCGCAGAAGCGGCGAAGGAGTCGCCAGTAGGCCAGGTCGAGGTGGGTGGTGCAGTTGGTGGCATAGGCATTGACAGCCAGTGTGAGAAGCTGACTGTGTGCACCATCAGGCAGACGAGGGGCCGGAGGCAGGTCTGCGTGCCGAGTGGTCTGGTAGTCGCGAAAGGAAGCGACCAGATGCTCGTTGTATTTCTCGTTGTCCCCGGTCGGGGAGAGGGCACCGTCCTGGACGATCTTGAAGCATTGGCGGATGAAAGCAGGGGTGGACTTGGAGATGACGGGGACGGGAAGATCCTGCTCGATGCACCGGAGGATGTGCAGGTTGAGCAGCCTGGATGCCTCGAACTGGATCTGGGTCATGGCCTCGACGGTGGCCTGGATCTTGTCGCGGAGAGCGGGATTGAGACAACAGCCATCCATCGTCTGCTTGAAGCAGCTGAACTGAGGGGCGGATGACCTTCCATCCACGAGTGGGAGGACAGAACTCTTGAGGGGGTGATATTTTGGACACTTGCTAGTGTTGCAGCGTTCGTGATCGGTGCCATCGCACTGGCGACATCGCTTGCCGGTACTCGAGGAAGTAGATGGACCAGGCTCGGTGGGATCGACATCCATTGGATCTGCAGAAGCAGTGGTGGTGAGCGACGGAGCAACAGACGACCAAGCATGCGTGGGGTCAGAATACGAACCAGAGACAGGCTCCGACTGTGACTTGGCTTTCTTGGGCCTGGGTGGCCGAGGCTGGCCATCACCGGCACCCTTGCGCTTCGGAGGCATGGGGACAGAGGATGCTGGATGCCTGCCAGTGGTACTGGTCAGAGCAGAGACTTTTTTTTATCGTACAATAGCGCGATGATCAGATCAAGGCGAGATGAGGGAAGAAAGCAGCAGGACGAAGGTGTGGCATTTATACCCGAGAGCAGGAACCCGTCTGCGCGGGCTGGTTGGGGAAGTGACCCTGTTCAAAAATCGCCGAGAGGTTCAAGCCAGGGATGTGAACGCGAAAACGGCGGCTTGATTGGAGGGAACTCAACCCCAGAAGCGCATCGCTCGCTCAATCAGCCGTGGGAAGACATCTGGAAGCACCCTCCGCACGGCGGACTCAAACAGGGTCACCATCCCGATCCTGAACCCCTCGGAGGCATTCAGCGCTGCTGCCTTCCTGTACTGATGCTTCACAATCCCAAAGAAGTTCTCGATGGGATTGAAGTCGGGCGAGGCAGGTGGGGTGAAGATCACTGACCATCCTCGGCGCTCGATGCAGTCCAGGACAGTCCTTGTCTTGTGCATGCTGACATTGTCCATCACAATCACAGAGTCGTCTGGGAAGGTCGCTCGCTCAAAGAACTCGACCATCGAGTGTGTCTTGAATGATGTGGGGATGTACATGCGATGCAGCACACCAGAGTGGTTGATGGCAAATGCAGCCGAGACAGACTTGTGTTTCATGTGATTGCGCTGGCGAAGCGGAGCACCCTTCGGTGAGTATCCGTAGAGAGGGAAAATGGATTTCCTGATCCCTGTCTCGTCGACAAAAACGAGCCGTCGTGGGTCAATGGAGCGGGCCTGGTCCCTGAACTGTGCCACTCGCTCATCTAGTCGCTTGGACTTGTAGAGGTGTGTTGCCCTCTTGTGTGAGAGACCTGCTCGCTGGATGGCAGTGTGGCAGAGTGAGAGTGATACTTTCCTCTGGAGGATGGACTCGAGCTTGCATCGCAACACAGGACCAGTCTGGAACGGGTCCTGTTCAATCAGGGTGCGAATGACTGGACATGCCTGCTCGAAGTGGATCTGCGAGCTGGGACCCGGGATGGGTCATCCAGCTTGCATCCTCGGTGCCATCGATGGATGGTGCTCTTGGATACACTGAATATGGAGGCGACCTTACGCAGGCTATGGATGAGGGCGTAGCATCGCAATGCGGCGGTGCGAAAGTCGGATGTGTGGCGAATGGTCATGGCCAGCGCGCGATAACATTGGGTAACAAAATATTCGATGAATGGTCAAAACCCTGGGTGTCCCGTTTTTTATTGGATTGCCTGTAATCCCTTCTATGAGTGGGAGGGGGGGCACAATGCCTACTGCCACAGCTTGACTGTCCCATCGCTCCAGCCACAGCTGGCGCCAACGACTTTGGATGCCACATGGACGGTCGGCCGCCATTCAAACTGGATCGATGGTCCGTCGTGTCCGTGCCGAACGACCTTCTCTGGTTCCGCTGGCTCTTGCCGATTCCTGCGATCTTGCGGCTTTTGTCTCCACCTCCAGAACACCAGATTTCCCGAGGAACAGCCGCTTGACATGGTCGCCCCTGACGGAGAAAACGCAACCTGGATCGGGAAGGCGTCGACCGACTGTCCAGAGAAGCGCTGGAGCAGACACGACATCGCGCCCAGAAAAAGTCAGGAGCCGAAGCCGTGAGTACTGTGCTTGTGTGGCAGCCTAGATCCCAAAGTAACTCCCAGGAATTCAAATGTTCACGGCGGCTTGTATCCTCGCCTTACCCTCGACTTGATTTGCTTGAATGGTGGCTTCAGCCCAAAAGCCATAACATAGTTGCCGTTCGAGAGTGCGACAAACTGTTGCTCATGGGGGTGGATTCGGATCGATGGGCATGAATACGCCTCCAGATACAGCGAAGAGAACAGCACCGTGGGCTGTGGGTGGGTACTGGCGGTCAGTGCTTGAATGTGCGTACTCGATTTTCTGTCCATGCTGGGAGACAAGAGAGTGTGTGCTGCTTTATGGCACCCAACCTGGACGCTCAGCGTCGATCGATTTTATATTCCCGACATCTCCACAGCCTGCCTATCTACCTACCGTTTCAATGTCCCAGACGACGAGGCCTTTGTCGGCTGCATTCCGCCGCAGCACATCCGCCGTCGAGATGAACTTGGTGCCGTCGGGCACAAACTCGACAGCATGGACTTGGCCAAAGTTTCCTTGGAAGCGCCGCTGGCTGAGTGCGAGCCGTATGTCAGGAGAGAGAGAGAGAGGGAGAGGGAGAAGTCAAGTCACTGTATCGTGGCTCTTGGTCGAGTCGGCAGAGCGGCAGCCATAGTCCTACCAGTTGCTTGATATCCGAGTATCCCACAGCATCAGCCCGGATCCGACGGTGCCCGACAGAAGGAGGTTGGGATTTCTTGGATGAAATCTGACGCAGGTCCCATAGTCGGCATGCTCGGCTGTCTGGAGCACGGACCAGCGCATCGGACCATGGTGGGAATGGTAAGGCGTCAGCAATGTTTGGTTCCATCGGCAGATACTTGCTGCTGCTACAGAGCCGTGCTCGGCCATACTCCCCGATCCGGCCTCTATCGAGCCGGCCGATCGCCTCGAGAGACATTTCATCGACTACTTACGAACAGAGTGGCCCCCGTGCAGACATCTGTTTGCAGAAGCCTCTTGCTGAATCCTATGCTTGCAAGTACACTTCCATCCGGACTCCAGGTCAGATCTTTGACGGACGCTGTGGCAAAGAGTCGGGCTGCGTTGAGCTGCATGAACCGATCGGTCGTGTGGGCAGCTTGGATTGGTCAATGCCGAAACTCACCGTCGTGGCGGATCGACAGGGTGGGCGATTTGCCATTCATGAAGTCCCAGAGAAACACTGTGCCGTCCTGAGATGCAGACGCCAACAGCGACCCTTTTTTGAAACACAAGCACGGTTAATATCTCCAACGCCGCCGGCACCTCTGGCGACGAAACCTGCTCGACGGTCAGAGTATCGTCAACTACTGACCTCGAGGATGCCATGCCAGTCGGTTGACACCCTTGGTGTGTCCCTCCAGCAACAGGCCGACGGTCCGCGGTAATTCTGAGCCGGCCGAATCGTGATCGCCCAAATATTTCTTGATCAACGGCCCATGCTCTCCAGACTGGCTGTCCTCTGCGAGCTCGAGGGAAAGCGAACCGGTCGATGCATGGTCCGCGGCTGGCAACGATCCAGAGGAGGGACAATCAGCATCGAATCAAGGATGCGACATGGCCAACGCGAACCACACCCATGCCCTCCGTCTCGGATATGGCTGTTGCGAGACGCACTGGTGACTTGCGGTTGGCTCTGGCGAGACTGGCTTCTCTTGGAGGTGTAGGGTCGCAGCTCCCGCGGCGGTTCATCTATCCTGGAGCGTTTGAGATTGTGCACGGATCGGTAGTTGGGCGAGTGTTGCTCGGGGATTGCTGGTGCTGCTGGTGCTGCTGGTGCTGCTGGTGCTGCTGGTGCTGGCTGAAGGCAGGTCGGGTATCTTTGTTTCTGAGGAGAGGGCTGGAGCGAATGTGCGCTTGCCATGGCCAGGGTGTGCCGGGCGATCGAAGGGTGTGCTGCTATGGCGGCGTTGGTCTCTTGTGGATCGGCATTCCCGAACAATGGTTCTGGCAGCCGTTCGAGCAGAGTCCGTGGTGTCCGACCAAGATCGGCGCTCGCTGGCGGTTGGCGAGCCAAGGGTAACGACGGAGCTAATGGAGGCCGGTTGCTGGGACGGGCGGCATCGCTGGTATCGCCGGCATGTTCGGTATTGCTGGAATCATCGTCGCTTTGATAGACTCGAAGGGAATCCATGGATGCTGCTGCTGGGGAGGGGCTCGCAGCGATCGCCAAGATGAGATTGAAGCACCGCCCCAAGGACAAGAGCAGAGACCGATGCATCGGTTCAGCACCGAGGAACCGGGTCCGCATGCCATGGATTCGAGCCATGCGGAGCGATCGTCGGCCTTGGCGACTCCCCGCCGGCCATCGCACATGTGCTTTGCGGCATTCCAACGCCGTTGGTCACTTGGACAATGTATTCTACGAAGTGTCTCGATCCATGTCTCTCTCAGAGACCCGCGACATGTGTGCAATCCAGCAACACGATCTTGACCGGCCTCGATAGAGGTGCTCGGCATTTGGTGGCCCCGGTACTTGGCGATTCAACACCATCGCCTAACACCGAGAGTATCCAGAGACATCCGGCCGCCCCTCTCCCCTCCCACGACGACGGAGGGTGGGCAGATGGAGCAGACTTGGGTGGCACACAGCTACTTTTCTGATGTAGCCTTGGCAGGGGCCTCCCGGTGTTTGACATAGCTCAAGTAGGCGTTCCAGCCGACATTTACCGAGTTCACAAGCACCTACAGAGGCATAGACCAGTCCATGCAGCCGAGAAGATAGCCGGGAGATACCCAAAGAAATGGCCGTCAGCACACAAAGCCACACGGATCCAAGATTGCCCAACCACAACAGAGCAGCCGGGCGGAGCGCCTCCAGGACTGAGAACGAAAGTGTGTTCCAAGCACGTACCGGCTGGTAGAGCACAGGTATCCATCGGAAGTTGGCGAGCTGCACAGGTGTCCAAACGATGACATCCATGAAGAACGTGGGCAGGATGTCGGCCTTCATATGCTCGATCGCAGACTTGAAGGTCGACCCTGACATCAGATGGGTGCTGATGAAGAAGAATGCCAGGTAGGGTCCATCAAAGAGGACAATATCGGCGATGACTGAGGCCGGTTCGTTCAGCGACGCGATGTGCGGTTGGCATCCAGTGGCAAAAACCGTGATCGAGTGGCATCCAGGGGCAGTTTGGCGATGTGTTGAGAGCAGGAAACGTCAGCCAGAGACGCCGTTGGGTGGGCGACACTCTCTGGGCTCATCACGCTGACTGCGACGGTGTGGGCGAGCAGGGTGGTTCTTCAGGGGGGGGAGGTGCGGGGTACATCCATCGCCCACGACGCAGCTAACCTTTTGCAATCGAGACTTTCCACAGCAGGTTTGTTTTAGATATGTTCATCGTAACAGTTTTCTGATGCTGCTTCTTGATCTGGATGATGAGGGCATACGGATTGCCGGCGATGCAAGGTTCGATTGGGCCACAGTAGACGACGGTCAGACGCGAGGCGAGTGCATCCGAAATGCTGCGAATGTGAGCAATCCGGGTGCATGAAGCAAGCACATGTGGTCCGCGAGAGGGCTCATTCGCCGCTCGAGGACGGCGAGCAAGGAGAAGGCCGGAGGCTTACCGCTGCAGTAAAGTATCCGCCGATCTTGTCCTCAAGCAGCCGGTACCAAAAAGTGTCTAGCGCCACACAGAGCAGAGGCGTGGATGAGACAGGTATGTTCTCGTGTCCAGAGTTGCGAGTGCTGGATGCGAGTGCTGGATGCGGGCCTGGATGGAGCCGCTCGGATCCAGCGTTTCGACGGCGACACCGCCCCGGGAATCGAGGCGCTGCAATTAAGCGGCTCAGCGGTTCCTCGATCGCAGGCACGACGGCACCGCGGCAATGAACATACATGCGGGACCAGCAAAGACAAAGCCAAAGGTTGTCATCGTCAGCGTTCGCTTCCAGTCAATGCCCCACAGACCAACACTTGAATGCGATGGCGTCGAGTGTGCTGACAACTCGGCCGAGGTTGAGTGACCATTCTTCTGGCCGATCGGGGCGGGCGGTGACGGCGGATCGAACTTTTGGCTCACGATATCGCCCACAAGCCACAGCGTGCCGGCCGTTATTGACTGCGACGCATAGCGATGCGTGGTCAGAAACCGAGAGTAGGCGGCAAATATCCTGTTCATCTGAGCCAGGAGCGGCAGGCGGCTGGAGGGTGCGGGGCTGAGCGGGCTGGGTGAGCAGGAGCCTTTGGCAGTCGGCTTGGGTCTTGTATTGCTGGCCGCGAGCTTGCGGATCGGATCGGGTGGAGACGGAGACGCTGTCAGGACGATGGCGATGGCGATGGGATGCACTTGGCGATACCGGTTGCAGCGGGCAGCTGAGACGGGCGACGCAGGCAATGCAAATGCTTGTCGCTCCTGGGCCGAGGCAGGCTACGTGGGCTTACCAAAGAAACAAGCCGGGATGAGGGGTGGCGATTCGATGCAGATCAACATACAAAATAGGGCGTAAGCAAACACGGGATGGAGGGGGCCTCATACTGCCCGATCGGCCAGCCCGATGAGAGCCTGTGCTGCGACAACACCCGGACAGCCTCGGGCAGCAGCGACGGCGGCGCCAGCAACAGAGATGTACGAACCCGACGGTGCTGGCTGGATGTGGAGCAGAGACGAATCGCCCGGCAGCAGCAGAGGCACTGCAATCTCCCTGTCGCTCGCCGACCGACAGCGGGTTTGGTCGCCACTTGTGGCTGCGCACGATTTGGCTGGCTGCCCACACCACAAGCAAACGCCAGTCCAAGGTGAGATTGGCGTACGAGTGCAGGCATCAAACGAGAGCCCGTTGGCAGGATGGGCCGCTCGATCGTCCGAAAGAGCGGCAGCCGGGCCACACCGCCCATGTGCAGCGACGACACCAGCGACGCCGCCGACCAAGCGATCGCGTTTGCAAATATATATTCTTCTGATGAGCAGCGAGATAGCGAGAGTGATCATGCATATGGAGGCGGGCAGGAGTCGGATTAGATAGGGGAAGGAAGAGGAGGGGAGAGGAGGGAGGGAGGGATCAGAGGCCAGAGATGCCGAGGGCTCTACACCGTGGTGATGAGCTTTTGGTTCAGCTCCTTGACGTCACCCAGAATCTCATCATACAGCTCCTTGTACTCGGCAGCATCCTTCTTGACGACCATGATCACACTGGTGGGTCGCTTGGTGGAGCCGGCAAGCCCCAGATCCTCCTTGGAGGGAACGTAGATGTATGGGATATCGGCCTCCTCGCAGAGGACGGGGACGTGTGTGATGACATCGATGGGCGAGATGTCGCCGGCAATGACAACAACGCTGGCGATTCGACGGATCATGGAAGAAAGGGAACGGGAGTATTAGGATCCAGGACGGTGCGAGGACAGCGATCGACTTTCAGAGCAGGGGCGGCAAACATCATCGCGGGCTTGCATCAGACCGGAGGACAGACACTGCAGCCTCAGATTTGTATCCTCCGATATCCGCCGATATCCGATCGGATGTGGGACGACTTGATCCCACACCATCTGATCTCACACGATCTGATACGATATCCCACGATGCGATCTGATACAATCCCACACAAGATCTGATCATCGCGCCGCATCGTGCAGTCCGTGCCGCTGCTTACCCTTTGCTTCCTTTTCGCAGCCCCTTGACGACTTCCTTGACGCCGCGCTTGACATTCTTGGACTTGGCAGCTATGCAGTCCCACAGACGTTGTTAGAATCCATCTTCATGAGATCCGTCGGCTGTCTACATCCAGGTCCGCCCAGTGCAGTCGCTGTCCCCGGATACAATGCTCGATGCACCGAGCAGCAAAGCGCGATCATCGACAACAGCGACGACTCGTTCCGGCTTTGCGTCCGCGGCCGATCCGGTGCCTCGCAGCCACACGGACAGGCACCCGCATAGAATCAGCGCCAACACCGCCAGTCTGTCCCGACATGAACCTTTTTTCACGGTCTTGAGCAGCTTCTTGGTCAGCTTCTTGGTGGCCAGAGGATGGGCGATCGGGCTCACGGAGAGCACCCGGGTCTCGTATGATACCGCCTCCTTGTCATCATCGGCATCGGCGGTCTTGGCGGCCTTCTCGGCCTTGGCCTTCGTGGGGGTCTTGTCCTTAGCCATGGTGCTGCTGGTGGTGGTGGTGCTGCTGCTCGGGTGGAGGGTCGGGTTGGCAGATGGATCGCAAGTGCGCTCGTCGACGCCGTTCCGCCCCGTCGCCGTGTCCGCCAACCGCGGCGAAAAAACAAAAAAACGAGCGTCACGTGGGACATATTAAATGAACCTCCAGGCCAACCGGCGACAGCGATCGGCATGTTCCTGGACCAGCCCGCACCGACGCCGGCACGGCATCCCGTCTTGCACCTGCATCGGCCTGTGGACAGCTGGATTGTCCTGCGGCTCCTCGGAAATCCAACGCTGCACCAAAGCGCCCCTCTGGCTGCCCAGCCCGTGTCCCACGAGCCATGTACTTTTGCCCCAACTGCGCCAACCTGCTGCTGGTCAAGTCCGGCATGACCGGCTATGAACTCCAGTGCCAGACCTGCCCATACGTCTGCCAGATCGAAAGGGTGCGTTGTCTTTGCCAAAGATTGCTCTGCCATGGCCTTTGTGCCGGGAAAGCGCGATCGTCAGATACATCCGGCCATGGCAGCCATCGCGGCTTTCTGACATTGCTGTCGGCCTCCTGTCGTTTGCCAGCCCGTGGGCAGCAAGCGCTGGTTCAAGAAGAAGGAGATCGACGACGTCCTTGGCGGCGAAGATGCCTGGAAGAACGTGGACACGACTGCAGGTTCGTCTGGCTTGCACGAATCGCTCCTCTGGCATCGGAACATCGGTGTGGCGGCTGCGTCCTGATGCGGTTTCCTGGAGCTTGACACAATACCGCAGCGCACAATACCGCAGCGCATAATACCGCAGCATTCGCTGTTGTGTTTTGTCGCTCTTCACTCACAGAGTCCTTCATGTCTGCTCCGTCGGCGTTCTGTCCTCCCGATCTTGCCATCAGTGATGTGTCCCAAGTGCGAGGCCGATCGAGCATACTACTTCCAGCTCCAGATCCGCTCTGCCGACGAGCCAATGACAACCTTCTACAAGGTGCAGACCACTGTATTTCAGCTGTTGCATTGTGGAAAGCTTGCCAGTTTGTGGCCTTGTCCTTACTGGATTGCTCTGTTCCTTCCTCCGCCAGTGTACTCGGCCAACATGCTCTCATCAGTGGAAAGAAAACTAGATATCCCCGCTTCGCCATCCAATTTTGCATTCAATACATCCCTCCGCCTGGCACTGGACGGATGGCAGACACGTCGCCTCGCCCGTATCTGATCATCACGGCCATGGCTGCTCTGCTGCATCAATTCACTGCGAATGTCAATCCCACATTCTGTCCGGACTGTGGGCTTGGCAGTACGCATCCTATCGGCTGGCCCACTCGTTGATGGGCCGCCACAGCAATAGTAGATGGTGGATGGGAGGTTGGCATGGGAGATGCAGCCGTCATGTACCTGGTGAGAGTGCAGGACGGTTCAATCGAAGCCCAGGCAAACTCAGGCGCCCCAGAGACGACTCCTTGAGAGCCTATCGGCATGTATCGCCGAGATATGTTTTTGTGATATCAGCGCATTGCACCCTGGTTCGTTTCGAAGTGTTGCATGGGAAATAGGCTTCCCTCGCCGAGGGCAACTCGGCAGCCAGACTTGCGCGCCCATACCCAGATGCCAGATCCCACGCTCGAAAACGACCGCCGACATTGGACTGGCTTGGTCGACATTGGCTGCATCAAATCCCGACGCTCCAAAGCCGCTCAGATACCGAGGACGATCGCTTGGAGGCAGGGTTCCGCACGGGCATTGCATTGAATCGTATCCGCCCGGCTCGCCTCGATCGCTCTTCCTGTTGTCTGCGACTTTGCTTCTCACCATGGCGGACCCACCACCATCGTCACCACCACCACCGCCGACGGACGATCCCACCGCGAGCGACCAAGGGCCTCGCGAGTCGGGAACAGGCATGCCTCTTGACCATTCATATCAGCACTTTCACCATCTCTCTGCGGACCGACTTACCGACTCGACGCCGGCCTTGAATGTTGGATCTGGCCAGCCTGCTCGCTCTTCCCGGGAGTCCAAGACAAGGCTGAACTCTGTCTCGTTGGTGACCTATGCGGAGCAGGAACACGCCAACGCCGTTGATCAAATGAACCGACAGTGGGGACACGTTATCTACGACCCGCTTGCGCGCATATTTTCGTCGCAGTCCTGTTTTGTGTTGACCAATCTCGATGGTGGATGGGAGCACAACATAGTGGCCGTCGACTATGGAGCCAACGACGATTCTCCGCTGGAGCAGGTGAGCCCGCGACTGAGAACGTTCAAAGGTAATGCGGATTCTGATCGGTATTTGCGAGAACAGGTTTGTCGTTCCATGGTGGGCTCCAGGGAAAGTCGTCGAGGACGCACAGAGCGATCTTCCCAACCACCGTTGACGAGTCATGCCTGGCCATCCGGCAAGTGCGGGAGCGGCTTCCAAGCCAAGACATTCAGGTCGCATGAAAAGACTCATTTACTTCCATCGACCGCAAATATCGCTGCTCCTCTCTTTCCTCAGGCGCTCAGCCGTTCTCGGACACGCCGCTGCAGAGCCTGCCATGCGGCTTGATTTCGTTCTTCCCGGAATCGGCACTGCCAAATATTCCGGCCCTGGCTTTGGCATCGGGACCCTCGCTCTTCATCTACCGAAACAGACGGCCGTACTTCAAGTTCACCCTCCCGAAGGTTCCCGCGAATCCCTTGGAAGAAGACGTCTGGCAGTCGATCCGGGCCGCGCCTACACACGAATCTGGCCAAATCGACCCGCAGTGTGTCGACGATGCCTGGAAACTCCTCAGGGAAATCCGCGAGTCCTCAACCGGCGAGCTTACCAACAGGACCCTGCTCTTTCTATCCATGGACGACGAGATTTCGCGGATCGAGTTTGTCCAGAAAGTCAAGGACCAGCCACTGACTCGCGAGGTGAGTTACTTGGTCCATGCAACCGTCAAGATGGCCGGTACTTGGCCGAGGATTGATTCAGTGAGGGGCAGACGCTTGACCCAGTGCTCAACTGAACTCGCGACCTATCGCTACGTACAGCCAGCCATCACATGCATAGCCGCCATCAAAAGGCATAGCAAAGATGAAGAGTCCATGGACTGCCTCATCGTCGGCTCGGAGGAGAAGATCGTATACATTTTGAGTCCCCCAAACTTCACCATCGTCGAGAAGGTGAGTCCATGCAGCAAGTCCGAGACACCGCCCTTCCTCGTGGGTGCTTGTCGGTCCTCTTGTGCGCTACTGCGCTGGATTTACGGACTTACCCCTGAGATACTCTGCACCGTTGTGCATTCCATCTTGTATGTTCGGCACTGGACGGGTCGGAGTCAGTTCCAGCTGTCGAGTCCGATTGTATTTGTATCGGCCCGGGGCCTCTTTCAAGGGAACTACACAATCGTGGTTGTGTGCCGTGACGGAAGCCTGTACCGACTAAAAGAGTAAAGATCCCGAGGCCGCCCCGCTCGACATGCGATTGCATATCTTGCTGCCGCATTGACGACTCACATTCGCGGACGTTGCTTGGCAGGAACGCATGTGAGCGACTCGTCCAGCTCGAAGTCCAGCCCCTTGGACTGCTGGTGTTCGAGCAAAGTGCCATCGTTGCATGTATGAACCATTGCATATACTGCTACGACTACCAGGTGAGATGATGTCTGTTTCGATGTCATAAAGGGTGGGGTCTGATCGAATCAGCCGCTCTCTCTCTCGCTCTCTCTCTCTCTGACCCGTCATGCGTCCAGGGCTATCGAAGGTTTTCTATCCTGATGCCGGCCGCAATCGCATGCATCGAAGCGTTTGCACATCCATCCAAGCGATATGTCGGATATCTGGTTGCACTCGAGAACCGACATGTCCGAATCTACAACGGCAACATACTGGTCTCATGCATACTCGCAGATGTAGGTTTTCTGTGCACAATCCAAAGCTGGTGGCCATGCGGTTCACCTGCCATGCGCGGGATGAGCTGGTCGACCGGCTGGGGCTGACTGCTTTGTCAAGCAGCTTGCAAGCGGAGGGTATATAGATGTGCTGAACCTTAGAGGATGGGAAGTCACCATCTCTGCACTTTGGGCTCTAGGGAATTGTCAAGGCCGTGAGGTTTGGAACGTTTGCTCGCGAAGAATCCTGCCTGGTCATGCTGATGACCTCGGGCGGTCTGCTAGTGAAGCGGCTCAAGAGAAGCACCGAGCTTGTCAGCGGCGATTCAGTTCTGAGACCACCCAAGGAACAAAACATTCCCATTCCAGTTCCAAAGAAGACCAAGATATTCATGGAGCAGTCGAATCGGGAAAGAGACCAGGCAACAGGTAGAGTCCGGGGCAATATGGAGGTGGGAAGCGGGGACATCAGTACCGTGAAGCTCGCACCAGCACCGTCAGGGTCTGCATACAAAATGTCCACTACAGCGAGTAACATGGGGGTTTGGATCGGTGCTCTGATATCGATGCGCCTCGCAGATCTCTATCGATTATTCCAACACGGTCTCACCAAGCTCAGGATACAGGCGCTCAAAGGGTATATGCAATTGGAATCCCGATCCGCGGACCCATCTGGATCGTCGGCATCGCTCCCAGTGAAGCTGGACGCAAATGTAAGTGCTTTGGAGGCAGCCATCCTTTGGTGGCTCTTCTTCGGTGCAGCCACTCGTCTGTGAGCAACAGTGGCACACATTGCATGTGCGGAATCATCACAATCGCTCCTGATGGCTCTGCTTGCTCGGGCAGCTTCTCGGCTTGGGCCCGCTCTACAGACTCGAGCTGCGACTGGAAAACATTGGGACAGAGCCTTTGTCGAATCTGGCTGTGCATTTGCGACACAGTTCACGCGACATTGTACCTCGCTGCAGGGGCTTCCAGGTAAGATTGGCTCTAGCCAGCGATACTGGTTGTGGAGCGGCTGCAGCGAGCTTTCGCAGGTCTACACGGATATCTGACATCTGGATCATGTTCACCCAACGCTACCACTTGGCGTCTCGCACCTGCACGGCTTTGCAGCTGCCGCTACTGGTGCCTGGGCTTGCATATCAGCTCGAGACAGATTTGCACACAGCAGCGCGGGACGATTCGGGCGGCAGTTTTCCTAACCTCGCGGTCCCAGCGCCAAAGCTCACTGTTGTCGTTCACGGCCGCGGGCCGGGCGGGCCGTTGCTGTGTGCCGAGGTTGACCTGGGCGCGATGGCCTGCACTCATCCGCCGACATGAATTGCAGCACATGAATTGCAACCCATGACTCGCAGTACATGGCCCGCTTGAGGGAGTGCTGGTTCTTTGTGGCTGGACAGTGTGTGGCGCAGGCTGGAGGATAGTGGCGCAGCATCCGCGCAGCTCACATGACCGGCGGGCGGCCAGCATTTCGCACAATCAATTTTTTCCGACATTGGCACGAAGCTTCATTGTGCTCGATCACACAGGTGCTGTCCGCTTGCTCTGACGCCGATATGCACATAGACGATGCTGTTGCCGCCGTCACCGCTGCTGCAGCAGGGAGGGCTGCTGGCAAGTGTGAATGGTGGGGGGGGGGCGGGATCTCAAGGAGTCGTCGCTGGCTGCACGATCTGCGCCTGGAGGTGCTTGAGGTTGATCTGGCCAGCCTCCTGAGCTCGCCCAACCAGTGATAGCAACCAGGGCCCCTTTTGCATTTGTCGTCCGCGCAATACCGCCGGCCCAAACGAACTCACCGCACGCATCTCCGCATGCAACCAGGCCGCCATGAAGGAATACCAGCGAGAGTTTCTGCAGTTCGCAATTGAAAACAAGGTGCTGACCTTTGGGAGCTTCAAGCTCAAATCCGGTCGCATCTCGCCTTACTTCTTCAATGCCGGCCTCTTCAACACGGGCGAGGCGCTCGCTCGCCTGGGCAAATACTATGCCTCGGCCATCGTGGACTCTGGTCTGCAGTACGACGTTCTCTTTGGTCCCGCATACAAGGGCATCCCGCTCGTCTCGGCCACATCCGTTGCCCTCTACGAGCACCACAAGGCTTCGGTCCCGTACTCGTTCAACCGCAAGGAGGCCAAGGACCACGGCGAAGGCGGCAACATTGTTGGCGCGGCGCTCAAGGGCAGAATCGCCATCATCGACGACGTCATCACCGCCGGCACCGCCATCCGAGAGTCGGCTGCACTGATCACGGCCAACAACGCCCAGGTTGCCGGGCTCATCATTGCCCTTGACCGCCAAGAACGGGTCACCGAGGACTCGCCCTACTCGGCCATCCAGCAGGTCGAGATGGATCTCAAGGTTCCTGTCATCTCGATTGTCAAGATGGAGCATCTGATCGAGTATCTCGCGGGTCTGTCTGGCTTTGAGAAGGAGGTCGAGGACATCAAGCAGTACAGGGCCAAGTACGGTATTGCCTAGGCAAGCCGGCCCCGCTGCCAATGCGTCGGAGCCCCCTCCCGCCTGAAATAAACACCACTTTCGTTTACAATGTAGAGTATTCCCTCTGCTGTCCGCTCCTCGGGCCTGTGCGCGGGATGCGGTCGTGGATGTGCTGGGCGAGCGCAGAAGGAAAGCGGGCGAGATCGGCACAGGCGGAGACTCGTGGGCTCTCCCCTCCATCGCTCTGCATTCTGGGTGCATCTGCCCGAGTCTGCGTCCATCCACCCATTTCGCTCCAGAGCCACAGGGCATAGAGTCACCGACAACGACGGCCGTCCCGCAAAATCCAAGCTCTGTCAGGCGGCTGGTCGCTTCGGCTCGACCGATCTGGCTCCACGTCCATCCACCTCCATCGTCTGCCAACGGATCTGCCCGATGGCTGCAGGGCGGCTCACAGGCTCGCAGACGCTGTCGCCACAAGAAAGGGTTGTCTGGGATCAACTGCATCTTGGATCGCTCTGGTCTGCCAGGCCCCATCGCTCAAGGCTGCCCCGACACATCTACAATCTCGGCCCGACGGTGCCGGTTCTCGACACCCGACCATGAACCAACAACCAAGAGCAAGACAGGATGGTGAAGACGATACTCTCGCCCTGGACAAGCCCGACCGTTTTCCGGGATGTGGCAGCCAGATAGCTCGAGCAAGGGTTTCTGGATGGACCGACAGCCGACGCAGTCGTGCATTTATTGGATCCTTGGCGGATCGACAATGGCAAAGCCGCAGGTGGCAATCGAGAAAGGCAGCCGAGCAGAAGGCACAGGAGAACCCGGAACAGTGGACAAAAGGGCAACGGAGCAGATGCAGCATCAACCAACTCACCTCCGAGTGCGGACTGCGCCTTGGTGCAGCTGTGTGGTGCCATATCTTCGATACGGACCCTGCTCTCGCTTCTGGAGCCCAAGGTGGCGGATGACACTCTGCAGCTCCGATCGCACTTGGCGAGGAGACAGAGTGCCTGTTGCTGTTGTTGTTGCTGGTGCGTTTCCACGGCGGGCCTTCGCTGGGTTGGCTGGCTATCCTCTATCAGCGAGGGATCTGGGCGCTTGGGGGACAGCGCGCCTGTTCTGATTCGGCCTGGGTTGCTCTCGAACAGCTTGCTCGTTCCATTTGGCTTGATCGGTCAGCGGGAGATTCTCTTCGGTGCCCGATTGTCTCCAGGGTGCTGTGGCCAGCCACTCGCCCACGCACCCAATCTCGTCATTGTTCAGCCGTTCAGCCGTTCAGCTGATCTGCCGCCGACATGGTGGTGATCTCCGGGCTTGCACCGGCTGCCTCGCCGAGCGAGTCCGCCAGCGGCGGCAAGCGTCCTGCAGCGGTATCGATGCATGAAATCAGCGTGGCCAGAATGTGGGCAGCGGCAGGAGCGGCCTGGTTCCATCCTCCGGGATTCGGCGTTGCAGACGCTTTCAAGGCAAGAAACAAGCGATCAATGATATTAGATCGGCACGAGCAACAAGAGCAGCGAGAGTAAGGACGAGCCGGGTGGGTGGTGCAAGGCAAGCGGAAGATTCGTGGCTGAAGCCGAGTTGGTTGGTTGGTTGGTTGGTTGGTTGGTTGATGGGTTGGTGGGTTGGTCGTTGGCTGTTGGAAGGGGTTCTACCGTGGGAAAGCAGAATCGAGAGGGCCATCAATCGCACCACCTTCATGCTTGCGACTGCGGGCCGCTTTCCAAGCACCGACGCAAGTTTGCTGCGGCTCGATGCCTGTCCAGTATCAATTGCCAGGGAAGCAATCCGTCTGTGGCGCGAACGATGCCGCAATGCATACAGGCAGGTGTTCATGCGCCCAAGGAAAAGCGCATCCTCGCTCATGGCAGGCGGTCCCAAATCAATACACATGTCGACGGCGCCGGATACACCGCCGGAGCTTGATGGATGCTTACCGATGGTTGTGCTGTCTGAGGCGATGGAGCAAGCCCGTATTCAAGCAGAGATCGACACTGTTAGCACAGCAGCGGTTACTCGAACCTCTCCATAGAGCGGGATGTCGCTGATTGGGCGCTGCACGAGCTCTGTGTCGACCCCAGATGGTCTCGCGCAGATCCAGTGCCACTCCGGATGAGTTGGCAAGAGCAGAAGCACTGCTGCCTCCATCCACATGCACTCATCTGTGCAGCGATAAAATCCGCTCCAGCAATCCAGCCGACCGATCCAAGGCGTTCCGCACAGCATTGCTTGCAAGTGATACATACAAACTGCGGTTCGGCGAGGGTACCAGGCAGGTTATGACCAGAGTGCGAGTTGATGGGGGACGATATGTGCATGAAAGGCATTCGGTTGGGAGGAGGCGACATCATGAGCCCGGTTCCTTAGGGTGGATGGTAGTTCGTGTCGGCTCATAGAGAGGATCGAGATCTACTTGTGCAGATATACTGTGCGAAAGTCGCAGGGTATATCGCCCATCATCATTTCAAAAAATGCAAGCGAGAGAGAGAGAGGGGGGGTGGATAGAGAGCGAGGAGTGGATGGAGGGATGAATGAAGAAAAGGGTGGAGAAATACAAATAAGGCGTCAACTAGAGAGCGATGCAGACCGGTGGCCTTGATCAAATCGGATCCAGAGGAGCCACAGAGGTCCAAGTCAGGTTCAAAGTTTGGAGCGCATCCGGATTTCACTGACAGCTTGGACGGACAGCACGAGCGGGTCGGGTAGAACGGGTCTTGAGTTCCAGAAAGCGGAGCCTATGGGCTTGAGGAGCACAGCTGCGGCCCTAGCGCTGTTTATTGTCACTGCCTCGGGTCGAGGTAGAGGCTGAAGCCGAGGCATGGACGTTCTGAGAGACAAAGTCCGGTTTTCTGCTGCTCGACGGACCATCAGTCCGGAAAGGTTGATCGCCAGAGGGCCTCTCTCTGTATGCGCTGCCGGAGGTATCGCCGTGGGCAGAGCCGGGACCTGAAGCGCCATGGCGGGGCGAGGGAGCTCGCTGAGCATGTCGCGGGGGAGGGCTGCGGGAGTGGAATCGCTCGTTCTTGTGGCGTTTATATCGACCGTGGCTTCTCGACCGCGATCGATTCGGCAAATGGCGTCGCCGAGGTCTCGACGCGGACCACGAGCGTGAGCGCGAGCGGCCCGGCGATCTCGAGGCTGCAGAGCGTCCGTGGACAACCGAGGCTACACTCGCAGAGCGGCGGCTGCTTCTTGAGCGGGAGTTTGACTGAGGACGCTGTCGCCGTGTCGGGGAGCGTCCACGACCCAATCCGTTTGAGCGAAGTGGATGGCGAGATGCCGACCTGGACTGCGGAGACGGTGAGCGCGAGGGAGAGGAGTATGAGATGGAAGGCCGTCGGACGTGGCGGCCACCCGGGTATCGATGACGATGCTGCCGAGGTGAAGGAGAGCGGGAGGCAGAGCGCGACCATGAGCGATCCCGTCGCTGGGGGTATCGGCGGCGGCGGCCCCACGACCTCGAGCGCGATCGAAGCTGTCTGGGCGATAGAGGTCGCTTGCGTGGTGCCCCATTCGACCGAGGATTCTCGCGAGTATAGGACTGTGACGGAGCACCGTTCTGGACCGAGCCTTGCGGATCAGCAGCGGCAGCAACAGCAGCAGCAGCAACAACAGCGGCAGGGGACTGTGGAGGAGGAAATGAGTGCTGCTCTGCAACTTGGAAAGACTCCCCTGACTCCTCAGGAGGGGCCTCGGTCGTATCGGCCGGCTCGGCAATCGGTACAGGGTCCGTGTCCATGCCCAGATCCATATCGACCGCCGACTCGGTCTCGGCCCGGGAGTGCTCGTCGAGGACGCTGTCCGGATGCTGCGGGTGCTGCGGGAGCTGGTCAGGAAGGGGCTTCGGAGAACGCTGTTGCGATTCTTCCCAGGCTTGCTGTTTCAGCGCGCTTTCTTCTCTGTGCTTTTGCTGCTCCGCCTCCACCTGGACGCGAATCTCTTCCTCAAGGGCCTTCTGACGAGCAACGTTTTCCTCGGCCAGCGCGCGCTCGGCGCGCTTGATCTTTTCGATCTCGTGAACTTCGCGCTCGTACTCAGCACGTCGTTCCTCCGCAGCAGATTCGTGAGCAAGCGAATCGGGTACGGGTCGCGGTGCTTGGGTGCTGTCGAGAGTCTCGGTCGCTGTTACCAAAGACTGCGTGGCCGGTTTGACTGTCGCCGCTGGCGCATCGGTGCGCGAGTCGTCCTGGGGCTCAGATGGATGCTGCTGAGACTCCAAACTGATTTGGGCACTACTTTGGTGGTGCTCCGCGAGCAACTTGACTGGGGGCGTGCCCGAAGCGCTGGGTTCGGACTTGGGCGCTGGGCAGGTTGGAACATTTGGGCAGGCGCCATTCTCGGACTCTAGCGAGCCACCCGAGCCGCGGTGGGAAATCGGCGGCGGCGCCTCGTCCTCCGTACGGAGCTGCTGAAGCTTGGACTTGCCCTTGACATCGCTTGGAGCCCGCACCGGGTCCTTTTTGTGGTGGCGGTGCTGGCGCCGGTCCATATCGTGAAACTCTCGTTCGAGCTGAGGAAGTCTGAGAGGCGCGCAGAAGCGGCATTAGTGCACATGCCAGCTATGTTGGTGCGTCAGTCCCTTCAAGATGATCGATCCGACCAACGCAGGCCATGGGATGCGCGAGCAGACGGGTAGTGATGACAGCTGTATGCGACACTCACTCTTCTGGTCGACATGGATAGGGCACTTCGTCAAAAAAGGGATGTCGCAAGGCCATCTCGGCATTGATCCGGCCCTCGGGGTTCATCGACAACATGGCTTCCGCAAGGTCCAAGGTCAAAGAAGAGTAGTGTCTGCAGAGATAGAAAGATGAGCACAAGCGAGCAGTGTATGCTTTACGAGCTGCACGACCACAGCACGACGCCCAAAGCCCAGGCGATCAGGCATCAATGTGACTTGCATACACGCACAAGTGGAGGCAGCCCAGCAAGACATTGTCGCTGACTTGGAGACAGGCTCGCTGACGCACCACTGCCTCAAATGCTAGGCCGAGTGAGTGCTCAGGCAGCGACAGAGGCTGGATATGACTACTTACGGCTCAAACATCCGACGGAACACATTCGGCATAAACTCGCATCCCTGGATGCAGCGGTTCCAGATCTTGAGGTTACTGAGCCCGGGCCAGGTATCGATGTTTGGTGTGCCCATGATCTTGAAAATCGAGATGAGCTGGAGTACGTCCGAGCTTTTGTCGCCGCTTGTGAAAAACAGGACCCGACGAGTGATGAGCTCCATCATGATGCATCTGCAGCCACAAACAGTCCGTTAGCCATTCGCACAAGCATTTGTCCCGGCCAAGGGGCGAACCAGAAATCGGATGCTCCAATCTCTGGCTGATTTGTAGAGCAGCGCCAACAACCCGGCAAGGGCAGCACACACCCGAGTCGAGCAGAAGGGCAAAGTGACAAGCAGCAACGCGATATCCAAAGCAAGAAGCGACTGATTACCCTGCGCTCCAAATGTCGATTTCGGGGCCGTAGTGGGTTGCGCCCATCAGGATCTCCGGTGGCCGGTACCATTGGGTAATGACTCGATTCGTGTAGTCGTACCGCGGGTCGTCCTGTGGGAACAGCTGACGGGCCAGCCCAAAATCCGTCAGCTTGACCTGGCCCCGGCGATTGAGAAGCAGGTTGGCAGCTGCAGAGAACCACATGACGAGCGTTAGCATGGTTTGCCACTATGCACTTGAGGAACAGATATCGAACAAAGCCGAGCCGTCGCACAAATGGCGGCCCAGCAACCGATCACATACTTTTCAGGTCTCGATGGACGATGCCGTGGCTGTGGAGATGCCTCAGGCCTTCCAAAATCTGCTGCAGGATGCACTTGAGATGGCCCAGTCCATAGTACTGGTCGTGGGGCGTGCTGCTCATGGCTTGCGAGGTCACGCATGTCAGGTCGTATTCCATGTACTCGAATACCAAGCAGAGGTTGTAGCAGACTTCCGGGCCGGAGTTGCCGGCATCATGCGCACGGCTCTTGACATCGGCCCTGCCGCCGTCGAACTCTTTCCACAGACTTGCATCCTCATCTGGATGGATCGATGAGGAGCAGCAGACTCGTCAGACGACTTTACAACCGTCGCTACACGTATGCCAAGCGCCGTGCTGCTATTCAGACACACTACCTGTCTCCAGCACAACTCCCTTGAGCTCGACGATATTTGGGTGCACCAGATTCCGTCCAGCAAATTGCTTGAGAATAGATATTTCGCGAAGGCTTGTGATCGGAAACTAGCAACCGCAGCAAAGACCAAGAGCAAGCATGACATCAGCACGGTGATGACTTGTTGACAGTCAAACGCAGCAGGCGCGCCCGTTGGCTAGCATTTAGGACCATGCACTCCATCGACCCTGATACGAAAAGTTGGGCACCCTACCACCCCAGGGGACAATTCCAGTTCCTATGCGCGATAGGTGCCACACGTTACCCCCCCCCTTTGCAGGACCAGGGTCACTTACGCCATCCTTGCCGTTGTATTCGATCGAAAAGCGCTTCAGAGCAAGGATTTCGTCGCTGTTGCGTTTTTTGGCCTTAAAGACCTTAGCATAAGTTCCTTCGCCGATGGACTGCAGATTCTCGAAATGCTGATCGATGCCCTTGAGGATAAATGTGCGCTTCCGGGGGGCGGCAGGAGTCTCACTTGAGTAAGGAAGCGCACAGTCTCCATGGGAGTGGGGACCGTAAGCTGAGGGATCGCCATTGTGTTGGTACGGGTACTCTGGGTCAAGTCCGACGGCAGACGATGGATAAGTGGGCTGTGGCTGGTTTGCAGCAGAAGTCAAAGCCCCGGCGGCTTCAAGATGACCTTGGGTTGGCGCTGGGGCAAAGGCAGGACCAGACGCAGATTCTGCATCTGGAGGGGGATGCCACGGCGCAGCATCTCCATCGGATGGAGGCATGCGGCCGTAATCGCCCTGATGGTCTCGATACGATCGGTTGGCATCGTAGGGCGCAGCGGGATAGTCGCGAGGACGGCTACTTCGGTCTCGGTACTCTTGGTCGCGCGGCTGTTGTTCTCGGTGGTCTTGGTCCCGCTCACGGGGCGGCTCTCGAAAGCGGTCGCGGCTGTCCCATCCGCGCGGTCGCTCGGATCGGCGGTGGTCGAACCACTCTCGCTCGCGCTCGCGGGGATGGTCCCATTCTCGGCTGTCGCGAGGATCGCGGCTGTCTCGGGCATCGCGATGATCGCGAGGATCACGGCTGTCTCGGCCGTCTTGAGGATTCCATGCATCTCGGGAGTCTCGAGGCTCTCGAGCGTCGCGGAGGTCCCGTGCATCTCGGCTGTCCCGATTGTCTCGATTATCTCGATTATCTCGATTGTCTCGGTTGTCTCGGTTGTCTCGGTTGTCTCGGTTGTCCCGGGTATCTCGAGCATCACGGCCATCCCGGAAGAATCCGCGCTCTCGTTCCCTATTTCGGTCCCTATCGCGCTCACGATCCCGATCCCGATCCCGCTCAAGATCCCGGTCTCGATCTCGATCTCGGTCACGGTCACGGTCACGGTCTCGGTCTCGGTCTCGGTCTCGGTCTCGGTCTCGATCCTGGTTGCGGGCTCTTTCTTTGTCCCGTTCGAGGTCTCGTTCGCGGTCTCGTTCGCGGTCTCGTTCGCGGTCTCTGTCCCGGTTTCGGTCACGGTCTCGGTTTCGGTCGCGGTCACGGTCTCGGTCTCGGTCTCGATCTCGATCTCGATCGTATCCATAGTCTCGTTCGCGAGCAGCGTCCTTGCGCCAGGCCGAGTCTTTATCGCCCGAGCCCCAGTCGGGATACCCTCGGTCCTTGTGCCAGTATCCCGAAGAGCGGCCGGGATCGGAGGGCCGGTCGTCTGAGTGTGCTGGCCATCCTCTCGATCGGTCGCTCGATTCAGGGGCCAGCGGCGTAGCAGTAGGGTGCGACCGCAAGCCTGACTCCGTACTGGCCCATTCTTGTCTGAATGCCGAGCGACCGGGAGTTGGGGTTGCGGCCTGAGGTTCGCGGGGAGGAGGTGATCGCCTTCGGTCGTCATAGGCTGCGTGTGACTGGGCGGGCCGGCTGGGCGACGAAGGGGCGCTGCGACGGTAGCTTATCGAGGATGGCCGGAAGGATGCATTGGGCGGCGACGGCTGGTCGCGGGATGGTCCAGAGAGGCCGCCGCGGGGCTTGGGCGGGTCTGGTGCCGCTGCGGGATGGTGCTGGGCAGGAGCGTCCTCGGGGTCGATGTCCATGTCGCAGTCGTCTGCGTTGGAGCGGATGTCGGAAGCGAAGCGGGGCGGCGGAGAGCGGGGCGGCAGCGACGCCATCATCGCATTACGGTGCTGTGGTGGTGCTGGACGGGAACGGGATGGGTGAAGCAGATGGAGGCAGAGGATGCGAGAGAGCCAAACGGAACGACGAGCCCAAGCCGACGAGAATGCCGCTCTCGGTCTCGGCGGCGGTCTCGGCGGTGGTCTCGCGGCGGGTCTCGCCTGCCTCGCTGCATCCCCAAACAGACATCTCCAACGACCCGGCAGCATTGCCCTGCGGGTCATTACCCTGCACTCGTCCATGCGACTCTTCTGGCTCTCCCGACCAAGATGTGTCCCCGAGCGCACCCAGCAGACTCGCACCCTTGCATCAGGGTGCCTCGCCCCGTCCCGTCCCATCACGTCTCGTCTCGTCTCGTCTCGTCTCCTCTCGTCTCGCCCACCAGTCACGTGCGTTTTTTCTGTCTCGCCAGCAAGAAAATTTTCGTCGTGGTCTTGCCCTCTGTCTCGCTCGCTCGCTCACCGGCACCGGACATAGGACTCTGCCCAATCGCTGTCGGCACCGTGCCCCCCCCCTCATCTCCTCCATCCTCCGCCTCCTCGCAAACAAGATCCCAGCATGTCCGGCGAACAAGAAGCCGCTATCTTCACGGCCCCTCACTATTCCGCCCGTCCCGAGAGCCGTCCCGAGCATGTAAGGTCACTCCAAGAGGATGCCCAAGGGATGAGGGCAGTTCTGATCGGCATCGGGAGAGGGGGCAGAAGGGCGACCCGAGCCGAGGAAGGACCGGTCGACGCTACGAGGTCGGACAGACTTGCAGAGTCTGGATGGGCTCTTGCAAATGGAGCCGAGGACAGCGACTTGCCAATTCATCAACGCATGATCTTGTCCAGTCCAGAGTCCAACATCCAACGTCGTTCACCCTCCTTTCCTCCTCCTCCTCCCTGTTATGCTTTCTCTTGTTCGACTGCGCGAGTGTACTCTGATTATATGGCTTGATGGTGCACGGCGAAGCAACGCTGGCGGTGTGGACATTGTTCTCAGACATTGATGCTAACAACGAACATTCGCGATCATGCAGATCCACAACATTGTCGAGACCGTCGATAGGTAAGATATCGATGCCCGAGCAGATGTGTGACCAGAGCCGGCCGGCGCGATTCCGCTCAAGGCCCTCCGACTCCTCCAAGACATCGGATCAACAAACAAGGATCAGCCACGAATGCTGGAGGATGGCGTGGAGTGGGAGGTTATTCGGCGATCGGAAGGGCAGGACGCAAGGACAGCCAAGATGATGGATCCCGCGCTCTGGATGTGCCAGCTGGCAGACGGCAGTGGCTTTGGCTTTGGCTGGGGAAGCGCTGGACACTTGAAGCAGCCCAGGACACACAGCCGCCGAGACCCATGGCCCTCTCTGCCCACATGCTGATCAGCGGCGCCCCCATTTGATGCACAGATACAACCCCGACAACATCCCCGTCCTCCAGGAGTACATCCAGGAGCAGATCGCCAACGACACCTACGACCGCGACGCCTGCCTCGCTACCCTGAAGCTGTACCAGTTCAACCCCACCTTGGTCGACTCGAGCAGCATCATCCGCGTCTTGCTGCTTGCCCTGGGCGCCCTCCCCGATCCGGACTTTTCGCTGTGTCTGTGCCTCCTGAGCGAGGAGACCTACACCGACTCGAACGTGGCCAAGCTCATCGAGCTCCAGCAGTACCTGGAGCAGTGCAAATTCCAACAGTTCTGGAGCTTCCTGGACTCGGACGACGGACCCCGCGATCTCCTGACCGAGTACCCGCACTTTGAGCGCCGCATCCGTGAGTTTGTCTCGGACACGGTGGCGATCACGTACCAGTCTATCCAGGTCGACAAGCTCAAGAGCTTCCTGTCATTCGAGGAGCGAGGCGAGTTTGAAGCCTGGGCCGAGGCTCACGGCTGGGCCGTCGACGAGAGCGATGCCTCGGTGATCAACCTGCCCGTCTCCAAAGACAACCAGCCCAAGCCTGCGATCGTCCAAGAGTCGCTAAAGTTTGATCAGCTCACAAAGGTTGTTGGCTACGGCCGCCTGGCCTGAAGCACTTGTTTGACAACGGAAGGAGCGACGGTGCCCGAAACAAAGGGAGGGGGAGGGTATGGGCAGTGAAAATCAGCAAAGGAGGGAAGCTGGGAGCCAAGGGATGCTGTTGGTATTGCTTTTTGTTGTTGGTGTTGGTGGTGATGTTGATGTTGGTGTTGGTGTTGATCCCTGTCTGCTGTTACTCGTTTGGAGAGGAACCCTGTCCGGCTGTCCAAGTATGGTGCGTCATGCCCAGACACAGCTTCACCGCTTTGGAGGAAAGTAGGAGGAGGGGGAGAGCGCCCGTCAAGACGATCCTGGGCTGTGTTGCCTCTCTTTCCTGTTTGATGCTCCCGCTCTCGTTGTCTCTCCTGGAACCTTGCCCTTTGATGTTTTTCACAATCTCGCGGTGATGAGCCAGAGTAGAGATATGCATGAAATATATGCACGCCATGTTTGCAAATGAAGAAGGACCAGGGAGTGGGTATGTATTCTCCTCTATCACACGCACACTCACTCTACAGAATCATGCACACATACAAGGAGGGAAGGGGTCCATGCGATTGTGAGAAAGGAGAGAGAAGGGGGGAGAGAGTCTTCCGCTTCCAGGCCTTTGTGTTGAAGAAAGGGCTGCGCCAAAATCTAGCCTTATAAAAGAGGCCCCGATACAATCAGAGTACTCGAAACAGACACATGGAGTAAGGAATAGAGAAGCATTGGAAGGGCGAGGGATCATGTCGCGAAGCTGGTTGGGAAAGGGAAAGGATGCTGCTCAACATGGCTGGGAAGGGGAGTCGGAGAGGCCAAATGTCTGCACACAGTATATGCCATTTGTCGAGAGCGAGCGGACAGGGGGCGCAGATGAAAGACAGCACCGGAGACAGCACGATGATGCTCAGTTCTTGTGTGGACGGACGACCAGGACAGGGTATCGGGCGTGGTGGACGACATGGGTCGAGACACTGCCGAGCAGAAGGCTATAGAGTTCAGGCGTTCGGTCGTCCGATGCAGAGATGGAAGTAGTAGATGGAGAGGTAGAAGCAGTGCATGGAAAAAGTGATAGCAATACAGAGAGACGGGGTAGTCATGGCAGAAAGGACACGTTAGTTGATATGAACGTGTGTACATGGTGAACATGAGGATGCATACGAGCCCGCAGGTTCTCTCGGCCGTACCTTTTCAGTCCTGTGCGTCCACGGCTGCCGACAACAATCAGGTCGGGACTGATTTCTTCGGAGTAGGAGACGAGCGACTCGCGCGGGTCACCAAGGAGTGCCTTGACGACAAAGTTGGCGCGGACGGGGTATTTGATCAGAATCTTCTTGAGGAGGTCGCGAACTTCGATGAGGCCCTGTGTGGGGTGTGGAACGAGGCAATGAAGTGGCCGGGAGGATGGAGTGAGACCGATGGTGGTGGCTGTGGTGCTGCAAGCGCATTGCAGGGCGGACGGGGATGCACCGGTTGTGAGGGAAGGAAGGGAAGGAAGGGAAGGAAGGATAGGAAAGATGGACACGGTTATGGGCATTTGATACTTACGGCGCTCTGGAGCTCCTCGTCCGTGATGGATGCTGTATACGCCAAAATCAAGGACTGTCAGTGGTGCGATTCGAGCATTGCGCATGTGTGTGCGGATGGTCGGGCACAGGATAGTCGGGAGGGACCGACATTGCGGTGCTTGGATGGATGACGTACATGATATGGCGCCGGTGGCTCCGACCAGCTCGGCATAGTCGGCGCTCGCCTGCGGCTTGACGACGGTGACGACCACGACATCGTCATTGTCCTGGACGGCATGGACCAGGGCATGCTCGAGGGCCTGGACGCCGTAGATCGAGTCGTCGACGCAGACCATAATCTTCTTGGGCATGGCAGATAGATGGATAGATGGATAGATGGATAGATGGGTGCGCGGTGTTTGCGAGGATGCGTTGAGGCGGGCCGGCAGAGGCAAGTTGGGATGCAATCGCTGTGGTAGAGAGAGGGGATAGGACTTGGGTGAGCCTGGCGGCCTCTGGGAGATGGCTGCACAGCTTTATAGGCCATCCCGTGGGTTCGGAGAGATGCTGACGCAGAGTCGGGAGAGTGAGTCAGGATGAATGGCACGGCGAGCGTCGGGGTTGACTCGACAGGCACGCGGCTGCCTCGCATCTTCTGGAGCTGGTGGCTCTTCCTCCCAGCCGGCCACGGGGAGGGGATGTGCATGCTGGAACGACTGGCGCATGATGGCGGCCTGGCCAAAGCGGGCCCGGCAAACGGCCCAAGTGACGAGGCGAGAGTCATCGCCGAAGCCTAAACGGAGATACTGTCCTCTATCCACCCACATGTCCAGCCGCATACCCTGCCATTTGACCAGGCATCTGGCTGTCGGCTGGCGTGGCGAGGAGGAACAGACCCAGGTGCGCCACCGAGGCTCGTCGAGCATCGAGAGAACGACATCCGGGATGCGTCCACTTGATACCAGAGACAGCACCCCGGGTGTATCCGGTGGACGCCAGAGACAGCGTCCCGGGTGTATCCAAAGCAAGGCCTTGAGGCGCCTCTCGATCAACGGGCACCGGCTCGGCGGCAATGTCGCTGGCTGAGCAGCCCCGCCCCTGAATAAAATGTAAGCCGTCGGGTCTTGGCATTCCGCACTTCCTCTCTGCTCTTGGCGTGGAACCAGATCACCGCGATCTCCGCTGGCGGCCTGTTGGATTGCTGGTTGCTGAACGGCCCTCGACTGCCAAGCCGGCTCTGGGCTCGGCGCGGTGGTGGTGGTGGTGGGGCCTCTGCATCTCGACCGACGAGCGAAGGAAGGAGCGGCAGCGAGATGGCCTGGCAGGACGACGGCGGAGGCGATGAGGCAAATGGCGCGGATAGCCCCAAGGAGGGTGGCCTGGCAGCAGACATGACGAGTGCCCTTTTTTTCCTTGAAGGCGATGCCAGGTGTATGGACGGGCCCAGAGCCAGCAACAAGTCCACCCGAATCGGCGAGAAGGAAATCGCAAACCCCGGCATCGGGCCGGATGGCGCTGACGAGGAGAAACCGAGACAGACGCTGCGCGGATGCGGCATTCACGACCAAGACCAGATAGATCGCCCATTTGCTCCCGCCAGCGTGTGTCCCATCAGTGCGTGGGGCTATTTGGTGTCAGATCGACATTATATTCCACATATTATCCCACAGCAGCGGGTCTGGTTGGTCCAGGTGAGAACGCAACGAGGTGCCTCAAACAGAGGGTCGGGGCACACAGACAGGCATATTTGCGTTCTTGGACGGGCGAGATGACCAGGTGAGGGACACCAAGAAATGCTCGAGACTGAACAAGTGACCGGGAGGGGGTCAGATGAGTCGAATGTACGAGGGTGGGGGTATCCCAAAAGGTCTGGGGGTCGCCGAGGAAAGCCAAGAGATGATTCCTTGGCGATCCTGCGGGGACACGAGGATGCGTTGTCTCAAAAATGAAGCACGGCGTGGCACGACGAAAGCTCCGAGGGCGAGGGAGAAGGGAGATGCGAGGCCGAGGGTGGAGGCATGTGTGAGAACGAAGGTGGGGGAATGTGCGATGCCGAAGGAGAAGGCAGGCGTGAAACCGAGGGAGGGGCCGTGCGGGGAGGCGAAGGCGAAAGCGGCCGAGGTCGGCTTGGCGACGAATTGCAAGCCGGCATGGATTGTGCCGAGGCTTGTATGAATCGGTTGCGGTATTCGGTTTGGAGCGTGCGCAAGATGACGATCCACGAGGTGTAGGTCTTTGGCTTGATGTTGAGCGAATACTGGATGGTACGGAGGAGCTCGCGCTCGTATAGGTTGAGGTTTTCGAGCGGGATATCAAAAATCTTGGACCACGAGGCATTGGAGAAGCGTTGGTCGCAGTGGAACTTTTGGGCAAGGATGATGGAGACAAAAAAGATGGCTTGTGTCGGGAACTCTGTCGTCAAGCCGTGGGAATCGACCAGGGTGATGGCAAGCGGCTCGCCGGCGGTGGTGGGGGCGGCGAAGGTATTGTCGGACGGAGGCTGCTGCGGCGACGCATCCGAGGGCGAGGTCGAGGACGGGCAGCTGGACGACAGTGGCTCGGTTGTGGGTATGGTACGAGTCGGGAGGGAGGTGGGAGGCACAGTACTGGACGAGATCTGCGCCTGCCGGCGCCGGGACTGATGAGTGTGTCTCGCCATTTTGAGAAACTGGGCCGAGTAGAAGAGAGCAATTGGGATGAGGGTCCTGAGGCTCGGATGGGCCGAAAGGAGCCGGTAGATCGAGGGCGTGAGAAGTGAGAAGCATTCGAACTTTGGCAGCGGCGAGAGATTTTCAGGACGCGGGTTGGGCGGCACCGTGGGCATGAACATGAAGCGGTACATGGCAAAGGTGACAAAGTCGGCAGCGAACCAGAGATTCTGGTGGCGCACAGCCTCGGCAGACGAGCCCGACGACGTTCGTCTCCGAGGGGTGTTGGGCTGAGCATCGATGGTCTGGGCGGTGCTCGAGTCCCGAGCACCAGAGACCGGTTTGGTAAGGGCTTGCAGAGTAAGGCGGTGGTCCATTGAGCGTCGAGGGCGAGAGACGGGGGCCATAATATCGTGGGAGGACAGCAGCGAGGCGGTATTCAGTACGGACGGATGCGGATGGCGTGTCGAGGAGCAAAAGCAGGAGCAAAAGCAGGGGCCAAAGCAGGAGCAAGATCAGGAGTGGGAACGCAACAATTCGATGAAAGTCCCTGGCGGTGGTGGGAACGAACGCGGCTTATATCGGCGACAGCGGGACAGTGGATCCCACCTGGTGGCAGCGCACGAACAAAGTGGAGGGGGGGGGCGACGTGGCAGCGGTTTGGGCGCTTGGCGGGACAGGCGAGAGGTGGCGGCGAGAACGAACCTCCCGGCCTGACTAATGCTTGGCACTGGCCCCACGGCCGGGAAGAAGACTCGGTCGGCCCTGGGTTTTGCCGCAGGGCCGTGTGTCAGGATTATGCGCAGGAGATTATGCATCGGCGTGATGCACAGGGGATTATGCATCGGCGTGATACATCGGGCTGGTCGCAGGCATCGCTTGCATCGCTTGCATCGCTCGCTTGCATTCCGGACATTACAAACTCGCGGGCCGAGACGCATGCCCTCGGTGCCTCTCTCGGCCGAAAGTGTGGGGGTATCAGCCCGGCAGACGGCGGACGAGCAACAACATGACTCGCCATGCTCACGGGATACCTGAACCTTGGTTTGTGGGTATTCGACGGCTGCACAAGATTGCACAAGCGAATGCACAAGCGAATGCACAAGCGATTACCCAGTGATTACCCAGTGATTACCCAGTGATTACCCAGTGATTACCCAGTGATTACCCAGATTGCACCAGTAATCGCTCAAGCATTGGTATCAGATGTCGGCATCGTGCGGATGTCGGCGAAACAACAAACTCTGGGTCATTCGATCGCAGTCCAGGCGTTTCCACGCCGCCCCAGCATTTCCGCACCGTCCAGGCATTTCCACGCCATGCCGATACCGCCGCAAACTTGATCTAAGCCAGCGGGGGTATTACCTCGATCTACACCGATACCCCTCCGATGTTATCCCGATACCACTTCGATACCTCCTTTCTGCTATCCACCCCCCCCCGGGTGCCGTCCAGATACCGAGACTCGCTGCCGGGCCGCGTCTCGCCCCAGCGCCACGAAGCCGCTCACCGCAATTGCCGTTGGCCAGCAAGGCCCGTCGCCCCAAGTGCCTTTGCGCTCTCCCCCGATCTGCAAGAGCTCCATCCTTTTGTCCGTTCCTTTCTTCCGGCGCTGTCGCTGGCCTGCTCCCCCTTTTTTTTCTCCGAGACCCCCCTGCTCTCCCTCCCGCCTGTCCGCTGCCAAGCTTCGCTTCAGCCCGGTCGCTCCTTCGTCAATGGATGCGTTGGCAGCCGTCGCCATCGTCTGTCTGGTCGCTGTCGTCATCGGCCTCCTGGTGTGCATCTTGCCCCGTCGCTGCTTTCCAAACTCGTCTCGGATAGCCGAGCCTGCACCCAGCCAGCGCACTTCGCCCTCCACCGACTCGTCGGTCTCCAGCAAGCTATCGCCCTATCGGCTGCCGGCGTTGCTTCGGCCCCTCTCGATCTTTCGCCGGCCCCGCCCTCCATGGCCACCAAAGCCCGCCGACAACGAGCTGGCCCATAAGCTGGGCCGCAACACCTCCGGCACCGTCTCGTCAAAGTCCATCCACTGGGGCGAGGACTCCATCGTCATCGAGTCTGCCGACCCCATCCGCTTGGGCCACTTGGCCCACAGCGACCCGCACGAATCGGCGGTCGCTCCCTCGATGCTGCCTGGTCCGCATCACAACGGCTCGGCCGTGATGCTCTCCGATTCCCACTCGATCCATGTTCGCCCCATCTCAACCTTGTCCTTCAATTCGCCTGCTCGGTCCTCGTCGTCGGCCCACAGCATCATCCTGATCAAGGACGACCCCGACAACCAGAGCTCTCGGTCCTTTGAGATGGCCACCCGGTAAGCCCCGCCGCCTCCTCCTTCTGTCGCCTTCTGTCTTCGAGGTTACACCTTTTGTCGTCGAGGTCACAGCGTCCGGCCGCCTGGTTCCTTCTTTCATCTTCCTTGGCGGACGAATCAACGGGGGTGGTATCCATATGTTTCAGCCCGTCTTGCCCGCCAGCGCCGCCGCCCGATGACTCTTGGTGCTCGTTGGTCTCTCCTTTGCGCTTGCATCTTTGCTGTGCCCCCTCGTGTTTCGCCTTCGTCTCGCCACAGCGTTGTGCTGCATGCTTTGGATCACGCTTTGGACCACGCTTTGGACCACGCTTTGGATCTTGCTGTCGTATCTGGATGGTATCAAGCAAGCGGCTGATTCGCTGTCCACCTGGGTCGTCTCGGCTCTGCCGCTTCCAAGCGGTCAGCTGTGCTGATACCACGATGCTGAGGCAGCCGCCTCTCCTGCCTCCGATGGTATCGCCACTGCCTGATACTGCTGTTGCTACTTGCACCTAACATATTGTGCTTGGATCTCATCGCCCCTGTCTCGGCGGAATTCTGTCCAAAGCCACTCGCTGGATGGCGGGCACGATGCCGGAGACACCTCCATCAGTAGGTCCAAAGCCCTGTCGGTTCGGTCCTCGGCCACCTCGATCGCCAACCAGAGCATCGTCACCATCACAACCGCCCACAACAACCGCCCCTCCGATGCCCTCAGCACACGGGCCATCTTTGCACCATCCATTCGGCGAAACTCGCTGAGATTCGGGACCGCCGGCAGCGTCAGCACCGTCCACCATCTCATCACCACCAATCCCAACACCCCCGTCTCTGCCGTTTCGCCCATGAGCACGGGCGATCGAGCGCTGCAGTATCCCGACGGTGTCTCCGTAATGACAGCCATTTCGTTCGGAGAGGCAAGTCTCGATACCATGAGCATCTACAGCTAGGTGGTCCGCCACACACACCGGCTGGCAGCGCCCGGGTACTGTGGACCGACCCTGCACAAGCGCTTCCGGTGCCGGCAATGGCGGGATCTCTCCGCCGCACATAGCTTATCAACGAGCCCCTCCTCGAACGGCTGTCGGTTGCTGGTTTCCCCAGGTGTCGTGAACCTGGCCGCACTCGGCACGACGGCTCGGCGCCTGGGGGAATGTCCTGCGGCAACCCACGCCATCGCCAGTTGTCATTGCGCCGAAGCGCCTCCGCTATTTCCCCCATCGCCATCACCACAACTATCGTCACCATTACCCTCCTCCTTTTCGGCGCCCGTTCTATGGCTGTTGCCATGATGTGCCATTCGCTTTGCAAACCACCTGAATCACTCCGTTATGGGCCATAGCTCTTGATGCTGGACTGTCTTGGCTGCACTTGCCCGCCGCTATCCTACGGTGTTGTTTTGCCGTGTTGTCGCTGTTGTCGCTGTTGTAGCTGTCGTTGTAACTGCTGTAATTTTGTCGCTCTTGTTTTGTCTTTTTGTACTTGTAGTTGTTCTCATCGTATTGCTACTTTTCTGTTGTTAAGCTATCATTTTTGTTTTTTCACTTTTTTCTTTGTTCCTGTACAAGTACCGCCGCTGTCTTTGCCATCCCACCCACTCGTGCCATTTTGTTTTTTTTCCTGCTGCCCGGCTCCCGACCAGTTTGCCAATCCGTCGTCAGCCCGCTTTGAAGTGTCGCTCATGATTGATTGCTCTATTCCCTCCATTTCTTGCTGCCATGTTTGCCGGTAACAGCCAGGGACCGCTTGCCCCTTGATGAGCATGCCCGTCCTCCTTTTCTTTCCCTCCGTTGTGTTTATCCTCACTCCTCCTCCACATACACCCCATCTCTACTATGCGCTGGATGCGATTTTGCCGTTCTTTGTTCTCCTCCGCTCTCTATCTCTCCATCTCCCTGTACAATTACATCCCGAGCCCGTCCTGTTCATGTTGCTGCCATCGCCAGTGGCCGATTCAGGTCGATGGGGAGCATCGGCTTGTCGAATAATACAGCATAGGCTCGTCGGACAGCAGAGCTCAACCTGGGAGCCTCAAAGTGCCGTGGGAACAGGGGTCGCCGCCTCGTTCCTGGGCCCTGGTGCGGGCGGGTTTCGTCGTCGTTGTGTCACGCGGCCGGCCGAGCGGGCCTGTTTTTCGTCGCCGGCCTGTCGGTCTTCTCCCCCCGCCCAATTCAACCATCTCCCTCTCCGCCAGCCTTTGCTTCCCGGCTGAGGCTTCCCTCTCGGCTCTCTTTGCCCTCCCTCTCCGTCATCCCGCAGAGTCTGATGGATGCGGCTCTGAGCACCAAGGCGATCCTGCGAACCAACCTGCAGCTGCTCGGCCTGAAGGACCCGGACGGAGCCATCTACACCAAGCACGAATGGACGACCAAAGCCGCCGAGACCGTCATTTGGTTTCTTCTCTCGAACCTGGATGAGCCCAAGGCCAAGGAGGTGCGCCGTGGGACCTGAGCTTCCACGATCACATCCAGCATCCCTCTTGGCGATCTGTTCTCTCGCCCTATCCCCTCCTCCTCGAGACTATATTGTCCGCCTCTCTCTCTCTCACTCTCTCTCTCTCACCTCTATTCGCTCATTGCTGCATCTGGAAGCTTAAACACTCACAATCTTGACCCTCCCCCCGGTTCTCCGGCTCTTTCTCTTCCGATTCCACTTCATGCTCCTTCTTTCGACACCACACACACACACAGCGATTTTCAACCTGCTACCCGGTCCTGGATCGTCTGCAGTCTCGCGAGTTTCGAAACCAGGCGTTCAAGTGGATCGAAGCCCTCAAGCGGGACGGCGAGCTCTGGAGCGACATTCAGATCCGAAAATCCTATTTCGACGAGTACCGGGGCGAGCGATTCGAACGGGCCCTGCTGTCGCTCTCCTGCACGGTGCTCCGGAAAGCCGTCGGCAAGGACAAAGAGTTGCAGATGGACGGTATGGTATTGCATTCTCCAAGTCGAGGATGAGAGTGGGAGAGTGGGAAGAGAGGAAGGGAGGAGAGAGATTTAGGGTGAAATGATGGCAGAAACAGAGACACCGTTCCCCGGCTGCACAAGCTGCAGCCTCGCTTGCGACATGAATGCCTTGGACGACATGAATGCCCTGGACGACGTGAATGTTCTGAATGACACGAACGATATCCCATGAGGGCAATGATATTCCATGGATCATCATTCGCCTGACTGATATTCTTCTGCCTCTTGGTTCCTCCTCTCTGATCCTCCTGCCCTTGAATCAGCTCCTCCGGTCTTGTGCGAGTCCATTGTCAAGAAGAGCCCCCTGGTCCAACAAGCGTACATCCGCTCGCTCAAGGTTCGTTGCGGGCATGTTGCCCCTGTGCATCATTGGGAGGCAGTCACGCAACCTGATTGATCAAGCTGGATCCAGCGTTGCTCTCTCTGACTCAACCTCGTCGCCACCATCGCCACACCACCACTAGACCCAGATCTGTGCTCGCTCGTCCGAGTTCTTGGTGGTGGCCCAACACCGCAAGCAGCAAATCGATGAGTGGAACGAGCTGGCGGATAAAATGAAGAACGAGCTGGTGGCGACCAACATTGAACTGGTACGTCGCGCCGGTTCATTCCACGAGAGGAGGAGGCCGATCGAAGCACATCACGAGCAGGAGACGTGCTGGGCAGAACGGATCGATGGACCGTTTCGATGGCATCATGGCCGTCGCACTTTGGCGCTGCCATCAGTATTGCTGTCGACATCGGCGCTCCGATAGCGACGGCGACACAGTCATTCGCCTCGCTAGCACGACTCTGATCGACGCTGCTGCCACGGGTCCACCCACAGGGCAAAGTCACCCAGCACCGTGCCATGATCAAGGCTCGATACTCTGCCGGCCAGATCGAAGAATGGAAGCGGACGCAGGAGGCCAGGGTGGGGACGGTCCGAAGCACCTGGAAGACGATGGAGACCTGGAAAAAGTACAACGACGAGATCATGAAGGTCATCCCGACCTTCCTCGACGCCAAGACCAAGCCGCAGCTCGACGGCGAGCAGCTGAGGGTGTGCATCCCCGACACGGTCGCGCAAGTGATCCACCCGACCCTGGCGGCTGGCGGAATATCGACCTACCAGGATGGGAAGCTGGATCTTGTCGGCGTCGTGAAGCTCTCGACTGTGGTTCTAAACCACGTCTCTGGGTCGGTCGCCCAGGCGGCCGAGGGTGGCCAGTCAAGTATGTTGGGAGGGAGACTCGGTCACGGCGCAGGGATGTCGATCGAGAGCGGGTCAAAGTTTGCATGGCTCGGCGATGCGTTGCCCAGCAAGACCCCGCCAGCTCATCGTTATTCCATCCCGCAACGTCCCAGGTGTCGACTCACTGACTCCCCAGATAGCACACCGTGCCGGAGAGCAAGAAATGCTGCTGAAAACCGTGCGCTCGCTGAAATCCAAGCTGGCGGACCGCCTGGCAGAGCTGCAAAGCTCCATCTCGGTCAAGCGTGATCTATGCGAAAGGTGGGCAACAGTGAGTGGCGGTCGCGGTAGTGGTTGTGGCGGTGGTGGTGGTGGGAGCTGCTTCATCACGACGACAAAGCCAGAGATTTGTACCCAGGAGCCTTGCCGCTAACGAAAGCCTGTTTCGTCCTCACAATCAACAGCCAGCACGAGTTCACCACCAAGAGCGATCTGTGTTTGACGAGCCCTCGGAAGCCCTGGAGCATCCGACGAGCCATTCAGAAAAAAGCTGTAAGTGTGCTTGTCCTGGATGGATGCCGCTTGTGGATCGATGTCGTTTGTGGGTATGAGTAGGGGGGAGGGCACAATCCGGGCCTCTGTTGCAACAAGATGCGGTGTCATCACCCAAGCTAGCTTCGCAGCCCCATTCTGATGCAGTCAGTACTTGCCATCCAGGCCATGGACAAAAAGTCGATCGTGCAGCCGTCGACACCAACGATCGCCCGCATCGGTGAGCATCCTGGTGGCACATCATCCCATACCACACCTCGCCTTGGCACTGTCGGATGGCATCCCCCAGCTCATGCTCTCGATTTTCTTTCATTCTGACACCTGACCATTCTGCTTCGATACCCTGTACAGACTCGGGAGCGCTATCGACTCCCGAGGGCATTGCCAAAGCCCGGCGAGAGATGCAAGCCAACATCGGCGCCAAGATCGACATGGACTTGCAGCTCGAGATGGAGCGCAACCGCAACCGTGCCAAGGTGATCCAGCAGCGTGTGCTGCAGGAGCTTCGTCGCAGCAACTCTCACCTAGGGACAAAGGCTGGGCACTCGCGGATACCGCCGCCCATGTCCAATCTCTCCAGCAAGCTCTCGGAGCTCTCGATGGCCCGTATCACAGACGAAGACGAAGACGAAAACGAAAACGCTCCGCTCGCGGGTGAGTCATCGGACCTTGTGCGATGAAAGCCGACAGACTCTGTGACGGTTGATAGCACTGATAGGATCGGCTACTAACCCGCTTCCACATCGCTTGAATATGTGGCAGATAAGAGACGCCTGCCAGTCTCCAAGAAGACAGCGGCCAGCGGCCCCAAATCCCCTTCGAGACTTCCCAGCATGAGCAAACTTCAGGTCCCCACCCGCGGCGCCAAGACCGGAGCCAACTCGCAATCACTCGGACAGCCCAAGTCTGGATCTGGGTTGGCTACTCAAAGCTCAGATCGAGAAGGTCGCACCAAGGAGGGTCGTCCATCTGGAAAGTCCGCGACGACAAAGCCGCCGACGACAGCGATGATGACGATGATGGAGCCTGTTGATGGAGTCGTCACGCCGACCAAGCCAAAGCCAAAACGATTTTCGTCTCACATCGCAGTTCCATCGCCACATGACCAAGGGGCTCGGCTTTTTGAACCAACGTCGCCAGGGTCGCCCGTTCGCAAAATGGACCGGCAGATCGAAGAGCTATGCGATGAGGTATGCCGTTGCTACCATTGCTGCCGTTGCTGCCATTGCTGCCGTTGCTGCCGTTGCTGCTGTTGCTGCTGTACTGTCGAGCACATCGTGTTACCCCTCCCTCGTCCGACCAACACATTCACGGTCGATCTGCTTGCCCTTTCTCGCTTATGCCGCTGTCTCTTGATTCAGATTGTCGATTATGCGTATGATGAGCAGTCCGAAATCAAGCCATTTGCCCTCGACCGGATCTCGCGGTTCAGTCTGGGCAGACCGGATACCGTCCAGCAGAAAGGTAGCCATCGGACAGGTGTCTATCGCCCTCGCATGGTTCTCTTGGCTTGACCTGGATCGCCGCTGAATCTGGTGGCGGTGGCGGTGGCAGTGGTGGTGGTGGTGGTGGTGGTGGTGGTGGTGGTGGAGTCGTTTCTGATGTACCACTCTCGCTCGCAGATGTCGACGCTGCTCCTCTCGCAGTCGATGCCACGCCAAGGGCCAGTCGCTTGCCAGTCTCGACTCTGGCGAGCCCGACGCTCGATACTAGCTTTGACGACATACCACTTCTGGCTTCCGAAACGCCAGTGAAGTCTTTCACGGTTTCGAGCGACGACGATTCCTTTGAGGCAGACGAAAGCCATCTGAAGACCCCGGTCTCGGCGAGCAAAATCGCCAAACCCTACTTTTCGCCTCTGCTCAGCCCGTCAGTGTTGATAGCGCGCCAGGACAAACTGGTCGCTGCTCGCACTGCCCAAGCTACCGAAAAGTCGCACATGGATGCAGATGTAGATACGAATATGGATATGGATATGGACATGAGCATGGACATGGATGTGGGGGCGGCCTCTGGAAACGGTGCGCCCCACCTCCAATTCCAGTTCCAGCCCGTCCACCCCATCGCTCCACCGCATCACCAAAATGACCAGATTGGCGGTGGAGACCCCGAGCGAGACGACGACGGCTCGGATCACGACGACGACGCTGCGGACTATGAGTTCGTGGACGACGGCAACTTTGTCGATGAGTACGACCTGTCGACCCCACAAGAGCATCTGATCGACATTGACTACGAAGCGGACGACCTTGGCGCTGAGCCCATCCTTGTCCAGCAGACCGCGACTGGAACCGCCATCGCTGTCAGCGACGATGTCGGCGCTGTTGCCAACACCGATGCCGATGTCCATGTCGAGCAACTGGGACGTCAAGTCCCGCTGTTTCTTCCGCGCGACCACGATCCAGGGCCGCTGTCGCTGGACGAGCAGGACCACTACGACAGCACCGACTCGGACACCGAGACGTCGACGTACAGCAGCAGCGAAGACCAAGACGATGACAGCGACGGCGGGTTCGAGCATCGGCGGCGAGTGCCAATCACCCTTGCTGGGTCCAACGAGCCACCGAGCTCGCCTGCATTCATGCTCACCCGGCTGCGGCAGCACCCGTATGCCCCCAAGACACCCTCGCGGTTCAATCCGGTGGCAGCGTATCTGGGGGAGCCTGGCCGTGGCGGCGACGGCACCGTCGGCATGTTTGGCACCCCTCGGACGCCGAGCCAGTCGATGCTGAAGAACGTCGTGATCCATAGCGCTCTGCGGCTTGCCCAGGCACGCAATAGCAGCACTAGCGACACCAAGGCTCGGCAATGCCGCGAGCCGGACGAAGAAACAGTGGAGCAAGTCGGGGGCGAAGAGCCCATGACGACGTCGCCCTCGGCCCCGACCTCCGCCTCCACCTCTCCACCCACCTCTACCCCCACAAACGAAGGACCCATGTCGACCCACGAGCTCAGCATCAGCAGCGAAAGCGACGACGACGAGACTTTGCTGACGATCCTGGACTGTAAGAACGTGACGATCGGACGCGGCGATCGTGTCGTCCGGGCCAACCAGGTCCAGAGCGTTGCTGACCGTCTGGTGGTGATTGAAACGCCAAGCCGAAAGCACCGTGGCATCAAATCCGAGCCCGCCGGCCGACCGACAGCGACGGCGGCAGCGATTGAGGACGAGGGCAGTGCCGGTGACGAATCCCTGAACCTGAGGACGGCCAATGTCTGGATCGAGAGGACTCCACGGGCAGCCCGGACCACGCCAAGCTCGAGTGCCAACTCGAACGCCGGTCCACAGCAACAGCCACAGGGAAGGGAGGAGGCCGGCGATCCGGAGCAGAGGCAGCAAAAGTACCAAGACATGTGGTTCCAGGAAATGACCGTGCCCGTGCACGAGGCCGACACCATGCCCGTGTTTTCGCCATCGGAATGGCTCGGACGACCGATGCGTAAGTGCAATGCAGCGCAATGCGGTGCAATGCGGTGAATGCAGTGGATGCAGTGAATGCAGGGATGCAGTGCAATTCAGTGGATGCAGTCGTCGCTTGCACTCTCCGCATGCTAACCCGGGCCTGCCTCTGCACGTTATCGCACAGCCGAGCCAACCTCGCCTCTGAAGGATATTCAGCTCATGAACGGCGTCGATTTGATCGGTATGGGACCCCTCTTGTATGCAACGGAGAAACGCTGGGGCTGATGAAGTGCAGAGCTTGCAATACTGATTGGACGCTGCCAACCCCCCTCTCTCGTGATGCTCTGCCCCGGGACTCGCCCATGCTCCCTATCCGATGGCCATCCCACGCGACGACGAGTAGAAGACGAAGAGGAGCTCGATTTCTTGCATGACCAGGACGACGACGTGCTGTTTGGCGAAGACAGCAGCTTTGTCAAGGCCCTGGAGGAAGAAGGCAACGCGCTGATGCAGGGAGACGAGACAGCCTACTTCAACTTTTGACGGCCCCCTCAGACATCGTGCCTGTCGAGATCAAGAGGAAGGGGGCCCCTCGGCCATCCGCCGGTGCGGAACCGAGCCCGTGGATGTGCATGTGTGTCGGATCTCATGATGAGCGGTTGTGGTCCATGCAATTTTTTTGGAGGAGGAGATCGGGTTCCGGAAATACACATTTATTGGAAAGGAGAATCTATCCGCAACATCCTCTGGATACGAGTGCCATGGAGCCCGAGACGGAGAAACACCCTGGACAATGACTGTGGATGGGTGAGCGAATAGGTGAATGGATGGGTGAGTGAATAGGTGAATGAATGGGTGAATAGATGGGTGAATGAATGGGTGAATGAGGCCGGGCAGATGAGGTCATGCCGGCCATCATGGCTGCCACTTGTTGATGACGGATGGATGGAGGGAGGCAGCCAGGGAGCACTGCGATCGAGGAGCCAACGTCAGCCACCACGACGGATCGATCTGCCTGGTGAGGCGACAGGCAGGGACGGGCCTTGATCAGCGCTGACCCAGCAGCCATCGGCAGGGACGAAAGCGCCGGCCTCTCTCGATCCGGGGAGCACATGCCGTGCATGCAACGAGAGCATCGGCAAGCGGAGGAGGAGGACGGCAGCGAAGGGAGCGAGGGGAGTGAGGAGGCGAATCAATGATCGGATGCAGATCAACAATGCCATGAATCATGGCATAATGAGCGGCCGGAGGTTTGTTGGAAGGTACTGAACAGAAGGGGGTCACAAAGAAAGGACCAGCAGGGGACGAAAGGACAGCCGGGCAGGACGGTAATAATGAAAACAAGCGCCTGAGTGTTCCCGACATGTCTTATGCTATGATTGGCATGATCTCATCCCTATCGCAGTTTTTTTTTTGTGCCTGACCTGAGAGGGAAAGAGGGAGAGAATAGAGGCGGATTCTGGAGGATGCCCAAAGCAGACAAACGTAACCAGATTGAAGAGCGACAAGCGCAGGAAAGCCGATTTAAAGGAGAATAGGAAGGTTTTTCTCTCTCTCTTTCCTTCCCTGTCCAGCCACCACCTCTTCTTCTGCTCTGCCCTGCGGTGCCGCCTCGTCGTGGTCCTGCGTTCTTCCGTTGCAGAAGCGAATTGCTCGCCCGTTCGCTCTGCCCGTTCGCTCTGCCTGTTCGTCTCGCACCGCTGTTGGCTTTTGCCGAGTCTGCTGCGTGTTTGCATTGCTGCAGCATCGCCGTCGACTGCGTCCGCTTGTTGCATTCCTGTTCTCTTTGGTGTCCCTGGAGCGTCTGTCGGGAATTCCGATTTGCCTTTGGCGTCTTCAACTCCATTATCTATCCGCCTTCTGTTCTTCTCGGCTCTGCTGCTGCTGCTGCTCCGATACCTTGCTCGTCTGTTTGGCGTGCTTCCCATCCTATTCGTGCCGCTGTTGCCGTTTGTCGTGCTGATTTCGCTCAAAGTTCCCCCTTTTATTTCATCCGTACCTGCTCGACGGCTTTCCTTCTGCAGCGTTCATTGCAGCGCTCTTCTTGCCCACGTCTCGATTCCAGACTCTCGGCAGCCTTCCGGACAAGCGCCCTCCTGTGCCGCCTCGCCTCGCCTCGCCTCGCCACCGCCGTTCCTCGTTCGTCGTCTCTCGTTTCTCGGCCGTCCTCGCTGCTGGTCCTCGCCTGGTCCCACGTCGCCAACGGGGATTTCCTTTTTCTTTGCTCGATCGCTCAAACAGGTAAGCGGGCGAACACAAACACCCTCCTTGCCTGGCGTTTTTGTTTCATGTGTCTGTCTGGCCTCTCCCTCGTTTGGGCCCCCCCGCCCTGGGCATGCTGTTTTTGGGGGAGGAGCGAGGCGAGGAGGCCGCAGCATGGGAAACGGCCTTGGGACATGACCGCAGCACCAGGGTCCGGCCGCGATTCCGCTGCCCATAGACCGATGGGCAGACATGCGGGCCAGACATGATGTGATCGGCGACCTTCGGACAGAGGCAGACCTGGATCAGATAGCCAGATCAGACAGCCAGCGCAGATCCGACAGCAGATCAGATCAGATCCGGCAGCAGACCCAGCACAGCGCATGGCATTGCTGGGCGATCCCATGGCCAGGCACAGTGCCGCGCTCTTGTCGCCAGGCTCATGTTGCCATGAAAGCGCCGGCCATGCTGGGACACACGCCGCGGCGGCGGCCTTGCTGGGGCGCGCCGGTCTGTGTCTGGCCTTGCTGCGGTCTGGCTGCAGTCTCTGTGTCTGTGTCTGTCTGTCTGTCTGTCTGTCTGTCTATATCTGTTATATCTGTTTATATCTGTTTATATCCATCCATCTATCCTCTATCCATCATGTCTGCCTATGCCTGCACATTTCTCTTTCTCGCCGTCGCCCCCAATGCCTCCCCGGTTCAGCACCTCATCGCCCTTAACACACCCCTTAACATCCACCAGTATGTCTGTTCCTGTTGCCTGTGTCCGGCCTTGTCCCGCCCCTCCCTTGCTGTGCCGGCCTTGATGCCGCTGTTCCAACAAGCGCCGCGGCACTCTTCCCGGCCACAGCGCACTTTCCAACACAGCTGCGGCACACACTTGTTCTTTGCACTTGTGCTCCACACTGGCGCTCCACTCTCGCATGTGTCCCTATCGCTTCTCTGCAGCGCCCACCCCGTCCATCCCGTCCACCACACACCCCCCAGCAGCTCGCTCTCTCCCTTGCACCCCGCTCTCGCTCCCCTCTCGCTCCCTTCTCTCCCCCTCTCGCTCCCTTCTCGCTGCCGTCGCACCATCGTTTTTTTTTCTCTGTCCCTGGCTCAGGCGCATGAATGCCCCCGTCTCGTCCTCGCCGTGTCCTCGCCGTGCCCTCGTCCCCGTCTCGCCCCGCTCTCGTTCTCCCTCTTTTTTTCATGGTGTTTCGGGACATGCTCATACGCCGCTAACCCGTCTTCCTGCCCGTCCTTTTCGCCTCCATCGCTCCTGCGTCGCCCTCGACCCCCCCGGCGGCTTCTGCGTCTACCCCCTGCCTTTCCTTGGCCCCTGTCGTCGCGCTGCTCTAGTTTCCTGAAGACCCTCTTCCCGTCGCCTGGCCATCGTCTCGCAGGTTGGTAGAGTGCTTTTCTTGGCCCATCCCCTTCAAAAGCAACCCGCTTCAGCCTTTCCCGTCAGCCTTCCTGCCAGCCTTCCAGACCACCTCCGCCACCCATCATGCACTTCCAACCCCCCCCTTCCGAGCAGATCGATCGGTTCCCCATGACCCAGATCGCCCATCGTCGCACCCCGTCCGGGCTTCGATCACCTGGCACCCATTTCCTCGCCTATCTCCCTTCATGATGCCCTCCATCGAGTTCCGTTGCAGCTTTGGCTGGCCTGTCGCTATGGCCCGCTGCCTCGTCTTGCTGATCACCCCCCAACCGCCGAGATCATTGCTCCATCGTCCTGCCTCTACGCTCCTCGGGGTGCTCTGGCTGGATCTGTCGGTATCTGTGTCCGTCCCAAGCCGGCCGGGGCATGATCTCGACAAGCAAGCCTCGGCGATACCCGTCCTGACCCGCCTTTTGTGTTCCCTCCTGCACAACCAACCCGGCCTCGCGCATGTGCCTGCTGCATACCGCTAACCACACCATGTTTCGTCTCGCATACCCCCCTCCTTTCCTCTCCTCTCCTCTCCTCTCCTCTCCTCTTCTTCCCTTCCCTTCCCTTCCCTTCCCTTCCCTCCATTCCCCATCCATCTGCTCTGGTGGACTGCCCGATCGATTCTGGTGGATCTGTTGTGCCCCATCCCCTCTTCACGTCAACAACCAACCCAACCCAATCCAACCCACCGATAGCCCAAGCCATCAACATGGAACCTCCTCAGCCCCAGTGGTCCGCCTCGATGCCGCCGTACTCGAGAAAGGACACGGCCTCGCCATCGATCCTGCCTTCAGCCGAGGCCCTTGTCGCACTCGCATCGCACTGCGTCTCTCCCTCAAAGAAACCCGCCACCATCAGCACCCATCCGCTGACCATGTCCTTCCAGCCCTCGATGCCCATCAGCCCGACGACCCCGTTCCAATACCAGCGCTCCTCGGCCGTCCCTGTCAGCGGTGACCCCAAAACCGCCATACCCTTTCCCGGCCTAGCTGCCAATCCCGGCATCTCCATCAAGCATGTGTCGCCCTCACCCATCATGCCCACGCCTGCACTCGACGACTTTCCCGAGACCCACTCGCAATCCGAGGCCGCAAGCCCCTCTCCGATCAACAAGATGTCCGGCTCGGGCAAGACCCTGCGACCACCGCCTCAGCGAAAGACCCCCGAGCAGGTTGCCTTCCTCTTGACTGCCTATGAAATCAATCGATACCCAAGCCGGAACGACATCAACACTCTGGCCGGCAAAACCAAGGTAGGCCGGCGCCCGAGCGATCAGCACCGACGCCATGTTACTGTCGGCGCGCTTGCTGCCTTTGCCCTCCCCCATCGTGCGTCCTGCGAGTGGACGGTCTGGGCCGCGGCTCAGGAGGAGGGGGTGAAGCGTGCCTTTGTGGCCTGCCCCAAGAATACCCTTTGGTGGGAGCGCAGGTTGCACGCACTGGCAGGGCATGAGAGCAATCCATGTCGCGGCTGAGAGTGGGCTGACACCCACCATCAGAAGCGCGGGGTGGGCTGTGGTCCGTCTCCTGGATTCTGGCGGCGAGGGCTGGTTGCTATCGTTGCACCTCGGTGCACCTCGGTGGCTTGCTGCTTCCGTTTGCTCTTCAGTGTCGACGGCACGTTATCGATCGGGCGAGACGAGCGAACGGAAGCAGCGCCGATCCTGTGGGTTTCGCACAGCAATGCTTGCGGTGTGGCCCGTCGCCTCCATCACGCCATCGGTGCTTGCCCGGCATCAGCCACCCAGCGCTCCCATCGTATTTGCTCCGATCGGCAACTGATCCTTGTTCTTCTTCCCACCATTCCTGTCCCGCCGCACATCTACGCACCAATGCATCGACGCATCGACATGCACCCGCACAAATCCACATGCACCCGCCACCCCGCCCTCCATGGCCGCAGCTCTCCTCCGATCAAGTCCGGTTCTGGTTCCAGGATGCAAGAACCCGCGAGAAGCGCACCGGCCAGCTCCCCAAGGCACTGCCGCCTCCCAAGGGCAAAGAGTCGTCGCACGAGATATCAGAGCCCCAGCAGAACAATCCGTTCGATCGTGGCAACTCGCCCGTGAGCTCGCGTTCTTCGTCCCGATCGGCCTCGCCCGATCCCCGCCGTGGCCGCGAATATTCCTTCTCTCCGCTGTCGTCTTCGTCCTCTGAGGTCTCGCTGTCACGGCCCCGATCGGCCTCTCGCCATGCCAAGGGCTCCTCGGTCCGATCCGTCTCGCTGTCGTCCGTCTCCTCGTATCACAGCCAAGACGGCGACCTCGGCTCGGCGCAGAAGAGAAAGAAGATGGACTCCAAGGGCCGAAAGCGCCATTCCAAGGCTCACAAGCACAAAAAGTCCGACTATGCCTCCTACAACAAGCAAGAGCCCTACCCAGAGCAGGACCAGCAGCGGCAAAGACGCTCTCCTGTCCGCGAGCTTCCGCCGGCCGTCCATACCCAGGGATCGTTCATATTTGCGGGCTCTTCCAACCTCGACTCCACGTACGATATCCACTGCCGTGCTCAACACTTGCACCACAATCAAACACCCGCCACCATGCTTGCCCCGCCGTGCTCTGCGTCCGTGTCCTCGTCCTCGTCCTCGTCCTCGTCATTGCCCTCGTCCCTCCCCTATCCCCATCAGGCCGGCAACACTGCTGACATGCTTCCTTCTCCTTTCCCCTCTCCCACAACGCTGTCCAGCATGTCGTCCGAGCCCTCAAAGACCTCGGGCATGGACCTCCTCGCCGAGCTCAGCACCGTCATGATGGCTGCTGAAGAGTCGAACTTGAAGAAGCTCGGTGGCTCCGCCATCTCTGCACGGTCGTTCCACCAGGACGTCCGCACCATGTACCAGAACCATCGACAGGCCACCCAACAGGCCACCCAGCAGGCCGCTCAGCAGGCCGCTCAACAAGCCAAGGCCGCCTATTCCCCGCACCACTATACACCTGGCCGAGACGAGTCTAGCCGAGAGTCCCCGCGGCGACAGCCGTCCTACTCGCCGCGATACTACGAACCCTCTGGCCAGGACGACGACCACCAGCCGCCACCCCGCACGCAGACCTACTCTCCCCATACCTACTCTTCGGCTCCGCGTAATACCGATGCTCAGTACGACCCCACCGAGGACCGGGACGTCTGTGCCGCCGCTGACATTCTCGAACGCCAAAGCCGCGGTGCGGTATGGCACAACGACGAGGTCAGCAACCAGCGGCGAGCAGCCCTCTCCTCGGACAACGAGCCCGGCTTGCGCATCGAGCTACAGAGACTGCAAGACGAGCTGGCCGAAACACGCAAGGAACTCCGGACCACACGCGATCGCAACTATATCCTGGAGCGAACCATGATGGAATATGACCAACAGCGCCGCAAGGCCGATGACATGACTGCCAAGGATCATCTTTCCAAGCCCGATGAGCTGGATGGCAAATACTCGGACTGTGTTCCCTCGAACAACACCGATGCCGACTCGCCCTCCAAGATCTCCGTCGGCGATCCGGCACCTGTGCCCAACGTCTCGGGATCGGCTCCGGGAGAGTCCTCGACCGAGCTGTACGAGCGGATCAACCGACTTGAGGAGCAACTGCGGTTGCTGCAGGCCGAGTCCCAGAGCTACAAGGAACAAATGGAGTCCCTCGAGTCCGAGAACAAGAGGCTGCTTGCCGAGAAGCAAACTACGGTGGCTGCGGAAGCGCTGTAAAGGGACGCTTTGCACCATGTCCATCAAGATCCAAGGGCACCTTGGGGCCACTCAGTCCGGAGTTGTACGGCCGGGGAGGGGAGGGGAGAGGCTACAGGTAGCCTCCCTGGATGTGGGTGCGGCTCATGAGCCGTCGCCCACTCGCCCTCGTGGTGTTCCCGCTGCTCCTGATGCCGCTGCTGCTGTGGCTGCTGTCCCGTTGCTGGGATGCTATGCGGCAGCAACGGCGACGGACGACGGCGGGCCGCTCGCTTTGCTTCCCTGATCTGCCACGGCTGTCGATTGGTCTCGTTCCCGACTTGTCTACTATTTATTTCGCTCGGATTGCTTCCTCTCCTTCTCCCACACTCCCCTTTCTTCCTTCCTTTCTTTCTTTCTTTCTTTCTCTCTTTCGTTCTCGTATCGACATCTATCATCCCACGCACAGTTGCGCACTCGAACTCGTCATCGACACCCAGCTTGCCCTCCTCCCTTACCTGATCGGTGCTCCTCGGTTCAACTCTTGCGCTTGCGCCCTCTATCGAACTCCATGCTGCTCGTATCCGTCGTTTGCCTTGCCGTATCCTCCATGCCGTATCCTTCATGCCTTTACTTTCTGTCAGTCCCATGCCGTTCTGCCCTTCGTTTCCTTTGAGTTGCGTTTGCTGGATTGCCATTTGTTCGCTTGGCCCCATTGACTTTGCCTTTCTCCCTTTCTATTCCCCGCATATATCGCCCAAATAGAGCTGGTAGACCACGAAAAACGAACCATGGCCGGGCTGGAGACGACCCGCTGCATCTCGCCAGCACCCGGCACACCGTCCATATCGTCCCGATGTCTCTCATGACCACTCCGCGAGCGATGCCCATGGCTGTTCCGTGCGCATGATGCCCATGGCCGTCCTCGGGATCGCTGTCCTGTCTCGTTCCCGCCATCCCCAGCGAGGCGGTCGTGGACAGCGCTGTCGTTGCTCGTGGGCTGGCATTCGCTCGCCAGCCAACCCCCGTCCATGCAGCGGAGGGATGGGACACCAAGCCCCAGCCGCCTCCCCCTCCCTCCCTCACATCGTCACCCTTGGGCTCGTCTGTTGTTGCTCTTGCACTTTCGTCGTCTCGAGTCCATCCCGTCGCCGACATGAGAGTCCTGCTCGCCACCGTGCTTTCGCTCGTCGGAGCTGCCTGGGGCCTCGCTGTCCAGCAACAGCCCATCAACCTGATCAACGAACCCGCCGATCTCTCTGCCTGGTCTGTCGTCAGCAGCCAGGATCTTCCCGGCTATTCCATCCGCCTAAAGGAGTCGTCTCGACTGTGTGGGTATTCGCCATCGCCGGGGGTCACGATTTGCTTCTCCTTTGCCTTCTCCTTCTCCCAGAATCACATCGCATCGCTCTATGCTCCTCCGGTCAACGAGCAGCTCCAATATCGGCGTCTTTGCTGGCTCTCATCCTCACTCCCGCTCCTTTCGTCTCGCGATCATCTCAGGCGACCCGGACGTCAAGCAGATCCACGGCTATCTCGACATCGAGAACCGCCACCTCTTCTTCTGGTGAGTGGTAAAACGAAACACAATCGGCACATCGCCTGCTGCATCCCCATCATCCGATGCCCAATAGGCAGCAATGCCAAGAACCGGTCGGGTTGGAGGTACTTTGCGGCTGTATGGACTTTGGTCGCTCTTCCAAAACTCCACCCCGCCTGCTCGGCTTTTACAACTGCTCCCTATTCTGCTCTCAGGTTCTTCGAGTCTCGCTCCAGCCCTGCAACTGATCCTGTTACCCTGTGGCTCAATGGCGGACCGTATGTATTCGGGCTGGGCTTGGTGGGCAGAGGCGGTCTGCACCCGTTTCTCGGCTGGGCAATATGGCGAAACGACATTGCCCTGTTCTTGCCTCGCCTGCAGTGTCAATGCATGCATATATATATATATATATATATTTCGATTGCGCTCTCGATTTCGTCCTCATACCTTTGCCGTTACCCTTGCTGCGACCCTTGCTCATGCCCTGGCTTCGCAGTGGATGCTCTTCGATGCTGGGTCTCTTGATGGAGCTTGGCCCCTGCCGAGTGGCTGAAGCCGGCAACACCACCGACATCAACCCGCATTCCTGGAACACCCAGTCCAACGTTCTGTTCCTGGACCAGGTGAGGACTATTTTCGTTGTCTCCCTCCTCCCCATCCACTGACGCGAGTGCATCCGTCCACCTTCTGATCGGGATCTGCAATCCGGCATCCTACCACCACAATCACCAACATCACCATCATCGTTCCAATGGTTTCTCCACCCAGCCTGCAGGTGTCGGACTCTCGTACTACGACAACGGCACCAAGATCCCGCATACCACCCCAACCGCCGCCGCCGACGTCCTGGCCTTCCTCAAGCTCTTCTTTGGCCAGTACGGCGAGTACTCGGAGCTGCCCTTCCACATCTTTGGCGAGTCCTATGGCGGACACTACGTCCCGGCCATTGCCCATGCCATCTGGAAGGACAATGCTGTCGCCGAGCGCAAGATCCCCCTCACCAGTATCGGCATCGGAAATGGACTGACGGACTCGGCCGTGCAATTGTGGGTATTTCCTGCCCCTGTCGTTGCTGGTCCTGCTGCTCCCGGTGTGCTTTGAAGTGCCAGCAAGTGGGTCGTTGTGAGAGAAAGCCGTGGCATGGCCATGCATTTCTTCGTAGCTCCTCATGCAATCCAATCGACACTCCCACGCGCATCGTCTTCTTGCTGCAGCGAACACTACCACACCTACGGATGCAAGAACCCCAAATGTAAGTCGAGACCTCATCCTTGACTGATGTGCCCAGGCTTCCATCATCTTGGAGGAAAGACCGCATCGATAATGCAGGACTATACACCGGCCATTCATAATGCAAGCACTGCTTGTGTGTTGCCCCGATTTGGTGCTATGCTGACCAGCCGCCTTTCCACCGCAACCCACACAGACAAGAACGTGTTCTCGCAAAAGACATGCGATGATCTGGCCCACAAAATTCCCACCTGCAAGGAGCTCATTGACACTTGCCAACAGTGTGTATCGCTCTGCATCGAGAGACGGGAGGCAGGGCTCCGCTGATGCATCTCCCCCTCAGCCAAGACGTCACACGGCGCTCAATGCTCACCAGCCCCGTAATGCGCACTCATCGCCCAGGTGGAGAACTCCATTCACCTGTGTCCCCGCCTCGGTTTATTGCAACGAAGCCGTCATGAAGCCCTTCCAAGAAACCGGGCTGAACGGTAAGCCGCTGCACGATCCCGCGGCGCTCCAACACTGAGCCATGGCAGCACAGCTAGCAACAGGACCTTGAACATCTCTGCTGACTCAACGATCAGCGGTTGTACCTGTCTGTATCTCAGCTTGTTGCTGGAAGCGACCTCACCCTTACATTCACCCTCATCCTGACTCCACCGTATATCGCTGCAAGTCTACGACATCCGCCGAAAATGCGAATCCGGCTCGGACCTTTGCTATCCGATCATCAACGATGTCCAGGCCTACCTCAACACCCCTGAAGTGCGCGCCCAGCTCGGTGTCTCTGACCAGGCCGGCAAGTTCCAGACCTGCAGTAACAATGTCGGACGACAGTTTTCCGTGACGGGTGATTTGTACGTATCACCTCCCCGCGCTCTCTCGTCTCCTCGCCCTTGAGCCTGTTGTCTGTGCATCGCTTTGCTCAGATCGACAGAGGGAGATGGCGCTGCTGGTTCGATGTGCGCGATTGAGTGACTGTTCTATGGCTCGGATACCTCGGCTTTCATCTAGAGAAATCTCCTTTGGCCCACAGCTTGCTGAGCTGCTCGACAACGGTATCAAGGCCCTGATCTATGTCGGTGACGCAGGTAATGGAACAAACCTGCTTACGCAGAGCGAGCGGCATGCTGCATGGGCCTGTTCGCTCGGCATACTGCACGACATGGGTGCCCATAGACCATGATCGGCCGTGCCATGGGCTTTCCTCGCTCTCAATCGACGGAATGCACTGACACACCGCCCATGTGCGACACCTCCACGACTCAGACTTTATCTGCAACTGGATGGGTGTCCGAGCCCTGACCTTGGCGCTCGAGTGGTCGGGATCCAAGGGATTCAACCGAGCCAAGGACCTTCACTGGCTGAGCAGCCAGACCGGAAAGCTTGTCGGAGACTTCCGCACCTACAAGACTCTGACCTACCTGCGCGTTAACAATGCTGGTCATATGGTAATGTCCAAGGAAGAGAGGGGGGGAAGGGAAAGCGATAAGAACATACCAAACCTTGCTCACGCATGCACACACATCTCCCGTAAACCGATGCGCAAATCCACCCTGTCCGCGGGTCGGCCGACCGACCCCATCGATGTATCTGACACCGCTGCTTTCGCAACCAGGTTCCCTATGACCAGCCCAGCAACAGCTTGGAGATGTTCAATCTCTTCATCTCGCCCGACTACGACAGCTTTGTTGCCTCGGCACTCGCTGGTGCTCAGTAGACCAGATTGACAAGTTGGTTCCAAGCCCTCTTGGGGGTTGTGTCGAAAGTGGTGGTTCAGACCGATGCCGTCGATAAGATACAGATTTGCTGTTGTTTTGCAAATGGGGGAGTAAACAGTCGTTGATGGCATCCAAATCTTCCTCGCGCAATGTCGCCAAGGCCTTTGAACACCACAGCCCGCCGAAGGAGACGTGGAGCGGGAAGGGTCATACAGATTGTTCGAGACGGATGGCTCGAGTCGTTTGGTTTGCAGACGCTGTGTGCACACCGTTGGGTCATGCCGGGTGATGGGTGTGTGTGTGTATTCAAGACCCGTGGAAAAGTGACGGCTCTGGCTCTCGGACCAGGGCGTCATATTTCGCTTTGGGTACGCTGTACACGGCGCTGCACAGGGAGCGCATCATCAAGTTCAAGCAATCGAAGCAAAGTCAAACACATCCATGTGCCGACTTGCACGTCAACCAGAGCCATCCAAGAGCAAAAGCAGCAGCAAAACCGAGTGATCAAAGACGATAGCATCATTCAAACGAGATTGAAAATGGGAGGTGACAGAGGCGCGAGCGAGGACAAAGGAGATGTGCAGGAGGCGGAGCGGGAGTGCTGGGAGGTGGAGGGGGAAAGCAAGGTATAGAATAGCCACATTCCCCCGGCCATCTGGGCGAACCAAACAGCTCTTCTCCTCTAGCGAGACGAGCAGCAGCACCAATGCATCAAGTACAAACAGGAGAGGATAATGTCCAGCCCAAGGAAAGAGAGCGGGAGGTGAATACAGAAAGGCAGAGGCGGGGGGTGATGTGAAGGAAGGCAGAGGGAGAAATTGGGAAAGGCGGTACCGGTTTGTACGTCCCCAAAGAGTTGCGAGCCGCGATCCAGGCCCGAGGAGGAAAGGTCCCGCTGAGATTGCCGATGGCGATCATCACTGTTCAGGCAGCTCGCTCTGCGGATTTTCCGAGTCGAGGGGCTCGGAGGTTCGGCGCTGAGCGCCATCGCGACGCTTGGATGATTTGAAGCGGGCCTTGGTGTTCACAAGGCTCTTGAGACGATTCCAGCTGGATTGAGGAGCGTTTGGATGAGCTGAGAGGGGTTCCAGCTCATCGTCGGTTCGGGAATCATCGAGCTGAACCTGTTGAGGCCCTCCTGGAGTGACAACAGTGGGTACGGGGTCGCCCCCGCTCGGCTGCTGCGGCGGTCCGCCAAATCGCAGGAAAGATCGAGTGGAGCGGGGCTGTTCATTTGGCCCAGGTCCAGATCCAGTACTGGCATTGCCGCCCACGGAAGCCAGAAGTCGGGGGCCGCTGGAGCGCCCGCCTGAACGGCGAGGGCCACGCTCTGGACCATACTTGTCTTGCTGATCGTCAGTATCTGCATCGTCGTTGTCAGTATAGTCCTGATAGTCGGTATCGCTTCCGCTGATTGGAGGATACGGAGGATGTCCGAACTCGAGATGGGCAGATGGAGCCAGGGAGGGGCCTGAGGGAGCGCACTCGGGGCTTGATAAGGCTGCAATGGCGCCGGTGTCAAAGTGGCCATCGGGGCGGGGCACGCCGGAATCGGCAGTGCGCTTCTTCTGTCGGCGCTTGAAGAAGGGCTTGTCGCGGACTTCGGAGGGATTTGAAGGCGGCGGGATTAGCTGCGGTATCTCGAGATTCTTACTGCTCTTGCGAATCCGGAACCCCAAATCCAAACTCCGGGCCTTCCTAACCTTGGCCTTGAAGGCCTTTTTGGCAACGGCGGTCGAGCCAACGGAGATGTGATGGTGGTGGCGGCTCGGCGTCGCGGGGCGATCCTCGTCGGTTGGCGCCTTGGTCTCTCGGCTGTTGGTGCGTTTGTGCGACGAGTGCATCAGGAAAGCCTGGAAGTTTGAGAATGTGGAGCTGGGCTGGCGCGGCGAATCAAGATCGGACCAGACTGACTCTCCCGCATACGCCTTTTTGAGCGACCGGCGCATGGCCGGCAGATCGTTCATGATGCCCACATGGCTCGTGCCGCACTCGACAATGGCATACGAGTATCCGTGCGGCATGCGGCTCGCACTCTCGCGCGAAACGACACCGTCGCCGCCGTCGAACTTGCAGGGGCGGCTGATGAAGATTTCCTGCTGGCCGGGGGTGCGCTTGCGGGTCTTGACGCTGGCCTTGAAGCGGGTGGCCGTCGGGAAGCGATCCGATATCATGAGCACAAAATTTGGGTATCGCGACGCCAGCTCTTTCTGGAACCGGAGGGACTCGTGGAACTCCTTGGCCATGCGGAGGGCATCGGACAGGTACGGGCTAATGGCCGTGAATGAATCGGCCTTGCGCACCGTGTGTGCGAGACGGTACTCCCACCACCTGAAGGACAAACATCGATCGAATGGTGAGTCTATGACGATTGCGTACTGCGGACCGCGCATAGTGCGTCTGCATGGCCGAGGAGGTACGGTGCTATGCAATCACCGGAGCAGCGCGAGGACTCACTTGTTTGGGTTGAAGTAGTCGATGATGATGTCGTCGTCCTTGTCGTTGACCAGTCCTCGGCCGTCCTTGGGCAGGAACAAGAAGGAGCTCCGTAGCGAAAAGTGAAGCTCGGCGCTCAGAATCTTCTTGTTGATCATCAGCGGTGCACCGCGGTGAAACGCCCAGAGGATGGGATGGACCCCATGGAAAGGGGTTCCAGCAAATACGCAGCCTCGGAAGAGCTCAGGTCGACGATTCACAGTCGATAGCGTGATCAAACCGCCCATGGAATCTGCAGATTCACGCCAGAATCAGCACACCAATCAAACGATACGAAGGGTCGCTGTCGGATTCCCGGGTGCCAATGGGATATCCAGAGAAGGACAGCTGAGAGAAGCAACAGAGTAGGCGGCCACAACACCGAACCCCAACTTACGTGCAACAACCATGATGGGCTGGCGTCCATTTTTCTCGTATATGTTTTCCATGAATTTCTCGAGTTGCTTGGATGCATACTGGCCCTCTCTTCGCCAATCGTATCTAAGTCGCAGAAGAAGCAAATCGCCCATAGCGAAACGACGGTGAGATGGCTGTCTTGAAGCAGCAGCCAATATACACAGAGGACGATCGGGGATCCGACAGCTTGCGGGAAACTCGTGCTAGAGCGCCACGTCAAAGTCCCGATCACTCACGCAAAGGTGTGCAGACGGAATGTGCCCTTGCTTCGTGATTCCCATCCGCGAAGCTCGCGGAGAAGCTCCACACAGACATTCAACGGGCCAAACCGATCGAGGATGCTATCGTCCCATGAAAGAGTAACAAAGTGCGTTAGCAAAGCTTGAGGCAGTCTGCCAGATTGGCTCCCGGCCCCTTGGCAGTGTAACACACTAAGTGCCATCGCATTGCTCTCTCTAGCCGAGTGGACTGTGTGCCAATGGCGTGCTTCATTCCCCCTTCGACTGCTTGGACGGCCTACCCGCTGGGAACATGAGCATCGTTTTCAACCTCGTCAAAGCTGAGGGGGAGCTTGATACCGGGAGCACCCCAGGACAGAACAGCCTCCATCGTAAGCCACGAGCGATGTTCGGTATGCTTGTTCTTCAGGAACGAGCCGTAGAAGCCGCCGAGGACAATCAAGTCGCCCTTCAAGAAATCGAAAAAGTGGTGATTGATGGGCTCAGGCGAGGTCATGGTGTCGACCTTGAGATGCGTCGGAATCTTGGACGGCCGCGTCCCAGATTTGGGCTCGTCGAAGACTGGCTGTGGGAGATCGAGCGGGGCGACGGTTGGATGGCGCGATGCCCTTGGAGTCGAGTCCGTGGACTCGGGCGACATGGGCACTTCGGGCTGGCCCGATGTCTCTGCTATCGCCGATTGGCCTGCCACCTGGGGAGGTCCTGGTAGCTCGGCGAGCTCTGGGGTACCGGCAGCGGCAGCGGCAGTAGGAGCAGCAGTAAGAGCCAGACCTAGGCCGCCCTCCTCAACAGGAGAGACTGGCATGGACGAGACATCCATGCTCTCGACGCTGTTTCGGGGGATCTTGTAGTGGAACGGGTCGAGACCAAAGATTGACGCAAACGATGGCCACTGCCGCTTGTGAGATAACATGGCATTCAAGTTGGCACCCGATGACTCGGCCGCAAAGACGTTGTTGTGTATATCGTATGGAAAGGTCGCACCAGAGTCGGCGCTTGCGTACGCTGGCTCATCATCTTCATCGTATTCGTCTTCGTCGTGGTCTTCGTCATCGTCTTCGTCATCGTCGTCTTCATCGTCGTCATCGTCGTATTCGGTTTCGCTCTGGGCCTGTCGGGCAAAGGTCGGCGAAAAGCGCGGCTGCATATACGAGCCAAAATCGCTCTGGTATCCCTTTGGATCGGGATCCTCGGAATACTCATCCGATTCGGACGGATCCATGGCCGAGTCAGACGATTGAGAGGAAGATGAGTTGGCGTTGCGAAAGAGGTAGTTGTACATGTTGGCCGGAAAGCGCTCGGTCTTGGCGGACGAGGGAACGGGGTCGGTGGGAGGCGCGGGGGCCTCTGCAAGCCTGGCACCGGAAGAGACTCCACCAGACGATGGAGTGTAGAACGAAGCAAATATGTTGCGGATCCTGCGTTTGGAAGAGGGCTGTTGATCTGACGGGCCGCCCGGTGCTGCTGCTGCTGGCGCAAAGGCAGGATCGACAGCGTCGGCGTAATCGACGGGGCTGGGGCAGTCGGCTGGGTCAGGATTGCTTGGGTTGGCATGCAGAAAGGGCTGGGCCATAGCTTGCCCTGGGCGAATCAGCCCGGGAGGGAACACTACCGGCGAGACCGAGGGTGAGGCTGTCGGCCGGAGTTCTATCGATGATGGGCCCTCGGATTCGGCTGGTAGCTGGGGGTCGGAGAGGGCGGAGCGACCGGCGGAGGCATTGGCAGCCATTATAGGAAGCGGGTGAGCAGGAGGGCTCTGGGACGCAGATGGATCGTGCGCTGGCTCTCGGGGAAGCCAGAGCTCGCAGGCGAGGGTCTGCTCGGGCCGGCTCTGCAGCAAGATGGCTGGGCAAGATGGCTGGGCAAGACGACGACGGAAGGTCTGGATGAGAACGAAGATGCGCTCCAGCAAACTCGGGCGAGCTCGGGGTCAAGCGAGAGCGGGCGAGAGCGAGCGAGAGCAAGCGAGGTGCCGGAACGGCGACAGCCGTGGGAACACGGCGACGGATCGGTGGGTCCAGCGGCGCCACCAAGACCAGACCAGACCAGACCAGACCAGAGATGCCTGGGACAGCGCTGCCCGAGATGGCCCATTGTCTGTGGTGGTTATCGGTAACCAAGGTAGTCCCCTCGTCAGTCTCCGAGTCAAGACACCGCGTCGCCCTCCGGTTTCTGCAGTCGGCCTGCACACAGTGATCATGTTGCACTATGAATTCAGGACCCAGAATAAAGCGACATGCCGGACCCATGCCAGGGTGCCCGCTTCGCTACAGATGGGCTGAATCCACACGCAGGCCCCGTTCATCAGGCGCCAGCATCACGGCGATCCTTCATGCATCAGAACACCAGAGCATCCGCGCAGTCGCCCAGGATCTTCTCGGCGAGCCGGTTCACCTCAGTCTTGGAGAGAGGGTCGTTCTTGATCCCGACGAGCGTGCGATGGATGTCGCGGCATTTGTATCGGTTGAGGTCGCTGCCGTAAATGTCGCAACGCAGGATCATGGCCAGCACCTTCATGTACTCCAGGCGGATCTGTGAATATTGCCGACAATGGGGATCGTGGTTATGGATGTGCGAGTCCCTGGTTAGGTAAAGAAGAAATGACCAGCCAGCCGGTCCAGCGCCGAGAAGAACGGCACAAGTCTCAAGAGGAGCAGCCCAAGCCTCGAGAGGGGCGACATCGATGATGTGGACTAAAGTACTTGCCAGGTCCGATTCTTCGGGAAAGTCGACGATTTCGCGGAGAAGAATATCCACAATCACCTTGATGTCGTTGGTATAGAAAAAGCTCCCTAGCTCCTTGCACGAGAATATCTGGGCCATGAAGCCAATGCAGTCGATCTGCAGCCCAGCCTCATCTGAAATGGGCCGGTTTGAAAGTATGAAGCGTGCAGTCGATCAGATGACAACTATCGGCACCACGGTCGCCAAGCTCGTGTCCGGGAATCTCGGGCGGTTCAGCAATCCACAGATCAGACCAGGCCCAACCGAACCAGAGCAAAGTAAATCGGCACAGAGCGGAGCCAGCATGCCCCCGAAGCTCCACAGTGGCTTACCGCTGCGATTAAAGACGAAGATGACGTTCTGAGAAAAGAGCTGACATCTCTCCAGCCTGGCCTTGAGTAACGACAGAATCGGATTCGGGACGACCTCTCGTGCAGCATTGATTCGCAGGAACTGTCCGTTGACAGCGAGCTGTTGAGCGGAACCACCGACCATCCGGAACAATACGCAGCAGTGCGGGTAAGCGGTCCAAGTCAAGCCGAGAGTACTGCCGCTTCGGTGTCAGCAGATCAGAGCATAGCTGAAAACGGCAAATGGCTGCCCAGATCATTACCAGAAGCTTGATCATGGCATGGTTGCATTCCTCCAGGTGGTCGTAGCCCGTTTCCTCGATCTCGTCGAACAGTGCGTCGAGGAATCTTGTGCTGAACTGGCCTGAAGCACAAGCCGTCCTGGTCAAAAGTATGGCTCGCACGGACTGGCAGACCCCAATAGCGTCTGAAGAGATAGCCTACCGAGATCCGATATCGACAGCTCCTCGATCCTGCAGATCTCCAGCATCAAACTAACGCATACATGAATCAGAATGTAGTCTGGAGTGAGAAGGGAACAGAGAACAGACGACACTGGTAAGGCTGCAAGGCAACAACGGAGGGGGTAGTTTGCGATGATAAAGTCACCGCATCGACAGCCGGCAGGGGGAGCCGGTTAGGATGACCAGCAGAAACAGCCAGCAGGGACGGCTAGCCTGGAAAGCTCCCAGGAAGGGATAGGAGAATATGCTGATTTGGCGAAGGAACCCAGGTAGAGCAGACAGTGGGTTCCATTATCACCCAAACGGTACCTCGTGTCTGCACGGCATCAGCGAGCTTGATCAGATATCCCTCTTCAGAGAGCTTTCGGTAGGCATTGGGCCAGATGTGCCCCAAATGATAGAGGAGCGAATACAGGATCAAGGCCTCCTCACTCGATCCGTTCTCCTGATCAAAGTTCCACCGATATCGAAACGGGGTGAGCTCGGGATCGATCGGGGATGGTGGAGCTGGAAAGTGTGCAGGAATGGGGCATGCCTGATGCAGGGAGAGATAGGACAGGGTCGAAAGGTCTCACTCCCACCTCCAGGTGCTGCTCCAGATATCGCAGCACGGCCAACGGCTCGTCATCAAACATTTTAAAGGCCAGGATCTCGCTGCACAGGATATCCATGTCATGTTTGGAACGAGCGACTGGGAGAGCAAGGCCGAATCTCGTCAGAAGTCGACGTGGTATATCTGATCGCCGCCAAGGCAAAGCCAGAGAGCAACAGCTGATCGACAAGCAGAGTTGCGCCAAGGGATGAAGGCCGGACGACGACATACGGCAGACGACCGTCCTGAGCTGGGCCAGAATAAGCTCGAGCACATCTTCGACGGAGGACTCTTGGGGCTGGTCCGCAAAGATCTGGGTCAGATCTGCGAGTGCGGAAGAGCGAAGGCAGGGATTAGGCGCAGAATATCGATTCTGAGATCTCAAAGGCACCAAAACCCGGATGTGCTTGGATGAGCGACGAATGCTTCAAGGGGGAGCGCCAAGACTCAGCCGCCCCACCTTGCAGAAAGCCCTCGAGCAGCAGGATTCGCTCGTCCTCGGAGTAGGATGAAGACATGGGTTTTATTTGCTGGGCCGTCGCAATCGAGCCGTCCGGACAATGCCCTTTGCAGATAGGCGGGATCGAGGCAGATCGGGGAGAAGCGAGCGAGGGATTTGGGTGGCGATCGGCCATCCTCGTCTGGTCGCACCAGACCAACATCCTCCCCCCATGACGACGGAGGCGAATGTGCATCGGAGAGCCAGAGCAGAAGCAAGAGAGCCAGACCCCAGCATCAGCGACCATGATAGCGCTGGTTATGTAGTGTACGAGATGTATATTTATTCTCTGCCCGCGGGGATCCGTTGCCCCATTGAGGTCAGAACGACATGAACACTAAGCGACCCAGAGGCGGAACACAAGACAAGGCAATACCACTCTCTGCTCCAAGTTACAAGTCACAACATGACCAGAATGATGTGAGTTGTTGACTTGGAGGAAAGACGGGGTATGGCGGTGCATGAATGGTATCGAGGATTGTTGGATGTGGAGGGCGGTGCCGGGCCACCAAAGAACAAAGATATGGAGATGGAGCCAGAGGGAGAAAACCAACAGAAAAAGCTCCAAAGTGTCAGCGGCGGCTGCAGGCCCAAGCAAGGCGAACACGGGCAGCCACCGGTGATACTTTGGTGTCTTTTTCTATGAGTTTGTCGCTGGAGAAGGAAGGAAGCCAAAGAGGCAGAGGATCAAGAGATCGAACGGCATCCTGTGGAACCGAGCAGATCGGATCAGATCAGACGATACGAGACCGGGATTGATCAGAGTGGATCGCAGAGGATTGTAGCAGATCGCGGGGAAAAGGATCGGCGACGAAGCCGAAGCATGAGGATAAGCCGATGGTGAGGAGAGGGGCGGTATTTATAGCCGTTGGGCCTGGCGGACTCGGACAGCCGGCGGGACGTCGCCGCGAGCCATGGTTCCCAGGCCGGTCCCGCTGCGAAGGGATTGGTTGGTGCTGGCGCCGGCCCGCCGGACATGCATGCGGGGATGAAGAGGGACGACGAGAACGGCCAGAGGGGGGAGAGGAGAGGGAGAGGCGCTCTGTTGGTTTGTCGGTGGAGCTGTGTTGGGCGACCACCGAATCGATCGATCGATCGATCAACAGAGCCACAGAGAGCCCATGCTGGGCTGGACGGTACTGCACTGGGAGGCGAGCATCGGTATGGGCAGGATGGCTATGCCTCATGGCCGGGCCAGAACCCGTGTCTCTCGCTCGATTCTCTCTCTTTCCCTCTCGCTCCGTCCGCAGAGGATTTGGATCAACACAGATGTCGGCGGGATGGGCGGTCGCTCTCCGCAGAGCGGAGGAGGCGCGGAAGCGGCGAGCAGCAGAGCGGAAGTCCTGTCCGGGAAGCGTGGGAGAACGGGGCTCCACTGAGGCTGGTCGGTGGTGGTCGAGTCGGCCGAGATCGATGTGCGCCCGATATAGCTCTATGATGTTTGATGGTGTTTGATGGTGTTGGGTTAGTTTTGTTGATAGTTGACTTTGTTGAACGTGAATATTGATTCGGTGCTGTCTAGATTGATATAACGAAAAACGTAACCTATGGTGAACGCCCGTGTAGCCTAATGGATAAGGCGTTGCCCTCCTAAGGCAAAGATTGCGAGTTCGAGTCTCGTCTCGGGTGTTTTCGAATATGCATTTTTGGCACGTGATTGTTTTGCTCCAACCATCCCAAGGTCCGCTGACCGATGCAGCCAGACGATCCGCCGAGCTCGCCCAGACGACATTTGCTCACTCCCATCGACGACGGGTACAGCGAACAAGCAGTGTGACGCTACCCAACCTCTTCCATCAAAGTAATTGCAGGATCCGATCCATCATCAAGACTCGCGAGGATCAGATCGACAACACGCTGTGCTTGATCTCTCTGTGTCAAGAACGGCAACATGACTTTGTTTTGCTCTGTATTGCTGCATATGGCTTGGTTAGCCGCTAGCCACCTTTGTTTCGAGGTGCCCTGTTAGTTGTAAACATCGCCAGTCGACCAATCTTTTCTCTTGGACGGCGCCGTATCCCAATCTCCTCCACGAGCTCTCCGCGCTGCTCGAGTGGTTTCGTTTCGAAACAGTGTATTCAGGATCCATTTCTCGGACTGCATTCGCTTTGGGTCTTCTGGGTGAGCTGCAGGAGTCTGTCCTGCAAGATTGGCCCGTGAATCGAGTCCATGCGTCCACATCGCCATCAAGACGATCTATAGCCACGGCCCTTGCGAATGCTTCTCCACACAAACACAGTAAACATGATCGCAACCATGAATGGCGACCCCCAGTCCAGTACCATCCGCAAACGACCCACAAACCCAACGATGTAGCGCGACAGCGAAAACTGTGAACGGCCGGTCGAGGTTACCACGGCGATCGGGCCCATCTTGATCGGCGTCGTTGTCGTCGTCGTCGTCGTCGTCGTCGAGCTGGATATCTGTTGGAACGAAGCATTGCGAGGCACTCGGCTGGACGACGGTGCCCCGGCTGCTTCTGGGACGCCGCTGAGCCCGGCCTTTGCCAGGGCTCCGTCGTCCGTCCGGACTGGCTCTGGCTTGCTCGACTCGACCTTGGGCGCTGCCGACGGGCGTGGCGATGACGGTGCTCGGCCCTGCTTGGCTGGGGCCGACAGGAGTGCAGACTCTGCTGGCTCCGATACCCTGCCCTTGCCCTTCTCCTGCTTCTTCTCAGCTTCCTTCTGGATCAGGATCTTGTTCAGGGTCTTGATGCTCATGGGCACTGCCTGTGTAGCCACAAAGCTGATCACCGAGGCCGGGATCCAGCCCTTGAGGTTGCCGTCGGCCACTTGAATCACCTTGCACATCTTCTCGCCAACGCTCGGGGGCACGAATCCCCGGGCCATCATCTCGGTCGCATCCACCGGCCCGACAATCTGCCCGGCAATCTGGCAGTGCATCCGGATGATCCCCGCTTGATCCGGGAAGCCGTCGTGTTCGGTCGACTGCGTGACGTTAAGGTACCGTCCGTCACCCAGGTCCTCGACATGAGCCAGCACCAGAGCGTCCCGCGACGAGACTGGCCAAATGCCCTTGGTCGTCATGAACTGGATGCGCGAGTCGGGACCCAAGTTCTCGATGATGCCCGCATCGATGCACATCTCGTCCCATTGACTCCGGACTTGGATGTCTGCGAGCATGTTGAACGCCGTCTCGGTGCTTGCCTGGACGTAGGCGATAACCTTGAAGCAGTTGTCGGCGCGGTTATACTTGTAGACCTCGAGCTGCGGGTGCTCCTTTTGGGTGGCCACCAGCGTCCACAGCTTCGGATCCTCCTGCTCGGCAAACTCCAGGAACAGTCTCTTCATCTCCTGGATCTGCGTCTCGTACTTGGCCGGCAGGCTCATGTTGGCGGGTGTGTCGTTTGGCGGGTGGGCAGGTGGCTCGCGGGATTCGGGCGATTCGGTGTCTTGGGAACGTTGGGTGCTTGCCGGGGGCGAGTCGCTTGAGAGGGTGCAGACGGACGAGGTTTCGGTGGCGTCGCTTGCTGCGGATTGAGCGTCGAGTGGATCCAAAGGCTTCTTGGACTCGGGCTGGGCTGGATGGACGGGATGGACGGGATGGACGGGATGGACTGGACGGGATGGACGGGATGGACGGGATGGACGGGATGGACGGGATGGGCCGGCTTTTGCAAAGACTGAGACGGCGGGGTTTGCCGATGCGGCGCCGAGCGTGGACAGATGGATGCACGAGGAGAAGGGAAACGAGAGCGAGCGGAGGGACAGGGAGGAGCGGATGCGTTAATGTCAAGGACTGCACAGGTGAGTGCGAGCCGGGCAGATGGAGGCTGCGAAATGACGGCGAGAGAACGACAGAAGCAGCCACAGTCGCGGGTCAAGACGATGCACGGCCAAAGGAAAGGCCAAGACAGGGCCAATCAGTTACCTGAGGTTGGAGAGGCGCTGGAGAGGGTGAGACGATATCTGCGACGATCGTTTGGACGGAATCAGCAATCGCTCTGAGTCCCAACATCGCTGCAAGCACCTGGAGGTAGCGGCCGAGGAATGACGCTGAGCCGCTGAGGCCCCGGAGCAGCAAAAGGAAAACCACGAGCCGCCCGACAGACAGGAGGGAGAAAAGCTCGCTCAGCGACAGCTGGCGATAGGTCGAGACGGCTCTGTCTCGGGGCTCGGCCGAGGCATTCGAATTCATGGCTGTTGCGCCGCGGCGGATCCGCACAGAGCACCGGGCGATAGGAAGCTGCAAGAAGCTGGCCGGATGATGGAAAGAAAAGAGCCAAGGGAGCGGCCAAGGGAGGGGCAAGGGAAGGACCAAGAGAAGAGCCAAAGAGAGAGGATGCAGGGGTCGCTCAGGCGACCGAGGGATGTTCTGAAATCAACCGGGGCAGAGGGGGAATTCGCAGCCCAGCCGATTCCGAGACAGCAGCGACTCGGCAACTCACACTTACCGAGGTCGTTGGTCGGCAGGGACGTTGCGCTTATATTCGGCCGGCGTCGACCGCTCTCCGCAGATATATTCTTGCTGTCTTCGCCAGACCACCGCCTTCCTCCCCGCCTTGGCCTGGGCGGCAGCCCGCAGGCATGTGATTCTGGCAGCCAATATTCACATGGTCGCTGGGTCATGGGCGGCGGCCAGAGCCAGAGCTGGCTTGTGATGCAGTCTCGGCATGAAGGAGCCGCGAGGTCATGAGCAGGGTCTTGTGAGAGCGAGGCCGGATCGCAGACAAGCGATCGCAGACAAGCTGCTGTCGAGCACACCGCCAGGGGGCAGAGCCCAGCACGGCTGCACCACACTCAGCAGAGGATGCCTCCAGTTTCAACGATGGGCCACCCCATTCTTTGGCTGAACCGGAGGCAGACAGACGGCTATATTCGCTTGGTCGGGACATCGATCCCGATTCACCCAACTGATCTGATCTGATGGATCGACATGATCTAACTGGCAGCATTGGATAGGATTGGCTCCATATCGGGACCAGGCGCTCGGACACACTACTTGCCAAGGTGCTGCAGAAAGCCGAGCGACGCACGGGTAACCTGGCGGAAGTTGTGCTGGAGAGCGATGGGCCGTTGCCGGAGGCATCGCAGAGCATCGCGGATTAGGATGGCGGATCAGCATGGCAGATCGACAGAATGCCACCCTGTCAGCGCGGCGTAACGAGGCGAGACCGTGGGCAGTAAGCGTTCATCCAATATCACCCATTGTCGTTCATCGGGGTCGCGGCCGCCGTCATCCACTTCCAAGATCGTTGCTCACCTCGAATCCGTCGACACCGCCATAGTAAGGCTGCCGGCCAAAGCAAATTAATGTCAGTGCCACGGCGAGGCAGAATCGGCCCGCATACACAGCGATCGCCGAAGCATCTCATCTGCGATTGCTGTTGAGCCATCACAGGCAAACCATCCTAACCACGGGGCAGCCACAGGGCAGCCACGCGGATCGTTGCGACGACCGACATTTTGCACATTTCTGTGTGGCGACGGCAGTGCTTACATCCTCGATGATCCGCTCACCCTCGGGATCATATTCACCAAACAGCTGGACCTTGGCCTTGGACGACGCTGGTTTGATGCTCATCAGGTTGGAGAGGTTGGACTTGCGGATGCGACGGATCGTGGGGGGGGGGTGAGCGATTCGCAATTCCAAGTATCCTCCGTTCTAGAAACAGCCAAGTGTCGCTCCAGAAGCCGTTGGATGCATTCAAGCCCGAATACTGCTGTACAAATCGCAAGTGACGTCCTTACATCGTCCATACAGAGAAGATAATCGTACTTGGCAAAGTCGCTGACGCTCACTGGAAACAGAATCTGGTCAGAGTTGCTGTGGCCGCTGGTTCCGAGGGGCAGGGCGAGACTCGATGGAGCAACACGAATTCTGCTGCCACTGTTCGGATGGCAAACCAAATGCCAAGTGTGGGGACTAAGCGACGATACCTTGCTGGCCACGGTGGTTGATGGAGACTCCGTGGGCTTTGCACTAGGATCAATTCCAGCGCAAGGGTTGTCAGTAATGGCACAACGAGGGGCGATCTATCACCAACAGCCACATTGTGCTGCGGTTATCGAGCCACAGATCAACTTACAACTTGGATCGTTCGAGAGTCAGGGTAGTCTCCGACCTATTGCCAGTTTGGCCGACCACAGCCTCATTAGCCGACCACGATGGACAACATCGCTGCATGTCTCTACCAAAGCCACAATGCCGCTCTCCGCCACATCCGCAGCGGCGAGTCTGCTGTATTTGATACAAACATGATAGCCCGCTGTTCCTGCGCTATCGATGTGGAACTCGGCGCTCAAGCCCTTCTGTTTGACGGTGTGGCGGAAGACTGCCTCGGCTGGAGGCAGACCAGCCCAGATGAAAGTAAACAGCCATGTTAGCTAACGAGATTCGATGTGTCTGGCTCCCTGCCAGATCAGTGCATGCGTCGGATGCCAGCGCAAAATGTACCCATCGGGCTTCTGCAGATGTTGCCGAGACACACAAACAACACCGAGATCCTATCGCTGGTTGTGCTCATCTCGATAGTCAGGGGAGTTGGCAGGAATTCAAGACCAAGAACACGCCAGGTTTGTCTCGAGGAAACCGGCGTGCATTTTTTGCAGCAGCAGCAATCGACTGTCACGTGGATTGTGCTTGCCATGGTCGCTGACGAGCGAGTCAAATGCACCCGTTGTCTGCTGCGGAGCGAATAGGAAACGCTGTATTTGTGGGATCCGGTCCAGAGTGTGCTGGGACTACCAAAAAATATAAAATAAACGCTGTTGCGCTGGCGGTAGCGGCGGTGGTCGGGAGAAAGGCGACGCTGAGAGAATAGACAAGTGGGTGGATGCAAGGTAAGAAGGCGAAGATCAAGCCCGCCGGGTTGATGGGCAGGCAGACCGGGAATAGGGCGGCATGGTGGGGCGGCGGGATGCGGGTTGCGGGATGCGGGTTGCGGGATGCGGGTTGCGGGTTGCGGGTTGCGGGTTGCGGGTTGCGGGTTGCGGGTTGCGGGTTGCGGGTTGCGGGTTGCGGGTTGCGGGTTGCGGGTTGCGGGTTGCGGGTCGAGGAGGGTGTGGATAGTGGACGCTCAGGTCCATGACTGAGAGTGGTCAGCGAGGCTCCAGGAAACGCTTCGCTTGGATTCCGTTGGATTTTTTGCTACTTTGTGTTTCCAGTGCCCCGGGGTTTCGGCGGGTTTCCAGTTTCCTAGGGGGCTCGGGTCCGGTTTTGCACTCCCTCGGTCGGCGAGCGAGTGGCTCAGGCCACGCCAGCAGCGGGCTGGTCCAGAAGGGCAGCACTTTCGAACTTGGCAGTCAGGAGATCAAGACCCTCGGGTTCGCTCGACACGGGCGAGGCAACTTGTGCTGCTGGCCGGGGGTGGGCTTCTGATGAAGCTGAGGACGACGACGGCGACATGACGATCCCAGGCCGAGCAGCCATATTCGAGAGCATGCCTCTGGACCGCAGCACCGAGCTGGCGACGGAGCTGTACGAGCCATGCGGCGCGTGTCTCGCTGAGGTGGCAATTGTCGGAGATGTTGCACTGTGTGGCTCACGCGACGAACGAGACTTGGACAGCACGTCTTCTGCTGAACGGGTCGAGTGTTCGGTCGAATCGCTCATCGAGTCCGATCCTGTGCTCGAAGTCCCGCCGCCCTCGGTCCGGCGGCTCTGGGAGATCGAGTGAGTTGGGATGTGCGAGCTGCTTCGGTGGATCAGAGGCTGGGTGGGCTTTCGCGCCGGCGAGAGTCCCGAGACGCTCATGGGAATCTTGACTGTGCGCACGTTCCGCGGATGCACGCGACGTTTCGGGGTTGTGGATGCCTGCGAGGCCGGCTTGGGCAGTGCGCGGAACATGGAGTGCTCTACCGTGTGGGTGAATGGCGAGATGGTGTGGTGCGAGTTCATGAGATTGGCCAAGTGGGCAGCAACTTCGTTGTCACTGGGCTGGAGCACAATGTGCGAGGGAAGCACGACGGGATCCTCGTTGGCCGGTGCGTAGTAGCTCGAGGCGCCGCCAATCGAGAATGTCTCGGACATGGAGTCGTCCAAGCCAAAGTGGCGATCTGAGGAGTAGTGCGACTCGAGATCGTAGGCTTGTGCACGCCACATATGGCGCTGCTGTGTCTCATGGCGGTAGTCTTCGTACGGATTGGACATGGTCGTGTAGACAGAGTCGCGGTCGTCGTCGTCGCCGCGGGTCTTGAGGTCCATGAACGACGACACACTTTTGTTGCGCACGGGTCGCTGATTGTATGCATAGCTTGAAGCGCCACCGGCTGCTGGGCCTGCTGCTGGGCCTGCTGCCGGCTGCCTCGGTCCTGTTCGTAGCTGTCTCGACATGGATGCGTTGCTGAAGGACGAGCCCGAGAGACTGCGGCTCATGGCTGCACCAAAAGGTCCGCCAAGTGATCGCCGAGCCATGAACTGCCAGATGCGGTCCCTGGAGACGGCCCCGACGAGGCGATCTTCCTGAAGCGGTGGCTTGAAGACGTTGTGGAGACCATGTAGCTCGGGCACATCGCTCTCACGTCCAGGCGGCTGCAGCGGCTTGTGCAGCACGAAAACGTCCAGGCCCTGGTCCCAGCTATCGTAGTCGGCGACGGGGTCGTTCCCATTCCACTTTTGTTGGTGCGAGCGCGGAAAGATATGCTGATGATCGGCGGACTGGGCCAGCCGAGCAATATCATGGTCCAGATCTTGGGGAAAGTGGAGGTTGGTGAAGCCATTGGAGACAGAGCGAGTCTCGTCAAAGAAGCCACTGTCTCCGGATATTGACGATGCGCTCGGGTAGCTGCCAGGGCCCGGATGGGGACCGAGACGAGATTCTGGGCCAGAGCCGCTGCTTAGGCTATGGCCAGAATAGCTGCCGTGGGCACCGCTCAGCTGGCCACCGGGATTTCCGCTGGGTGGCATCGGCGAGTTCTTCTTTCCACTCAAATAAAACAACGACAGGTTATGGACGAGCTGAGGGAGGTCATCTCGGAACATTTTTCGCAGCTGGCCCTCGATCTCGGACTGAAGAAAGCGACGGATGTTGGGAATGTCATCGAAGGTGCTGTTGACATCGACCTTCTCGAGCGGGTCGTTTTTGAAGACAAGAGTCACGCCACGCTGCTTGTCCACAACCAAGACGACAATGCCTCTGAGCTTGAGATTGGAGATCCTCAGCTTCATCGGCACAACCAAGGGCCGATTGGCCGAGAGCATGCCAAATCGGTTTTTGATTGAGGGCTTGTACTTGAGCGTCGGGAGCGGGTTGGCCTAGACGACGATTCGCGGCGTGTGTCGGATAGCGACGCAGAGGTGGGGCGGCGTGATCGGTTAGGGAGGGGGTTGTATCGGCACCGAGTCCAATCTGCATTGCTCAGCCAGGGAATGTTGTCTCGAACTCGTGTACGTGGAGGCGGGTCGGATTACGGCGCTCGAGAGCAATCACCCGGTTTGTGCAGGATTCGATCTGCATCTGCCAGCATCGACTGCGGCTGTGGGCTCACCTGAACAGTGGTGTGCAAGGCCAGATAGGCATCTCCGGTGTATACCAGCTTGAAGATACCGCGGAAACGCTCCTCAGCCAGTTCGCCAATCTCGAGAATCTCCAGTTCCGGAGGCTAGATGGCGTTGCGTGCGCGAGGGAGAGCCGATGGATGAGATCAATGTGCTCAGCAGCCCGGTCGGCAAACGAGTCGATGGGCAGGTCGATACGCTAGTCGTTGCACCAGCGATACTTTGCTGGTTGTCACGGAGGCGCTGATCCAGAGATGCCAAGCGCATGCACCGGCCACGACGGCGCAATCGTCACAGCGGCAGGTGACGCTCCGCCTGACCAATCTGCGCAATAGATCATGTCTCACCTTGGTTCCCATCGACAGATCCTGGACAACGATGCGGTCGACGATTTTTTCAGGTTTGTGGCCCTTGTTGAGGGCCGAGGTCAATTGCTCCTTGGCCTGCTCGATAAACTCGGGCGAAAACTTTGGCCAGTTGATTTTGAACGACATTGCAGCTGGTGAGATGTGAATCGGCAGGAGAGGGCTTGGAAGAGCGGCGTTGAGCTCTGGAGTGTGGGTTTGGACAGAAACAGGATCGGGTGGTTGGTCACAGAGATACAGGGTCGAATCCAGCTCAACGGTCGCAGACCGGATTCACCAGCCAAAACGGCAGCCAGTGTCGAGATGGGATATCGACGGGCAGGGGTCGCGGCTGTCCAGGATGCCAGTGCAGTGAGGTGCGGTGTGCCCAAGATGCTCGAGAGGCTGTACCAGCGGCGATTCAGGTCTGTGGCAGAGACTACGACGGCAGCGCTACTTGTATCCGGGCAACGAGAAGGGTGGCCGCTCAACAGCGAGCACACGATTGGATTCCGTCGATGCTGGGAAGGGCAAAGCGGTTTCGACCAGTGCAGGAGCGATTCACGGTGACTCTTGCAGTCTTTATTTGCGTTTGGCCTGAGAGACGACGGGCGGAAGACAGGTGTTTGTCGGCTCGAGCCCTGAGACGGATGGCGGGCGGATGGTGTGTGGATCGACGGCAGGTTGGGTTCGCAAAGAAGCAAAAGCTTGAGCTGGGAAGAAAACCGAAGGCGCTATTTGTGAGGGCGAGGACGAGAGCGCGGCGAGAGAGGGCGAGGGGGTACAGAGAGACGCTTGTATCACGCGCAGTCACACATCGGCATTGTGCTCCGAACGTGGCCACCGCCTGGCTTGCCACATGCCAGTCGAACCGGCAGGGCGTGGTGCCTTCTGGTGCTCATGGCCTCGGCGGTCCAGCAGACCCATCGACCGGCCGGCTGCCCTGCCTGGGCCGACTGCTTGCTGGCACCGCATCTGGCATTGCGCCTGCCTTCACCAGGGAGACAGGGGAGGCAGAAAAGAAGACGACAGCTGAATGTATGCGGCGTCTCAGAGTCCATCCTGCCGAAGCAAAATTGGATGTCGCTCTAGAGATTCAGAGGAGCAATGGGCCCGGAGGCATAGCAGCGAGCCGACAGCCGGAGGGAAGCGCCGGATACGGCATGCGCGAGGTCGGCGGAGCAACGCGGCAGCTATCGATGGCTTAAGCGCTGGCCGCTGTCTCGGCGCGATCAAGCCTATTGGATCAAGCCTATTGGATCAAGCCTATTGGATCAAGCCTATTGGCCATGGCTCGCGTTCAAAAAATCGTCTGGAGCGGAAGGGGAGCAAAAGTAGAGGAGAGGCGGCAAGGCAGAGCGCGCTGGGTGGGAACCGATCGGTGTTCCTTGACCCATACATCCTCAGCGACGAGGGGGGCTGGGCGATCTTCGTCTGTTGTCAGAATAGGGACTGTAGCGAGGGGATCGGCGAGAGTATGAGGCTGTTCCAGCATCGGCCAAGGTGGTGACAGTCGAATAGACGGTGCGCCAATGCAGGGAAGACAGGAGACAGGGAAGATCAGCTCAATAGTTCGGGACGACGAGGCTCGGTCCAAGATCTGCAGCGCATTTGCCCGAGCGACAAAGCGAGGGTTACCTCCATGCTGGGCGTCGTGAGCAGATGGCTTGGAATATCCGCGGATATCGTCCTTCTTCTCTCGGCCCACATCCCAGTCGAGCTTCAGCGTGCGGTTGCTGATGGTAAAGCCCGTGTACTTGTTCTTTGCGTCCTCGGCATCGCGACGATCGATAAAGTTGACAAAGGCAAAGCTAGATTGGCGCAACGGTTCCCCCAGCATCAACGGGTAAGACGGCTGGCTCCTGGTGGGCATGCTCGATTGGCTCTCGGCTGCTTTGGGGGATCAGCATCCAATGGCGAGCCAACATTCCGGCCCATATCGCCCTGTTCGAGCCACGATAGGCCATCGGCATCCACATACCCCTTGTTCTTGTTGGTGATGCGGTCGACGGGGACCGAGACGGACTTGAGCCGCCCAAATTTCTCAAAGATATCTACGACTGCCGACAGGGAGAGTCGCCGTGCACGGATACGCAGCTGGATTCAGCTCGCATTTCACGCTGGAGCGGGTATCGCCTTCGAACGAATCTGGGCAAGCCGCGATGTGCTTGGTGGAGGTGCTTACCATCCCGTTCAACAAAGTCGTAGGGAATGTTGCCTACATACAGACATGTGGTTTCCTTGCGATCGGTGTCGGTACCCCTGAATCATCAGTGGTTAAAGAGAATCGAGACGCCGGGAAATTCGACCGGTCAGCCAAGAGCACGCCGTCACCGGGATGCTCATGCCCTTCGGAGCCTTGTGGCTGTGGGCCCGAGAGGATGCATTCCTGCAGAGCCGCTGTGGCGGCGGTGGCGTGCGTGGTGCCGCAGCCCGGCCCAACGGCTCACCTGATGACATCCGCACGAGTTCGTCGGCTGGAGGCAGCCCGAGGCCGGTCTCCGTATCGATCCCCGGATCGATCTCCGTATCGATCTCCGTGGGAGCGGTCGTCGTATCGGTCATAGCTAGATCGATCGCTGCGCTCGTAGCCACCCCGTCCGCTGCCACCACCATACGAGGATCGGTATCCAGGGGATGGCGACCGAGCGTATCCCCGGCGATATCCGGAAGAAGGAGAGCGCTGGCGGGGAGGCGATCGAGATCGGTTTCGACGGTCTGGCGAAACCGAAGGGCCAGCCGCATACGGACGGGAGTCGAACGGAGGCGAGGGCCGTCGCTGCTGAGGAGGAGGGGGAGGTGGTGGAGAAATCTGGCTGAGCCGCTCGGGGTTGATCTGGGACTGCTGGGAGTTGGTCCCGGCCGAGCTGGAAAAGGCCATCATTGTTGGACTGGGTGGTGAGCGACAGGGCGAACAGCACAGAAGGCCTGAAGGGGCGGGCTGGAGGAAAGGAGGGCCAGGCTGGATCGAGTGCACTGCTGGATCGAGTGCACTGCTGGATCGAGTGCATTGCTGGATCGAGTGCATTGTCTCCCGGTGCGACACGCGCACGCCCAATCACCGCCGCTTCGAGGAATTCCCACCCGCTATGCGCCTGCGACGTCATCATTGCCTCGTCCTGGCTGCTCGAGTGGCCAAAGCGCCTCTGTCTTTGGGTGGGGTTTCCTTCCGACAGTTGACTTTTGCCCGCGGACTTCTCGGCGTGCCGCTCTGGCTTTCCATACCCCTCTCGAGGCAAAGGCGCGTCTGTTATCATGTTCTCGAGAAAGGACAAGCAAAAGCCCAAGGTGGCCATCGGGAATGTCGTCGCCGACGATCAGGCCAAGGAGCGCCTGGGAATGGCCATTTCTCCGGGCGAGATGCCTTGCGAGGAAATCGTCAATGCCCAATTCGAAGAGATTCTGGTTTGTGCTGCTTGCAGAGCTGCGCCGCGAGTGGGAATGTTGCTCGACTCTGGCTGTATTGGCTGTCTGTGAGGCTTTGTTCCGATACATGGTGGCCTGGAGGGTGTAGCTGCTGCGCCCTGGGGGTAGAAAATCGGCGAATGGATCGTGGGATTGCAATAGATGCCGCGAGGATTGCGATGCGTGTCACTCCGCAGCCAGCTCAACAGATCGTAGCCTCAACGGCAGCACATCAGTCTCACTCGCCGTTCAATTTGACAATGTGTCCAGGTTGAGCTCGCCATTCCAGCCCCCAAGATGGAGCAGATGAGAAGCATGCCAATCGACCGCAAGTGGATGTTGATTGTGCAGCAAAAGTCCAAGACTGAAATGCAGAAGGTGCATATCGCTGCAGCCGGCAGTCGTTTGGTCCTTTGGTTATTTGGTCATTTGGTCATTTGGTCATTTGGTCATTTGGTCATTTGGTCATTTGGTCATTTGGTTATTTGGTCACTTGGTCATTTGGTCATTTGGTCATCTGTTGGCATACGCTTTCGCACTTGATACTCGACTTGTCAAGCCGCTTGTCTGCGCATCTGGTGCGCATAGATCTGACCCAGCGCTTTTCATCCATCACAGTCCAGCAACGATAATCTGAGTTCAAAGTCGTCGGAGCCCCACGATCCGCGCAGCTACATTGAACTCGTGCGTGGACAAACATCGCCCATAGAGCTGGCCAAGTGCCTGCAGTCTCTGGAAATCACCCTCCGAACCGAGCCAATCAAGTAAAGTGTGCTTTTGCCGTTCTTACTTCTCCCCGCCTGATGACCGGCCTGCTTGTGTTGGCAACGCCCAATCTCTCAGACTCCCGGCCAATATGGTTCGATTTGTGTATCCTCACTCACGCCGTCACATTTCGCTTGCAGTTGGGTCAAAGAGTTCATCAAGTTCAATGGTTCGGAAGTCTTGTTTGACGTTCTCAAGCGAGTGTCTTCCAAATCCCAGTAAGTGACGTGTCTCCGAAGACAACCAGGCTTGGGGGGGGGCGCACTCCAACTCAAACGCTCGATGCATCAAGTCTATAGATTGCTCTCCAGAGAATAGCGTTGAGTATCGCCCTAGCAAGATTGGACGCCCCACACTCCTTGTGATCGAAATCACGGTGCGGTATGCGCTCGATTTCTCATTCTGTCCTTGAAATCCATTTGGTCAGGTTGGCCCCGGGAGAGAAGGACGTCATGATCCAGGCAGTGAAGGCCATCAAAGCCCAGATGAACAATGTGTTTGGCCTTCAGTCCACCATGCGACATGATGGTGGTATAGATGTCTTTGCTCTTGTTCTCGGCTCGGGGCCGCTGAAGGTCAAGACCCTGATCCTTGAGATCCTGGCCGCCGTCTGCTTTGTCCCGCCAAATGGACACACGCTCGTCCTGAACAGCATGGCGGTCCTCAAGGAGGACCTCCGCGAGGCATTTCGGTTCCAGTTCTTGGTGCAGAACCTGGTCAACCATGAGCTCGAGAACAGCAACGAAGGAGCAGCCTACCTGGATTACCAAATCGCCTCCATTTCGCTGATCAACTCTCTGGTCAACTCTCCGGACGAAATCGAGCGACGCCTGTCCCTCCGAGGCGAATTCTTGTCCCTGGGCATCTCTCGCACTATTCAGGAGCTGCACGATCTCGAAAACGACTCAATCAACAAGCAGCTGGAAATCTTTGAGGGCGAGGCCGCCTCGGACTGGGAGCTCCTTGAGGCCGAGCGGCATCTGGACAGATTTGACCAAACAAGTTCGGAGGAGCTGTTCCGAGCCCTGAAGCAGAATCTTGGTGCCAACAAAGAGTGCCAACAGTGGCTGCTGCGAGTCCTACATCACCTGTTGGTCCTCCCGACCGACGATCCGCGCGGGCAAAAGTACTGGGAAGTGCTGGACTCGATCCTGGCGCAAATCACACTCCACCGATTTGGCGTGTCGCTCAAGTTCAACCAGCTCAATATCGATATCGAGCAGATCATCAATGCTCTCGTCCAGCACGACGAGTTCGAAAAGGTCACCCAGAAAGCGGGCGACTGGGAAAACAAGGTCAAAGAATGGCAGAGCATGGCGATCGAGAAGGACAAGTGGGAAAAAATCTCAAAGGAGCAGGCCCAAACCATCAGAGACAGAGAACAGGAGCTGAGCAAGATGAAGGAAGCCAAGAGCAAGGAAGTCGTTGTCGAAGTTCGCGAGAAAACTGTCGAGAAGATCGTTGTGAAGGAGATTGAGAAGCCAGGTCAGCAAGAAGTAGCCTGGCGAGCGCGCGGCGGTTGCGGCTGTCGTCGCTACTCTATGGATATGCTCTGCAGAATCGCCGGAAGCTATCGATTTCGCCCCACTAACTGCATCGCCTTGATGATAACAGTGTCAACCACGTTCGTGCTTGGCATCGAGGTACGACCGGCCCATGGTCCAGCCGGAAAGCAATGTAGCTGGCCACCACGAGGCCCTGCCGCCATGCGATAGTCTATAGCGGATCCACAGTGCTATTCTGCATCAATGGCGATGTCTCAGCCACTCAAATCCGAGTCTTCTCGTCTTTCTAACGCTTGCAATTTGCCCTATGTAGCTTGCTCAGAACTTGTCCGCCTTAGGCTCGCTCGATCTCTCCAAGGCAGCGCTGCCAAAAACTGCTGCACTCTCCGAGGAGGCTCGAAAAGTTCTGCAAGGATTTGTGGACGATGCCATTGCAGCCGCCGCTAAGCAGGTAAGCTTGCTCGCGAACCACGAGTATTGCGAGTACGGTGCTGACTGCTGTGGCTGCTTCAGGCAAAGGCTGTTCCAAACCCTTCAAGGCCACCGCCACCGCCACCGTCTTCGTCAGCCCCGCCGCCTCCAGCAGCACCTCCAGCAGCGCCTCCAGCAGCATCTCATGTGACGAGTGGACCGCCCCCTCCCCCGCCTCCGGCTCCGCCTGCGTCTTCAGGTACCAAAACGCTCTGTGCCTTGATTCTGCGATGAACTGTAACCCAAACACTGAACCTTTTTGATGCGGGATGCAGTGCCGCCTCCGCCTCCACCCCCAGCCCTGGCAGGCGGTAAGTGTATCTGATGTACAGCGAGTCCAGGCAGGCAATTCGAAGGAGCATATCCCGGATACTTACACTAGACGATCATGAAGGTCCTCCGTTGCCCCCACCACCAGCTCCCGGAGGCCCTGCAGGTATTGCCTACCTGTATTGCCCTTTTAGCGGTCTGCTGCTGAGCAGCTTGCTGCTACAGACGCAGTGTAGGGGCCGCATTGATCCTTATATATGCGGACACTAACCCGACGCATTACAGGTGCTCCACCCCCGCCACCGCCACCCCCTGGCGTCGCCGGAGGTCAGTACAACTCTGTGTCAAAGATAAAGATATGTTCGGCTGTGCGACCATGTTGGAAACCGCGTATCGATCATCTGTGCCAGACACAGCCTGCGCCGTCAAGTGCTGACCTTTGTCGATTCCTCCTCAGGGCCGCCACCGCCTCCACCACCCGGCAAAGGCGCTCCTCCACCACCTCCCCCGGGCAAAGGCATGCCCTCGGCCCCAGGTCCGTTTAACTCTGCGCAAGAGCTTCCTGAGATATGGACCAAAGCGTTGATAATTCGATTGTGTGCTTGACGACTCGACTGATTGGCTTTGCTGGTATTACATTCGTTGCGTGGCTAGCACCGTCGCCCTACCCAAACAAGCCCAAGATCCAGACCAACTGCAAGACCCGCAATCTCCAGTGGAAAAAGATCGACGTTGTTCAGGTTGAAAAAACGCTGTGGAAGCGACTTGCCGAGCACCAGGACGAGGAGCAGCGGATCAGGAAAGAGATGGTGGACATAAAGGAGCTCGAGGAGCTCTTTGGCGTTTCAAAGTCAAACGAGCCGTCGACTCCGGGATCGAGCAAGGCGCTGGGCTCTGCAGAGAACCTCTCGCGCGCAAAGGCCGAAGAAAATGGCTCAAGCGACGCACTGTCGAGCGCCAAAAAGAAGGGTGGCATCATGCTCTTTGACAGCAAGCGATCCAACAATATTGGTAAGCAGACATTCTTCGATCGGCATTTTGAAGGCCAGTAGTTCAGCTGTTCTTGTGTTTTGGACGGAACGTGATAGATCTGTGCGAATTGATGCCTGAATTTGGCTTTGTTGCAACAGCGATTATGCTGGGCCGTGTCAAGATGAGCTTCAAGGAAATTCAAGCGGCACTGACGTCAATGGACGAACAAAGGTTGTCGGAGGAGCTGCTGAAGCAGTTCTTGACGTGTGTGCCGACCACTGAGGACGCAGACGTGCTGGCCGAGTACATTGGCAAGGACGAGTCACGGGTCGGTGAATTGGGCAAACCGGAGCAGTTCTTCTGGAGCGTAAGTATGCGATGAAGCTAGATGAAGCTAGATGGAGCTAGATGGAGCTAGATGGAGCTAGATGGAGCTAGATGGAGCTAGATGTAGTCTCTCGTCGTGTACCAAATCGTCTGTGCTGATTGCTGTTGCCCGATTTCCCCGATTTTTACCTGCACTCTACCTCCGTTCTCAGATGCTCAAAGTCCCGCGCTACGAACAGCGTCTGAAAGTACTCTACTACAAGTACAAATTTCTGGAACGAGTGGGAGATATTGATGCTGTGAGTGATCCGATGCAACTCTCAGTCGACGCAGATCGGTTGACTTGAACTGGCTGATATGCTCCGGATAGGCTTGAACGTGTGATTCGCCTTTCTGGCGTTGATGTTGCATGTGAACGGATACATGTGACTATGGCACTATCAGTGTCAATGCTCGTTCCGGTCGAGCTAATGCCAGAAACTACTGGGTATTCGTCTGTGGAACCGTGCAGGAAATCACGGCAATCAGCCTCGCATCGCGCAAGCTCCAGTCCAGTGCACTTCTGGCAAAGATCTTGGAGATTATCCTGGCGATCGGCAACTACATGAATGCCGACAATGCCAAGGGTGGCGCGTACGGTTTCCACATTGAATACCTAACCAAGGTATATCCACCATTATAGCAGGCTGGTGAAAAACGGTGGACGAGGGTGGGCGGTGACGTTCTGCAAGGGTGCTCTTGGCATGCTGCACACCAGTACATATGTGTGAATCAGGAAGAGCCTTGTCGTCTCCTTGCCGAGTACATCGCCATAGCTCGCTAAGTGCGCCACCAACCACAGCTTTCCGATACGAAGGCCGTTGGCTCGACAAAGTCGTTCCTCCATTTCCTGGTATTGTTGCTCGATGCCAAGCTGCCGGAGGCCAAAGGCATTCTGAAAGACATGCAGGAGATCGATCCTGCGAGCAAAACTGTCCTGGCGACAATCAACCAGGAGATGGGAGAGCTCAACAAGGGCTGGTCGCAACTCGAAGCCGAGTCCAAGATGACCGCCGGCGACGGAGGCGACAAACTGGTGTCGACTGTCAAGGTAAGGTTGAGTCCTCTGGCAGGTAGCCGCTGCGAGGACTCAAACTTTGCTAGATTATAGAGAGTACTGGGTGATTGGCCGCTCACATTGCGCTGGACAATCAGGAGTTCTTGGAAAAGAACAAGTCCGTGGTTGAAGGACTCCGAGCCAAGAAAACCGATATGGAGACCAGATTCAAGGCCTGCCTCGAGTATTTTGGTGAAGACAGCAAATCAACTCCGGAGAGCCTCTTTGGCACATTTTTGACGTTCTTGCAGAGTCTCGAGGTAATCCCATACCAATTCAGAGACGATTTCCTCCGATCTGAGCAGCGTTTTGAGCAGCACGGGCCTGGTCTCAGTCAACGACAGGGGGTGCTGATGGATCCTTGTCCTCTATCCTTAGCGTGCGCGCCAGGACAACCAGAAAGAGGCCGAGATAGCTCAGAAGACCGCGGAGAAAGAAAAGGTTTCAGCTGCCCCGAAAACCACCAATATCAAGGTAAACTTGGAGGGAGGTTGTTGGAGAGTGTCCACTGAAGGTCCGTGGCGTTGACTGTGGATGGGCACCGGAATTGAGTTGGGTGGCTATCTGGGATCAAGGCGATCATTGAACCGGCTGTCGAAAGCGTAATGATTCTCACGACTGCCGTTGGCGCCCTCTATCAACCCGGCGAACCCCACTTTGTATCGGCCAGAACAACATTCTGGCGGATGTCGAGCGCAAGGGAGTTATGGACGATCTCATTTCTTCGATCAAGAGCGGCGATGCGTACAAGGAGCGCAAGAAGAAGCCCCTTTCCAAGCCACCCGGACCACCACCACCTCTGAAGCCCAACGAGATGCTTGCCAACTTAAAGCCCGTCCCCCCGAAGTTGCCGTCCAAGACCGTGGGAAACGCGAAGAGCGGTCCGGCGCAGTAGTCCGAGGAAGTCATCGGCATGCTATTGATGTCTCTGTTGCTTGGTTCATTCCCGCGATTATGTTGCGCATCGCATTGACGCCGCGATCCCACGGGGTCATGGTCAGCGCGCGGTATTTTGGGGCAATACATTATTCTGCAATTGATCAAAATATCGATTGTAACGCCTTTCTTCCATGACCTGGGAGTCGGGCGGATCGGACTGGGTGGGCGTGTGGGTGGGCGTTTGGGTGATCGAGAGAGGCAGAGTGACCGAGCGTCTGATATGGAGCAGCGCTCGTCACGATTCTCCTCTGCACCGGCATTGATCGCTCGACACTCCCACCCCGTCACCCGATTCGATTCTCCCACCAGCGCTCGTCACGACACTCCCACCCAACACCACTACACAACAATGCCGCGCGCAGCATGTCTCGTGCAACCCCTGCCCATCTCCGCCAATCACGACCCTGGGCTGCCGCGTGACGGGTCTCTCCTCGCCGCTGCCCGCTCTCGCTCCTCGTGCCAGCCTCTGTCCCGTCTCGCGCTGCTCTCGCCTCGGTCCCGCGGGCGACACCGCGCGTCATGCACGCCACGTGACCTTCCTTTTCGGGCCGATATTTGTGCCCGATTGGGGCCGGCCCGGTGACGTAAGCCGCGTGCTGCCCCGATTTGGCAAGCGGCATTCTTCCCCCGGCCCAAGCCACCCGCCCGCCCGCTCTCTCCGTCTCCGTCGCCCGCCCCGCCTGTCCTCGAGCATCCCCCCCAATAAATACCCGGGCGGCAGCGGGAAGCCCCCATTTTCTTCTTCGTATCTTTCTCCCTCGTTTGAAAGACCAGTCTACCTCGCAAGCCCGTCTTCGCTTCCTTCTTCCACCACCATGAGAGAGTGTATTTCCATCCACGTTGGTCAGGCCGGTGTCCAGATCGGTAACGCCTGCTGGGAGCTCTACTGTCTTGGTAAGTTGCCACCCTCTCGGAGTCGCTGCTGTCGCTGCTGTCGTTGGGTCTCGCCACTGCAGCCCGCCTTCTGGCCTCGCTTGCAGAGCCCCGCAGCACAGCACGGCACAGCATGGCCGCGTCTGTTTTGTTCAGTCGAAGCTGATCTAGCCGCTGATCTCTCGCTTCCCGTTCACTCGCTTGCTCGCCCTCCCAGAGCACGGCATCCAGCCCGACGGTCAGATGCCCTCTGACAAGACCATCGGCGGCGGTGATGACTCGTTCAACACCTTCTTCTCCGAGACCGGTGCCGGCAAGCACGTCCCCCGTACCGTCTTTGTCGATCTCGAGCCCACCGTCGTCGATGAGGTCCGCACCGGCACCTACCGCCAGCTCTTCCACCCCGAGCAGCTGATCACCGGCAAGGAGGACGCCGCCAACAACTACGCCCGTGGCCACTACACCATCGGCAAGGAGATTGTCGATCTCGTCCTTGACCGCATCCGCAAGCTCGCCGACAACTGCACTGGTCTCCAGGGCTTCCTCGTCTTCCACTCGTTCGGTGGTGGAACGGGCTCTGGTTTCGGTGCGCTCCTCCTTGAGCGTCTCTCTGTCGACTATGGCAAGAAGTCCAAGCTCGAGTTCTCGGTCTACCCCGCCCCTCAGGTCTCCACTGCCGTCGTCGAGCCCTACAACTCGATCCTCACCACCCACACCACCCTTGAGCACTCTGACTGTGCCTTCATGGTTGACAACGAGGCCATCTACGATATCTGCCGCCGCAACCTCGACATTGAGCGCCCCACCTACACCAACCTGAACCGTCTCATTGCTCAGGTCGTCTCCTCCATCACCGCCTCCCTTCGTTTCGACGGATCTCTTAACGTTGATCTGACTGAGTTCCAGACCAACCTCGTCCCCTACCCCCGTATCCACTTCCCCCTCGTTACCTACGCTCCCGTCATCTCTGCCGAGAAGGCCTACCACGAGCAGCTCACCGTCGCCGAGATCACCTACTCGTGCTTCGAGCCCGCCAACCAGATGGTCAAGTGCGACCCCCGCCACGGCAAGTACATGGCCTGCTGTCTCCTGTACCGTGGTGACGTTGTCCCCAAGGACGTCAACGCCGCCATCGCCACCATCAAGACCAAGCGCACCATCCAGTTCGTCGACTGGTGCCCCACTGGCTTCAAGGTCGGCATCAACTACCAGCCCCCCACCGTCGTCCCTGGTGGCGATCTCGCCAAGGTCCAGCGTGCCGTCTGCATGCTTTCCAACACCACTGCCATTGCTGAGGCCTGGGCTCGCCTTGACCATAAGTTCGATCTTATGTATGCCAAGCGTGCCTTCGTCCACTGGTACGTCGGTGAGGGTATGGAAGAAGGTGAATTCTCCGAGGCCCGTGAGGACTTGGCTGCCCTCGAGAAGGACTACGAGGAAGTCGGTACCGACTCTGTTGAGGGCGAGGAGGAGGAAGCCGAGGAGTACTAAGTGCTCTCCCCCTCATAAACTTGCTGTTCCGAGCGCTCTGCGCCACGCTGCCCTCTGTCCTGAGATTGCCGCTGTGGCCTGGCTGTCGTCTCGTCCAAATATAACCGTTTGCGCAATGAAGCGGGCATCTATCGTTCTCCCTTGCAAGCGCGGTGGTGCGTCCATCCGGCATGATCAATCTCCGTGAGTGTGTCAGGTGCAGCGAGCGAGAGACGACTCCCACTCATCAGACTCGGGGCTATGCATCTCATCACAATTGTTCGGAACACGGGTGAGATCTGCGTCGGCCGCTGATCGTTCCACTTTCGACTGCATTTCGCTCGCCGTCCTGCGGTCGCCCGCCTGCCCGGCTGGTGCGGATGGTCGAGCTGGGCTGCTCTGGCGACCTGCGCGTGTGGCTTGTGGAGAGCGCCGTCTCCTGGCCCCGTCGGTGTCGGCGCTCCTCTCTCCTTTTGCTTCCACCCACCGCATCTTGCCTCTGCCTCCACACCACAACCTCTGCAGCAGGCGCCCAATGCGATCATGGCCTCGTCCTCGTGGTCAAGCGACTCGGCCTACATCGACAAGTCCATTGAGGCTGCCGTGAACTTGGCCTCCAAGGAGTTCATCAAGGGCTTCATCGCCGGCCAGATCATCCTCTGCATCTTGATCTTCTTCCTGCTCAAGGTGTTCCTGCTGCGGAGTGGCGGCGAGACCAAGATCGAGATCGCCAAAAGGAGGCGCAATCGCAGACGCTTCCAGTCCAAAGTATGTCCGCTGCCCGAGTTCGAGCAAAGCCGCTCACCATGGACGAAGCAGCGAGCAGCGAGCAGTCCGCCAGCGGGCGACTGAACAACTCCAGCGGCTTGTTAGCCCACCAGCCCGCACGACCTTGCCGGCCTACTGCAGGTCGTTAGCGCCCGAGCACTTTGCCCCGGCTTACGCAGGCTCTATCTTCTCGGTGCAGCTCGCGGCCTCTGCCAATCCAAACATCTACGAGGCTCAGATCGTCTCCAAGACCCAGTACGACATCAATTCCCAGCCGAGCGAAACCCTCAAGTGGCTGAATGTCATCCTGGCCCAGATCATATCAAAGTATCGCAGCGACAAAGAGTTCAACGATCGAATCATATCGCTCATCGACGAAGCCATCAACGGGCCATCGGACCAAACGGACTCGTCTCGCAGGCCCAGCTTCCTAGGCCATGTTGCTATTACCGAGTTTTCGCTCGGTGAGCAATACCCCATCTTCAAGGATGCCAAGATCCGATACGTCGAGTATACAACAAATCTGGTGCGTGGATAGCCCCAAGTGCGTCTCTGCCTTCGCTACAGCGGCCGTCAATCACATTCCATGCACTTGGCTTCTACCTCCCTCCCTCCCACAACACCCTCCCACCAGTCCGACTCTACGGGACCACGAGCGACTATGTAACTGACCAAAACACTCCACCGACTTGGGGAATGGAATCGCTTGCGCTTGTTCTCGAACCGGCACGACTCGGCATGCCCACCACAGCGTGCCGAGATAGGCTTTGAGTACAACGACCAGATCACCATCGGCATCGACACACAAGTCCTCATCAACTGGCCCAAAGCCTATACTGCGTCGCTGCCTGTTTCTCTGTCTTTGTCGATTGTCAAGTTTTCTGGAACGGTATGTCATGGCCCATAGCGAAGCACATCGTAATCGTGGGAGCTACTCACCCCCCATGTCCAACGCATGTTCGCCTCTTGTTCACCACTTCACCTTTCGCTAACCCGTGTCCCTCGGATCCGCACTGGCTTGTACCCTATCGATATCTACTCCGACATCCAATCTTGCCCTCGGCGGGTCCTCTGTGCTCAACCGATGTGCCTCCCCTCTTGACGATCGCTATCCGAAGCTTGCCCTCGAGTTCGTCACACTCCCAGACAACTCGCAAACCTATCTGTCGATATCTATCTTGGAGGACTTTATGCTTGAGTTTGAAGTCCGCTCGCTGCTTGGACATCGCACCAAGGTTAAGGACCTGCCCAAGCTAACGTCGATCATCACCTCCAAGCTACAATCGGTCTTCATCGAAACGATCGTCTATCCATGCTTCCACAAGGTCTATCTGCCAACGATTCCCAAGCCTGCGGCTCCGCCAAAGGAGAAGGACCCAGCTCCTGCCGAGGACAGCATCCCGAAGGAAACCGATGGCCTCTGGAACAGACGGCGTGAGGCCGATCCTGAGAGTTCGAGCGACGAAGCCTCAGCAGCTCAATTGGGCTGAGCCGGCGACGCATTCCGAGATTCAACCCTTCGAGGGATACTGGGCATCTCGAGGTCCCAGGCCCTAACGACGCCGCTGCACCTGCTGTGTTTACAACCGACGGCGATATCGCCATGATCCTGAATATATTGATGAGCGGGACATATTCACACACGAATAACTTGTTGCTGTTGCTTGCGTGGGTGGTGAGAGTTGTGTGAAATTGGACGACTTTGATCGGCAAACCCCTCGAAAATCCACCCGTCGATGTCCTCCAGTGGTATTGCTCTTTGCCCTGGTTTCTTCCTCCCTCATCCCGGGTATGTCTTCTTGCCCTGACCTGCAGTGACTGCATCTGCAGCGGCTCGCTGGTCCCCGTCGTACCCGCTCACTCCATGCATCTGCGAACGATTGCTAATTCAACATGCTGTGTATTGATGCTGTCCATCCTTCGCAGACCTGATCGTCGGCCTCTTCGCGCAACGAGAGCGCAACGAGAGCGCCGAGCGAGGAGCGTGTCTCGGCTGACACGTGACTGTAAATTAATTCTTCATTTCCTTCGCTGGCTTTTTTTCTTGGTTCCGATCGAGCCAGATCCAGGCGTTCTCATCCCTCCAGCAGCCGCTTGACCGTCCCTTGCAGCTCCCAAGCACCTTTTGTCCGTCGAACGAGAGCATATTCCAAAAAAAATGAACCGAGGAGGACGTGGCGGCAGTCGAGGTCGTGGTGGATTCGGCGGTCGTGGTGGATTCAGTGGTCCGGTTGGCCCGCCGGACACCGTTCTGCGTAAGTGCATTTCACTCTGCTTGCCCACTCGCCGCAATCTTTGAACCCGCTGCCTTCTTCGTGGCCGTCTTGATCGCTCTGGAAGCCTGTCAATCATTGGTGGAGTGGCATCACAGCGGCATGTTATTGGCTCGCTTTAAAACGCTTGACGGCAGAGTGGGAGGCTGCTCCACTTGGTACGGCATATCGACTCGGCACGATCAAAGATACCACCGATCGGATACTGCAGGATGGGAGAAGATCGGAAAAGACCGGACGACAGGATGTACCTGGACCAGATCATCCACGATGTGGATCATTCAGTCGAGCATGTCACACGACTATCTTGGAACTGTCACCTGTGGCCAGACAACCATGCCGATGATCATATCCCGGATATCTATGCTGGACGCATATCGCCGTTGGAGGACGCCATCTCAGCGACACTCATAATGAGCGGAAGTGGATTCCACCTGACTCTCAAACACTGGCAACTCCAAGATTTCGACCTATGCTGCTCACCATCCGACACTGCGGCCTTTGGGCAGCTTGGCAGAGCTGCAGCTCTGATTCGAGCTCGGCGTCTGGATCTGGCCCGTCAGCGAGCTGCCACAACATTGACAGCCGTTCGCCGGACATTGGAGCCTGTTTTGCTATGATCTCACAGCTATCATAGCCGTCATTTCTGCGCTATGAGTTGCTGCACTGTGGCTCTCGTGCCTCTTTTGCAGCAGCGCCATTGCGTTGACTTTTCTACAGCCGAGGCTGTACTGGCTGTCGTCGGGTGCTTCTTTACTTGATTTGCCAATGTGTATCGCTCGCCTCCTGCATACTGACCGATCACGCCACATTCTGCCCCGATCACGCAGCCATGGGTGTTTTCGTGCATCCTTGTGAAGGCGAAATGGTCTGCAAAAGTGTGAACGAAAAGGTACTCGTGCTGCAAAACAAATCCTCTGTTTCGCCTCCAGAGAGTGGCTTGGTTGTCGTCATCGTTGCTGGAGCTGTGTATGGCTCTTCACGCTTGCCTCAATCAAATCGCAGCCTTTCCTAACTTGATCTGTCCGCTCTTGCCCCCATCAGGTTCCCTACTTCAATGCCCCCATCTACCTCGAGAACAAGACCCAGATCGGCAAGGTCGACGAAATCCTTGGTCCCATCAACGAAGTGTACTTCACCGTGAAGGTCCAGGATGGCGTTGTCGCCACCTCGTTCAAGAAGGATGACAAGGTTTTCATCGCCCCCGACAAGCTTTTGCCACTAGAGCGATTCCTGCCCAAGCCTAAGACTGCTGGCGGCAAAGGTACGGGCACTCAAAGGCCATGTCCATGGCGAAAGTCATTTGGTCGAGCCTCCATGATGGACTGCGGCCATCTCGCTGCCATGTCAACGGGTTGATCCACCCAGCCATCGCTGCCCTCGTGTCGAGGCAGCGGTTCTCACCCGCTCTTTCTGTTCCTTTCTGCGCCACAACTACAACCACAACCGCCTATGAAACCTCAGTCGAGAAGCCACTGGGTCGCCAAGGTATGAGCGCACGGATTTACGTTGGCCAACGGCTGTCCTTTGACCTGCAGTCGTTGTCGAGCTCGTGTATGTGCATGCATATGTGTGTGTGCTCTGCGATACTATTCTAACGAGATTGTTTCGCTATTCCCAGGCATGGTCGAGAAGCGCGGCGGCCGTGGCGGTCGCGGTGGATTTGGTGGAGGCCGTGGTCGTGGTGGCGCTGGCGGCCGAGGTGGATTTGGTGGTGGTCGCGGAGGAGCTGGCGGCCGTGGAGGCTTTGGCGGCGGTCGTGGAGGTGCAGGCGGCCGTGGCGGATTTAGTGGCGGATTTAGTGGCGGCCGTGGCGGATTTAGCGGCGGCCGAGGAGGCTTCGGTGGACGTGGCCGAGGACAGTAAGGAGCAGCACAGCCAGCTTTTGGCGACACGGCGTCCATGTCTTCTGCTGCTCTCGCATTTCCTTTCCCATTCCTTCTCATTTTGTATTGACCGCTTGACCCTATATCTTTTAATTTATGGCATTGCCTGAATCGAGTGGGTCTGCTCACTCTCGCACTTGCCCTCTCGCTTTGCTAACAGCGGGTGTCTTGGATGATGTATTCCAAATATGCCATGACTCGGACTAAAGCGTCGGGCGACGCTGTGCCGTCTTGTCGATCACGGAGGTGGTGGCTGTCTACTTTCGGCGTCGGGACTTGGATTCCTTGGCTTTTCGCTTTTCCGCGCGAACTTCCTTCTTCATTCTCGGATCGACCATCTGCGTGATGAAGCAGCAGCAGCCACATGAATGAGGATGTGGGATGGCGGTACAGGGCTCGATGTTGGTCCATCTCCACTGCTCTGCACAAGCACTTACCTTGTATTTGCCCTTGACACCCTTGGGCCTGCCCTGGACACCCCTGTGGGCACCGCGGGCAACGACGAGCTTGATCTTGGGCTTCTCCAGCTTGGACTTGGATTTGGCCTTGTCCATCAGCTTTGTGATCTGCTCGAGCTTGGATTTTTCGCTGAGCTCCTCGTTCTCGGCCAGGCCCTCGGCCTTGCGCTGCGACTTTTCGAGGCGCCGCAGGGTACGCATCTTCTTGCGGAACTTGGCCTCGGCAATCTTTTTGATCGGTCGGGCATTGAGCGCCAGCATGCGCTGCCGCATGATTTCCACAGCCTCCTTGGTCACAGGCATCTGTGGCTTGTTGAACCTTTCTTCCTCCTTGAGGAACCACTCTGGCAGCCCCTCGCGGTCGTTGAACGTATACCGATTGAACGAGTCGTCCAGGAGGTCGCGCTTGCCCTTGGCCGAAGCCATTTGCTGCGCGAGAGTATATCCAACTGCATTGGTGATGGCGAACGGATCCTCTGGATGGAGCAGGGTAGATTGAAATGGGTTGGCTTGGTCAATAACTGGATGCGAACGACAGGATGATGGATTCCCAAAGCGCAAAGCGACACATTTCGCGTTCGATAGCCCTCCATCGCTCGCTCGAGCAGGATGGTCAAGCTCATGAAGCACTCACTGTCCGGGCCAACTTCGTCTCCCTTAACGACTTCGAATTCGTTTTCATCGTCCGAGAAGCCCTGGAGCGGGTTCGCTTGCACCTCGTCGTCGCTCTCGCTTTCGAGATCAGCATCAAACATGCCCTTGGGCTTGGACTTGTTCTTTGTGTTCTTGCCCTTTTGATCGGGCTTGGGCTTCTGGCCAAGCTCAGTGCTCTTCTTGAAGATGGGGTTGTCGAAGAAGAGCTTGGCTTTTTTCGAGAGTGCCTGTGGCGCATCATCCTGGTCTTCGTCCTCGCTGTCCGCACTGGGTTTGGTGCGCTTCGCACCAATCTTCACGGCGGCACCTTTCTTTGTCGGCTTACGCTCGTCCTCGCTCTCGTCACCCCACGAGCTATATTCGCTGTCGTCGTCGGAGCCTTGTCTCTCGCCGCCCTCCTCGTCGTCATCGTCGTCCTTGCCAAGGTCACGGATACTTTTGTCGTACTCAGATCCGTACCATTCTTCGAACTTGGCTTTGGCGCCTTCCTTCTGCTGGGCAACCTTGGCCTTAGGGTCCTTCTCGAGCTTGCGGGACTTGTAATTCTCGTACCTTGGTGTGGAATCCCGCAGCAGACATCGATGATGTCAGTCGTGCGAGGAGCACCGGTGGGTATTCGAGCGATAGATGCGATAACTTACATTTGGTCGAGATCATTCTCGAGCCACTGAACCTTTTGCGCCGTCTCTTCGTCCGAATCAAGGACTTCGTCCTCCTCGTCATCGTCGTCCTCGGCGGCATCGTCGCTCTCATCGCTCTCAAACTCCTCAAACTCTCCCCTTCGAGCTTTGCCAAGTGTGTTGCTGGCCTGGTGTCGTTGATGCCTCTGTCAGTGATCCTGTCGAACGCGGCTCGTCGCCCGTTGTTCGTGGCGCTGACTCATAGCTGTCATGCATGCGGTGCACTTACATCGCCGACTTTCTTCCAGTCAAACAAGCCCGATCCGTCGTCCACATCGAGGCCACCGATACCGTGCTCGGCCTCCAGACCAATGTCCATCGGGGTTGTCATGCCCATTTGCATCTTGAGAAGCTGCTTGGCGCGCTTGTCTTTGACCTTTCGCATCTGCCGCTTCAGCTGGGTATTGAGGAGATTGGATTGACGCTGTACCTCATCCTCGACGTCTTCCTCTTTGTCCTGGCTGGTCTCGGCCTCTAGCCTGGCCTTCTCCTCGGCTTCTTGGCGCTTCTGTTGGCGGGACTTGTCCAGGCCACACGACACGCGAATCTCCTCGCGCCATTTGAGTAGGGTTTTAAAATCCTTTTTACCCAGCACTCGCAAGTCCGAGAGGCATTCCTTGATCTCCTCGGTAGTAAGCGGGTGCTTTTCATAACTAACAAGATGAGGCGCATATCAACTTAGAACCATGCTCGGTGCTCAAGCCAGACGACTCGGTTCAGCGAACCCCCCATACTCGAATATTGCCGAGCGCCAGCGCTGCTCTGCTCAATTCCATCCGCCGACCAGCAGGAGCCGCCATGAGAGCCGCGAGCAGCAGCACAGAGTTTGTCCTGCATCCAAAACTCACATTTTGCCATTTTCATCCTTCTTGAAGCTGAGCTCGTGCGATCGGGCAAGGAGAGGAATAAAGTCCTTGCCCTCGATGAACTCTGTGACGCTGTTGGACTTGTGTAGAGTATAGTCGTTGTCTTCGTAGCCATCACGGTGTCGACGGCGTTTCTACCAGATTCAGGAGCCGTCAGCTCACTACGAACACCGAGGCCATGTTCGCGCAGACCGACGGCAATAGTACAGATCCACGCCCTGGCTTGACTGAGCACAGCATAGCCACACAGTCAAGGCAACAGCGTACAAGTATCCTGCGGTGCTATTGAACCGAGACGATATATCCCAGCGAAGGGTTGACGGCAGGCGCCACTTACCTCTGGGTGGAACAGATCGTTCAGGATGGCATTGTGGCGCTCCTGTGTTTTCTTTTCGTCCTCGGCGTCGTCGACGTCGTCCACTTCCTTGAACACGTACTTGGGATCCAGGATTTTCGGATCGATTTTTTTGGGTGCCAAGTAGCCCTGGCAGACCACGAAGATCTCAGCAGAGACATTACGGGACGATGCCGGCTTGGTAGCCTCGACTCGGGAGAAGAGCTGGTTGAAGACCCACATCAGTTTGTTGTAATCCTTGGATCGAAAGACCTTGGTGACAAAGGTGCCGTTGGGCCCCAGGAACTCGGTCGCCAGCTTCAACGACGCCAAAACGAGCTCCGACTGCTGGAAGGCATCCTGCAGCCAGGCGGTACCGACGTTCGGGGCACCATCGTGCAGGAAAACGTCAGCCTTCCAGGTCTTTAGCTCCGCCTTGATTGTCGTCCGGCATTTGGCGGTAGTAATGTCCTCGACAAAGGTTATGACGCCAGGTATCGGACGGATCGGAGCCAGATCGAGACCGATGATGATGTTGGGCTTGGGCATATATTTGGCCGCAACCTGGAGCCTGCGAGGCAGGGTGAGTATCGACCAGACTTTGAATTTAGCTATCCGACCGACATGACTGCATTCGATGGGAGGGAGAGCAGTGCGGAACGGATGCTCTTGCAGGGAAAATAGATTTGCTCGGGATCGTATCGGGTGTGCCTTTGCTTCGCCAGTGTGCCGTCGCAGTCAAAGCAACCATACGTACCAACCACCAGGAGCGGCGCAGAGATCGACCAGGACCTTGGCCTTTTCCAGGAAGTTGTATTTCTTGTTCAGCTGGATGAGCTTGAAGGCGGAACGGGCACGGTAGCCCTGTTCCTTGGCCATATGGTAGTATTTATCCAAGCGACCCTTGGCATGCTTCTTGACGATACCCATCTTGGCGGACTGCTACTGCGTCGGTGCGCTCAAGCAGGGATGCTGTAGTGGATGCCGTAGCGGTCTGGCGGATGCTGGCCGATGTTGGTCGGCCCTCTCGGCGGCCCTGTTCTCTCGTTGTGCCCAACGGCGGCTGCGCTCAACAAAAAAAAAAGTGCAGCCGAGGTCGGAGTTGTCCACGTGAGGCTGAGTCAGCCGCCCAGAACACCGGCACAGGCCGGCTGGGGCAGCCCAGGCCTGCCGAGCCCATGAACATGATGGCATCCCAAGCGCACAGGCCGGCCGGCCAGGTGCATATGCGCTGTCGGTCCTCGGCCGGGCAGGCGGTGGCCCGGCTCTGGTGCGTGCCTGCTCTTTCGGTGTGGTCAGGGCCAGCCGTATGATCCAGCACGGCTTGTCGCTGCGCAGGCAGCCTCCCGCATTTTCTTGCGCGGAGACTCCCAGCCAGGCCGCAACAACCTGGTCTTGCATCGTACCGCCGCCGACCCTCCTCGCCAATGACCTGTCTGTCGCTGCCGGCCCTGGCTGTGGCCGCTCGCCCGAGGCCTCGGCTGCAGGCTCCGACAAGGTCCTTTTTCAACTTTCCAGCACCGCTAACGTCGCTGGCCAAGGAGCACCGAGAGCGGCGGCTCATGAACTTTTCGCAGCGGCAGCTCTACGACATTGTCTCGGATGTCGATCAATACTCCAAGTTCCTTCCCTATTGCGTCGAATCGATCGTGTTGTCGTCTGCAGAAATTCCCACGGATGCTCGCTTCAAGCCTCCGTCGGGCAGCCCGGCCTCGGCTGCTGGCTCGACCTCCACAGTAATTTCCCCCCGGAAGAAAATCATGAAAGCCGATCTTGTCATTGGATTCAGCGCCATGAAGGAGCGATACACATCGACGGTGACCTGCTGCGAGTACGATATGGTGCAGGTAACTTGGCGAAGCCACGTATTCCGACCTGCTGCATAGCATAACTGATGGTGCGAAGCGTCTCGAACGGCTTTGGGTATCGGATCGCTTTGGGCCTCGATCGCTCATGGTTGGGCTGGATGGCAGCGAGGCCTTCCGCCATATCATGATTTGCACCTCCGTGATTTCAGGCGTGCACACTGTTTCTTTGAACGGCGTGCGCTCCTATAAGCCACTGCTCTGGCTGCCAAGTTCTCCCGCACTCTTCATCCCCGATCCCGCCCTTTACTGAGCCGATACTTCTACCCCGCTGAAATGCACAAGGCCGTCGCCTCAAACTCCCATCTCTTCCGCAAGCTTATCAACACCTGGCGATTCACCCCGAACGTTCCCGCTGAAGCCAGGGGCGATGTATTGCCGTGCGATTATCCAAGTTGCCACGTTGATTTCTTTATCGACTTTGAGTTCCGATCGCCGCTGTATGCCCAGGCTGCCTCTTCCTTCTTTACCGAAACCAGTAGACTCATGGTGACGGCATTCGAGAAGCGCGCTCAAGAAGTCTACGGTCGGCGTTGAGGGCACCATCATCAAGTTTGGTTCTAGATAGATCGGCATTCGGAATAAAGCGCATGCCCGGCCGATGATCCGGTATTCCTCGGTCTTGGGATGCAGCAACGGTGTTGCTCCCGACGGCCAGGGCACCTCTACTCGTCGTTGGCCGCAGAAAAGAATATCCAGTCGAGCGGCTTGTCGACATCGAATTGCTCGCGGGCCTGGCGCTTTGGAATGGGCAACTCGAGGTGGTGGGCCGGCAGCGGCTGGCTGAAGAAATACGGATCGAGCAGAGCCTAAGTCGACAAACGATGGGATCAACAATGGATTCAAACATGGCTTATGGTGGCCGGCAGCATCGGACACTCCCCCTGAGGCCGCTGTCTTTGTGTCTGCAACAAATGCACTGGCCAGCTCATGAGCCAGGACCAACATCCGCCACGCCCACAAGCTCTCCGTATACCTCGCTTGCTGAGATTCGCTTGGCGCTGGGATACACCAGGAACTTGCCCAGCAGCTCGGCTGCCTCTGGCGAGGCGTCGGGGCAAACATGGTCAAACGAGACCGCGGGCATCATATCGAACTGGATCTTGTTGTAGTCAGGCAAGTCCTCCAGCTCCTGTCGATGCATCACATCCGAGCAGGCATTGAGATAACGGTCGTCATTGGGCAGAGCGGATTGATCTGCTAACCCAGTCGGCGTGCAGCTTCCACCAACCAACATGGCCTCGGGCGGTCCATGAACCCAGCGCCTCCAGACCCCGCAATCAACAAAACTCAACTGGCCATATTTCTTTGGTCGGCGTCCCCAGAATGCTCAGGACCTGGTAGAGCTGGTCAATATCGTTCTGGCCCGGAAAGATGGGCGAGTGGTTGAGTAGCTCCCCAAAAATGCATCCCACGGCCCACAAGTCGACCCCGACATCGTATCGGCGAGCCCCATAGAGCAACTCGGGCGCTCGATACCATCTGCAGGCGGATAACAGACACGAAGCGATGAGCGCGTGGAAACATGCAGGAGAATCAGCGACATGCCTCGAGGCTCGCCTTGCCCACTCCCATTAGCGATCCACAAAGCTGGATTTTTGGCCGTCGTCTTCGCCTCGCGCATTGATACCTCGTCGCCACTTGATGACTGTACGGCCGCTTGATGCTCTCTGTTGAATGCACACGCGCCAAACCAAAGTCGGCGAGCTTCAGGACGCCCGTGGGGCTGATGAGGAGGTTTGCCGGCTTCAGATCCCGGTGCATAATGTTATTGGCGTGGCAGTAGGCAATGCCCTTGAGGAGCATCAACATGTACGCCTTGACCTGAGCCTCAGTGAGCGGACTTGGAGAGTTACGCAAGACCTCGGACAGATCCGAGAGCATGTACTCAAAGACAAGGACAAACGAAGGGCCAGACGGAAACACCTCCCGCAACTTGACGACCTGCGCAGGCCCAAACGAGCAATTGCGTGAGACGGCCAACGAATGCCGCTGCCAATGTCGGTGCCGGCCTTGACGCAGATACAGCCGCGCCTTCATGCCGGGTGGTTATCACACTTACGTTCTGGTGGTTCAGTTGCTGCAGCGCCTTGATCTCGCGCAGGATTGTGTTCGGGATGCCTTCTTCGACCGGGCGAGTGAGGGGAATCTTCTTGAGGGCCACCACCTCCCCAGTCTCTATGAAGGTTGCCTTCAGAACAACGCCGTGGGCACCTTCGCCGATCTAGTAACCGAGCATAGCCGCATGGCAGGGTGGGCGCCACTATGAGCATGGTGAAGCCGGTCGGTCGTGAGAGAACTGCGGTGCAGGCACGCCCGGAGCACCCTGATAGCGAGCACCTTTGCAATGGTTTTATATCGATCCATGATTTGCCGTGCTCAAGACGATTGCCGACGGCGCAGGCAACAAAAGCTGCTCGTGATCATTGAATATGCCCTCCGGCCACTGGCAGCGGGCGAGGGCGGGCTTTTCATCCTCGCCGGCTCCGACACGATGAACGGCGCATGCTGCTTTCGAGGACTGTGCGCTGTCCATGAGCATGTTCGCCGAGTGTGTCCACCGAGACTGCCCACACCACTTTTGAATCCGACATGGCTGCCATATAGTGCATCAACTTGACTCGATAACCCACAAGGCCATAGCCATGCATCGACTCTCATTTCGACACCGCTGGAGCATGCCCACAGTGCGGTTCCATCGCGACCTGGAGATATCGACCACACCCATGGGTTTGGCGTTGACGGCCAACGATAGTGATGGTGGTAGCGATGGTGGCAGAGATGGTGGCAGAGATGAACCACCAGAGTGACTGGCGATGTTCTGTTGGCAAAATGGGCCACAGGCAAACGGCTACCCAAGGCACGTGGGAGCGATGAGCCGGAAAACGGGTCGGAAGAGAACATCCCAGCCACGGGTGCCCAGCGGCTTCCGTCAATCTCCAACCTCCATCAACATCCGTCGGCCCCATCAATACACACAGATCGTCTGCGCTGCCTGCCGTCACCATCATGACCTCCTCGCCCAACTATGCCCACCTGCTGCCCCCCTCGTGGAAGAGCCTCGTCACTTCCTGGATCGGCGAAGACACCCCGTCGTTCGACTATGGCGGCTTTGTCGTTGGCGAATCGGAGCAGGTCGCCATTCTCTTTGGGAAGGCCGAGGTAAGACGCTCTTTGGAGGCAACTGCGGAAGCATATTGTACTTCAACCCGATTGATGAACCTCATCAGTTCTAACTGAAGGCCGTCTCGATACACATGAATGCCTTCTATCGCAAAGGGCGTTGTTGCCGGTGTTCCCTTTTTCGAAGAAGTCTTTCGCCAGTGCGATTGCCGGTAGGGCAAGTCAGCCGGACCGGCCCTGCCCTGAGATCATGCAGCCTATTTCCAAAATACGAATCTCACATAGTCGGCAACAGCAGTAGCAGCAGCAGCAGCAGTAGCAGCAGCAGCAGCAGTAGCAGTAACAGTAGCAGTAACAGTAGCAGTAGCAGTAGCAGTAGCAGCAGTAGCAGCAGCAGCAGCAGTGGTAGTAGCAGTGTTCTAGACTGCTCATTTGTCCCTTCGTGCTGTGTTCGCACCTCTCAGGGTCGAATGGAAGGTCCAGGAAGGCGCCGAATTCACTCCCGGGCCCGAGGGCAAGAAGGAGATTGCCCGAGTCTATGGCAAGGCTCGAAATTTGCTGCTCGGCGAGCGTCCGGCGCTGAATATGCTTGCTAGAGCAAGCGGCATCGCTACCAGGTAATTCCGCAGGCACTCAAGCCATCAGAGCTTGCGAGACCTGGTGCTGACCCACGGTTTCCTGCACCGTCCAGAGCCCGACGCCTTGCCAAGCTCAAGGAACAGCATGGCTGGACCGGCCTGATTGCCGGAACCCGCAAGACAACCCCAGGTAAGCGTGATACCATCCCGGCGGTGTGCGTTAGGATGAAAGCAGACATCAGATGCATTCGCCTTCCCTGAACGATGCGTCGAGCTGTGTCGCCCGGTTGCCCGGTTCCGTTGCGGTGCTTCATCGATGCAAAAAACTAACGCCATCTGCTTGTAACCCAAGGTTTCCGCCTGGTGGAAAAGTATGCTATGCTCATCGGTGGGGTTGACACTCACCGCTATGATCTGTCGTCCATGATCATGCTGAAGGACAACCATATCTGGGCCACCGGTATGAGTCTGCAGCAATCGCTCTTGCACAAGCCAACACAAAGTTGTTTTCTTGAACGCCGCATATTATCTACCTCGTCTTGAGTGCTCACATCCATATTTGCTTCCTCAATGACACCCCGGTTTGCCACCTCCTTCGCGTGCAACTACCTCACAGGATCGATCACCAAGGCTGTTGAGTCTGCTCGCTCTGTGGGCGGATTCGCCTTGAAGATCGAGGTCGAGTGCCGATCGGAGGAGGAAGCCAACGAGGCCATCGAGGCTGGGGCGGATATCGTCATGTTGGACAACTACAAGGGCCAGGCGTTTGTCGATGCCGCCGGTCGCCTCAAGGCTCAATGGAGAGGCAAGAAGACGTTCCTGATCGAAGGAAGTGGCGGCTTGACCGAGGAGTCGGCTCCCGAGTACTTTTCGAAGGGTATGTTCCGAAGCCAAGCCTATGCTCTTGGCACAACAGGCACTCCTCGAGCAGAGATTGTCCAGCCCTCGAAGCTCGTGGCGCTCTCGTCGGCGCTTTGCTCGCTGCTAATCCGCACCGTCTCTTACTCGCCGCTCTAGATGTGGACATTCTGAGCTTTGGGTCCCTCACCCAGAGCGTCCCGCATATTGACTTTTCTCTCAAGGTCCAGCCTCAAAAGTTCTAGATGCGGATATGGCGCTATGTTATGAGCCGCGTTGCGCCCGCTGATCGTGGTTGTTCTTGATCTCGAATATACAACCGCCAATCGAGGACGTTCACGAGTGTCGCTACGTGGATGACCGTGCGATGGATCGTGGATAAGATTCGATTGCCATGACACCATCGTGTCTTGCCGACATGCCGCTATGGTGTAAAACTGTAAAGCAGCACGAGGGTCTGGTTCGTGGAGGATCGCTGGAGCATCCCTCCGCCCTCCATGTCGATCGTGGGAGAGAAGGCCGACCTCGACTCCGCCCACTTCAAGCAGAACCCCTGTGCCAAGCTCGACTGAATTGACGAAGAAAGGAATAGATTACATGCCAAAATCGCGGGGCGGACGCCACTGGATGCACGCTGGCGACAACAGCAGCCACGATTGGCAAAGATCCTCTTCAGCGGTACCGACGGCTACTCTGGGAGACATCGGGAGAGCTTGGTTCTCCTTCTGCTTGACAAGCTATATACGGACATCGTGTTGCTATCAGTGGACATGCTCGAGGCTATGGAGTGCCAGCAATGGCCTGATAGATCATCAGAATATCCAGGCCGGTGATCAGCAGGATCGACAGGAAGGTGAAGATGGTGATGAACCACGAACTGGCAAAGCTCTTTGACGATTCAGCCGCGCCTGTGACAAAAGCCCAGCAGAGTTAATGAGCAAGATGAGTGGCTGTTGGCATATGGAGTGTGGCCAGTCCAACCCAGCACTCGCCAGACATATCGATACACAAACCATTCATGCTCTTGACGCGGATCGACATGATATGCTTCGACGATGAAAACCACAGCAGCGGCCACAGGGCAAAGGGTAGGCACCCCGAAAGGATGGCTTGAGACAGCACCAAGAGGTCGTTGATGCCAGCATCCCCTTTGATGATGACGACGACCACGGCCGGGATCAAGGCGGCGGCACGGGTAGTCAGGCGTCGTGCCCACATTGGCCATTTGAGCTTCAGAAAACCCTCCATGACGATCTGTCCAGCAAGCGTGCCCGTGATCGAGGACGACTGGCCGGCGCAGAAAAGCGCAAAGGCAAAGAGGGTTGCGGCCCATGGAGCAATCGCCGTCTTAATCAGGTTGTAGGCCGACGGAATGTCGCTCACTTGCTGGTTCTTGGAGTAAAACAGTGCAGCCGAGACGATCAGGATGGCAGAGTTCACGTAGAGAGCAAAAGTGAGGGCGATGGCTGAGTCGACCATAGTAAAGGACAGGGTGCTCTTGATTCTCTCGACAAACTCGGAGCTGTGTGCAGAGCCGTCCCGGAGGTCCGTCTCTAGAGGGTCAGATGCGCGGATGGTGCCATCAACAAGCGTGGAGAGCTTTTCCTTGGAGCGGACGCTGCTGCGGATAGAGGCAGCAGCGGTTCTGGCCCCGTCCTCGATGGTTGTGATCTGATCTATCCGATCGGCGCTCCGTCGGTCGGCGGACACGCCTGGGCTGTCCAGACTCTCGTCGGGCTCGGATTCGTCTTGTCGCGGCGAGCGATACTGGACGAGCCTCGAGTGGATGAAGAGGTTGTGAGGCATGACGGTGGCCCCGAGAATGCTCATGCCAACGTAAAGTGTCGTGGGATCGGTGAAGATGGTCGAGTCGAGAGGCAGGTAGCCCTTGAGTACATCGACACCGGAAGCGGCACTCTGGCTCAGGAGCACGGCGTAGCAGATGCCAACCATCAGAACCAGCACGATGATGATGAACTCAAAGATCCGCATGTACTTTGCCTGGAAGGTGACCAGGACCAGGAAGACATCCAAGGTCGTGAGAATGATGCCGCCGATCAGAGGGATGCCCAGCAACAGCTTGAGCGAGATGGCCGCGCCAATGATCTCGGCCAGATCGGTGGCCATCACGGCGACCTCGGCGACGAAATACAGGATGTAGTTGAGCCAGGGATGGAAATGCTTGCGGCAGAGCTGGCTGAGGTCGCGCCCCGTGACGATTCCAATCTTGGCCGAGAGGCTCTGGAACAGCACGGCAAAGACGTTTGAAAGGAAGATGATGAATAGAAGCTTGTACTGATAAACGGATCCGCCTGTGATGTGGGTTGAGCAGAAAGTCAGTTGAGTGAATCGGCCAATGCAGCACAGCTCTCTTCACCGGTGGACACGGGGCTGCAGTGCAAACGATGGCGGTACCTTGCAGGTCGGTTGCCCAGTTCCCAGGATCTGATTGCGTCCATCAAGCGACGGAGGAACCACGGTGTTAGTGGCCACGTTGGCGGCAAGGGCAACAGAGCGCAAGGCTGGTGCGAAAGACATGTGATTCTATACCCATGTAGCCCACGGCAACGATGTATCCGGGGCCCATGAATGCCACCAGCGTCTTGATCCATGACCGCAGTTCGGAACGAAGAAGCACGCTCTTGCGAGGCGCCGGGCCGGGCTCGATATGTGTGCTGTGTGAGTCGTCTGCCATGGCTGTTTAGGCGAGAGGAGGTGCCTTGGAGCTAACTCGAGCTGGAAGGAAGCGACAGCAGCGGGGACGCCAGACGAGATCCGAGCAGGCCAGCCAAGAACAGCGGACACAGATGCAGATGCAGATGCAGATGAGGGTGCGGGGCAGGCCAGCCGGCTCCGAGCGACCAGCAGCCGGTCGGCGTGGCGGGCAATCCGGGCGTGCGGAAGGCTGACCCCCACATGGTTTGGGCCAATGGAGAAGCTGGAAAAGCGATGAACGGGCACGCGCCGGGGGAAGGGCGTGCTGAGGGCGCACCAATGGCGCACGGAGAGCTCATGCATTTGTGCATCGGCGCTGGACGATGCAGGCGCGATGCTCTGGGTGGAATTCCATCGCCCGACAGGGGAGTTCCACCGATTCACACGGGTTCACAAAGCCCGCACATCCAACCCATTCGGTGCCAGCAAGAGAATGTCACATTGAATTTGATCAAGCCGAAAGAATACATGGGAGTTGGCCTGCTGCTGGCCGGCTTGGCCGGGTCGACGCACTGGGGGAGATTTGACCCACAGCACACCCACCGCACAGCGACCTGCCAGGATCTTAACCTTCTACGTGGAGGGGGGGGGGAGGCGCATTTAATGCATCGGAGAGAGTCAGGGAGGTTCGCGGGTATTCAAGCCACGACACTGGTTTCACATGTGGCGCCATCATGGTCGACGTCCAGGATCTCAAACCGGCATTGAATGGGCTGGCCATCCGGTCCGATGTGCGAGGCAAAGATCCGCTTCATCTCTTTGCCGATGGCCTCAAAGTTGTCGATGGCGATGGCGAGAACAGTGGGGCCGGCTCCGGACATGGCCAAACCAAGCAGGCCGGGGAACTGTTCCGGCCTCATCGAGAGGATCTCGGGCAGGCCGGGCACAAGGTGCTGACGATAATGCTGATGGATCTTGTCATGCATGGCCTCGTAGACCACCTCGGCTCTTGGGGTCTCGGCAGCCAGGGCGTGGGTCAGCACCGAGAGCCGCTGGAAGTTGAAGATGACATCGGCGCGGCTGTATGCCGTCGGGAGCACCTCGCGGGCCAGCTTTGTGGGCAGCTCAAACTCGGGGATGGCCACAACGACCTTGACCTTGGGCGAGATCTCCAGCGGCATGTACACACCGTAGCCGGTCTTGGGCGGCACCGGGATCAAGTCGTACTGGTCAAAGCTGCTGAGAGCCAGGGGGTTTTCCCGGAGCTTTGGATCGGGCAGGTTTCGCATGTACGAGGCGACGAATCCGCCGAGCAGCGATCCGGCGACGTTGTCAGGGTGGCCTACGGTTGGTTAGGGAGTGCAAGACGACATTGGCGGTTGATAAGTCAAGCGGGCATTGAATGGTCATCGAGCGACACACAGCCGGAGCATGTCTGGGTCGTACCTTCGATCAAAAGACAGAAATCCAGCATCTGAGTTCGGCTGAGGCCAAGTTGCGCAGCCTCGTTGGCCAAGTAAACGCCGGCCACGGCGGCGCTTCCACTGCTGCCGAGGCCGCGGCCCAGGGGAATGGGGTTGTCGATGTGGATGTGCATTGATCGAGGGAGGGCCGATTTACAAGCGGCGGCGACATACATCGCCGTGCGGGTGATCAGATTGGATTCTGGCGACAGCGAGACCTTCTGCTTCGAATCGCCTTCGTATGAGAGTGTGATGCCCGAGGCAGGTTCCGATGAAGCTGGAATGGTGACGACAAGGGTGAGGTGCATGGATAAGCCCATGCCGAGGGCATCGAAGCCAGGGCCGATGTTGGCCGTCGAGGCCGGGACTCGGATCTTGATGGTTTTGATGGGGGCCATGTGGAGTGGATCGGGGGGGGGAAGAGTCGTTGCCGAGTGAAGAGTCGTTGCTGGGCGGCTGCGAGAGGTGCACACAAAGGCAGCACCGAAGACGAAGACGAAGACGAAGACGAAGACGAAGACCAAGACGAAGACCAAGACCAAGACCAAGACCAAGACCAAGACGAAGTCAACCAAGATCGACCACGGCGGCAAAGAGCAAGATAACGGCAGAGCGAGGCTGGATCGATAGGGCCTGGCGGGTGCCGCTGGCGGGGGCGGACAAGATCCAAGGAGAACAAATCGGGAAGGCGGGTGTGCGCAGCACAAACACAACTGCTGCTGTTGCTGCTGTTGCTGCTGTTGGGAGTGCCCGCTGTCTCAGTGTCGGCGGCTTGGCGTTGCTTATCTCTTGTATGACATTTGCATCACACTGCACAGTCACGGGCTCGCACACAGGCTTGTGATGTTGCTCACAATGGGCATCATATGGCTCATGCGCAGCCGGATCGATCCACCCAGCCAGCGAGGAGCCGAGCATTCGAGTGCAGGGCGGCCCGTGACTCACCGCCAACAGGCTCGCTCACGGGCAGCCGGATCAAGCTCATCGGCCCGTGTTGTTCAGCGTGCTGTTCAGCAGCATCGCAGTTGCATCGCAGCATCGTAGACAGCGTGGATATGGACTCTGTATTCAGGGCCGTGTTGCTCAGCAGCCCGCCATCAGCCAATGATGGCAGCAACAGCCGCAGAGGCGGCCCAAACGAGGCTCCATCGATACGAGCTGCCAAAGAACCACGTCCATGCCGCACGCAATCCAGATGGCCCACGCTCCCTCCCTTCGTCTCCTTCCTGGAGATGCTACTGATACGCGGGAGGGAATCGAAAGAATATATCACGCCTGAGAAATACACCGGGAAAGTGGACAGCAATGCGAAGCGCCCCCATCCAAAATGGCCGTCCACTGGCTGGGCAGAGGGTTTCTCCGATCGGTTGGACCTGTTGGGCTGCAATCTAGACTTTGGAGTCGGGCGGGTTGCCATCGCCAGTGGGGTAGCCACCAGGGTGATGTTGCGGAGCCATGTGTTGTGAGGGGTGGAGACCTCGGCCGTACTGTGCCGGGTGATGGTGCGCCTTGGTATGGTCTGCACCAGGCAGCTGCTGGTACTGCTGCAGATAGAACTGCTGTGCATTATCGTGCGAACTGCCGACTCCGACACCGCCTGGTCCGTGGTCGTCATTGCTGTACATTTGGCGAGGGAACTGTGATTCGCAAGACCGAGCGGCCGTGAGCAACGCCAACTGAGACCCAGTCCATGCGTACATCGGAGCCGGATCCGGTCGTATGGGTATATGCATTGCTATCGTACCTGAGGGTTGCCCGGAAACCCGGAGAGGAGCATGTGTTGCTGCTCCGCCGCACCCATCGGCTGTTGCAACATCATCACCAACACAGGCAAAGTCGACGTCGGTTAATGAGCTGTGCCAGCATGCTTCATCGTCAGGCAGATTTCACGCGGGCGCGACGACACTTTGGCAGTGGATCGAGGATACCGCATCGTTTGGGATCACAACGTGGCCCGTTTTTGCATCTGATACGCGGAGATGACGTACCACACCATAAGCGGGCGCGTTGGGGGGATAGTAGTTGGCAAATTGGCTCATTCCAGGTTCCTACATCATCAAACACGGCCACCGTCAGCGAAGCATCGCGATGCAAGCTAGGAATGCCCGCATGCAGTTTGCCCGGCTCGTGGTGTCAGCGAGATATTTCATCGACTCACTTTGGAGGTCGAGGGCTTGGTGGCTTCCTCGCGAGGAACAATATCGATCAGGACTATTTGACAAATGCAGAGGTCAGTCGTCTGTGCTTTCGGAGCCCAAGCGACACATTGCTAGTTCACTCGCGTGGTCTAAATGGATATCTGGCTGAGCAAACTCACAGTCATAAACATCGGCCTTGCTAACGGCGGAAGCGACGTCGCTCTTCTGAACCGTGCGGCGCTTGTTCTCCTCGGCATGGATCCAGGTGCGCATCGTGAGCTCCAGAATGAAAATCTCGCACGCCTTTGAGAAAATAAGTGGCGCCTCGGCGCTGATCATCTGCGATAGTGGGAGGGCACGGATATTGGATGTCAGCAACGCATCCGCTGAGCGAGCGCATAGATGGTACTTGAGAGAGCCGACCGCCGAGGATAGTGCATGCTAGATATCGTTGGCGGGCGAGAGAAACCGGCGTACCATGTTCTGGATGCGAGTGAGTCCAGGGAGGACACCGACGCATGGGATCGCCGCGGCAGAGATCAATCCGGTTGCAGATGAAGCAAAGACGACAGATGTCCGAAAGAAGCAGGTTAGGCAAGCGATCATAACCCAAGGAGGGAGGTCGTAGCCTCGGGTGCCCAGCAACCCGGCAATGCCTTATGAGGATCGCTATCGGCCCACAACTCTGCGGCCTGGTGTTTGGTGGTTGGCCAATTTCGAGACACATGAGCTCGCTCTGCCGTATCCGCAGCAGGGCATGCACAGGACCGAGCCAGCACCCAAGCCAGCACCACACCACCGGTCCCGACCTTGAGGTTCTCGTCAGACTTCATGACTTTCTTGATGCGAGCCAGCGGCAACTGGTGGAACTTGAAGTCATGCTTGCCTTCGTTCATGATCTTCACTTGCTCCTCCCAGAACGCCGCCACCATGCTGTTGACCTGCTGCTGCGAATCCGGGAGATTGGCGAGAGTGGGTCCATCGAGTGCGCCGCCTGGCAGGGCCGAGACTGTGCCGGAGGAGCCGTCCATGGGGGTGCTCTCGGGGTGGTGCGGGTGGTGGTCAGACATGACGTTGAAAGGGGGGGGCCAAGAGAGGAACAGCGAGATGGCCTGTGCCAGGGAGGGCTGGCTGTGAGTGGTCGATGGGGCGGGCGAGCGGGTTGGATGAGGGCGCCTCACACTATCAATTTTTTCCGGCCCCTCACGGCTGCTCATCTCGGTCACCTGAAAGTCACGTTGTATGTGGCGCAGCAAAAGTTGGAATCCGGCCATGGTCGGTTGACGGCATTTGGTATCACCTTGAGCCGATTGACGGTGGTGGTGGGCAATTGGTGTGGAGGAATGACCAATTGTATCATTGTTGGAAGCTCCACTCCGATTGCGGACAAGAACCACCACCATCTGAATCTCTCTGGTTGGAAACCTAGTCAAGCGTGGCTGTGTGTCAGCGAGATGACATGGTCGTTTGGCTATCAGGCAAGACTCACCTTGACAAGATGTCTTCCCACGACTGATTGAGCGAGCGATGCGTTTCTGGATCTGAATCAAGGACGCCACTGCACAGTATCTCTGCCAGCCCAAAATGCGCTGGTTTTGAGGAGATTCTTTCTTCCCCAAGGGCAGAACCAGCCATCGTCGCTATTTTCTCGCCAGATGGCTCCCAAGAGAAAGGCACCCCCGACCCCGACCCAGGATCACCCAATGACTCTCCTGTGGCCAAGAAGCCCGTCATCAAATCATGCCCCTCCTGTGGATTGACCAACCACGTCAGACCCTTCACCAAGAAGTGCACAGCCAGAGTCGACAGCAGCCCTGCCTCTGGCTCTGCCTCGGTCGCTGAAATGGTCAGCCAAGCACCCCCTCCAGACGAGTCCAGTGACGACACTGCCTTCCCAGCCCTCGTGGTCGAGATGCCCGCACCCAAGGTCCCTGTATGTGCCACGTGCGGGGAAGAGGGTCATGCCAAAAGCAGCAGTTCATTGTGTACCAAGAAGAACCCACTCTGGAGCTCTACCTTGCCTGGCTGTGGCCCAAACGAGCAAGTCAAGGCCGAGTACTCCACCGTCAAGTGCACCCTCGATGCCATCATCAAGAACGATGCCTTGCACGACAAGATCGAGGAGACTGTCCGAGCCATGACTCAAGTGCAGTACGAAGCATCTCGTCTCCTGGAGCTGCATCTCAGGCGGTGCTTGGACAAGGGTATCACTCTCCCCACCGTGTCGTCGAGTGAACCCGCGTTTGTTCGAAAGTGCTTCAATATGGTGCAGACAGGAACAGTGGGTGCCAGGACGAACACCCCAGAAGATGACAGGCACATCCTCGATACCTATGAGCTGTATCGAAGTACATGGAGTGAATCGTGTATCCTGCCTCCAGTGTCCCTTCCAAAGGGTACTGGGTCACAGGTCCTCACATTGGCTGTCAAGACCTATGCAGTCAACTGCGAGACCCATATTCTCGATCGGTACTGGTCTCTCCTCCGTCGATTCTGCAATCTGGTCCTGGTTGCTCCCAAGGATGTGAAACGTCATACACACGTCGATGAGTGTATGAAGCTGATGGAGAATCCCCTCTCCAAGACACTCCTCGTTGATCTGAAGAGAGCCTACGCCCACCATGCCGACCAGTTGTATGAGTTTCGGTACGAAAGCCACCAGGACCTGTACAAAGTCGTACCAATTCTGGCCAGTGAGGTCTCTCGCCTGACCCACCTGAAGGAGGCCCTCTTCATGGTGGTCTTTCAGAAGATGATCATTCCCAGGCTCGCGAGGGATACCGATGATCTGAAAGGAGAGCGTGGGCGACTGAACGAAGAGATGTGTCAACCCATCCACCACATCGGGGCTGACAGACTCAAAGATCTCCAGACCCAGCACGAGGAGGTGTGCAAGCAGATCACTGTCAACACGAAGCGGATCAAGCGATTGACCGACCGGCTTGCCCAGACCAAGAAGCGTCTCAACATCCCTCGAGCACAGTGCACATTGGTCCCGCTCTGCGATGCCCGAGCCAAGTACATCAAGCTCGACACCAAAGCACTGTGGGAAATCCTTGGATACCAGACTGGCACTGGTCTCAAGTGGGACGACCTGAAGACCAAGGTCAACGACACCACCAAGCAAGAGACCTTCTGGCAGACCAACTTCAAGCTGGATCCGAGACTCTTTGATGCCAGGGAGGAGGGAAAGCAGCTCTTTGGTTGCGAGATCACCACCGATGGAGTCGGGTGCTCGATCACCACGCTCAGATACAAGATCCTGGAGAAGAAGGATCCTGATGTCAAGCCAGAACCCACAGACAAGGACGACAAGGCGAGCGCACTCACTCCCGAGCAGAGGATCCAGGTCAGGGTCGGTCCCATCGACGACTCTCGGACCACATGGATCGGGATCGACCCTGGTGTGGGATCCATCTTCACCGCTGTCATTCGAGCACCCGGTCAACCATCCATCCAGGAGCGAGACGGTGTCAAGGTGACCAAGGCACAGCGTGCCAACGAGAAGATCGTGTCGTTCTCCAACAAGGAGTACCAGCATCGATGTGGCACCACCCAGGCGACCAAGTGGATCCAGAGCACCCACAAGATCCTTGGTCTGCAGGAATGGATGAGCACCACACCAAGTCCCAAGATCCCCGGGGTGTCTTCCTTCCTGCGATACATTCGCCATGTGTTCGATGGAGACATGCTGGACAAACAGCTGTACTTCAGCCTGACCCGGCGACGGCGATTCAAGCGACTCGATCTCCACAGCAAGCGACAGCGCACTGTCCACGAGATGTGCAAGCAAGTCATCGACCAGGCACCAAAGGAGACCGAAGTGGTGATTGTCTTTGGGAATGCATCCTGGAAGCAAGGGAAGGGATATGCTTCCAGCCCACGGAGACTCAGGTTCGCCAAGTACTTTGAGCAGTTCATCCACCACCAGAGACGACCACCAGACCGATCCGTCTCCAAGATCCATGTGTGCTCGGTGAACGAGTTCAACACATCCCAGGTGTGCTCACACTGCCGGGAATTCAAGCGACTTGAGTCACCCGAGCATCTTGATATCGATTCACCATGGAGTTGTCCTGAGAGTCGAGTTAATGCATCACACAAACACATCGAGACATCAATGCCTCACGGAACATGATCTCGGTATGCCAGTCGATCATCGCCACAGGAGATCGACCGAGTGTATTCAAGACTGTGCTTCCCAAACCAACAAAGAGATTGCCAACGAAGACGGGAAACAATCGCACGGCTTGCTCGCTGGGGCCTACAGTCAGTCAGCAGGCTTCAGACATATGAAACCAGAGAGTGTCCTGTTTCTTTCTGGATGGACTGTAAGTATTTCGCACTGCTCCTTGAGTATGTCGACAGTGGATGCCGGGTCGCCCATATTCTGGGCAGTCCACTTCGGGGTTGCCATCCCTCTTGGGATGGTCGATGGGAGGTGTTTGACTCCCTTGTGCAAAGTGTGTGTGTGTGACGGCGAGAGGCTTCTCGCCTTCCCTCGGGGGTCTCTCGCCAGAGACTGCTCTTCTCGCCGACCGAGGTGGCCCCGAGAGCGCGTTTTTTCGTTCTCGCCCATTTTTTTAACAAGAGATTTTTTCATAGTGTCAGAAAGGGATGCTGCTGGGCGAGACACCAGCGGTCAGGTGGCAATGTGTCACGTGCAGCATGCGCCACAGCACTATGGGCAGCCACAGACAAGAGAGCATCCGCTGGGAAGCAGTCACCGCAGACAGGGCGAGCTGCCATGCGATTGGGATATGATGGGAGAGAGCTGGAAGACGGCGAGAAGAGCAGAGCAGGGACAACAGCAATCTGGCTGCAAAATTGGAAAAATGAATCGCTCCTAGGTGGGCTCGAACCACCAACCTTCCGGTTAACAGCCGAACGCGCTAGCCAATTGCGCCATAGGAGCTGATCGCCCAACGTGGGGGTCGAACCCACAACCTTGAGATTAAGAGTCTCACGCTCTACCGATTGAGCTAGCCGGGCGGATGAGTGGAGAATCGGGGTATCGATCCCCGTGCCTCTCGCATGCTAAGCGAGCGCTCTACCATCTGAGCTAATTCCCCTGGTGTAACCCAACCTCGTTATCGAGGGATTCCGCCGGCGCACTATTTAAACCTATACAGTTCTGTCGCTGCAATTCACCACCATTCGGCCCGTCGTCACCCAATATGCAGCCTCATCGCAACGCCGTCCTTCCAAATCAAACAGGACACCCGATGCTACAGTCAAGCACCGCCATTTGCAATCCGCGCTCACCAATCGGGTCTCATTGAGCTATCCCCGTCGCTCTGGATTTTGCATGTGTGTGTATCCCTGCCACAAAAACAGTTGCAGTCGGAAGCGTGTTCGGAGCGCCCCGTTGCGCTGTAATTTATCGTTCACTCGAGCAAAGATTCAATTGCGACATATAGCCCACGAAAAGCGCAGTGCATGGCGCTGTGGGCTTTCCGCTTGCCCCCTATCTGCTCTCGATTCCTCACAATGTGCCGCGTTCTCGGGCCATTCTCGACCATGCCCGAAACCCCTCATACATGGATCCCAGCGCGATGGTGTGCACAAAAATCATGGACCAGCCCATTCGAGCAATCATCACGCCCGTCCCGAGCACCGGCTGTGCGTTGGCGTTGCTGTAGATCGCAGTGGATGGCTGCGAGCTCAGGTGAGAGATGGCGTTCCTGAATGCCCCGGCCATTGCAACCGATGCCACCATTTGGCAGAATCCTGGGAGGAACGCAACCGCCGGAAAATACAGCATTCTCAGTGCCATGTTCAACAGAAACGCACCCAGCATTTGAATCATAGATATTGCCGACTGCGATTCTCCAACACGCCGGTGCAGCAGTGCTCGTACCATAGAGTGCAGCGAATGTGCAAATCCAAGTGCAGAAGGTCTTGGTGACGACCTTGGAATCAAATGTCCCCAGCAAGTAAACAATCTGCAGGACTGGTGGTAGTACGTCAAGGTTACTCTCGCGCCCAGAGCCCAATGGCGCACGGACAACCAGCGACTCGATTCCCGAAGAACATCCGCCGAAGCAGCGGGCCTTACTGATGCTCAGGATTCCAAACATGATTCCAGTAACCATGATCACAAGCACAGCTGGCGCTGAGATGCACGCTGCTGAGCTGGCTTGGAAGCTAGATAGATGGGAGGAGCTGTGTCCGGTATTAAGGAACATTCGCAGCAGTTGGCTCTGGCTGCGAGTCGTACATGCCGGCCGGCAAGTGACCACCCGACCGGATCGTTCCCCGGCCGATCAGTCAATCGGGCCCATCGAAGAAAGCAAATTGATTTATAAACAAAGAGTTCGCACTCATCGCGAACAGCCAGCGAGTTTTGGATACGTTGCTCGGCTCAGCTGCACCCACGGCTCTGTAGCCCTGGTGCTTCGCTGCCAAGTCGACTGAGCTATACAATGCACTTCTTTGGTGACTTTTATCGCTATGCTTACCATATCGTTTCCCAGTGCTGGCAGCCTGACCAGCTTCCTCGAGTCATGCACACCTGGAAGAGCCCGTATCGAGTCTCGGTGCCGGATGAGCTGCGCGAATACACCCAAGTATCCGATATTGCAGAGTAGATCGAGAGGCCCAGCAGCAAGACCGAGCCCAGTAGCCCCATCATGGCAAGGGAAATTCGCTGGAACGCAGTCACTCTGATGCGGCGTTCATCTTTTGAAGATCGCTGCAGCCTCTTGATGTGCAGGATCAGTAGGTACCAGTACGGTGATCTGGGAATTGTTGTCATGACTCTGCACCAAATATGAATGTAAGCGACATTTCGGAGTACTGGATCAGCTCCTCGTCCTCGACGAACCTTTACTCGGGTATCGTCGTCGTTCTCTCAGGGTCGAGGTAAAGGGCGATGCAAGGCTGCAGAAGGCTCAAGGCGCTCCAGGAGCACACCGCTCCTTCAGGACCCTTCGCACACAAAGCGATCGGGTTGCAGTCAATCACAGTTAGAAACAATGGTCGCCCTAGCCAGCGATGCACATTGTTCGGGCGCCGCCTTCCATCACATTGAGGTTCTGGACCAGGACATTCATTTATTTGCATATGCCGTCCGGGTTGCCATGTATTTGTCTCTGTAGGGAGAGCTTCCGCCGATCCGTTCACCGCTTCTCAGCTTCCCGAACCGGATTTTACTCAATCTGATATGAGGTTTCAGCCATGCAGTGCGTCTAAAACGAAACAAGGCACTCTGATTCCGAGAGTAAATGGTGCCTTTCCTGGTCTTGAATACACGCCCATCCACCATGACCGACCAGCATATCCAAAGAGATCGGCACTGTGACTACTATTGGGAGTGCATCGTGGGAGCAAGGGAAACGATATCCATCGAGCGCACAGCGATTCAGGCTCGCCAGGTACTTTGACCAGTTCCACAATCGCCAGAGACCCCCAAGGCCCAAAACACACGGCCACACTCGTTTGCCCCCGATGACCTTGACTTTAAGAAGCCACATTTTGTACGGAGCTGTCCAAATGGCTGAACGCATATCGCATCTCAGGGCAGTGATCCCAAACCAGCAGGCAGTGGTGGAAGTGCCAGATAGCACAAATGGGCACTATCCAGCTTCTTTCTGGAGTAGCTATAGGGGCAGGGGTTGTGATGCGGCGACTGTGCAGTACGCAACATGATCAAAGTATCCGCTCAGTACTGGGCACGGAGAAGCGACCCGATGGCCTTGCCGGGAGGGTTTTCTGAGTGGCCGTTTGACTGTTGGCATAATCATAATGGGCAGTGTGTCTCGCTTCGTCTGAGCAGAGTATAGCCACTATCGATTGCGGGAATGGTCGTCGGGAAAGAAAGGTAGGCCATGATTGGGCAGCGACGACAATGTCTCTACTGAACAATGGCCCGTTCGACCGCCGGACAGTCTGCCCAAACAGCTTCGCTTCCCACCTACCTACCGACCGACCTCGCTCAAGATAGGACGCTCTGCCAGATCTATTCTCGAGAAAGCCCAACCATAGATATCGTGCAGGTATCTTGATGCTGGGGGCAATGGATCCGTTCGCATGCCGCTGCTCCGCAAATCGAGCCTCACGAGTAGGGAGGCTGTTTCGGACCTGGAGGCCGCACTTGGTGCTCAAGCTGTTCGCAGACAAAGTGACAAAGGCGAAATCACCTGGAATCGTTTCAGTCCCTCCGCTTCAGCCCATCTACTCCAACCGGGCCACTCGGAGAAGCGGCGGATGAGCGCAGAAGGAGGTTCTCTGCCATATGTATGGTGCACTCACTCGATGAACTTGTGTCGCTGACGTCACTTTCCCACACCCGACCAGTTGCCCACGCTCCCATCATCCCCGAGAGCACCGTTGCGGGCAAGAGTGCCGACATACTTCCTTCAAACACCGGCCCCTCGACGCATTACAGCAGCTCTTTCAATCGCAGGCACTGCAGCTCGAGGTAGGTATCCCTGTCGATTTTTCGGGCATTTGGTGTGGTAATCCGATGGACTGTTTGGTGGTGTCGTGCAAGGGGACATGTGGCCCATCTCTCCAAGGCCGTCCCTATCGCCTTGCCCTGGCCTTATTGTCCTTGGCGCATCCCCGCAGCGGGCCATGATCTATTCATTTGGAGGGCCACAGTACAGCAAAACCGAGACTGAGCGAGCCTATATAACATCTTTAGTCTTTCGACTCTCCTTGTTTTGCTTTCCTCTCCGCGATTCTCCCCACCCCCAAACGGCAACTTCGATCTGCTGGTCTGCAACGCACATCTACAACGCACATCTACTGCAATCGTTGCTGCGAATATCGACCAACGTCGAATATCCATCGACACCACCGATCGACGTACCGTTGATCTTTTCTTCTTTCATCGGACTGGCGCTGTGCGGCACCCTGGCATACCTTCTGCCCATGGATCGCATCAATGTTACTCTGCCTCCTCCCGTCCGCCGCCGCCGAAGAAGAGATCCCCCAAAATTTGTCCCTTACAGTTGCGACGACGACCTCATGCCCCTGCCGTCTATTGCCAAGCTGATCAAGCCGCATGGAAAGAATCTCAGCGCAGGTAGATTTGTCAGACCCAAATCGTCGATGCCGTGGAGGCAGCAAGTCTCCGGACTCTGCAATCAAACGACTCGGCCATGATAGATCGCTTGAGTCTGATTTGCAGGAAGCGTAGCCAACAGCTGCTACATGTGAAGCAGGGTATTTCTGGCAGCGACGGCGAGACCAATTATGCACTGCCTACGGCATACCCGAGCTGCCGAGCTGCCAGACGGAACGATCATCGTGACTTGCTACTGCCCCCCCCCTGACACAAGTATATCTCGCTAAGGTACTAACTCCGCACTCATGAATCGCCAACACACCGGCAGCACCCGATGATTTTGTTTCCTACGAGGCGCCGCCCTCGAGCATAGCCTCGATGAACATCGCCATCGGACACACTCTCATCAACGAAGCTGAGTTGGAGAAGATCCGGAAGGCAGCCCTGAATGACCAGACGCTGAACGAGTTTCGCGAGTCATTTAAACGCGAGGTCGGTGGCGCTATTGTGTTTCGCTCTCGCCTGACGGCTGTTGCTTCAGGTTGCCGCACAGACCGGGCACCGGTGTGGTCTTGCATCGGATTGTCTGTGCTGCTGCTTCAGAGGCACGAACAGCCGGGCTTACCATCAGTGTTGGTTCGGATCGGTTGTTGCTTCAATCCAACCAGTACTGACATTTCTCTCTGAATATTCAACCTATACATGTTTGCTGGTGGTTGCAACTGATGAATACTCCTTGGCGACTTTGTGGTGACCCCGCCTATGGATGCTTGCTGGCGACACTGGCACCGTCGGTTTCTTCGATGGAATGGTCTGCCGTGGTGTCGGGTCTCCGGGCCGGCTTCTAAATCCGCGGATAAAGAAAGAAAAACTGCACCACAAGTCACTCGAGACCGTCAAGACATGGGAAAACACCATCATGGGCCAGCGCAAGAAGCGGTTGGCTGCCCAGGCCGAGCGAGAAAAGTCGACCGAGGTATGGCTGCCTTTCATCCTATCGACTGGCGATTTTATCTTCAGAATAGAAACAATGTGCATGTTGCAACTTCACTCTCTGGTCGTGATCGAATGAGATGCCGGAGATTGTAATTTGTCATGAGCGTCTGCTGAGCAGTGTGGCAGCGTTCTTGACAGCGAACAAACCGACCGCGCATAACCGAGATCTGCGATCGTCAATGTACTCACAATAGGAGGAGCGCAAGAAAGTCGATGCGGCCTGGGAGCTCGTGCGGCAGGACGAACGGCGGATAGCAGTCGAGCGGGCCCGGCGAATGCAATATGTCGAGCAATCGCGAGTTAAGGCGCTCCATGCTCAGTTGCTCATGTCCAATGTGCTCCACGAGCGCGAGCAGCAAATCATCTACAAAGCGCAAGAGGATGAGGCCGTCAAGACTGTGCGGCAAATGGAAGACGATAAAGAGCGACTGCAGCGAGAGTTGAAGAATAAAAAACTGGATGAAGCGCGGGAACAAGCTTATTTGGCCACCTTGCAGGTCGCAGAGTTTCAGCGTCACCAAGCCATCAATCGAGAGAATGAAGAAAGGCGGCTAAAGCAGGTACAGACCGCGCGAGCCTCCCGACAACTTACTCGAAACAAGCATATTCAGTGTGCTTGAAACATGCATCAAGGTCGCCCGGGCGGCGCCTGGGGTCGGATGGGTGGCTGATGAGGTCTCTGTGCTGCAGGAAGAGAGGGATTTTTACTCAAAAGTCAACGAGAAAGCCTTGCACGACGAGCGCATGATGGAGGAGAAGGATGTCGAGAAACACCGAAAGCAGACCGAGGAGATTCGACGAGGACTCTCGGCCAACATGCGGGACAAAGAGGTGGGCATGTTTTGCGTCACCCGATTTCCATCGGCTTGATCGCAGGCTATGCTGCTTTGGTCGACTCGCATCTCTGCACCAGCAGCTGGTGTCTGGACCCATGGTCGATGAGTCGAGCTGCGACGTATTGGTTGGCATCGGAGCGGCTGACCAGACTCCGCCGTTGCTATCAACTGAGGCTGGCCTAGACCGGACTAATTCTTGCGAGCTTCACAGGAAACCGAGCGGCGCAAGCGAGAGGAAGAGCAGCGCGTTGATGACGGGAACCATCGCTTTCACACCGTCAAGCTATCTCTCAACAACAAACGCAAGGATGCAGAGCGGACAAAGTTTCAGTAGGTTCCTCTGCACGGATCACCAGCGACCCAGCGCGAAGGCTGCTGGTTTGTGCCAAGTGTGTCGATGCATGCTCAGCGAGCTCGTGCTCTGTCTCTCTCTGGCGCTAGGATCCGACAGCAGCGGCTCGAGGAAGTTGCTCGTCAGCAGGAGGAAATGTCCAAAGAGAAGGACCAGCGCATTGACGGATTTATTGCCAAGAATGCCGATGCGGACTGGGGTGGCCAGATCCAGAAAGAAATCGAAAGGAAGAAGAAGACGGCCAAGATGATCAAGGAGATTGAAGAGTTCCGTCTGGCACAGGTGAGACGAGCCTGGGTGGGGTGACTTGTGCGAATGGATAGAGGCGCGCTGGAACCAGAGTATGGTTTGTCAGATGGAAGCCGGAAGGAATCTATTCTTCCGCAAAACTGTCACAGGCACCACAACAGGTGCTTCTCGGGCCGATATGGTGAATCTAAACTCTGGAAATCGCATAACTGTCGTCGTGATGTCGCACCCGACGGCGACGGCGATATTCTTGGGCTACTCGAACAAACGCGGTTTTCCACAGCTGATGCTGAAGAAGAAGAGTGAGGACGAAGCAGTGGAAGCGGACAAGCGGTCGCGATTGGAAATCGAAGAAAAATACGCCAAACAGCTTGCTGAAAACCAAGTGAAGCAGCAGAGGCGCCAAGATGCCTGCCACAAGCTTCAAGAGTTCCACCTGAAACAAATGGTGAGCGGTTAGGGCGGCTGAGCTGCATTGGGCGGAGGGTAGGATCGCGCCAGGTCCGACCGAAATGGCTCTGAGCTTGGAGAGAGGTACCAGGGCCTGGTCGACGACTTTGGCGGAAGTGCAGGGGGGAGGCACTACACTGCGTGTGTTTGGGACACTCGCCTCAGGAGTCTGAAAGTTCGTGACTGACAACATGGCTTCCTGCGACGGTATCATTGATGTCTTGACTGCGAATCGGTGACGCATCATCCTGTGGGATCCCTGCAGCAAGAGAACATGAAGACCAAGAAGGCTAAGCAAGCCAGCGAGCTGGTGCGGGAGCTTGCTCTGCTCAACCAAATGGATCGTGAAAACGAGCAGTTCGACGACTATGCGGCCAAATTGGTCAGCGAGTGGCAGACCGAGGGCAAAGACGTACGCCCGCTCATGCGGGTTCTGCACACCAACCAACCGTTCCCGCCCATGCCGGCGAAAAAGTCGTGCGATACGTTTGAGCGCTTGGGCTTTTCGATGAGATACTTGTAGCTGCGAGCCAGTCGCAAAGGCAAGGCAGAGCTTCGGCGACGACGGCGACCCTGGCTCTGTATTGGCAAGACAGCCTGGACTCCTGCTCGGAAGAGCAGCGTGTAGAATACATCTGATCGTGCGAAATATGTCTGACCACCGTGGGAAATGCACCGGATCCTGCCAAGTGCCTCGGTTCGTTTGGCGCCGTATCCTTGCTGCCGTGCCGTTGTTCTGATTTGCTCTTCCTGGCTGGGCCTCCGGGACCCATCCATCGATCGAATGCGCTGTCCGGGCTCGGACGCACCGTCCTGCCGTGGCATGGCATCCGACGAGTGATGTGGAGGACTGCCGGCCCGGCCCCGGTGAGGACTTTCCCACCCTGGGCCAGCCTCCACATCCCTGGGCGACGTGGAGGCCGCGGCGATGACGTGGCCGGGCCGGACACGCGCTCGGCACGCAACGACGCGGCCCAAACAGGCACATCGACACAGCCGCTGCAGTGCGCACCAACCGCGGCACAACAGCGCGTCCTTGATTGTGTTGGCGCTGCAAGCGACAGGCCCAGCACTGCCTCGCCTCCAGAGCGCGCCGCGCCCTCGCACAACCCGCGACGCGCCCACCGCTTTTATAAGAGGGCCGCCCCACCGCCAGCCCCACCTGCTCGCTCTGTCGCTCGCGCTCTCTCGCCGCCTCTCGACGCCTCTCGCCGCCTCTCGCCGCCTCTCGCCGCTTTCTCGCTGCCCCTGCCCTCTCGCTTCCGAATTAACTTTTCATCTGCCCTCTTTTGGATCTCCTCGCTCGGCCCTCGCTGCTCCTCGCCCGCCGTCTCGCTCGCCGTCTCGCCGTCGTCTCTCAAGCCAGGCCTCCCCCCTAATCGATTCGCCCCCCCTTTCGCCTCCCTCTCAAAGGCAGAGATTCTCTTTTTTTTCGTCTGTCCTCATCTCTGGAATCTCCTCTGCCCCATACCGCTCCGCCATCGCCAGACATGGGTCTCACATTCTCAAGACTCTTCCAATCCCTCATGGGTAAGAGGGAGATGCGCATTCTGATGGTCGGTCTCGATGCCGCCGGCAAGACCACCATCCTCTACAAGCTGAAGCTCGGTGAAATCGTCACCACGATCCCCACCATTGGTAAGGACGCTTTCTCCTGCTGGCCTACTGATCCTCGAGCCTTCTTTTGGAGCGCCAGCCCTCCCGTCGCGCCCGCTCTGGAGGTGATCAGATCATCCCCCGAGTCATTCGCTGGCCCGACTGGCGGATTTCTCCTGTCGCCCGTCAAATGAGGCTTGGCCCTGGAACCAAAGGCCAGAGGCAAAGGGGGAGTCCTCCGACACAGCGGCCAGCCCTCTGATCACTGCATCTGCTGGCCGTGCGCTGTCCAGCGAGGGGCATTGTTGGAGGGGTGGACATGTCGCTCGTAGCCCCCTCAAGCACACGCTCGTCTCGCCAACGGAGAGGCTCCTTCCTCGTTCTCCTGGCCTCCGGGGCTGCATTGGCCCAGTTTGCGGGCTCCGTTACCTCGGCGTGTGCTTCCCAGTATTCGGCCATCAAGCATGCGGCAGTCGGTTCATCGGGCTGGACACGGCCGGGCGTCGTCAGAAGACTGGGTCGCATTGCTGGCTGGTCGACCAACCAGCCCGCCGCATCCGCCAGCCACATTGCATTGATCGATGCCGCGGCCCTGCAGCGTTCGATGTCAGCGGTCGATCGCCGCGCGTCTCTCCCAAAGACATGTCTGAGACATCAGCCGCTCCCGCCATCGCTAATCTTCCCTGCGACATTCCTTCTCCCAGGCTTCAACGTCGAGACTGTCGAGTACAAGAACATCAGCTTCACTGTCTGGGATGTCGGAGGCCAGGACAAGATCCGTCCCCTCTGGAGACACTGTAAGTGATTCCCTGCCCTGCCCTGCCATTCCCGGGTCTCAGATCATTACCCCTCGAATACCGCGACGGTCCACATTGACTAACGCTTGCGACCTCCGCGCATCCAGACTTCCAAAATACCCAAGGTGAGATCCAGCAGCCGTGCATCCGGACCCTGCTTGACAACAAGTGCTCGATCTTGGTGCAGCGTGGTCGTCTATCCACAGCTCTGGCGGTGTCGCTAACCAGCTGTCCCTCTGCGTTTCTCAGGTATTATCTTCGTCGTCGATTCGAACGATCGCGATCGTGTCGGTGAGGCTCGCGATGAGCTGCAGCGCATGCTCAACGAAGATGAGCTCCGCGACGCCCTCCTCCTCGTCTTTGCCAACAAACAAGATCTGCCCAACGCTATGAACGCTGCCGAAATCACCGACAAGCTTGGCCTCCATGCCTTGCGCCAGCGCAACTGGTACATCCAGGCCACCTGCGCTACCTCTGGAGATGGTCTCTATGAAGGTCTGGAATGGCTCAGCAGCAACCTCAAGAAGCGAAGCGGATAAGCGCTGAATTTTGATTGACGACTAGATGGAGTTTGTGCCTCGATGTTTACGATGTAAAGTTTGTTCAAACAGTCCCTCCTTAAAACCTAATACAGCTCTCCCTCGAAAAAACGGGGCATCCCGGGTTTTCCAGGCAGTCGCTGTAATACAATCCGTGCAAAGGGGGGGGAGCCGGACGCCCTGTGGGGATGGGTCTGCCGGCGTCATTTTCTGGAGTCTGAATATAAAGCACGAACGGCCGCTGTCATTTGCGTCGGTGCCCAAGCCCGCCCGTCCTCGGTTGATGTCCCTGCTCCCCTGCCTGTTGCACTGCAAAATGCCTCGCCGCGGGTGCCTGTTTTGTATGTTTGGCTCGGTGTCTCTGGGCTTGCTCAGCCGAGGAGATGCAGCCCGTCTGCATTGTCGTCCACTCCTGCCGGCGGGCATCCCACCGACCTGTTCCTGGAGAGGACGACCCGGCTGCCTGGTTGCGCTCCTGGGCCCAAGAGCCTCGGCGGTGGTGGTGATGCATTGCGTGCTCGCTGCGGCGGCCATGCGCTCGTCTCCTAGGGCGACAGGGGTTGGGGCGTCATCCGTTCGTTCCGGCCTCTCACCCGGCCCTTCCGCCTGCTGGCTCCGTGCTGATTTGTACTGCTCCCCGCTCCGCATCTCCCTCTCCCCTCATCTGTCCTGCTTCCCTCGCCGTCATGTCACCAAAGACCGCTCCCTTTGGCCTGTGGGCCTCGCCCATCACCACCGACTTGCTGACGGCCTCGTCCGTCCGTCTGCAGGAGGTCTTTGTCGATCGCACCACCAACACTGTCTACCACCTCGAGGGTCGTCCCTCCGAAGGCGGCAGGAGCGTTCTCGTTGAGCACAAGCTCACGGCCGGATCTGCCCCTCTTGACCGTGCTGCCGACTCTTCCAGAGAAGTGAACAGCTCCTCCACCAACGTCGGCACCAGTGTCCACGAGTACGGCGGTGGCCCAGCCACTGCTTTTGGCGGCATTGTCGTCTTCAGCGAGCGCAAGGACCGTCGCCTCTACATTGTCCGTGACGAGCAGGAGCCTGTGGCGCTCACCGAGGGCAAGTTCATCTGATCGACCGTTTTGCTGCAGAGAGCAGGGCCGCCAATATCTTTGCCTCGCTGGAGTCATTGCGGATTCGATTGGACATGTATCCTCTTGTTGCTCATGGGGCCCTGTGGCTGCCTTCGCTCACCCTTCTTCGTCTGAACGATTCTGTTGCTCTGAATCTGCAGATCGCCCTTCGGTTCGCTATGCCGATCTCTACATCCACCCGTCCAAGGACTACCTCATCGCCATCCAGGAAGAGCACAAGTCTGACCACCATGACGATGTCGTCAACCGGGTCGTTCGCATCAACCTGTCCTCCGGCGCCGTTACCACTGTTGTCGAAGGCAAGGACTTTTACTCGTATCCCCGCTTCTCCGAGGATGGCACCCTCATCTCCTGGATCCAATGGTCCCATCCGAACATGCCCTGGGATCAGAGCGCGCTGTTCTATGGCCAATGGGATGGTCACAACGTCTCGGATGTCCGTGCCGTCGCGGATGGACACGAGTCTGTTGCCCAGAGCAAGTGGGCCAAGGACGGATCGCTCTACTTCACCAGCGACCGTCACGGATTTTCCAACCTCTATCGGCTCAAGGATGGCCAGGTCTCGCTTGTCTTGAAGAACACCCTTGACGCCGAGTTTAGCCCTCCAGACTGGGTGTTTGGAGCGTAAGTGCAATCTGTTCTGGCTGCTGCAATGGACTCACGAGTGTGGTCGTCGTTTGCGATTGATCCGACGTGAGGGCCGGGCCATACAGGAACGAGGGTGTCTGTCTGTTCCCATACTCGTGCAATCGCTGCAATTGCTACAACTGCTGTGCTAATGTCCTGTGTTGTTCCAGCTCATCGTACGACTTCCTGGCCGATGGCCGGATCGTGAGCGCCTATTCAGGTAAATAGCATGGCTGGCTCTCAAGCTGCGATGGGCTGTCGGATCACGACGCTGCAATCGTCCTGTCTCGAGTCAAGATGGAGTCCGACCTCGCCGTCATAGAACTCACGCGGTACTGCTCTTGTGTGCTTGTCTTTGGTCATCGTGCAGAGAACGGCGTCGAGAAACTCGCCATCATCAACCCCGCTGACCAATCCATCGAGGATATTTCGTCCGAGTTTTCGCATGTCGGTGATGTCCGCATTGCCACTATCCCTGAGAGTTCCCATCAGGTACTCTTTTTCCTGGCCACTACCTCCGCCAAGCCCCTTGCTCTGTATGCCTACGACCTCGTTCGCAACGAGGCTGTCCCCATCAAGAAGGCCATTGATCTCCAGATCAATGAGAAGTACATCTCTGTTGCGCAGCCCATCGCCTTCCCCACAACCCTGCCCGATGGCCGTGAAACCCAAGCCTACACTGTAAGCAATCCAACCTCCCGAGCGTTCGCTGCCATTGCCAGCAGCCAACAGTGGCTGTCATTCGCGAACTCATCTCCGAGCGCCAACGCACAGCCCTTCGTAGCTCACCGGGCTTCATCTTGATGCCCAATTCAACATATGTCTCGTCTCGTATTTCTCCCACCCGCCAGTACTACTATCCGCCCACTAACGCCGACTACACGGGTGAAGAAGGTGCCCTACCGCCGCTGGTTGTCAGCTGCCACGGCGGCCCCACCGCCCACGTCAGCGCCGGCCTGAACCTCACGATTCAGTATTGGACTTCGCGCGGCTTTGCCTTTGCTGACGTCAACTACGGCGGATCGTCCAACTATGGACGCGAATATCGGTAAGGCATCTTGCAAAGCTACGATTTGCCTCGCTGCTTGGGGCGGCTGCGTCGGTGAGCCCCATCGGCTCACTCCTGTTTCATAATCTTAGCGAGCGGTTGAAGAACAACTGGGGCATCGTCGATGCTGTTGATGTCATCAACGCCGCCAAGTATCTCTCCAGCATCGGACTTGCCGACCCTAAGCGTTTGGCCATCACCGGAGGCTCGGCTGGTATGTTGAATTACAGGCTGCTACGCAGAAGGGCAGAGCCAACTCGCGCTCGAGGAAACAACCCCACATGATTGTGTTGGATCCCGCCTGCTTTATACTTTGGATGCCGACCTGGGCTGACTTGCATCAACTTCCTCCGTCACAGGCGGATACTTGGTGCTCCGTGTCCTTACCTACAAGCCGGATGCATTCCAGGCCGGTGCCTCGCTGTATGGTATCTCGGATCTGGTTGAGCTCGCCAAGCTGACGCACAAATTTGAAGCGCACTACATGGAGCCGCTTCTCGGCGGCAAGTACACCGACATTCTCCAGGTCTACCACGACCGCTCGCCGATCAACTTTGCCGACCAGATCACGGCGCCTCTGTTGGTCCAGCAGGGCTCCGAAGACCGCGTTGTTCCCCCCAACCAGGCCGAGCTTATTGTCGATGCCATCAAGAAGAAGAATGGCATTGTCGAGTACTTGCTCTTTGAGGGCGAGGCCCATGGATTCCGCAAGGCCGAGAACATCAAACAGTCCCTCGAGTCGCAGCTGGGATTCTACCTCAGAGTCTTTGGCATTGAGGCCTAAGCCGGACCTCGCTTGGCGGCTGTTTTGTCGTCGCTGTCCCCACTACCTGTCCCGCTCATCTACTTGTCTGGGACTGAGAGCGCCAACACGCTGTACAATCGATGCGATGAAACGGGACACAGCTTCTCGTAGCCCCAAAACCCCGTCCTGTGCAGATCAAAGCCGTGCACGACTCTGCGTCGGCGTGGGTGTCACGTGGTCGATGTGCCCAGCCACAGCCATGCCCATTTCCGTCGCTGTTTCCAGCGCGGCGGTCTGACTCAACTCCTGCCTCTTTCTGGCTTGGGTCCCTTTCCCGCCTGCCCCCTCCCTTGCCTGTCTGCCAGCAGTATTGCCTGTCGCTGCAGATGTTGGACTCTTCGAAGCCAAGCTCGTTACCAGCGCCCGCGGCTTCGGCCAAGCGACCTCGAGAGAAGTCCTCGTCGTCTCGCCAGCCCGACTACACTGGGTCCGAGCAATCACTCGTAAACGCCATCGCCTCAAAGGGTCTCGCCCAGGGCTCCTTCAACCAACCCTTGGAGTTTGATGACACAGAGCCTATCAGTACTCTGATCCAGCTACTCGAGTTCCCGCTTCAGGCAATGAAGCCCATGGTGGCTCGCGGTCTTGGCAAGTTTGTCAAAGACTCCAAGATCCTGAAGCTTTCTTGGCTCATGGCGAACCAAGCGTCGTCCGTGGTCGATGTGCGCAATCAAATCACTGGCACAGACGAAACGATGAAGTTCAAGGACTTTATCTCCGAGATCTCAGAGCAGCCCGTCCTCCTCCCACACAAGTGGAGGGCCAAATGCAAGAGGGTTCTCTACGGCAAAGATCTTCAGTGTCCGCAAGCGTGGATGGAGGAGATCTCTAGCGTGCTCCCCGCGCAGCTGACCTACCTGGGCTCGAATGACTACATGCGCATGGTCGCCCCCTCGGAAAGCCAGTCCAGCATCTTCATGAGCGAGAACATGATGCTTTATATCGGACCTGATTCGTCGTTTACGCCAGGTGAGCTCTGCCGGTTGGTTCTGTCTAGCCGATCCAGACCAGCCATCCCGAGGTGGTGCCACCGCCGGCTTGACAAAAATGGATTTTAGTTCTGAGTGGCGGATCTCTGCGTCCCCTCAGCGGGTCTCCTCGCGTTGGTGGCCCTCGCTCGCCTGCTGCTCGATTGGTTTGCGTGACTGCACCGCGCTGACTTGCCTAACTGGCGATCGCCCCCTGGGCCGGTGGTGCTTTCTAGGCCATGTCGATCTCTGTGGATCTGTGGGGCACAACTTGATGGTTGATGCAACGTCGCCCAAGGCTGGTGCTGTGTGGTACTTTTGTAGCCCGGACGACAAAGTCAAGTTCGCCAAGTTTTGGGAGAGTCGCGGTGCTTCCATGTTCTCGGACGACTACTTTTGCCCTCGGCGCGACTTGCAGAAAGCAGGATTCAAGGTCTACTACACATTTCAGCGCCCTGGCGATCTTGTCATCAGTAAGACATTCTCTGTTGGTGGCGTGTGCCTGATGCATCCGACCTCGACACTGCTGCGGCCAGACACGTAGCGGCTTGGGCTCTGTCGCTGACGGTTCGTTTCGTTCTCTCCAGTTCCGCCCGACACGCCACACCAGGTTGTCAACTACGGCGGAGTCACGGTGAAGATCGCGTGGAACCGTATCAGCTCCCAATCCCTCGAGCTGTGCTCCCGGAGCTTGCTCCGGCTCTATGCCATCTGTCTCAAACCACCCATATTTCAGATCCAAGTCATGGCCCATGCAGCTTTGCTCCAATTTATGAAAACGATGAGGGAGAGGCGAATGGGCATCCTGGATTATCAAATGGGCTGCGAATTCAAGAAGATCATCTCCATTTTCGAGACCCTCGTCGCGAATGAATGGATCGACCTGGCTTACTTGCGTGAAAAATACCCGCTTTGCCAAGACAGCACTCTCGCCAGCAAAGAGCAAGTTCTTTCTCGCGAGGACGTACTGCCATACGAAATGGACGGTGAGACCGTCATCCAGTGCGACATTTGCCAGTCCTACATCTGGAATCGTGGCATGTCCTGTGATGGTCAATCGGATCCCTGTGACCTCGAAGACAGTCATTTATTTGACAACTCGACACCCACCTGGCCTCGAAGCGAAAGGAAGTGTGACATATGCCTCGTGTGTTATGCGGCAGGCCGCTCCTGCCAACATCCGCGCCGCCTGCGAATGCACGCAAAGATGAAGATGTCAAAGTTGATGGCTGACCTCCAACAGGCTGTTGATCTGTGGAACAACGTCAGCGACACAGGTCCCAAGATACAAACGAAGCCCTTCATATCTGACCCAGTTGTTTCCGACGCTACTGTGGCCTTCGAACGGATGCTGAAGCTGACGGGAAGGCTTGAGATTACTCCCGCCATGTGTCATATCTGCAATACGCCTTCCCGGTACGGCAGCTGCATGGTGGCCTCGTTAGCATATCGATACCGTATCGTTTCATGGACGTTTCCCTCGCTTCTGGCTCTGTACTCATCTCGTCTGTCTTTGTCTTTAATCAGGAGCGGCCTGATGTGTTCCATCCCCGACTGCCGCCGCAGCTTCTGTTCATCGTGTCTCTGGAAGCGCTATCAGATCCGAGCATACCATATCTACAGGGTGAGCAAAGCAGGTGCCGACTGTGCTGGCGATGACCGAGATTGGAATGGAACGGGGCCATGTCCATCTCGCCTCGGAACGTCAATGGATGTATAGCGCTGAGGCCCCCACCTTTGTTTTCAGATCCCTGCGTGGGCTTGCAATCGATGCCGATCAGGTAGCTGCCAGCTGTTTGTTGGATTGCGGGATTGCTGGTTGTAACACAGCCCACGCATTTGCGATGCTGATCCAATCCCTTGCCTTGCTGCATTATCGACGTAACCGCTCACAAATATCTCGTTTTCCGAACGCAAAGACGGCGTCTCTCAGCAAATCGGCTATGAAGAAACCCTGCTTTCCTTCACCGGTGCCTCCAAGTCCCAATTGCTGGGAATTCAGACCATGATGTTTCCGCTTGCTGACACGGCGTTGCCCTCCAGCAACAACGCACCTGCCGCTGACAAGACGCCACGCAAGCGTCTTAAGGCGTCCGAGGTAAGAATGTCGGCACTGCTGGCTCGGGCATCGTCGCCGAGCATTTCCAAGGCAGTCTATGAGCCGGTGCTGATGCCATTTGCTCCTGATTAGACCACCACGATCTCGGATAGAACAGAGTCCAGTTGATATACCCCGCCTCAGGAGAAACAGCATACCTTTGTTCCAGCAATGCTGAACAGCTGGGCCGCAGGTCAAGCGAATCGGCGATTTGGAGGGATGCCTTGTTAGTTTAGCGACTCCGCAGCTCGACACAAGAGAATGTATAACTTGCAAATGGATGGGAAATCTCGAAATTTTGTAACGGTGCGACGTCTGTCAAGGATACAACGCATCCAAAGCGAAACAGACATCCTATTTTTGTCCTGAATAAAACCCATCCACCGTGACCAACTAGTGTGTCTGGGGAGATTGACCAGATGTATTCAAGACTGTGCTCCAGAAGCAAACTGAACCACTCGATTGCCAACCAAAGTCGAAAACAGTCACACGGTTGATCCGCTGCAGCTGATGTCAACCAGGCGACTTGACAAGCCAACAGAGTAGTTCACACCAGTTCAGGCCGTCTATGCGGGGCCGTGATCGTCGCAGCATGGCATTCAAATGGTATATCCCTGGGTGTATTCATGTGCTTGCGGCCAACCATTGTCCGATTCTGTCTCGGTGGCTGCATCTCGTCCTTGAACAGGGTGCATCGCTCGCACTCAGGAGCCCACGACGACGGCAATCTCTACTTCGAGCGAGCCCACCAGGTAGTTCTCCTCGACCACGCTCAGGTTGCATTTCTTGCAGTTGCTTACATAGAGCCTCTTAAGCTTCTTCCATGTCTTTTCAGCAAAGCCGACCAAACTCTTGGAGGAGATGTGATTACACGAGTCCAGGAAAAGCGTGTGCAGCGATGGCAGATTCGCCAACGACCCCAGCGTCCAGTCGGTCAGCCCAATGTCTCCAGTAAAATCGAGCACCCTCAGCAATGGAGGGGCTGACTTGCCAAAATGGACAAGCGCCTGGCACTCTTCGGACGAAGCAAGGAAGGATGGCGTGCTCGAGTCTGTTCGAGACATCCCGTTGTCGTCCAACAGCAGCGAATATGATCGGTTTGCTCGATTACTGACGCCGGATCCCTCGTTATCCGAGTTGAGGCGTCGAGAGCCGGCACTTGTCGATCGGTTCGAGGGCGAGTTGGACAAGAGCGCAGGGACAACTCTCAGCCGACACAGCCGAACATAAAGCATGCCCGAACATGAATCCACCAGCGCCGCCATAGTCTTGGGAAACGTGAATGAGAAGGAGAAATCGACCCATCTTGAATGTCGTAGCATTTGAGGTATGTGCCCGGTAACGCAATTCATAAGCACGAGAGAGTGTGTGTATGTGATGACCAAAGCGTTTGCAGAGCGGGGTTAGTGGAAAATGTCCAGGGGCAGTGCGCTGTCAACGGGACACGATGATCTGGGTCTCATATCTCCATGCCCAAATAAGTCATGGTTCAGCAGCGCGCCTGGGCATTGGTCCCAAGCACTTGCAATCTTGTTGTGTGGCACTTACTGCAACAGAGCGCATTGTCTAACAATCCCAGCCAAGTCGGCATCGCTGAAGCCTTGGTGGCTTGCGAGCTCGAGTTTCTTGAGGCGACCGCCGATCGGCAGGGACATGGGGCATGGCATGGGCCTTTGTGGGAGTCGGGGTTGCAAGGGGCGGCTGGCGGCTTTTCGTTCCCGATTGATCTGTCGCATCAGAGCCTTGGCCTTCCGGGTAGAGCGCGGAAGACATGCGACAAGCTGGGAAAGCTGGTTAGCTTTGGATTCCTCTTGCAGGTCGGTTATGGTCAACTCCTTGAGGTTGCCGAGTTTCCCGATTTGATTCAGCGCTTCGTTTGAAAGGGTGGCATGGTGGATCAGGAGGGAGGTCATGGACTGTTGGTACTGTCCGATGGGGATCAACCCGCTCGATGTCATATCGTCGCCATTCATCTCGAGCGACTCAATTCCCGGAGCTGCCGCAATGAGGCGCCCCAGAAGCTCGTCATTGAAAATGGGGGTGTGCTTGCTGTGAAATCGCAGAGCCTTGAGCTTGGTCAAGCTCCTGGATTTGATCAGCTCAGAAAGCGATTCGATGGTGACACCGATGTGAATCGTGACTTCGAGTCGGGCAAGTTGCTCGATCCGCTTCGACTCGGCAATCAGAACGCTGATAGAGTTGCGATCGACGACGATGCTGAGGTTCTTGAGTGTCGGACAAGTAGTGAGGAGGGCCGTAAGGCCTTCGACCTGCCCCTCGAGCAAGACCACGTTCAGATGCAGGGTTTCAATGAACGGACACAGGGATATCAGCTTGCCCATGTCCCAGTTCCAGGTGCACCTGCGTGCTAAAAGTTAGTTATTGCTCGCCTCGAAACGCGGAGGCTCTGCTCTGTCGAGAGTATATGTTGTCACCAGCAACTTGGCGGGACGGAATGAGACGGAGCGTATGCATGCCCAGGCGAGCACCGAGGGGCAGCCTTCTCATGTGCCCGCGCGATTGCAGGCAGCTTACCACAGTAGCCACAGACCCCTCTTCTGCATGCGCGAGTCTTCTCCAATCATAATCTCCTTGAGCGAGAGCGTATTTTTCTTTGGCCCGTCGCGCGTTGCCCAAGGGTAGTTTTTGATCCGGTCTGGGAGTCGTCCGTAGCAGAGTCGCTCGTCAGAACGGCCGATGCTGTGGGACAGTACCAAACGATCGCCTCATCTCGACAACCGCAACGCTACAAGGCTATGGGATCCCTCGTCTCATCCGCGATACGTCTCATCCGCGATACGCTTCCGATTTCCCAGCCAGAGAGCCACTTACAGCACCCCATTAGATTAACGTGTGTGAGGCCCGTGAGCTTGAAGAGCTTGGCGATTCCTTTCTCAGTGATCTTGAAGCAGTAAGCCATGTCCAGGCGATTGAGTTGCGGGAGGTAGAATGTGATGACTTCGATTCCAAAGTCGTCCATATGTTCACAGTGGCTTATATCGAGCCACTTGAGTGCCCTCAACCATCGTAGATGGAACAGTGACCCTGAGTCAACATAGGGACACCCGTTCAGGATCAATCGAGCCAGTGTGTCCTGAAGCAATCCGAGGATGCTGGGATCCGAAAACATATCCAGCCCGATGTCCGTGCAGGACAGATCCAGCACGTTGAGTTGCGAGAAACGCTGGCGAGATAGCGATGAGTCGACCAGGAGAAACTGGAGCTGGGATGCTGTTTCCGTTGGATACAAGTACTTTTCGCCCCCAAGGGAGTCTCGCCGGCTCAGATCGAGACGAAGCCACAGATCCGGGGCCGAGTACAACACCAGCCGCCAGCGTCTTGACACACACGCTGCTCGGCACCGAGTGATCGTCTCGACTTTGGAGAAGATCTTGAGGATCACTTCGACCGGCAGCTTCAGATCAAATTCTGAAAGGACTTGCGGTCTACACAGAGCGCTATCGCCGGACGAGTCGGTTCTCACGGCTTCGGAGACGGGCAGCGGGCTGGTAGGCGTCAATGAAGCATCCGAGAGCGACGAGCTCAGGGACCCTGTATGAAATCACCCAAGAAAGGCACAGCGCAGCCGAGGGTTATGTGCTTGCCCTGAGCGTTGCGACAGTCCACGAGGTTGAATGCGATTTGGAAGCTGTCCACTCCCTTCCAGCGCCCTTTGTCACCATCAGTTACCCAAAACTCGGCCGCCATTGGGACTGGTGGTTAGCCGCGGGCTGCCTGCGGCGGAATCCTTTCCAGGTTTCTTCGATTTGACAGGAGGGTTCTGTTTCTGATACCCAAGTCTCGTCAGCGACTGATTCAAGGCTCAAAGCAACGACGACAAGACTCTACGAATATCGCATAGCCGCCCATCAGAGACTCTCCCTGGCCACAAAGTCGCTACCTCGTGCTGAGACATGCTCGCAGACTTGTTCATTCACGAACACGAGGAGCAGATGATGACTTCAGACCCGACGTTTGGATATGAAGCTCAGCAGATCTCGAAGACTGCCAAGAAAAGGAGGACAGCCGGACGAAGGACCTGAGCTGAGTCTTGCCATCCTCGCTGGCGTGGGCGGGGGGCTGGCGACACACTTGGCAAGCAAGCAAAAACCGAAAGACTCGAAAGAGCATCGACACCTTCGATCGACCGGAGGCGATCCCAATCTGCCCGTGCTCATCTCTTGACCTCCACTGCTGAGAGCAAGAGCAAGCGTGCTGTGGACTACTCTGGAAAGGAGACTCGAGACAGAAGATTCGTAGATCTGCCAATCAGTGCATTCAGTCAGCCACAAGCGCACCGAGATGCAAAGAACCAAAGGACTCTGGACCCGAACTCGCAGCAAATGGATGGTTCGCAGCAGATCCGCATCATTGATCCCAGTCATTGACGACGCGGGGTGCGTTGGTGAATGAAGGTGCTCAAGGTGAGAGAAATGGAGGGATTCTATCCACAATGGAGCTCAGATAGGCGGCAATGATTGGCTTTGTCGGATTTGCACAGATAGACGAAAGTAGCTATGCTATTTGGGCAGACCATGCCGTCGGTCTGAATGGTCTGCAACCCAGGTGGATCGGCGGCATTGTGGGTGCTGGCTAAATTGCCTTGATCAAGCTGATTTTCCGGCTCAATGGCCCAATGACTCAATGACTCAATGGTTCAATAGCTCAATAGCTCAATGGCTCAATGGCTCAATGGCTCAATGGCTCAATGATTCAATGGTTCAATGGTTCAGGACGAAGACCATGTTCGCAACAATGCCCAGTAATACTCATAAAGTGTACTTGCCAACTATATATAGGGCTGCTATGGGATCTCAACCCCCCTGCCTTCCTCGAGTGCCACGCAGCTCGGAATTCCGATACCTTTTCGATCTCAAATCCGTCAGCTTATTCGACGAATGTCCTCCAGCGGCAGCGGCTCAACCACCATCACTTCCGGTCTTCAAGCATTTCTCTACGTCTTGCAGGACACGGAGAACCATGGAGGCTACCCAACCTTCTGTGCCCTGCTTTTGATTGTGGTCCTCAACAAGTGGAAGGTGGCACTGGACTTCAAATCTATTATCCCCTTGATGGTGTACTTTGACGCCATGGGTCTGTTTCTCAACTGGATCACTCCGTGTTACAGGCAATCCAATAAAAAACGGGACACCCGGGTTTTTGACCATTCATCGAATATTTTGTTACCCAATGTTATCGCGCGCTGGCCATGACCATTCGCCACACATCCGACTTTCGCACCGCCGCATTGCGATGCTACGATCTCATCCATAGCCTGCGTAAGGTCGCCTCCATATTCAGTGTATCCAAGAGCACCATCCATCGATGGCACCGAGGATGCAAGCTGGATGACCCATCCCGGGTCCCAGCTCGCAGATCCACTTTCTTCGAGCAGGCATGTCCAGTCATTCGCACCCTGATTGAACAGGACCCGTTCCAGACTGGTCCTGTGTTGCGATGCAAGCTCGAGTCCATCCTCCAGAGGAAAGTATCACTCTCACTCTGCCACACTGCCATCCAGCGAGCAGGTCTCTCACACAAGAGGGCAACACACCTCTACAAGTCCAAGCGACTAGATGAGCGAGTGGCACAGTTCAAGGAACCAGGTCCGCTCCATCGACCCACGACGATTCGTTTTTGTCGATGAGACAGGGATCAGGAGATCCATTTTTCCTCTCTACGGATACTCACCGAAGGGTGCTCCGCTTCGCCAGCGCAATCACATGAAACACAAGTCTGTCTCGGCTGCATTTGCCATCAACCACTCTGGTGTGCTGCATCGCATGTACATCCCCACATCATTCAAGACACACTCGATGGTCGAGTTCTTTGATCGAGCGACCTTCCCAGACGACTCTGTGATTGTGATGGACAATGTCAGCATGCACAAGACAATGGCTGTCCTGGACTGCATCGATCGCCGAGGATGGTCAGTGATCTTCACCCCACCTGCCTCGCCCGACTTCAATCCCATCGAGAACTTCTTTGGGGTTGAGTCCCCACCGATTTGGGGTTGAGTTCCTCCAATTTGGAGTTGAGCTCCCCCTCCAATCAAGCCGCCGTTCTCACGTTCACATCCCTGTCTTGAACCTCTCGGCGATTTTTGAACAGGGTCACTTCCCCAACCAGCCCGCAAAGACGGGCTCCTGCTCTCGGGTATAAATGCCACACCTTCGTCCTGCTGCTTTCTTCCCTCATCTCGCCTTGATCTGATCATCGCGCAATTGTACGATAAAAAAAGTCTCTGTTCTGACCAGTACCACTGGCAGGCATCCAGCATCCTCTGCCCCCATGCCTCCGAAGCGCAAGGGTACCGGTGATGGCCAGCCTCGGCCACCCAGGCCCAAGAAAGCCAAGTCACAGTCGGAGCCTGTCTCTGGTTCGTATTCTGACCCCACGCATGCTTGGTCGTCTGTTGCTCCGTCGCTCACCACCACTGCTTCTGCAGATCCAATGGATGTCGATCCCACCGAGCCTGGTCCATCTACTTCCTCGAGTACTGGCAAGCGATGTCCCAAGTGCGATGGCACCGATCACGAACGCTGCAACACCAACAAGTGTCCCAAATACCGGCCCCTCAAGAGTTCTGTCGTCCCACTCGTGGATGGAAGGTCATCCGCTCCTCAGTTCAGCTGCTTCAAGCAGACCATGGACGGCTGTTGTCTCAATCCCGCTCTCCGCGACAAGATCCAGGCCACCGTCGAGGCCATGACCCAGATCCAATTCGAGGCACCCAGGCTGCTCAACCTGCACATCCTCCGGTGCATCGAGCAGGATCTTCCCGTCCCCGTCATCTCCAAGGTCCACCCCTGCTTTCATCCGCCAATGCTTCACGATTGTCGAGGCCGATGCCCTCTCGACGGCCAGGGACACCAAGAAATACAACGAGCATCTGGTCGCTTCCTTTCGCGACTACCAGACCACTCGGCACGCAGACCTGCCTCCGGCCCCTCGTCTGCCTGATGGTGCTCACAGTCAGCTTCTCACACTGGCTGTCAATGCCTATGCCACCAACTGCACCACCCACCTCGACCTGGCCTACTGGCGACTCCTTCGCCGCTTCTGTGCTGCTGTCTTCCCAGCCAACAAGCATAAGCACGAAGCCATCGAGGCCTGTCTCGAGCTCTTCGAGAAACCAGGGCAGACTCCACCCAAGGCCGATCTCGAGTTCCTCTATCCCGAGTTTGGCCACATCCTGACGAGTTTCGGTACAGCAACGACCAGGACCGCTTCCGGGCCCTCCATCGCCTCTCACACCATGTGAGAATCCTCGCCCGAGACAAGATGGTCGACAATGTCCACAAGTGGATCGACTGTGACATGCCCGCCCTCCGAGTCACCGAGCTGCAGCGCCAGGCCAAGCTGGACGAGCTCACTACCCAAGGCATTCCCTCCGACGACAAGAGGTTCACCAAGGCCAAGTCTGAGCTCGGCACCACCAAGGCCAAGATCAACAAGCTGGCATCCAGGATCAAGTGGGCACTCAAGCAGCTCGCTCTCGACACTCCTCCGGCCGTGTGCACGATGGTCCCTCTGTGCACAGCCAAGGCCAAGTATGTCAAGATCGACACCGTCACTCTCTGGGAGCTCCTTGGTCCAAAGAAACGCCTTGGACTCACCTGGGACATGCTCAAGGAAGAAGGTGAGGACGGTGTCAACAACCAGGATCGTCTCTGGCGCAGTTGCTTCAAGCTGCGTAGTTCCCTCTTCCAAGAGCGGGTCAGGGACAAGAAGCTGTTCAACTACGAGATCAGCACCGATGGCATTGGATGCACCATCGGCCTCGTCAAGTTTGTGCCTCGAACCGATCACACCGAGACCATCGAGCCTCCTCCGACTGCCGAGCAGCGCATCCAGGCCCACATCGGCGACCCAGACCCCGATCGCACCACTTGGATTGGCATCGATCCTGGAGTCGGCTCCATCTTCACGGCAGTCATCCAAGCACCGGGCCACCAAGACGAGGTGGTCTCATTCTCCAATGGCCACTATCAGCACATGTGTGGCCATACGTCCAACACCAGGTGGCACAACACCATGAAGTATCGACTCAGCATCGAGACCTGGATGTCGACCACCCCCTCGCCCAAGGTGTCGTCCTCGGAGGCTTTCAAGGTCCATCTCACCCATGTCCTGCGACCGGAGCTGCGAGTGCAGCTCGACTTCCACCTTGGCAAGAAGACTCGCCACCATCGATTCACGGGCCACAAGAGGCGCCAAGTGGCCGTCGACAGGATGTGCAAGGCCGTCCTGAAGCACGCCCCGATACGGACCGATGTGGTGATCGCCTTTGGCAATGCGTCATGGCGACAAGGCAAGGGCTATGCATTCAGCCCTCGGAGGCAGCGGTTTGCTCAGTACTTTGAGCAGTTCGAGCACCACCGACGCCGTCCCAATCACCCTCACGGAAGCGTCAAGGTGGCCTCGACGAACGAGTTCAACACCTCGCAGGTGTGCTCCAAGTACCTGGAGCCAGTTCGGTTGGAAGGACTCGATGCGCCCAGTGTTGCGAATTCCCACTTTGTCAGGAGCTGCAAGAATCCCAGCTGCCGGACAGTGTCGAATCGCGACGTCAATGCGGCGCGCAACATGATCACAGTATGCAGGTCGATTGTGGAGATCGGAGAGCGATCGGCGGTCTTCACTCGGAGGCTGCCAAAGTGATCTGTTTTATTTCTTGTGGCTTTGCTTGACGCAAGCACAGCACATACTACATGTTCATGGAAACGGCTATATTGTCCCGTTTTTTTCTGAATAAAGTGTACATCGAGCTCACACCCTGTCAGCTCAACAACATATCTTTGACTGCGGATATCCTCTTTGCCGTCAAGGTTGGTCTGTGATACCAGTAGTTCCAGCTCCGAATTCTCTTCTGTTCATGACTGCCGGTCTCGCTGGCAAAGCGATGCATGGGCTGAGGTGCAGCATGGCCACCAGCGGGCTCACGATACCCTGGCCTATCCCCGCAGGATGGTCTCCGATGTGCCTACTTGATATGGAAGACCGTGATGGTCACCGGCATTATCGATCGCATATATGTGTATCATGCCGTTGCCGGGGCCTTTCTCGTCTCGGTGGCCCTCTACCACGCCTTCATCTGGACTTCCTACAGCTTCACAGGTACGGGTCGTTTTCTGTATCGTCATTTGCACCGCGGCCATGTTCCTGACACCAGGAAACTCACCGTCCAAATGGTCGACAGGCAACTGCCAAGCCATCGCCTATCCCACGGCCTTTCAAGCCGTCCAGATCGTATTGTACCTCTACTGGCTCTTGGTTGACGTTTTCACAGCAGGGTGTCTAATTTTTTTCTTGCGAAACCATCTCAAGAAGATGGAGGAGCTCAAGATCAACACAAAGTCAAAGAAGGAGACCCTGGTGGCCAAGGTGCTCTCGCGCGAGATTTGGAGAGTCTGCTGGGCGGCCTGCCTTGGTCTCGTCACCAGTTCATGCGCCATCGCAGAGTTTGTGCTGCAGACGAAGGTTTTCTATCTTCGTGGGTCGATCATGTGCATATGTAAGTTGCTTCTACAGCGAGATGGCGGTGGGATCGACGGTGGCAGCGGAGTGCTTGCTCTGTTCACATATGCACACGTCTCTGCCGCTCGACTCTGGCTGACTGTGGGTGTCCCTGGCAGCCCATTTCATCCTTGTCCTCAGCACAATCGACTCTCGCGGCGAGGACGATTTATCGTCCAGCGCACATGGCCAAGGTGCTGGCGGCGTATCGTCGGCTCCTGGTTCTCCCAACACCGCAGCGAGAAGCGCCCGCAAGGAGTCCACGGTGCCGACCCAGTATCTGACCACCACTACCACCGATTAAGCTCGGTACAGCGCGCTGTCGAGTCTGACATATCTCTGGGCTACTATTTCACATGCAGTTGCGAATCAGACCGATGTACATTGTCCTGGTCTGCGACAGGGCTGATTGGCCCTTTCATATGAGTTTTGCACAATACAGACATGGTACATATGAGTTGGCGACATATGTTCCCCCCCCGTGGTGAGAGACCCCCGGACCATGTCTCGAGTATAATAAGTCCTTGCTCGAGGTTGACCCCGTACCGGTGGATTGCGCCCGCCGTAAGGTATTCCACATCTCCAACGCCCTCTACTCGTTGCATTCAGCAGCAATGTCGAGCCAGAACGCAACCGTTCAAGTGAGCGCAGGATTCCCAGGGCCTCTGGCGGTCCTTTCGGATACAGAAAACTACGGCGGCTACCCGACATTTTGCGCCCTGCTGGTCATCATCGTGCTGGGCAAGTGGAAGGTCCGACATGACTACAAATCCTTGATTCCCGTGATGGTCTACTTTGATGCCACCGGCCTGTTCCTCAACTGGATTACGCCGTTCTTTGTCGACATGACGGTGTGCCAATCAAACTGGATGTGGCTGGCGGGAGATCTTCTGTTCGTTATCAAGGTTGGTTACTGCAGCTGAACTCGATTCTGGCCTGTCGAAACGCTGTCAAACCCGCAGGAGAGAGTTGCTCTGAGCGAAGGGTAGAGAGGAGAAAGGGCGAGATCCATATACTTACCCGCCTTCGTCGCCACAAAGGACGGCCTTCGATGCGGCTATCTAATCTGGAAGACTGTCGCCGTTACCGGCTATATCCCTCGCCAATACATCCATGTGACTGTCTGGACCGCCATTTTGATCTCATTTGCGCTGTACCACGCCTTTATCTGGACCTCCTACAACTTTGTGGGTATGTTTGATTCCGTCCCGAGTCTGTCCCGAGTCTGTCCCGAGTCTGTCCCGAGTCTGTCCTGAGTCTGTCCCGGTCCCGGCTTGGGCTGCACGTTTCTTGTCCACGGATATGTACGATCGATTAACTCGATGCAACTCGGTCAGGCGATTGCCAGGGGCTCTCACATCCCCAAGCATTTCAGGTGGTCCAGATCGTGCTCTATCTCTACTGGCTCTCGATCGATGCCTTCACGGCGACCTGCATGATCACGTTCCTGCGAGGACACATCAAGAAAATGAGCACAATCAAAGTCAGCCAAAAGGCCGGCAAGCAGACGATGATTGCCAGAGTTCTTTCGCGAGAAATCTGGAGAATCTGCTGGGCGGCGCTGCTGGGCACGATCACTAGCTCGTGCGCAATCGCAGAGTTTGTGCTGCAGACCAAAGTACTGTATCTCAGGGGATCGATCATGTGCATATGTAAGTCAGAGTGGCGGTGGCTCCAGCGCGAAGATGTCGGCGTGACAGAAGCATGGGAAGATAATGGCATCAATGAGTCCTTGGAAATTGTGCTTGGGCCATATCGCCTCGTCATGAGGACTGCCTGCCATGGCTTTGCTTGAGCGTCAGCCCCCGTGGCAAGTGTGGTTGGGCTCTAACGACACCCTCATCCTTACGCCTGTGACGTGAAGCCCATTTTATCTTGGTTCTGAGCGTTGTCGATGCCCGCGGCGACGACGATGGCTCATCCACCTCGAGTCAAGGAGGACAGCCTGGCACTGTCAGCGTAACGGCCCGAGACACGACAGCCAACCGAGACACCGCGGTTAACAGGGCCTGATTGCTCCTCAGTGAGTCCGGAAGGAAGGAAAGTGTCATCTGTACTTTGCCTGAAAGCATACCCACAGGCAGTCGATTGAATGGTCTCGGCTTGTCGAGATACTTGGGGTCCTCGCTTTCAACAGAGCGATCAAGATGACGTTTCGGATGCTCCTTGGTTGGTCGTTGCGAGGACGACCGACTGGGGCCGCATTCTGATCAGCATAAGTACCGATGTTAGCGTGTGTGGCCAGATGCATGTGGAGTTACTGGACCGTCGACGGTGCTCTTGGACATGCAGAATAGAAACCGGGCCTATGAGGGCCGCACGTGAAGCCATGGAATTGCGAATTCGCAGCACACAGATTGGCGAATGTTGTAAAGACGAAGACGCATGCATATATTGGGAGTCAGGAAAACGTGGCCAGCCACTGGGGTTGTAAGTGCATGTGCATTGGCTTGCTGCTTGTACAGACCGCAGTTGGGATTGTACCAGAGCGGGTGCGGATTCAAGCTGCGTCCGTATGGACAGCGCCAAAACGACTTGGTTTTGGAGCCGGCGATATGGCTTCGACGGGACTGCAGATCGCTGGGGCAGCGGAGCACCCATCAGCCAAGCTTCGGTCAGCTTCAGATGCAGGAGCGTGATGGTGGGTATGTGGGAGGGTGGACGGATCCGACGGCCGAGGCTTCGGACGGTCAGCCGAGATTCGCTTGGTTTCCGCCGCGGCCTGTCGATTCGCAGCACGTAGCCGGCTGTTTTCTTCTTCAAGGCGTCGGATACGCTGCTCCAGCTCCTCGATGTACTGCTTCTTTTTCTGTCGGGATCCTCTGGCGGCGAGACGATTCTGTCGGAGCCGCCGCTCTTTGCGCTCTTCTTCGGAGAGCGGACGGCTGATTCTCGGATGGGACGGGCGGCCACCGGCTACTTCCAGGCCAACATCATCATCGTCGCCCGATATCGACGATACGGACGAGGTGGACGGGTGAGGGGCAACCATCGGTGTTATTGGTGGATGCGTGCCCGGGGCGTTCGAGGCTGACGAGGACTGCATCCGCATGAGCGGACGACGACGATGTGGCTGCCGGCTTCGTGGGCAGGTAGTTCATGGGCATGCCCATTGCCAAGATCGCCGCCAGCATCGACGAAATCTGCTGCGGCTGGCTTTCTGGGCTGAGCATGGCAGCGCTCGTGGAGGCAGTCTGTAGCGCAGACGCATGATGTGCCGCAGCTACGAACGCAACGGCCCTGCGATCGTATTCTTCAAGCGAGGCCGGGGGAATCAAGCCGTTGAGGTACAAGTGCACCAGCGAAGGGAGAGCAGCCAGAGACGAGCTGGCGGGCGCGGGGGAGGCTGTGGACTTTAAAGTAGCTGGCGAGTGTCCGTCTATCGAGCTGGGAGCGGAGTGGATGGAAGCTGCGTTTAATGTGCTTGTCTGAAGTAATGATTCGAGGGGTCGCAAAGGTATGGGTGCGGTCTGAGGCAGATTGTGGATCAGCCCCGGCACAGAGCCAGATGGAGCGCCGTTGGATATCGATGGCGAGATCAGGCCGCTGCCTGCTACATCAGGGAGAGCAGGAGCTTATAGCCGATGGGGCTTCATTCGGCAGGGGCCCGTCGGTGATTGCGGCTTGAGGATCTGCAGGAGTGTCGACGAGCGCGCCGCCTCGGTCGCCATCGAGGGCATTTCCAGTAATCCCGAGCGGTGCTGGCAGTGGCGGCGAGTCGATGCGGTCGGCGGTGCAGCTCGGCGATATATGCGGCTGGATGGTGTCCGCAGACGTGTCGGGATGCTTGCGCTTCTTGCCGAGCGGCGGCGGGTCTGGGCCGGTGGGAGCGGTTGACATGGTGCCGGAGAGGCGATCAGGACCAAGCCCGGAGAGCGAGGAGAGCCGCCAAAGAGGCCCGAAAGTTGGTGCTGGCCCGAAATGAAATTCATAGCAGGCAACCACGTGCACATCGATCCCGGCTGGGGCGCTGCTGGCTGGCTTGCACGACCCCAGGATCGCCCGCCCGGATCGACGACTTGCTGACAACGACTTTGCCTGATCAACAACCCGGCGCTACCGCAGACGTCACCACAAGAAGCACACCGAGCCACAAATCACAAATCACAATCACAAATCATATCACAAGCCGCAAAGCACACAGCATATGTCGCAGCCCAACGGGAGCCGCCATGCGGCGGAGGCCGGCAGCCAGATTGATTCGTCTGGCTCCCACCTCATCCAAATCAATGATCGGGTCTTTGGCAACCAGTCCAAGGACGAGGCCCGGAAACTGAAGCGGCGCTATCGGGATATGCTTTCGCAGGCCGAGGATCCCGGTATGCTTCGACACATGGGAGTGTCTGGGTCTTTGGACTGATGGCACGGGTGCGGATATGTCGCCCGAGAACGGCGGATGCGGATGCAGATCTCTGGTTTTGTGGACGAGGGCACACCGATTGCAGGCCGATTATGGGGCCTGTTGGCACATTGCGCACTGTTGGTGTGTAGCTTCACCTCGGCGACTCCCCCTTCGACTCCGCCCATTACTTGGCTGGGATGTTGCTGATCAGCTCTGTGCCGGCCGCTCACTGTGCTCCCGGATCTATATGACACTCTCCGAGACAGAATATCGCCACAAGCTCATGGATCCCAGCAACAAGACGCTCGACGAGGTTATGGATGGACAGTCCGAACTGTTTTCGCAAGGTAGGTCGAGCCTATCATCTTGGCGCCGGTGCCGCCAGTCCCGACGCTGCTCGGGCTGTGTATATGGCTACGGCCGAATAGATCTGCAAGAGACTCACAACCGGCCTCGGATTTGGCACGCAGTTCAATCAACAAACGAAGCTGTGCTTGACTCCAAACTGCTCGTGATGACCACGGGCTTTGGGCTGGAGCGAGTCAAGAAGATCCGAGTCGACGGCGCTGGCTTTGACATCAATCAGCTGATCCGATCCATCGGAACACGGCTGTACGGCCACTTTGAGAACGACGGCCAAGTGCAGAACGATTTGACCAAGGGGCTCAAGGACATGGAGCGGATCACTGCCCGTCATCTCGCCAAGGCACCGACCGTGGGCTTCATGTGAGTCAGAGGCGTCAAGCGCACGATGACGAATGTGCCTCACATAACCAAGTGGTCTGCACAGCCGAGGGCGGTCAGAGTCCAGGATCGATACACAACCTCGTCCGTCCAGATACAATTGTGGAGGTGACAGCTGACAGAGCTACGGGGCTTGTATTCCGCAGGTTTGGGCCGCTGACGATCGAGGAGAAAGTGCGCGCCGTGCCAAAGCGGTCGGCCAAGCTTGTCAAAGACCAGCGAGACCTGGTGAAGCCGCAGGAGGTGAGGAAGAATGGTCAAGACTGCTTGTCTAGCGCTGTCCGCCGCTGGCCCCTCGTGTATGTAACTTGGCTACAGGGGGCTCGGCACCACCTGGACGATCCAAGACCATGCCAAGGGAAAGCGCTATGACAGCCGCCCGCACAATGCGCGGACGCAGCGGAGCGAGCCATGTCGTTCCAGAAGTTCAGAAGGCCGCGTGTCTCGTCTCATCACTGTGGCCGTCGATTTTGCTCCACAGCTTCGAGAACAAGATATCCAGCGACACGACCACGGCACAACCGGAATGGTATCGATGATTGCTGCGAAGCTACACGAATGCGGGCGCATCAACGTGTTCCGGTTCATCATCAACCCGGACTCGTTCTCGCAATCGGTCGAGAATCTGTTTTACCTGTCGTTTCTGATCCGCGACGGCCGAGCAAGCATCTTTGACGACGAGGAGACTGGCGAGCCCATGCTGCAGACAGAGCGGCCACCGACACAGGAGAACTACGACGATGGACTGACCAAGAAGCAGCTGATTCTGCAGTTCGACCAGGACACTTGGGATGTGAGTAGCCGCCATGGGCACCAACTGCGAGCATGCGATAAGCGCTGGCCGGGAGAGGCACCGGCCATGAGCCTTCGATAGCGTTGATGGAACGTGCATCTGGCGAGGCAAATTTGCGTGGGAATGCCGTCTGGGCGCAGACCGGAACCTGCGCGCAAGTATCACCGGGCTGCTGGAGATGCTGCATCGACGAGCGACGCGGCATCCAGATACGGCGCTGCTGCTGGTCCTGGTGGCAAGAGGAGGGGCCGCCGTATGGTCTCGAGACCACCCAGGGCCGCCACATCGTGAGCAGGATCCTCAGACACTGGTGGCTCTGGCCGGCAAAGCATCACAGGGCAAACTAACCATTCTTCCGCCCCGGCCACCCAGACGCTCAAGGAGGTGTACGACATCCGCCCGCCATCGATATTGCCGACGCGTGAGTCGACTGTGGACGCAGCCTCGACCGGCAAGTGGTATGGCTGACACGCAAGGCGGCAACACGGCCACGGCGAAGGTGCCTTTGCGCAACAGCAGACAACAAGCGCAATGAAGCGGGTCGTGCTGTTTTTTGAAGGCATTGGTGCCTCTGTTGCAGATCCAGAATCACATTACATTGCACTCTATCGGGCTGCATGGCATTGCATGGCGGATACGATATTCCTGCGGGACAACTCGGTGCGATGGCCATTTGAATGCAGCCTGGGAACGATGTTGGCTGCCAGCCGATCGCGGCCCATCGAGACCGCAACCGTGCGAGTGTACGGGTACATCAACAGCAGGGCAGCAGCAGCGCAGCAGCCCGTCCGTTTTGGCCAGGCGTCCAGGGGCTGAAACGAATCTCCCGGTCTGGCGGCCCACCAGCAGACCGCTCTGTTTGGCCTGGTGGCCCACACAGCACGACCGAGGCCCGGCGAGACCGGGCGAGATCGGGCGAGACTGGGCGGGCGGCGGGCAGGTGACCTGCGCACACACACACACGCAAGGGCGACACAGCCCCCACAGAGGCAGGGCGCCCGCGCTGTGCAGCGGCACAAGGCCGGCCCAACAGGCAAAACCGACACACTTCCGGGCGCTGGCATATGCCGATTGCATGTGACAGAGGCCGTCCGCCAGCGAGGCGGGGCGAGAGGGCCGAGACGGGCGGGCGGCCAAAAACGGCGCCGGGCACGGGGACACCGCGGCCAGACAAGCAACGGCAGCACCAGCGAGAGCGCACAAAACCAGCGCACCAACGAGCGCACGCAGCGAGCGATCGCCTTGGCTGCCACTGGTGGACGTCACCTCCCCGCCTCGTTTGCATCTGAAAGCGATTCATGTTATCACCCCGGCCGACCCGCATCTGATTGCGTCCGATAGCATCCAGTCGACTGCACTCCCGTTGATTCCTTCCATTGACAGCATCCATCGACAACATCCATCGATAGCATCCATCAACAATATCCATTGGGCTGCGTCCATCCACCCATTCATTCACTCACTCATCCCTCCGTCCGCCGATCCGACTGCGTCCGCTTGGCGACATCGTATCTGGACTGTCTCTCATCGACATCTCCATCCATTGCATCTGTTTGGCTCCATCTGTTTGACTGCATCCCCTTGGCGGCATCTCACTTGACACCCCCTCCGTTTGGCTGAACCAACGGCATTCCCGATCGCACATCGTCTGTCTCGCTCTGCCGTTTCTTTCCGCTGCTTTCCTTTCCTTTCCTTTCCGTCACCCGCTCGCATCTGTCCATCCACGCACCAATGGACTCGTCCTCTGCCTTCCTCTCCGATGCCGCGGCCAAACCACCGCAGTTCTTCACGCTGCCTGGATCATCTCCCACCCCGGCCCATCACCTGGTGTCGTCCTCCCTCGGCATGCTCCAGCCGCCCATCTCGCCAAAGCTCCAACGACCCATCTCGCCAAAGCTGCAGCCGTCCTTCCTCTTGCATTCGCCACTGCTCAACACACCCGTCGATCCCCTGTCGGCTCGTTTCTTTGGTGTCCGAGAAAACGGCATGGCCATGCCTGAGCTTTCGCTTGACGCTGGCTCCGTCATGGCCACAAAGCCCGAGCTCGGCCCGCCTGGCGGTAAGCGCTGCTATCTGCGGCCGGGTCCCGATTGGGGCTTGACCATTGCTTTCCAGTCCCGCTGCTTCCGATACGGAACCGCACCACACTGTTGCAACTCCTCATGCACTTGCAGCCGTCGGCACCGGGCCCCGACCCGAGCACCTATCGCTTCGGCCACCGCAACCGCAACCGCAACCACCCTCTGACTCTGCTCCCTATCTCTCTCCGCTGTGCGGCACCACCCAGACTTTGAGAGCATCTCGATCCCGTGTCCCATGTCGCCGTCGCTGCTGACCTTGCAGGATATCAATGTCACCTCGGACTCGCAGATCCTCTGTCGGGAAGAATACGAGCTCTTCAGCGAGTTTCTGGACCTGATCGGCTCTGCCAACTCGGCCAATACCACCCCGGTTCTGTCCAACAGCTTCCTCGATCCTGCCCATATCAGCCAAGTCATGGCCACCGACGGCTCGGCGCCTTTCTCGACCCCGCTCAAAACATCTGGCTCGCTGCCAGTGCCGTTTGCACCGTCAGGCCCTGGTCTCGTCTCAAAGTCTTCGCAACTTGCCTGGAACGCCCAGACACCGACAGCCCCGTGGCCGATGCTGCCAGACAACTCCACATTCTCTGGCCAGCCCAATGCATCCAATCCCATGTCGCTTGCCCAGTCTCGCTCCAATGCCCACCTCGACTCCATTACCCTCACCCAACCGTACGAATCCATGAAGCAACACATGTTCCAGCCGGACCCCTTCAAGTCGTTCCAGCAGCGCCTCAACCACTTTGCCCAGCAGCTTGCGCCGCAGGTCCAGACTCCCTCACTCATGACCGATGCTTTCCAGGGTCTCAGCAGCTCGATCCACCAGCCAGCCCAGAACCCGTCGCTGGGTCCTGGCATGGGCTTTGGCGTTGCTGGGGATAAGCCCTACTCGGGCGACGTATCCTCCGGCATCTCGTCGCTGGTTTCGGCCTTTGGCTCGGACATGTCCCATTCGGGCACCTCGTCCTCCATGAACTCGTCTCAATCACTATACCTTGTCCCGCAATCTCCGCAAGATCCCAGTCCACTGCAACCGCTGCTGGACCACATCAACACCCTCAAGGGCAGCCAAGACTCTCTGTCATCTGTGCTGCCTTCCGCATCCAGCCCGCATTCGTCGTCTGCCCTGCAAATGTCCCAGCCACAGCCCCCGCGACGGACATATGTCAAGCGGAAAGTCACCGATCCGCAAGCCAAGACGACCAAGAGGCTCAAGTCGGTCTCGCCGCCGGCATCATCATCAAACGACAACGGCGACAAGCTCTCCGAGACCGAGTCATCGCTGCCCGAGACTCCGGACGGCACGGCTGTCAAGCCCGAGTCTGTCGACGGAGCCGCAGATTTCCTGGATGACGGTCTGAAGAAGAAGGACGGAGCCTCGCGCAAGCGGCGGGAGCTCCTCACCGAGCAGGAGAAAAAGTTCAACCACATCATGTCGGAACAGCGGCGACGAAACTTGATTCGCGAAGGCTTCGAGACTCTGAACCAGATCGTTCCGGGCCTGAAGGAAGGCAGCAGCAAGAGCACCATTCTGAACCGCACGGTCGAGTTCACCAAGGAGCTCGAGACAGAGAACATGGAGCTGCTCAAGACCCTGCACACGCTGCAGAACCAGCTCCAGCTCAACCGCTTCCGCTCCAGCTTGGCAGCGCCCCAGTTTGGCCGGGTCGGAGGTGCGCTTGCCCCACAAGGCTTCGACGGGATGGTCTCGACTCTGCCGGCCTTTGGCAGCATGGATATCCCGGTCTCCGGCGAAAAGTCATGGATTCACTCGACGCTGTAGCCAGCCCGGCAAATGCCATGCCGCCTGGGCAACGGGTGCCCTGTCCGACTGCCGGGGCTGGATTGCTTGTCCGAGGAGCCGGCTGGCGTGTTGTCCGACGATCCTGATACGATGGTGCTGAGTCTGCTGCTGGCCAGGACGAGATAGAGAAGCGCGACAATTGTTAGACGATGCATTATATGTTGATATGTACATCTATGTTGGTAATCATCAGTGCCCCCCTTCCTTCCTTTCCGTTCCTCCAACGGCCAATGCGTTCGCCACAACGGCTCGACAAAGCAGCGCTGCCACAGGCAGTGTCTGGCGTTAATGTGTGTGTGTGTGCAGCCGGCTGTTCTGGACATGGCGGGAGCGCCCCACCACCGCAGCAGCAGCAGCAGCAGCAGCAGCCAAGAGGAGGGTCTGGCGTCGCTGCTGTGGTGCCCCTGTCCTTTCTCCCCCATCTCTGCTCCCGACCGGCCGCCGGCTTTCCTGCTGGGCACCCAGGTAGGCAAGAGGGCACCCGTCTGCCCGACGACTTGCCGGCGACGGAAAAGGCCCTGCTGGCTGCCGTTCTGTTCTGTTTCGTTCCGGCGCTGGTGTCTCCCTGTTTGTCGGCTCCAGGCCATCATCAGACCAGCAGGCGAGAGTCGCTCTGCCCCGATGGGCCTCGGCTGCCTTCTCCGTGTCACAGACCCGAGATCCCTATTCCAGCAGGCCTCGCCGGGGCCTCGCTGTGCTCTCGCCGCGTCCTCGCTCCCGTTGGCGGCGCTCTCGCCGCGCTCTCTGGCCTCGCTGTCCTGCGTTTTGCGAGCACACCCCCGCCTCCAAACAAAAACTCGGAATCTCTGACCTTGCCCATCTCGCCTCTTCTGGTCCCACCGCCACTGCTGGGTCTCATACGTACCGGACCACCAAAAATATCTCCGCCTCCTTCTGTAGCTGCAGAGGTGAGCATCGTGCTGTGAAGCTGTTTTGGTGTCGTCAGCTTTGTCCTGGTTGTAATTGACGGAGGGAGCGACGGATGGCGGCTGTGTTCTGGATGCGTTAGCTGCTGTCTGTCTGTCTGCCTGTCTGTCTGTCTGCCTGTCTGCCTGAAAAGAGACAAAGCAGAGCTGTTGCCCCTCTGCGATACCGATTCGACCACATGTTCGCATTGTGTGGCATCAGCAACAACAGCAACATCAGCAGCAGCAAGCAGCATCAGCAGCCACGGCACAGCGGCTCTCCCCCAATCAACCCGCAAAGCGCTCGCCCTGTGGCATTGCGGGCCAAGCACAATAGCGCTTCGGGGCGTGAGGAGGGGTTTTGCCTTTTGGCAGGTGGACCTATATGTCAGGTCCTTCCGTGAGGTGCATTGTCCGTCGATATCGCTTCTCTGCGGCTTTCGATTGACCCCAGTCGCCGGTCTATACCCCTCTGTCTCTGCTCTTGGTCTGTCGCATTGCTTTGCTGCTGGCCCACACCAGCTCCTCCCGAACGCAAAATAAGGTACGCGCCGGGATTCTCTCCTGCCGGACCGGAAGGACATCCCCTCTCTGCTGGCGTTTTTTGCACCGGCTCGCATCAGCGAATTCGTGTCGTTCTCGTCGCCGCTCAAGCCTTGCCCTGTCGGGTTGCCCTCATCGCGTGTCTGCCTTGTCGTTGACATCTGCTTCGCCTCCCTCCTCGCTCGGCGTCCATCCCAACGCCGTTGGCCGTCGCCTGCAAATCTATCGACCTGTGGTCCGGCCGCTGCAATCGCTCGCGAATTGCTCTCCGACCTTTTACTCGCGCCTCTTGAACGATACGCCCTGGTGGTCCTTGCGCTTATCGTCTGTTGCCCGTCGCAACCGATCCCAGACTCTTGAGCTGAGGCCTTCACCCGTCTTCGAACCGGCCTCCTCAGCACATCCACATGTAATTATCCGCACTCGCCCCGACCCCAACGCGACCTGGATATCGGCGCTACCCTCTATCCCGTCTCAACTCTTTGCTCGCCAGCGCAAATGGACAAGCGACAGCAAATGCGATGCTGACTTCATTTTCGACCTCACCACCGTCACCACCTGCAGCTAGAGCCTCAGTTGTATTTTATCCCCCCCCCACTCCCCATCGTCACCATGCAAAACAACCCACAATCGTCGTCATCCCAGGGACCACCGAGTTCTCTGCTCGATCTGCGAGTTGGAAACAAGTACAAGATCGGACGAAAAATCGGTAGCGGAAGTTTCGGCGACATCTATCTGGGTGAGTCACGGATGCGTCATCCAGCGCCGCTGCTGCCGATCCCAGAAGCTGTCTCGAGTGTCGGCCATTGCTGTGATTGTCATGATCGTTGCTATCGGCATCCATATTGCCGCTATTTTGCTGTGTTATCGAGACTGATCGCTGTGTTTGCTGCTCTATTGATGCCCTGCTGCTCTGGCCGATTGCTTTTCCTCCTCTTGGCCTGTGTGCTTCTGACGCCCAGGTACCAACATCGTCAACGGCGAAGAAGTTGCGCTCAAGCTAGAGTCGATCAAGGCCAAGCACCCGCAGCTGGAGTACGAAGCGCGTGTCTACAAGTCTCTCGCCGGTGGAGGTAAATGCCATGGATATGTCGCGGTCAAGACTGCCACCCGTCACATGCATATGTGCTCTCAGCTAACTGGGCCCGGCTTGCATGTGTCTGCGTTTCGTCCTGTCAGTCGGTATTCCCTTCGTTCGCTGGTTTGGCACAGAATGCGACTACAACTGCATGGTGCTCGATCTGCTCGGCCCGAGCTTGGAGGATCTCTTCAACTTTTGCAGCCGTAAATTCAGCTTGAAGACCGTTCTGCTCCTTGCCGACCAGCTGGTGAGTCACCCTGCTGTGGTTCTACCCGCATACTCTCGGTGCTGATCATCGTCAGCGCTGCCAGCTCCTCGCGCTTGCCTGTTCCTAGTGCTATCTGCAAATACGAAACACCGCCTAATGGCTTCTCTGTCGGCACCACAGATTTCCCGAGTCGAGTACATCCATTCCAAGAACTTCCTGCACCGTGATATCAAGCCCGACAACTTCCTGATGGGTCTGGCCAAACGCGGCAACCAGGTCAACGTCATCGACTTTGGACTTGCCAAGAAGTACCGCGATCCCAAAACCCATCTCCACATTCCCTACAAGGAAAACAAGAACCTGACTGGCACGGCTCGATATGCCAGTATCAACACCCATCTTGGTGTCGGTAAGTGTCCGTGCTAATGTGCGAACCGGGTGCCGCTGCCACCACCAGAGCAGCACTGCAGCCGTGGTATCCGAATTCTGGGGGCAGTCGGCTATGGCTCGGGGTGCATCCCGTCGCGATTGAGGTTGTGGCTCTGTCGAAGCAGACAGTGTTCTTCTGCCATTTACGGTCCACAACGATCCTTGACAATCGAAGCCGCATCCGCGCTCGCTACCGGACCAATATCTCTAACCACCCTGATCTTTCATCGCTCGGCGACCTCCCTTATCGCCTCCGACACGTGCACGCCGCATCCAAACCCATATGGGATCTCCATTGGATCTCTTTCGGCACAATTTCGCCCACCCTCATCAGAGCAGTCGCGCCGTGACGATCTCGAGTCGCTTGGATATGTCCTGATGTACTTCTGCCGCGGCTCTCTGCCCTGGCAGGGACTCAAGGCTGCGACCAAGAAGCAAAAGTACGACCGTATCATGGAGAAGAAGATGACCACCCCGACCGAAGCCCTGTGCCGGTGTGTATCTCGAGCCCATCCAGTCCTCGATGCGGCCATGGAGTTGGCGCATGTAGAGCGTATCCGCGCTGTGCAGGTGATCCTGCTCTTGCCTCAAAACCTAATATCGGCTACTCCATTCGATCGCTGCAGAGGTTTCCCGAACGAATTCGCCGTTTATCTGAACTACACCCGGTCCCTCCGCTTCGATGACAAGCCCGATTACTCGTACCTCCGCAAGCTCTTCCGCGACCTGTTCATCCGCGAGAGCTACCACTACGACTATGTCTTTGACTGGACCGTCCAGCGGTACTTGGTGGGTGTCTATTGCTCTCTGCCGCAGCTCTCATGGATTGGTGCGCCGATTGCGGGTATATCGGCTCTGGGGATCGCCGAATGAGTGCACTCATAACCGGCACTTCTGACACTCGGGCTGTACATTGCCATGTTTGGTGGCTTCCAGCAAGAAGGACGAGATCGCTCTGGCAACCTGATCGCCCAGAACGGCCAGGAGGGCAATGAAGAGGAAGCGTAGGTTGCATGCACTTGCACCAGCCCGATGTCTGCCGTCGCTACGAACGATGGATATTGCGTGGATTGCTTTGCTGATTCTCAGTCTCTCGGACCTCCAGACAGGGCAATCGCGCCGTAGCTCCTGCCGGCCCTTCTGCCGCCGCCGTGCCCCGTATTGCGTCTGCAAACACCCCCGGCCTCCCCGCGGCGTCGCGCCCCGCCGCCAACTATCCTCAAGCCTCGTATGGCGCCGCCGCCGGTCCTGCGATGGGTGGCCAGCCCCAGGGCTACGGCTACAACAACTACTACCAAAGCGGCAGCCAGGGCGCCCTGAACGTCCAGGGTGCTCCGATACAGCCACAGGCTGCCTACGGCGACAACGGCGTCACACGAAGCAGCTCTCGAGTCGCTACTGCTGCTGTCAGCATGCAAGGATCGACCCCCGCCCCTGGCGTCCCTGGCCGAAACACCACCCCCGGACCCTCCAGGGGCTACTAACCGTCTCGGGTCCCGATGAACCGTCCCTTCTCAAGGCCTCTTGAGAACTCCATCACACCACCCTCACCTCACCTCACATCACCTCACCTCACCTCACTCACGCTCGACACTGTCTTGGAGGCAACGGTTCCATCAACACGGCGATACCAATGGGTCTCTTGCAAAATTGGCTTGGCTAGACGGTAATTTCTCTCTTTTCTTTCTTTCTTTCTTTCTTTCTTCGATTTTCTCCTTCTTTGGCTATGGCGGCAAAGCTGCACGCATGGCTATCAAAACAAAGGCAGTGTCAAGTGGGAACGATCAAGTTTTGCTGGACATTTCTTTTCCCTTACGAGGGCATCCTCTCCTGGCGGTCACATTCAGTACAATAAGCCTACTTGCACGCGTTTGTCCTTGGCGGTTACTTTGGAGAAGGATTGGTATTTATTCAGTCTTTGCCCGGGGTTTTCTCTTTCGTTTCCGGTTCTTCTCCGCTCGTTCGGTGGTGTTTTTGCCCTTTCTGATCAAACTGCCTTTTTCTTTCTTTCTTCTGTTCTTCTCGACCTGCACTTGCCTTGCATTTGCGACGTTTTGTTCAAGTCCTATTGCTGTCTATTTGGACCATAGGCACTAATGGGGGAGAGGTGTTTGATTTGCGAAAAGATCGTGGGTAGATGCGGTAATAAACGTGGGGGACCCTCAAGTTTGTTGCTGTGTTTCGGTGGATGGGGGGACTGCTTTTTTGAAAGCGGCATATTTTCTACAGACTTGAAATGCTATCAATACAATAAATTCACAAAAGAAAACCGAGCCGCGAGTGTGCGTGATCCTCACGGAGTGTGCGACTGGAATGGTGCCAAAGTGGTGGCCGCCTGAACCGACTGGCAGTGGTGCCGAGGGAATAGCGGGGGTTCGCGAATCTCTGAGCGATGCAGCAAAGGGAGAGCCAAGAAGGATCGATTTCAGAGACTTCATGGGGCGTTGAATAGACAATGGGGCACATCGTCTCGTTCGAACAAAGAAACGCCGCAGTCGAATCATATCACACCCGGCCAGCAACGACCGAGTGGGTAAAGTCATATCCCTGGGTATCGTGAGCGAGCAGTGAATGCGTGGAGCCAGTCCGCGCCATGGAGCAAGTCTGTCTCACGAATTCAGTCCAATATCGTCAGCCGAGCCCATCACGACGGTACGAGCGCCGATCCACATCATCCAGCCCACACAAGCCATCCGCATGCTGAAGTGCCCCATTTCAACATAGGCACTCTGTTACTCCAACACAACGCTGGGGCGGTGGACGGGCCATCCTCAATCACCAACAATGCATCATCCGCCCACACAAAGTCACGCGTTTTTGTTCGAGACGGCGGCTTCCATTGAGAAATCGGTTTGGGTTTGCCCGCTGGGGTCGGCGGCTGGACCAGGGGCACTCCGCTCTGCAGCGGCCATTCTTCGATCCTGCTGGAGAGGGGGTGGTGGTTCAGTGGACGAAAGAGCATCTCGGTCGCCCCTCCCCGCCCAAAAATAGCCACCAGACTGGAGAGACTGCTGCAGTTGCCACTGCTCGCTGTCGCCGTTTTAGTTGCTGTTATTGCTGCTGCTACTGTCGTTGCTGTTGTTGTTGTCTCCGCACCCGCGCAACTAGTTTTGGGACCATCGGCGACCAACCCCTGCGTTCTCACGGCCCCTGCGACGATAAGCAACGAGCAATAACAAGAGGCAATCGGACAACACTTCCAAGGTAGCATCCCAGCGACGGTGCCTTCCCACACGAACTCGCAGCAGAGTGACTGCCATACTGGGGCATGTTGCTATCAGCGTCGGTCGAGTATGCACACAACTCATCTCTGGCGTTCCCATGGGGCGACTCTTCCTGTGCAGATACCGGGCCTCCAGCGTGCTCAAAACCGGCTGCAGGTCATCCGCTACACAACTGCAGTGTGGGAGTAAATATCTGTCAAGGCAACTGGTATTTGTGTGGATGGTGCCCAGCCAGTGTGCATCTGCATCGATAACGAGGGCACATCCCAACCCCCTCCCAAATTGAAGCACACAGTCTCTCTCCGGGGTGCTGCGGCTGCTATGGGATGCTGAAACAAGTCACTCTGCATTACCACCAGATACCCGCCTTGACCCAAAAGCTACATCAACGCCCAGGGAATACGCCGAAATGACCACCGCGGCCGATTCAAAGTATCCGGGGCTCTCCAAGAAAAGTGCGAGCACGGCCTTGGCCAATCCTCCAGAGCCCCTCTCAGGAACCTCTCCCGCTGCTGCTTCCACCACGACATCGCGGCCCGCCACGGTAAAGCCGAGCCCGGGCCGAGCCGGATCCAGTCGATATGTGGCTACTTCTGGGACGAATCCGCTTCCGGCGCTGCGAAAGCCCAGCGGTGCTTTTGCGAATCCACAAGCCCGACTGACCACGGCCCCAATGCAAATGGACAGCGGGCAGGCCAGCAGGCCCGACCTCCTCGGCAGCCGGATCTACAAGGAATCGTTCACATCGATCGTCGAGGGCCGCACACAGCGCCGGGCCAAGACCGGGGACGAGCGGGTTGTCAAGGGAGCTATCTCGGCCAGACTCGAGCGACTCGCACAGGCCAGCCGGATGGGCACGCCGCTCGACGGCGTAGACGATAGCATCCCCAGCGGCCGAGACCTGACGTCTCTCGGGGTGATTGGTCTTGTCAAGGAGGAGGACTGCCGAAAGACCTCCATCGACAACCTCATGGAGAACGTGCCCAGCAATCAGAGTTCAAAGCAAAGGTCGCCACTGCGGCCACTGGACGAGTCCATGCTCGACGTCTCCGAAATCGTGGCCGAAGCCGGCCTGGACAAACGCCTGAAGGCGAGACAGCACTGGCACGTTGCCATCCAGAGTGTCCTTCGGCTGCTTCGCAACAAGGCGACGACCGTCAGTGACAGCAAAAAGTTCAGGCCTCGAACCAGGGATGCTGCCGGTGCGAATATCATCGGTATGGCGGCGCAGCTCGACCTCAGCGCAGACGGCATGAGAGCGATCAAGGGTAAGGCCGATATGCTCTCGGCAGCAAAGGTAAGGTCGAGCGATGCGATTGGTGCAGGAGCTAGTAGACATGTATGAAATTACCAATCGCGCACGTTTCAGCGAGGTTGGGCACCGGCAGTGAGAGTGGACAATGCCGCACATGTGTCCATGACAATCGAGTTAGTCGTACTGCTGAGTGTCCATTCATGACAGCGCACAACCATGGTGTTTGCTGCCGTGGTTCGCTTACTCTTCTTGGGTCCTTGTCGCCCCCTTGGCCCTCTGCTCTGAGCAGATCGAGTCGATCCTGAAGAAGCCCAATGGCTCTCGGACAGCGCAGGACCTTGCCAATCTGGACCGTGTGCTAACCCGGACCATGCAAGTGTTCAGCAAGCGTCTTAGCATCGATCAGCGGCGGCAGCTCTACAACTATATGACCTTCCAATCCGCAAAGCGGGGGACCATGATGATCAAGACAGGAAACCCGGCCGAGAGCGTGTACTTTATTCTGAACGGCCAGGTGCAGCTCTTCAAAACGATGCGAGGCAACACCAGGATAAAGCTCCAGCAGCTTGAGGTCGGCGAGCATTTCGGCGAAGTCATGCCGAACGAATTGATGTCCGGCACGATCCCGCCAAGGGCGTACAACGCAGAGTGCATGACACAATGCGACTTTGTTCGGGTGAATGTTGGTAAGGTGGTCTGCGAGTTGTACGGGAGCGCTGGAACGGGAGCGCTGGAACGGGAGCACTGGAACGTGAGGAGCAGCAACCCGACGAACGGGACAGCAGCCAGGTCGCCGGACTAGATGCCGCCCAACTCATCTCTCCGGATCCGTGTTTACACCGACCAGACGAGTTTCTTCGGGTCGCATACGGACACGACGGAAGCGACGTCGATTTGCGGGTGATGCTGATCAACAGCCTGTCAATCTTCAAGCGCAGCTCGGAAGTTATCCTTCAGAAGGCTGTCCAAGCCTCCCGAGTGCAAAAGTTTGATGCCAACACCAAGATTGTCTACGAAGACACGGCCAACACGCACCTGTACTTTATCGTGAAGGGGAGCGTGCGAATCTCCAAAATGGTGCGGTTTATGAAGAAGTACTTTGGGCCCCCGGTTGGAAAGCGACCAAGCGAGCGACCTCATGCGGTGGTGCCGTGGCTGCCAGGGACGCACATCAAGCGCGGCGATGAGGTTCTCCCCGAGGAGCTCGTAATCATGGACTTGAGCCCGGGGCAGTGGTTCCCCGAAATGGTTCTTCCGGTAGACTTGCAGATCGATCCCACAAGGCTTCCCAAAGCCGATTTCCTGGGCCGTGGAATCGAGGACGAAAAGGCAGAGACCCTGCTCAACAACATGCCGCCGGCGTATGTCTCTGCGATTGCAAACTCCAAGGTCGAATGCGTCATCTTTTCGATCATCGACTTTCTCAAGTTGGCCACTAACGAACAGGTCTCGACGGTCGTGCAGGCAACCGAAGCCCTGCGCATTCCGATCCTGGCGATGCAGGAGGCCTACCTGAGAACCTTTACGAATGCAGACGGCATTCCGATGCTGAACGCAAAGGAAGTCGGATCCACGGGAATGCCGATTCGAAATTTGGACTACAGAGCGGCTGCGTCCAAGCTTGGACTGCCGCCCGTCAAAACCTTCACTGCTCCAAAGTAGAGACTCGAGGAGAATATAGCACGTGGATTGTACAAGCTTGCGCCGATATATGGAGCGCGACCAGAGTCTATGAGCGTGGGTGGTAGTCTGGCTCCATCACTCGTATGCGCTTTGTAGCTGGTGATGTCTGGGAACGCTGGACGAGCACGGATGTACAACATGTTGAAGTGAGAATGGGACGCACCATTCTTTTGGACAGAACACACCGTCGATCAGGCGAGAGCCGTCCCGGCAAGCCACAGTCAGCCTGGATGGATCCAGAGAGCGAGAGCAGCCGAGAGCAGCCGAGAGAAGGAGCGGGAAGAAGCGAGAGCCCAGGCTCTCCACCACAACCCTCGAAGGACAGGCGTCGTCTCTGTCGGGTTGCATCCCAGCCATTGACCGACTGTCGGGCTGCGTCGCAATCAAGCAAAATGAACCCGCTGGGCTTTAGCTCGCACCACGTCCCCGTTACGAGCCTCTCTCAGATCCGCAGCGCCGGGTTCCGTCGGTCGTCCTCGTCCGCAAGAGCAGCACAATGCCAGAAGTGCCTTGGTATGTTGTCGAAGGCGGTCCTGATCTGTCCTCGATCGTGCACATCATGGGCCTCTCCAACACGGCTAGCAAGCGGCAATCCAGCGGCGGCTTAGCCAATTCAGAAATAATCGCCCACGACTAACTCTGTTGGCCTTGATCGTCTTTGATAGGCGTTGGACATTGGTCCTACCAGTGCACCTCCGAGCGGGCATATGTGCAGCGAGCCTCACGCACCAAGCAGTTATCAAAACCTCTCCCGCTGCCCTCAGAGCGGATCGTGCAGCAAGCACAGAGGCGAGGGGTAGCCGACGAAATCATATCGAGGAACGAGCAGCGCCGCAAAAGGCTCAAGGCTGAGGAGAGCACTGACTCTGGCGACGAGAGCGATAGCAGCAGTGCCAGCAGCTCGAGCAGCTCGAGCAGCTCAAGTCGATCGAGCAGTAGATCCAGCAGATCCAGCAGCGGTAGCAGCAGATCCAGTCGATCCGATAGCCGATCTAGTCGGTCCAGCCAAGGATCGAGCAACAGCAGCAAGTCCAGCAAAAGTAGCCGCAGTCGGTCCCCCTCACAAGAACGACCGAGTCGCTCTGATGGACGCAACGCTGCCCGAGCGGACGATGGCGGCCGAAAAGTCGAGCGAATAGCCAGCCGTGATCGAGAACCAACGCAGCACGAAAATCGTCGTGCCAGCATCGCCGATCAGCATCGCGGACGCAGCGGCCCTGGCCAGCGAAACCAAAGCAGCAGCCAAAGCAGAAGCAGAAGCAGAAGCAGGGGTAGGAACAAGAATACAAGAAGCTCCAGCCAAAGTAGCATTGGTAGCTCGAGCTCTCGCAGCGTTTCCAGCGCTAGCAGATCGCCCAAACATGACCGGGACCGTCGAGATCGCTCGCGGGATAGTCATCGCAGCTAGTCGTTGCTTTCGTGCTATAACGCCTGGAGTGCACTGCTCAGACTCTAGAGATGGATCAAAGTTCCGTATCGAATATAGTGACGACTGTGCGCAACATGCCTGCTTTGAAGTGTATGACGGATTCCAGACGTTGCTCGAAGCAGCATGGTCAGTTGAACACTGTATGCTGGAGCTTCCGATGGAAGTACATACCGCCTGTGAAGAACGACAGGACTGCGGTAGCGGGATGGTCTAAGGTCTCCATCGCACAGCGTCCACGAAGCGAAACGAGACATCGTATCTTTGAACCGGGGTTGTCGTTCGTTTCTGGATCTTGAATGCTCAGTCATCCACCATGACCAAGCAGTGTCCAAGGATAGTGTGGTTGCCTTTGAATGCCTCTTGGAAGCAAAGAGGAATACCCATCGAGCCCACAAAGGCTTGGGCTCGCCAAACATCTTAAACAATCCCGCCACCACCAGATGCTAAGGACCCGATCATACGACGATCGACTCGCTCGGCTCGACTGCCCTGATGCCAAGAAACCACAGAGCTGTCCGGATGATCCAATGGATATCGAATCTCAAGACCATGCTCACCCAAAGCAACGACAAGCAGCATCGAATTGTGGGAAACCGCTGATGATATTTCCCCATGTCGTTCGAAAAAAACACAATGTGGACTACGTTGAAGCAAAGCCTGCTACAGTCGGTCCAGAAAGAAACGGGACAGTCACTTTCTGGCCTCAGCTATCTGAAGCCTGCCGAACTTCCGTAGGCCCCAGTGAGCAAGCCGTGAGATTGTTTCCCGTCCTGGTTGGCAATCGAGTGGTTTTGGTTGGTTTGGGAAGCATGGTCTTGAATACACTCGGTCGATCTCCATGGGTGATGATCGACTGGCATACCGAGATCATATTCCTTGAGGCATTGATGTCTCGATCCCACAGCGTATGGCAGCTTGCACAGTGCGGGAATCTCGACCACGGGGGCTGGGAAGGCAGTGTCGTCACTGGACTCGTCTAGAGGGGGTGCTTGACTGACCATTTCAGCGACCGAGGCAGAGCCAGAGGCAGGGCTGCTGTCGACTCTTGGCTGTGCACTTCTTGGTGAAGGGTCTGACGTGGTTGGTCAATCCACAGGAGGGACATGATTTGATGGTTGGTTTCTTGGCCACAGGAGAGTCACTGGGTGATCCTGGGTCGGGGTCGGGGGGTGTCTTTCTCTTGGGAGCCATCTGGCGAGAAAATAGCGACGATGGCTGGTTCTGCCCTTGGGGAAGAGTGAGTCTCCTCAAAACCAGCGCATTTTGGGCTGGCAGATGCTCACAATGGCGTCCTTGATTCAAATCACAGAATGGTCATGGCCAGCGCGCGATTGTATTGGGTAGCAAAATATTTAATCAATCGTCAAAATCATGGGTGTCCCGTTTTTTATTGGATTGACTGCTAAACGTCAGAAAGGGCCTCCCTCGCACGCTCAATAACGGCCCTCGATGAGCCGCACCGACAAATGGGCAGCGAGCACTTGATCAGGGACATTCCATCCCAGTTGCACCTCACTTGTGCCCTTCGATAAGGGACACGATTCGGTCGAGAGGTCTGCCCACGACGGCCTTCTTGAGTTCGTGATCAACGACGATCGGCCGTTGGAGGCGAGCAGGATCTTCATCCAGAAGCGCCAAGAAAGCATCGACGGAATCCAGGGTGGCGTTCTCAACCTGCAGTTTGGCTTCGGGAGCGAGGTTCTCGGTACGGATCGCAAGACGGAGATCGTCAATGTCCATCTGCGAAAGGACGGCTCTGAGGGTCTGGCGATCGACGGGGGTTTCCACATAGTTGATCAGGACAAACCGACCGGGAATGGTTTTCTGCAGATACGATGAACATCCCGCTGCTTTGGAGCAGGTGGGGTGGTGGTAATAGGTGTATCTGGCAGTAGACATTGTGCGGGAGGTGCAGATCGCAGGCAGCAGCGAGATGAACGACGGTCTCATCCAGAAGCCAAGCGGGATCCCACAGGAAATGCGTCTCGATGACGCGCTGACATCTGTCGGGCTGACATTGGCGAGGGCGCGTGGCCGGGGTCATCACCCCAACGAAGGCAGGGGGATCAACGGACGGCAAACTCAATGGACAGGGTCGATTGACAGAGTCGATGGACAGAGTCGATGGACAGGGTTGATGGTCCCATCGAGTCATCTGCAGGCAGCATCTGCGAGTATCATCTGCGAGTGTCATCTGCGAGTGTCATCTGCGAGTATCATCCTCCGCGACTGCGATTTACTCGACTGCGATCCCACGACGGCGATTTACTCAACTCCGGTCCCCTCCACTGGTCACCCGACGCAGCCGGACGGCACACCGAGGCAAGCCCCGGCCCAGAACAGACCCGAACAGACCCGAACAGGACCAGCCCGGCCAGAACAGGTCTGCCCAGACGGCATCCACCTGGGTTTCCTCGCTGCGGCTGCCTCGCTGCGGCTGCCTCGCCAAGGGTGGCGACGATCCACGTGTAGCCAATTCCAGCCAATGGCAGCCGGCGAGCGGTTTGTGCCGGAAGTGGTCCCGAACTGCTTCCAAAGTGGTCTGTCACAGGTCCGTCCGCAGGCTTGTTCCCCCTTGTCTGGTGCGCCACGCGCCGCCGCCACTGGCCCTCGTGACATGACCAACCACAGCGCCGCCGACCAACAGTCGCCATGTCTGCAAAAAAAAATGAGGGGGGTGGATGCATCGCGAGCGGCTCTGACCCGGCCTGGCATGGCCGGCTGGAGACAGGGATATAAATAGACTCCCTCCCTGGCTCGTCTCTCGGCCTCCATCGACACCGCCTCGACACCACCTCGACTCGAAAGCATCACCGCCCACAGTGTGCAATCCAGTCTGCAATCTGCAATCTGCAATCTATCACCACCAACACCAGCACCAACACCAGCACCAGCACCAGCACCAGCACCAGCACCAGCACCAGCACCAGCACCAGCACCAGCACCACAGTCTGTCCTCAAAATGGCCGCCAGCAACCTCGTTCTCATCCCCATCGACTCGATCTCTGAGCTCTCGCGAACCGTCATCCTCCACGCACTCAAGCACAGCGTGGTGGCCACCGACAATGTCGAGATTCTCCATATCATCAAGCCGTCGCTGTGTAAGTTGCGGGTCCCGGTGGTGCATAGAGTGTTGGTGCATGGAGTGTTGGTGCTGTGTGTGGCTTGTTGTTCTGTCGATCAGCGAGTCAGTCGGCCAGCCAGTCAGTCAGTCATCTAGTCAGTCATCTAGTCAGTCATCTAGTCAGTCATCTAGTCAGTCATCTAGTCAGTCGGCCAGTCAGTCGGCCACCCGGCCAGTCCTTCAGTCGCACTCACATCCTTCGCATGTCCCGACGCTGCCCCGTTCCTCTGTGCTTCCGCTCGTTTCTGCTTGCCTCCAGTCTCTGCCATGCAATGTGCATACGAACACCGCGAGATCGTCGAGGTCACCCAGCGCCTCACCAAGTTTGTCCAGGAGATTGTCCAAGCAAGCGGCGTCGCAAACAAGGTCTCGCTCAACGTGATCCATGGAGAGGCCAAGGGCCACATCATGATGGAGATCAGCGACCGCGCTCCGCGACTGGTTGTCATGGGTGCCCACCCACATGGCCCCCTCGCTGGCACTGGTGAGTTGGTGTGTGGTGTCTGTCTGTCTTTGCGGTGTGCCATGCTGCTGCGGTGCAGTGTGGCCTGTTGATGCGGTGCAGTGTGGTTTCTCTCGATCGGCGACTCCAGGATCGCATCAGAGCAATGCCGAGACTGGCCAATGTCGGCCACCCGCTCCCACATCCACCCACAACCACTCCCACAACCACCCACTCACTGTGTCTGCTTCCATTGCCCGCACATCCCAACCGCCACCCCAACCACCCGTCTCGTCTCCCACAATCTGCAGGCAGCATCACCGGATATGTCTCACAGCGATCCCCGTGTCCCGTGCTGGTTCTGCCTCACTCCATCGCCAAGACTGCCGTCCCGATGGAAGGCAGCAGCAGCAGCATCCCGATTGCTGCCTGAGCGAGCACCGTCCCCGCACCGTCTCCAGCACCGTCTCCACCACCGTCTGCAACTGCGTGACCCAGTCTCTCTTGTCTCGCTGCTGCACTCTGTCCCGTCTGGCCTCGTTGCTGCGCCTCGTTCTCTCCCAGCCGCAACCCGTCGCCCACCTGCTCCCTCCGCTTCCTGCGTGCGCCTCTATATCCCCGCTATGTTCCCGCTATGTTCCCGCTATATCCCCGCTATGCTCCATCATGTTCTCGATGTTTCATGCGTGTTTGTTCTCCTTATTTATTGGCCGGCGTTGGTCCTGGATCTGTCGCCTCTGGCGGCGATGCGATCCCGACCCCGCCGTTCCCGGCCTCCTGTGCGATGCCATTGTCATTGATTGCCATGGGCTGTCTCTGCCGTCCCTCTCCCTCTGCCATTGGCTCGATCTGCTTGAATACACACATTCGCAACCAACCTCGTCTTCCGGCGATACTCGTAAAGTATCGATCGGGTTGAATTGTTCCCCGCCTGAAACATCGTGGCCATGGGGCGCCGGTGCCATTGGACTCCCGAACAACCATGCCAGATCGGAGCCAGACGGTCGTGGACACAAATCGACTATTGTTCATCGATATAATAGGGCATGGACGGTCAGAGGTGACATCATCGATGCATATAGTTCGTCCAATCGACGAGTGAATGCGGTCGAGATGGATTGGGTGTCCATCTTCGGCAGGGACGGATTTTGAACCGCACGATACCCTGCCTGGAGAGCACGTTTCTCCACTCGCTATCTGTTGGCAAATCTGCCACCTTCCAATGGTCGAAACGAGTATATATATGCTGCAGCGGGCTTGCCGGTCACTTGCACCAGCGATTCCCACGCATTATTCGACGTCGCCAGGGCTGTTGTTATCATCAAGCTGAATTTGAACCCATGTCGAAACTTGCTTGGCTCTTACTAGCTGCGCTTGTTTGGGCTGGTATGGCCGTCGCTATCGAGCAGATCGCCTGTCCTGTGGACAGGGTTAATACAGAAGTATATGTTTTGGACATGGGGATGCGGCTCCGTTTGCGATGCTGACGCCCTTGCTACTTTCTATCACTCTTTGGCTGGATCTGCCATCGCAATCGCTATCGCGCTCGATTATGATATCGACGCTTCTCCTGCTTCCGGCCCATACAAGGCATTATCGATGCAAACGTCCTCAGCTCGGGTGGGGCAACGTTCCCGTCGGTGGTGTACCAGAACTGGACGACCCAGTTCTCGTACAATGGAACGGCGATGATCTACTCCCCAACTTCATCCGGTATCGGAGTCCAGTCGCTGATTTCCGACCCAACATTTGCCTTTGCCGGATCAGACACCATCCCAACGCATGCTGGAACGTACGGACCAAACACCACTTCCTCGGGACTGGTTGGCATTCCGTCCGTGGTTGGGTGAGTTCCTTGGCAGCTGTTGGATCTTAGGATGAACGCAGATGAATGCTCGCCGCCAGGTTCGAGGTGTGTATCCATGCATAATCTGTTGGTAGCTATCTGATCCTCCATGATATCTATGTTCCGCGCCGCTTTCGGCCCTCGACAATACAGAGCAATCGCAGTGGCCTACAACTTGGGCAATTCCAGCTATCCAAGCATGGTGCTTTCGAGACAGAATATGGTCGACATCTTCAGCGGCTCGCTCAGCCGATGGAACGACAGTCGGTTGACTGCTCTGAATCCATGGCTTTCAGCCATCTCAGCCAGCATCCAGGTCGTCATCCACTCGGGGACATCCGGCACAACACGCAACCTCCTCAAGTCGCTCGCTTCCTTCAATAGCTCGGTTGGATCTGTCTCGACAACGTTCCCGCTCACCAATTGGCAGAACGGAGTCGCGACCGGGCCCCAGCCGATCATGTCACCAACCAACATGGCTCTTTGCAGCGTTATCCAAAGCGTACCATTTACAATAGGATATTTGGATGCCTCCGATGCTTTCACTACCATCGAAACCTATGGATCGGCCTTGTCGTTCTCCTTGGCGTCGATCATCAACCGAAGCGGTGTGGTGACCAGTCTGAATATGACCAACATGAATGTAGGGCAGCGAATATAGCGAATTACGTTGTTCCGTGAGCGCTGAGCATCTGAGCCACTCGCTTGCGACAAGATCATCGGTTTCTCTGACCATTCCACTACTTCTGCTATGCTATTTGGCTGTGTGCTTTGCTTCTAGCTCGAGGTTGACAATATTGCGGTGCCTTCTGGACTCAACATGTACACCAACGACATTGAGCGCTATTTGGACTCGGTGCTGATCGACTCGAGCCGCTCGGGTGCTTATCCGCTCATGGCCGCAAGCTATTACATTGTACGCACCAACCTGTACACCGCTCTTACTCAAGATCAAGTGCGATTCACTCTCAACTACCTGTGGTGGACACTCTCCAACAGCTCCGCAATTGTGAGTGCCCCGGTTGCTTGTGATTTTCGTAGCTGTTCGAAGGCTGGATGGTGATATCGCGACCCGAACACTCGGCTTTCTTGACTGCTGGTCTGCTGGTCTGCTGGTCTGCTGGTCTGCTGGTCTGCTGGTCTGCTGGTCTGCTGGTCTGCTGGTCTGCTGCCAGCACTACCAATTTGATGCCTGTCATTCAGTGACACTTGATATGAGGCGAATATCTGAAAATACTGGAAGGACAATGTGCTCTGTCGAAACCGCGACGGTAACCTCGGCTGCACGTACCCTCTCTCACCGTCTTTGTTGTCTCTAGGCTACCTGTGTCGACAACTTGTTCCTACCACTGCCCCCAAGCTTGCGACATTACTCGTTTTCGGTTCTGCAAACGCTTTCGTACAATGGTCTGCCGCTCTACTCCAACACATCGGCCTGCAATCCTTCCTTTGACGGACTTTTGCTTACCAAGCTTGATTCGTGCAGCCACGGCGTTTGTTTATTTGGGCCCTTCATGGATCCCAGTATCAACGCATGTGTGTGCTCGGTCGGATACCTCAACGTTAACTCCCAGGATTGCTCCGAGGTTGCCGCACCA